AGATGAACGCTTTTTTGAAGTTGCGAGTACTAACAAACTGCGACCATTTGCACTCAGACGCTTCGCTGAAGGGGTTTTAGGGTTTGGCGCGCTGTGATTGGTCCAGGAATTTAGAGGACTTGGCAGAAGTTCAAAATAGTTTAGCGTCAGCCACAAAAACGCCCCAGCGAAGCGTCTGAGCCTGCTGAGATAAGCGGTCAGATAGCGCAGACAAGGGATATGGTCTCAAGCGGCAGCAAGCTGCGCTCTCGGCAAGATAGGCGTGTTCCGAATCGTATAGGTTGACGTACTTGACAGTTGGGTGTTGCAAAGGGACCGAACTATCCTCTTGTTAACTCAAGTAGATATTTTGCACAAGAAAAGCTGTAGTAGTTTGACGAGAATGAATTGAGGTCGATTAAAAGTTGTAGATCCACATACTTTTGACGGTGATCACCATTATTACGCCCAAACATAGATAGGCTTAAGATGCGCTCCCCTCTTACCCGGTTCCGGACCCTGAAAATCGGTATTGATCAATGCGGCTCTCGAGGATCGCTTGAACTTTGTTCTTGCCTTAAGCCTCGAAATGCGCAATAATGGGTCGTACAAGTAACATCGAGCCTGATGAGACCCATCACACAGTTTCGGGAGAATAGTTTCCTGAAGTGGATAAAGTGTGCAAACGACGATACATTGATGAACCCATTCAATACTTCAACATCTCGATCAAGACTACAATCTTTCGTGTTGTTCCGCGGGTGTGCGTAAATTGCTCGTCCAATTTCGTGTTCATAACTCCTGAATGGGCTTGATTTTCCGAACTGACTGGAGACCGGCTGGTTAGACGTAATGAGCATCCTCTTTCTGTGAATGTGGACTTGGTCGTATCGTGTGGACTTTGCATCAAGGGCTAATTCTCTTCATCGGGACCGTCCGAAGGCAATGTGCTGTGCATTCCCTAGGCGCCATAATAGTGCGCAAATCTGGCGATGATGGCGTTGGTGAATGAATTTATGCCAGGCTCAACCAAAAACGCCTGCTCGCCTCATCACGCTCTTAAAATCCTCAAGACTGACGCCTTTCCGCCAGCCATCTTTGCCCTCGCCATTGGCCTCACAGAGCATGTCCTTAAGCACATCGTCGCTGACATCCTCCTTCAGTATCTTTGCTACACGTTTCAAATCGCGCAGGGTGATAGGGCCAGTATGATTATTCGTAAAGAGCGCGTATGCTTCGTGCACTTCAGCTTCTCTTTCTGCATGATGCTCGTCGTCATCTTGAGGATTATTGTAACGGACTAATGCAACATACGCAAGAAAGTGCTCATACGTCACATATTTCTCATCGCTCGGATCCAAAGTCTCTATAATCTCGGGAAGCTCGCTTGCTTTGACGTTGATGCCCAGTGCACTATGGTCTTTGTCAACGTTGGTTCGTTAAGCCTTGGGGAAAATATGTGAACGCACACTAAGCATCTTCGCACATCATCCGTCCTTAACACGCCTTCCTTTTCGTCTTCAAATCCCTCCACATTATCTAGTGCAAATAGCTCAAAAGCTTCCCGAACTTCATTTTCTTGCTCGTTCGTGATATTGTTCTCCTTCGCGCGACGCGAAAGCCTCGCCCTAGGAGCTGATTTGGTTGTGCTATTAGGCTTTCTTTTGGGTGCCTAAGAAGTGTCTATGTCAATACATGCAAAACAAGTATCGAATTTCACAGCTTGAGGTGACCTACCATGAAGCTTGTCTATATGTTTGCTCTTTGCAAGATGTCCAAGGCGTGCACGGATCGGAGGATGCCGATGCCGTTTCCGGCCCAGTAGAAAAACTTTCATCCCATTTTCACAATCTCCAATTCTACATCAAAATACACGAGCTGCGCCGCGCCAATTGCAAAGTTCATTCAATAGAAAATGCGTAAGTATTGCTATGCCACGGCTCTCTCGAGATCCATGTCTTGAAATCCTTCTAGAATGAGAATTTGGCTTCGATTGCCTTATCTACGTTTCACCTCGTGCGTGCTCCGACATTTCTTCACGTATTTCTCACTCATCATCACTGCTTCTAAAAATGCTAGAGCTTGCCGTCTTCTATGTCTCAGGATGAGCAAGTGTGGACAGAGAAGCAAGAAGGATGCACTGTCTTCAATCTCGACGGTTGAAGACCTCCTGTCCAGTTCCTAAGCTTTTGTGTGAAGTCTGAGGAGTGGAAACGGAGTACATTATTCATATCCTCACGTCTAGTAACTTAGATGAACAAAGAACTCATATCGCTTACATGTTTTTGGCCTCTTGGTGTCCTCTTAATAAGTCTTCGTGGTGCCGTTATCATGCCAACGCCGCGACGTTTAGGCCATCCAGCGCTCAGTTACTCCATTTTACTCTGAATTCATAACCTCTCATTTTTCCGGCTTTCGCACGTCCTCCAATAGATTTGTCATTGATCGCGGCTTTATTATTCAAGCTGAAGTGAGATTGAAGATTATTGCCAGAAATATAATTGCGCTAAGCTCTACACGACTAGACCTCTGCAGGAGGACATATTTTCTGACATCGGAGGAATGAGCAGCCGAGGACAGATTCAGGACAATTAGACATCTGCACATCTATGAGACAAAGTTTCGAAAGTCGGTGATGGATAGCATTTGGAAGCCCTATCTTAAGTCCTCTGACGAGGATTGGACGTCAATCAAAGATCCCGCAGAGCGTAAGCGGATTCAGAACCGCTTGTCTCAACGAGCAAGAAGTATATCAAATCCTAGCTAGGAAGGAATGTTTTATTGACATATGAACGAAGGGCAAACGGCAACGAAAAGGCTGAAGCCTGCCCGAAGAGGTCGACCTCCACTGTGCAGCAATGTGCAACGTTCTCCGTGCCAGGCAGCCGCAGCCTCCCAAGAAATAATTCAAACGAGTTCAGCGGACGAGTCGACGAGTTTTGCAGCTCCGTCTAACACTGATGCCACCTTTAACTGCACCTTGGAGCTGACGGAGGGCTCGGATCCACTTTCTGACACGAACTTCATCATCCTCCACAACATGAACTCAATGAACGCCTTTCGCCGGATAGCCATTCTCCTAGAAATCAAATGCAGCTATGAACCGGGATTTCATTTTCGGGCCCCAATAGAGAAATTACCGCCCAACCTCGCCTACACCATTCAACAACAACTGGTGCCTCATAAGACATATGTAGATTACATACCATGGCCTTCATTGCGAGACAATATCTTATCTTCCATCGCAGTCATCAACGAGGACGAACTTGTCAAAGATCTCTCTGAGATGAAAATTTGGGGTACAATGCCCTGGGATCCGATGAGCTGGGAAGTCACCGCTAAATTTGTGAAAAAGTGGTGGTTCTTGATTGACGAGTCGGTTCTGAGGTCGACAAACTTCTGGAGAGCACAGCGAGGTGAAGACCCACTAACAATGGCAGAAACAACGGAACGTTCAACGAGCTGTAGCAATATTTTCTGACCATCAGAACGATGACAGCTTCGGACGAATAATACACCGTACATGTCTGCAATTATGCGGAAGATCAATCAAAATTTATCAATATTTAATACGTACTGTCCCAGGTTCCTACAGCCTTCCATACTTGCCACTCGACGCAAGACAACCTGATTCATTCTATTCATCGATCCATCGGCCTCAAATGGGTGCAAAGTGGACTCAATTTTTCCCGCCCAAGCCTGCGCTGACCAAGGAGAACTTTCCATCGCAGGCAGGAAAGGTTTTGATCGTCACTGGCGGCAACACAGGCATCGGCTTTGAACTTGTGAAGATACTCTACTCAAAAGGTGGCACGGTTTATACTGCCGCTCGCTCTGTAGAAAGTATTTCCAATGCTATCACCTCAATTAAGAGCGAGTGTCAAACTTCAGAACCCAAAGGAAAGCTCAAAAGCTTGGTCGTCAATCTGTCCGATCTTAATTTAGTTTCTGTCGCTGCCGCCTCGTTTCTTGGCCAAGAAACACGTCTGGACGTCTTGTTCAACAATGCCGGCATAGCTCAAGTCCCTGCTGGTAGTCTCAGTGTCCAAAAATACGAAGCTCATATGGGTACAAACTGCCTAGGCCCTTTTTTCGCTCACAAAACTTTTATTGCCAATTATGATACAGACGGCACGAAATCTGCCCAAGGGATGGGTTCGAATTGTTTGGACGTCATCCAGCATAGTCGACATAGCTGGGCCTCCGGGTGGCGTATCGCTTGATGAACTGATACCAGGAAACTACAACGAGGACAAAGCCCATAATTACAGTGCATCAAAAGCCGGCAACCGGATGCTCGCATCTGAGTTCTCCAAACGTCATTGCGAGTCCGAAGGCATAATAAGCATCACGCAGAACCCTGGTAATCTGAAGACAAAAAGCTGGGATACAGTACCTTTACTTAAGTTCATCTTCGGGCCACTACTTCATGATGCAAGATTCGGCGCTTATACTGAAATATGGTGTGGAATGAGTGAGGAGGTCAAAGTCGAAGATGGTGGTAGATTTGCCATTCCGTGGGGCCGCTGGCATCCTGATCCGCGGAAAGATGTGTTAGAAAGCTTAAAAGGTAAGGACTAGGGCGGTACAGGAGTTGCGGCGGATATTTACGATTGGTGTGAGAGTGAAACGGCATCGTTCGCTAAGTGTTGACATCTATTGTCATCGGCATGGAAAAACCACATCCTAGATCTGGCAGATGAAAGACGTTGTATCATATATTCATACTTGGTATATTGTACAGCTAGAGGTTTGCCCTAGGAGTTTTTGACGTTACGATCTCATTTTGTGCATGTTCTCGGCCCTCAAAGCTTCATTTGGCCTCAACGTGAAGTTCATCGATAACTGCAACTTTGACGACCACGAGCTCGTCTTCACAACCATCATGAGCTCTCAGGAATATTCATCGCCAAGTACGGATATTGGCTCCTTCTCTTTGTTTTCAACTGCATTCAAAGTTCGCATCTGAAACGACGTGAGTTTCTGCGCTATTCTTCGTTTTGAACCTCATATATAACAATGCGTGCAACATACATTTCTGTTCGACCCCTTGCAAAGGTATTGCGTGACAGGCTGATCTTCTACTCGTTTTCTATTAGACCAATGCTTTACTCCAAGTGTGGTTAGTTACGCATTGGTGCAAGCTTACGCAGATCAGATAGCAACAGGTAGAAGAAGTACATCTACGGTCATCTCGCGAACTCATATGGCTGCGCTTGCCATTTGACTCAAAAACTTGATTCGAGACTACCACATACGACTGGAAGCCATTTATTCAGGTGCGTGTATATATTTAACTGGTTGAAGATTCAGAGAGTGAACGCCAATGCAACGGATGAATCTTCATCGAAACCGGCTTCCATGTGGTTGCACGTTTTACCGGTATTCGGGCCGCAGTTTTGGGAATTAACAATGAACTTCAAGCCCTGCTCCAACTCAGAGGTAGCCTTGCTTATCAATATAGGAATGAAGAGATCGCCATCTTGCCTGATTGATCTGAGAACATAAAGGGGCTCGCCTTCGCTGTAGAGTCCGGACTTTGCAGCGACTCGTAGTCGAAATCTGCTTATGGCTCTATTGTGTTTCTTAATTGTATGCCGAAGCAGTCTGAAGTAAAAGGAATCATTAATGACGTGGTTTCTAAGGCGTTCTGGGCGAAGATGGTCGACTGCAGAGAGCTGAGTCCAAATAAGACGGGCTCGAACCTCGAGCCTCAACGAATGCAACGTGATCATGTTGTCCCTTATCGTGCATTTAGCCTTCTTGCTGGTTGGACTGATATACAAAAGCTGGCTCATAGATGATAGGTCTGTTTCTAGGTTTTGGGAACTCAGTTACATCCCGGCATCGACGCGATTTACATGTCCGGTTTCGCCAGGAAGGAACCACCGATGATAGCTGACGACTGTAGCAGTGGCCGCTCGTCACATCACGCATGAATCTTTGAGTTTCGCGAGTCGAAATCCTGGGGAGCGAAGCATGAATGGATCTTCACCCCATAACTTTTACAGTGTACGTTCTACCGCAGGAGGAAGCGATCGTCTATTTGAAGATCATCCATGACCTCTGACACTGTAATAGCTCAGCCGGTCCTAACCTCCTTTGTAGCTGCGCACAGCAGTTGACAGTATGAACACCGGATTTTGCCTCGTTCGATCTTCGTTCCGTGAGTAAAATAAGCCAACAATTTTACGAGCGTATACATATGACGCCGTGCAAACATCCATATTCCGAAATCACGAGCGGAGCTTCTAGATGCATCGAGGACATAGACTTCACACTGACATCACAGTCGTGATTGTAATCAGCATTGCGCACCAAGGGGGAGGGCTTGAAGCGATTACACAGGTTCCAGAAGAATGACGCGTAATTTCCTATCGATAAGCGGAGAAACGAGAGGAACCTCCATTTCTGAGTCCAGATGACTGGCTGCTTTGTCACTCAACACCAGTAAGCGGGATATACAAGCAAATGAGATTAGAGAGAGTATTCTCGCTTGGCTTGGGGAAAAGAAACCATCTGTCACATGTTCTGTTTAGGTCGTTCTTGACTTTAATTATCGCTTGCTGTGGCTAACATCCCCAACAATGTCAACAACCTGAACGACCCGCAAAACAGCAGGCCTGGCATCGGGCAAGGCGACGCGCAAGCTTTTTGAGAATAGCGGATACTCGCCTAGTCGAGAAGATCCTATCGGCTGCTTGAGACTGGCCTTGCCATCATAGTGGAGACGAACGACGAAGCACAAGCTTCATGCCATTGCCACAGTTCCATACCACGAACGGAAGCACCTTATCATCGGCATCCACCCACGTGCTTGGTGCCGACATTATAGATATTATCGGACCGCCATCCAAAACCGCACGCTCCTGCTTTGGTCAGCCCTGATGTGGATCCGGCTTAGATACCGATGAAGTTGGCGATACTGCATTGGGACAACCCTAATGACAAAAATTGGGACCTGAAAACTTCTTTCCTCGCCATCCGCTTTACCTGGTCGCTGTTGAGCATTAGCGCGGCAAAAAATAGACCCAAAAATTCTACGAACCATGCATGAGATTCCTGGTCTGAATCTTTTGTCAAGTCTTGAAACACGTTACAAATTTGGCTCTCTCAGGAGAACGTCCGCACGTGCTTCGCTCGGATTTACGCTCTTATCTCGGGGTAGTTCGAAATTTCTAGGACAGATGGAATTCCGATCTGCACATTTACGCTACAGCGGAACCGTGAGCAACGAATGTCTGTGGCGATGCTCGTTGCTGTGCATTTTAGTTTCTCTCTTATCCCTTTCTTGACCCCACCTTCCATTCGCTCTTCTACTGTATCTGGTGCAGATCACGTATCTGTAGACCTCGCGTTACGCTTCATCGTCCTACTCCTCATTCTGTTGCTGTGGGACCTACCTTTAGTCTTTCGTCATATTGCTTCGTGCTCTTGGTCACAAAGCATATCTCCAGCGAACGGCGGGTCGTCCGGAAGACTTGAGATCTAGCATTCACTAGCTTACTACTATAGCCTTCTAGATTTCTCTAGTCCGCGTCAGTAGGCGCCGCCATAATGGCTTCAAGCCAGGATAATATCAACAGCCCGAACGATGAAAACAGATCTCCTTTTGAGCTGCCAAACGAGGCCACATCTTCTGGTCAACGCTCACCAGCTACAATGGTTGCTGAAGGGAAGAGGAAACGAGTTGGCTTCACCTCTGACACCAGCCCAGCATCGCCTGTAACCGAGACAACACAACGTTATGGAGGCGATACTCCGGAGAGCCCTGCAGAGGGGTTCACAGACGCTGGTATACTCCAGGTAAGGACCACCTTTGCCTTACAAAAGCAAATAGAGAAAATCAATCTCTATCATATGCATCAATAGCTAAATCTGCACGGTCATAATAGTGTTATTAACAATATTTGCAGGGAGACATACCGGAAACTGTGATTGCACATGACATTCCAGACATCACTGAAGACGCTAGGCGAGATATTTATCAAGCTTTGGGCAAAGCACGAGAATACACACCAAAACCACAGCCGAAGAAACCTGCACTTAGGAAGTCCTTCCAACCTCCCGAATTCGAACTCAGAAGTCTTTCAGACTTGGGTCTAGACTCTGAGGATGCAGCACGCCATCTTTCCAGTAAAGATGCACACGTTAGAGCCTCAAAGCTCGCTGCTAAAGTCGAGTCTTACCATGCGTCAGCTGCCCCTTCACGTTCTGGCTCCGTTGACCTAGATATCACTGACATGGAGACGAACGACGACTCAACTGATCATGAAGGACATATTAAACGAAGGGGAAGCGAAGACTCGGATGATGCATTCCTTTACCAGAACCCACCTCAACGACTGAGAAGCGGTTCTTTGGCACAAGCTCATGACGAAGCTTCACGACTAGTTCGGTCTTATACTCAGCGTTATTTGCCTTCGCACTACGAAAATGATGAATCTCCCCTGCAATCTGGCCAGATCACTCCCATCGTTGAACAGCGGGAGGCCGAGTATTACATACCAAAGCCATCCAAATATCGGGGTGGCGTTCTGACATCGCTTCTCAAATTGGCGAACGGAGGTCATCAAAGAGATTCTTCAGTGTCTTCGAGTTCTTATGGGCGACATGACAATGGCCCTTCACGCGGCTTTGAGGACTTCTCTCCCACAGGCACCACGCCTGTGCATACACCTGGCCAATCTCCTCCAGGTTCCGGGACCACGACGCCCACACATGGAAAGCATCGCAAGTTCATACCGCATTGGACCCATAGCAGGCATGGAAGTGAATCGCCCAACACCCTTGGGGCTTTGCTGGGCTCATCGCTCAATGTTGCTTACCCGTCAAAGGAAGTTGGTGAACAAACAGTAAAACAATACAAACAGCGACCAGGAATTGGCAAGCGTACGCGAAGTAGCGAAGGAATTCTCCATGCATGGAAGAAAATCCATTCCAATCAGAGAGACCATGAGATCAAAATCACAAAACATATCGCGCAAACCATTGCCCGACAAAAATATATCGTTAAGCTTTGTAGGGCATTGATGGATTATGGTGCACCGACGCATCGTTTGGAGGAGTATCTGAAGATGAGTTCGAGAGTGTTGGAGATCGATGCTCAATTTCTGTATATTCCAGGTTGCATGCTCATTTCCTTCGACGATCCTACCACACACACCACGGAAGTGAAGCTTGTAAGAACTCCACAAGGAGTGAACTTGGGAAAGCTACGAGACACACATCAAATCTACAAGGAAGTTGTACACGACCAAATCGACGTAAACGACGCCATGACGCGATTGGAACGCGTAATGGCTCGACCGAACAAGTTCCCAGATTGGTTTCGTATCTTGGTGTACGGTTTTGCTGCAGCATCAGTGGGGCCCTTTGCCTTTGAGGCACGACCCATCGATCTCCCTATAGCGTTTGGACTTGGCTGCATCCTTGGAACTCTGCAACTCAAAGTGGCACCCAGGTCTGACCTCTATGCAAATGTTTTCGAAATCGTTGCCGCGGCCATAACATCTTTCCTCGCACGGGCTTTTGGGTCTATATCGAGACCTGACGGTAGTCGGTATTTTTGCTTCTCTGCACTAGCACAGTCTTCGATTGCTTTGATTCTGCCTGGCTATACTGTACTATGCGCTTCGCTCGAGCTCCAATCCCGATCTATAGTTGCCGGCTCTGTTAGGATGGTGTACGCAATCATTTATTCTCTCTTCCTCGGCTACAGCATTACGATTGGCACAGTCATATATGGTTACCTTGATCACAACGCTACCTCTGCAACCAAATGCTCTGCTCACATGAACGAATCTTGGTACTTCTTCTTTGTTCCCATCTTCACATTATGTCTCATCATCGTCAACCAAGCGAAATGGAAGCAGGCCCCGGTCATGCTTGTCATATCGATGACTGGTTATGTTGTTAACTTTTACTCTGCACGCCTTTTCCGTGGAAATGCGCAGGTAACACAGACTCTTGGGGCTCTCACAATTGGCGTTATGGCCAACGTATACGGGAGAATATCACCTACGTGCGAAAACTTCTTCGGTCGTTTATGGATGGAGAAGATCTATCCAGTTATTGCCACAAAACAACAAAAGCTGAAGGACCAAACGAACGATGCGTTGCGCAAGCTCTCAAGTGCTGAGACAGGTGAAATGTCATCTGCTGAGAGAGAAAAACTTTCAGAAAAAGGTCTTTGGCGCGAACGGAAGGGCTACGGAATGGCTGCTGCGGCTATGCTGCCGGCAATTTTTGTGCAAGTGCCTTCTGGTCTAGCTGTGTCTGGCTCTCTTGTTTCGGGTGTTACGTCTGCGGACCAAATCGTAGGCAACATGACGGGTTCAACAACGGTCTCAAGTGGAAGTGACTCTGTCTCAGATACAAACGGAGCTGCTTTTACCGTTAGTTTGAGCGTGATTCAAATTGCGATTGGTATTACGGTTGGATTGTTTATTAGCGCGGTGGTGGTATATCCATTCGGAAAGAGGAGAAGCGGTCTATTTAGCTTCTAATCCGCTACCAGGTTGAGATCGTATGTAGATCGGCAGGATTTGCTTTGAGTTTTGTGGAGAAAGTATTAGATTAGATACCCTAGACTTTTTATCTACCAAAGAGAAAATAGAATAGCCACCTAATAAATGTACTTGAGTTTGATTAGCACTGAAATATTAGCATTGCCGAGCACTGCTCAGGTTTTACTCATGTCATTGTGTTTATGCGAGAACCATCCACGCCTAATTGTTGCCTAGGGCCTTCAAGCTATAAAAATTATTATTGCTAATAAGAAGAATTGGATCCTTCCATCGTTGAACTGGCAACTGGTCCGGTATCATGGAATCATATCAATTATCATTCGTAATTCTTGATTTGAGTATGCTATTTATTTTATTTTCCCTGTTCAGCAAGTATTACAAGTTGGAGGACTCTAGCTAAGCACAAACCTTATCCAACAAATACATCATAAGTAATCTCTTCCATCATACAAATCTTTATAGGCATGTATGTAATACTCCATAATGAATATTAAATATATGTACGCTAGCGAAAAAAAGAAGAGTCAAAGAAGAGCACTCGTGCCTAGAACTTGATATTTTTTTGACTCTAAACACAGACTCATCCAAGGCACAAACCAAACAGAACCTGAAGTTTGGGGTGGAAGAGAGTATTTCATTGATTAAAATTCAAATCACTGTGTTTACGTGTTTATGACTCGATGGAGCACGATCCACTCATGTATTAAAAGGAGATGCAATAGGCCCTCACTCTTGATCCTGCGTGATTGTTGTCCAGTTTCGTGATCGACATGATCTTGACTGCAGCCTTGTATATTGTCACATAAACGTAAGCTGTTCCTCACCCAGGGCTTATTCGATAGCAAAGAATGAACCGTTTCAGAAATAGCAACTTAAAGGTCGTGAATCATCATGACTACTGCGATGTAATATATAGGACTACATGATTTTGGCTATGGGTCAAACACTGTAACCATATGCTGAAGATGACTGTATTTGCCCATTTTATCTATCAAAACTGTTTCACGGGTCTTATCTATTTCTCTAATCTACACGCAATATATAAGCCATTTAGTGCCCCGTCAAGGACTTCAACCGTTAATCAACATAGCCGAGCTAAATATTTGAACAGCCATGGGTCCAAAAGCGAAGGGGAAGAGTAAGCAAATTGCCAGCGATTCAATCAGGAGCAGCAGGATCATTTCAAGTAGCAACAATGCAGTGGTTCCATACTTGGGGGCGAGAGACCTGATCGGCCGCCAAGCATATGGAGTGGATTCCTATGCGTTTGATATTGGGCATGGCCTGGATTTCCAGGACTATGGTACTCTACTTCGCCATGCCGTTGCGCGTACGTTTATATCAGTCTTTACAAAGGTGGCTGCTTACTTTATGGGTAGAAGGAGACGTGGCTGTAGATAACCAAGCTTACTTGTATGACTACCAGAACAATCTGCAGCAAGAGCTGGCAATCCACGAACAAGCTGTTGGAGCGCAAGAAATGGCTCACCATACTCAATCGCTAGCTGCTGAAGCTCAAGGCGCCTTCCATGAAGGACGCACTAGGAATAATGCGCGACAGGCGTTACTTTTTGAACAGTATAAAAATAAGTTCATTCAAGAACAACTGGAAAGCCATAATAGAGCGAAGAACATTTGGGCATCTGGGCGAGAGCAGAGGGAGGCCGAACGCGAGCTTGCTGAAGAGCGTCAGAAAGAGGCCCAGGAGCGACAGAGAATTATCGATGAAGGGCGTCATGTGGCACAGCAAGCAAGAGCTCAAAAAGCCATTTCGAAGGCCCGTGAAGAGCGAAAGGCAATCAAAGAGCGAAGAAAAGAGTGTAAGTCGAGCCTCTTCTGTATTTGGAGTTGGATTTCGATCATACCGTCGCTGCTAACCAAAGGCAGTCTCCGCAATTGCAGATCAGGTGAAGAAGGAAGGGGCCACGCTGGCCCTCGAAAATGCCATCAAGGAGACGATGAAGGCGAAAAAGGCCGCAAAGAAGACACGGAACCATCAAACGCTGAAAATTGCTGACTCAAGTGACCTTGTCAGTTCGTTTATGAGCGGCAGCAACCCGGAGGCGACCCTGCCTACTTCGCATGCTCACGATATGCCCATACATCAGGGCACGTTACCCCCGAACCTGACTCCAGCGATCGTACAGCTTCCGACACGGCGCCTTACAAATGTTGGTCAAACTCAATCACAGCAGATGCCTAGGAATCAACCCGCAACTCAGCGCATGCTGCCCGCTCCTGATCCTCAAACACCTGCGTATCCATGGCTCGTTGACCAGATGGGAGCGATGAACCTCGGCCCTGGGGCTAGCGTTCCCACGCATGTTTTCACGGGTGCTCCGCAGATGCAGCAATCAATACCAGGAATGTCGGATGAAGGATCTGACGAGGATGAAGAGGAAGAGTAGCGAGGCTAGCGGGTGGCGAGCGATATGAGAGAACAATGCCATGCTGCCGAACTGCAAGGCTTTCTTGCAAAACGGGTTATATAAGAATAGTTAAAGGCCGGCCATATGCATATGTTCATTGCTATACTCTAATCATCAGAGTTACCAGGAATAATTATGGGACATCATAAGGTAGCCAGGAGACAGCAATACAAATCACTTTTTTTTTGAGAATTGGATTTTTCACAAGGCAAACGCTCCAGTTCGCAAAGCTCGTTTCACAAAATTGAAATCCCTAGCTTTTCTTACAGGAATCTAAATATTAAATGGACGTCTTGAAAGATTTAATCGAATGAAGACTGAGAAAACAGTCCCCAATCTTCCGGGATTCTCTGTCAAGTGTAACACTTGTGAGGATCCAAATCGCAAGCTCTGCGATACTCTGCAAGTGAATCCGTCCGTTGAATGAGATCTGCCTGGATGAAACGGCGGATCAGCGACGGATAGATTGGTTGCTTGTGCCCGCGCCCCGGGCCGTGAGTGATTCATAGGGATGTTGTTGGCCAAGTTATTGGTGGCGAGCACGGCCTCCGACATCCGTGACGACCCGATCCGGATTAGTCAGATGGCTCGTGCGCGCTCGACACTTTTCTGCCTTCCTGCCCGCTCGCCGCCTCAGTCCACAAAATTTCAACCTCACAAGGCATCATCATCGCAAAGGCATCAAGGCGTTGGTTATCCATCACGAAAAGTAAGGTAAGTCATCTATCTCATCATGCAGAAACTCGACGACACGTCTTTTGACGCGTTGTTTCCTGACTGTGTCACCGTGACCACTGCTCCTGGCGTTTGCCCGTCATCATGCCACGCTTGCGCACGATGGGACGCGTCCAGGAAAGGACTGGAGGCGTTTCCGCAGCCCGTTGTCTACGCTTGACGTCTTTCGAAAGAAATATATCGGCTGACTGACTCTCGTTTACAGAAACCACAGGGAATCCAGAAGTCGGACACCGGGCTCGGGTGTCTATCCGTGAAAAGGCGTTTCTCGCCACACCTCCTACGCGTGGCGCGCCAACCCAAGGCATCAGATCCACTAAGCAATTCGCGTACAGGCATCAAGTCTGGTCATACAGGCTTCATCACTCTAACTCACTGCGAACGTTCTTGAGTCACGCGCTGTACGATCGTCAGCTAAGCCACACCTGATTCGACCCATTAATACAACAGGAGTGGTGTCTGCCTGCCGTCGCCGCCTCAGGACGTCGACGATTTCTCCAGCCTATTTGCAACTCATACGGGAACTTCATCACCGGAGACGCAGTATCAAGTAATTTTTTGATCTGTCGTCTTGCAGAAAGCCATTTGGATCCTGCCGTGATCATAGTGCATAATTCGTTGCCGTGACCTCTGAACAGCCAAACAGGGCATTTTTCACTTACACAACCGTCAAGCTGTCTTCCTACTCAAACTTCAACATGAGCGACGAGGTCTCTCAGCTCGAGCGCCAACCTGATTCGCTCAGGTCTGCTGTAGATCCTCAGCTCGAAGCGCATCATCATCATCATGAGCATCTGCAGTCAGATGCCTATCCTGATATAACTCAGCATCAGATGGAACAAATCGCGCAACATTCTTTGGAGGAAGGTCCGCATCATTCCGCACTTGACGAACTATCCGCTGCTGAGCACCAGGAGCCATTCTCGCCCAGGCGCGGTTTTACACACAAACGACTTGAGGAACCACCTCGAAATAACCAGGGCAAGTTCTTATGCAAATTCCAATCTACATGCTCTAACTTGACATTTGATCGACGATGTGAATGGAGGTAAGCCTGCTATACAACAGTATTTTGAAAACACATGCTGATTTGCTCAGTAAACATATGGATAAACATGATCGTCCATACAAATGTGCCGAGCCAGGCTGTGAGAAGCTTCAGGGTTTCACATATTCTGGTGGTCTCCTTCGACACCAACGTGAAGTTCACAAGATGCATGGCGGCACTCGCAAACCGCTCTACTGTCCTGAACCAAACTGCAAGCGTAACTCCGGCTCAGGCTTCACTCGAAAGGAGAATTTGCATGAACACATTCGCCGTGTGCATAGACGGACAGATGGCGCAGAGATTGCTGCTGCGGCTCAAAATGGACTTGATCAGCTTGAAGCCGCCGCAGCCGCTGCCCAAGCCGCTGAGGAGGACAGCTTGACAGACGGGGAACGTGCGGCGAAGCGCAAGCGCCTGGCGGACAGTCTAAGCGGTGTCGATTATGAGTTCACACTTGAAAGTGAATCCGTCAAACGCTTGCGCGATGAAAACAATGACCTCAAGATCCGCATGAAGCAGATGGAGGAGAATATGGAGCAGCAGCGTGCACTTCTACAAGACTTACTCTCGCGGCAACAGGCGCAAGCGCCTACCGCCTCTATGATAGTTCCTACCGTCTGAAGACATGAGATCGCCAAGCCAAATCCATCTGGCTCATGTTGAGCGCGGTCTATACATCTTCCAAATTGGGACGAGCAAAATCACGAACAATAAAATACGCACAAGCGCATAGATCGGACTGTTGTGTCTCAACGAATACATTGACGGAACGGGAGGGCACTTGTTCAGCAATTTTCATTCTTAGCGGCAGGTTGTGGTGTTTGGCGGCGTGGAATACCCGGTGATCGCTTTACCGCGAGTTGTGACTTTTCAACAGAATGCCTTATTCTACTTGATCGTTACCCAGCTCAGATCAGAGAAGTGTATTATATGAATTGTGTCTCATGCATTGCGTGCCAAGATATACCAGTGTGTCATGATCCCGATCTTGGGCTGCTTTTCACTTAACTTGCTTTTAACATCTTAGTACCGAGTCATTGTACCATCTTCCCATATGAAATTGCGATATGTTAATGCACTTACACTCGGCCTGGAAAGTATACAGTGGCGTTCAGGTGCACTGTGGAGATGGAATCAAGTTCTTCATGTGACATCGTATTCTTGGCCCATTTCCAAGTATTTCAGTGCCAGCGCCTTGGTCCGACTATGACTCATCAATTTCGTCTTACGCGAATCGTGATTTGCTCCTTGTCTGAACTTGAGCCTGCATTGGACGAGGAAACAATCGATCCTCTGTGAGTCTAAAGGTTGCAGTCCATTTTCGCGATATGACTGACCGTCAACACACATTGGTGGACAAATGGCTGCCTTGACGAAAATAGGTAGTAGCGTTATTATACACAGGCAGCATGCGCATGGTTTCTATTTCTGGCTCTGTGAGATAACCACAAGGCTACAGACGAGGCTGTATGGTAGAACAGCCGTTTCTGGCAGAGAGCCGATCTCGGGGACCGGAAAGCTGTAGCTCTATGGATTGAAAAAAGCAACATTGTTCGTCTTAACAAGCGAATCATCGTGTTAAATCCGGCTCTGCAAAGGACAAGTGAAGTAAAAAGTCACAGTTTCAAAGAAATGACTTCCAAATTTCTTGATCTGATAGATCAGGTCGATAAGTGCGACTCGACATGCCACATTGTTCGCTTGGACAAAGTAATTGACCGGGCTCTAGTGTCGCGTACGACTATGACTATGCAGATTTCTATCGTCTACTATTGCCGAATGATACTCGGACGCATGGTTTCATGACACAAGAGACCGTGCAAAAGATGCCATGGACTAAGGACTTCAAAATCGATCATGAGGCGCGTTTCGTCCGACTGAATTTGCCACCATCAGCAGGACCGGCAGCCGTTAATAAGGCGTTTCAAGAAGTAATCGATGCCGCAGTTGAAGGTGATAAATTTGAAGTCTTGCATGGTGATCATAGCGAACCATACATCGTGCAAGGCGTGGATTACCCACTGCACATTGAACGCTTCACAGCTCCGTTATTTGGAATTGCCACAAGAGGCGCGCACATGACTGCGTATACTCGCACAGCGTCAGGGGAGATCAAGATCTGGGTCGCCCGTCGTAGCCCGCATTTGTTTACGTATCCAGGAAAGCTGGATACCACTGTCGCTGGTGGGGTTAAAGCACATCACACGCCTTTCCAGTGCATCGTTGAGGAGTCCGAGGAAGAGGCCGCGCTTGAGAGAGACTTGGTTTCGAAGACCGTCCGGCATGTAGGTGTCATAACGTATATGACGAAAAGCAAACGAAGTGGAGCCGTGCACCCCGACGTGCTTTTTCTCTTTGACATCGAGCTGCCCGAAAGCGTGGTTCCCCGCCCCAACGACGGCGAGGTGTCAGAATTCAAGCTGCTCACGGTCGATGAGATTAAAGAAGCCATGTTCGCCGGCGAGTTCAAGGCGAATTGCAACTTGGTCATGATCGACTTCTTCATCAGACATGGGATCCTCACCCCCGAGAATGAACAAGACTACGTACAACTTCAGACTCGACTACATCGCAAGATTCCTATACCTACATCACCTCGAGAAAAATGAAGGCTGTATGGGACGGCAAGGGCAATGAAATAATCAGAAGCCAGTGCGATTCATTTTGTGGCAAAAGTTCATAGACTTAGATCATGAAGAAGTAGACAGGGTGAAGTATCAGCGCGTGACGTTACCACCTAAACAGAATATTGAAACTATATCTTGAAATTATTATCTAGTCTCCTACTCTGCTCGACCAAGAAATAAACACATATCTCGTGAAATAATATTTAAGTACTTTTGACGAAATTGGTTTTCATTATTTTGTTCGGCTGTTGCAGCTTCCCGCTGCTCGGTACGCTCTGATGAGCTACTGTAGTCTTTCCGGGTGGGGTAACCAAGGTTGGTTGTTCCTGACATCCGACAAAAGCACGAAATATCGCAAGCCTCTAGATCGAACATGATGCACTTTCAATAAAAATTCCAGAATATGCATTCTTTTCTGGCGGCTTCTCTCATGGACTTAAGCTAAATTCTAAATCTTACCCGAAATTTTGGCACAATCATTATAACTAAGTGATGTGCCAGGCGCTCAACAAAACGTCCTCGGCTAGTCACGCATTCGCAACTTTGGCATGGCTTGTTGCTACATTGCCGCGTGCGTGATTGCATTTTTTATCAGGGGGGCCGAGGTGCTTGATATTGACTTGCACGTACAATACAATGAGTCCGTCAAGCGTGGTTCGAGTTTTGAGAGCCATCACGACCGGAAAAAAAAGCAATCCTCAGTTGAAGATGGCTTCACAGTGGTGTCTATTTCGGGAATGACCTGTGCAGCTTGTTATACTTCAGTAGAGGGAGCGTTGAAGAAGGTAAATGGAGTTGAGCAGGTCCTTGTGTCGTTATCACTTCAGGAGGCACGTGTATTTCATAGGCCTGGTCTGACCCCAAACCTCTTAACAGCTGCCGTCGAAAGCGCTGGATTCAGCGCAGAAGCAGGTGAACGGAGCTCCTCAGAGAAACTTGATATCCTTAGACATACACAAGACTTAGCCAAGCTGCGGGTCTCCGTGCAAGGTCTTGGATATCTTTCTACCCTCATTTTCGGCTTGGGAAAATGCTTAGATTGGATGGCATCTAACAAGATCAACCTGTCGTCTTTATGGTTACAAAAGCTAAGGTCATTGCTGCTCTTGACATTGACCGTCACCGCGGTCGCCCAATATGGGTCATGGATCTTCCAACGTGCAATCGGCGCTGCGAGACGAAGGCGAGTTAATATGCACACGCTGATAGCCGCATCTACGGCTATTGGGCTTTTGCTTACTTTCAGCAACATGTTTCAAAGCAATCCAAGATCAGAATACCATGATACGATCGTGGGAGTCTTGCTTATCATTTCTGTTGGGCATTACATGGATCTGCTATCTCGTCGCCGCGCTACAGACACATTTGAGTCGCTATATCACCTGGTCGATGAAACAAAAATGGTAAAACTGGCGCAAATAAATGTGATACATCCCCAATCCTACTAACGTTAAGTTATTTTTGTGAGCTGACAAAGCAATAGAAGCATTTACCCACATCGGCGTTACGCCAAGGGGACGAGATCATAATCGAGCCATACGAGATTGTTCCCTGTGACTGCTATATTCTTGAAGGCAGCACTTACGTGAATGAATCAATTATTACCGGCGAAGCGTACCCAAAAGCCAAGGGCATAGGCTCTTTATTGCTGGCTGGCACTCGAAATGGATCAAGCCAACTCAAAGCATCCGTACACCAAGACTATTCTTGCTCATTTCTTTCACAGCTCGTCAGAAGCATTGAGATTTCTCTGAGCTCGAAAGCATCAACTCAAAAGTACGTCGATGTTTTGACACAACACTTTGTCTCTTGCATATTCGCCATTGCAATGGCCGCATCCTTATTCACTTTCGTAAGAATGCATGATCATGGCTTCAATCTAGCTTTGGACGCCTCTGGGAGAAAAATGATGACTATACTTGCTGCTGCATGTCCCTGTGCGCTAGGTTTGGCGGCACCATGTGCTGTCATGGCAGGCATTGATGTTGCGTGGCGAAAAGGTATTCTTATGTTGGAAGGCGGAGAAACCATGGAGAATGTTCTACAAATAACCCATGTGGTTATGGACAAAACGGGAACGCTTACTCTAGGAACTCCAAGAGTGACCGACTATGTCGTGTTCGGCAAATGGAACGGTCGTGAGGAGGAGCTAGCAACGTTAGTTTGCGCCGCTGAAGAGAGAGCCATGTCGTCGCATCCGTTGGCTATGGCAATTTTCAAGGAATTTTTGCCAAAGTGCAAAGGTTCATGGGCAAGATATCAGTCAAGAGGTGAGATTGGTAATTTAAGAGAAATAGGAGGGCGAGGTGTTGTCTGCGAAGTGAACATAAGCCGCGAAAGGCGGGAGGTGGTCCATGTCGGCAATCTCGAGTTTTTGAAAGATCAACATGTCAAGGGCCTACAGAATGTACCCAAACGTTTCAAGGCGGAGGGTTCAGCAGCATTCATCGGTATAAACGGAGATTTGGCAGCATGTTTACTCTTACAGGTGCGTTGCGCTTGTTCTGTTCCAATACTCAACAGTTGGGAGAGTTTACTCATGCGTACCAGGACACCTTACGACAAGACACGATCAGCACTATTAAAGCACTCCAGAATCAAGGCCTGATAGTATCGATACTAACTGGCGATACTGATCAAGAAGCTTGTCGCATCTCGCATGAGCTTGGCATAACTGTCACTGCTTCAAGTGCAACTCCAGACGTCAAGATGCGGCATGTTGAAAGCTTACGCAGCGAGGGCAACAAGGTTATGATGGTCGGAGATGGCATGAATGATGGGCCGAGCCTTGCAGCATCCGACGTTGGCATAATGATTGCTCATGGTAGGAGATGTCTGTCATCAGGAGGTAGCGTGCTGATACTGCAATCACAACTGCGTGCGCTCGTGACCCTATTCGAAATATCTCGATCGACAATGCAACAAGTATCACTCAACATTACATGGGCTTTAAGCTATAACATAATCGCAGTTGCCTTAGCAGTTGGCATTGGCGAACCATGGGGCATATCTATATCACCGTAAGCACCCAACAAAATGCCAAGTTATCATCGTACGAGCAGTGCTGACAGAATGGTCTAGGCCCACTGCAGCTGCTTTGATGTCGTTCTCCTCAATTTTGGTTACCGTGCAGGGCTTATGGCTACGGGGCAGGCTGTCTGCACGGTTCTGCGGTGATACTTGAAGGTCAAATTAGATGACGATTATTTGAGCGAATTGATATCGTCTCTGAGCATGCCGCGAATTTCGAACTATAGTCGTCTCCGTTCTTGATTTAGTTCTAGAACTAAAGGGCTTAAGTAGAAAGAAGATCTGCACGTCATTGCGCGAGATCGAGGCGATATTTCTGTTGCCGCTAGCAACATCTGAACGAGTACTCGTCCAGTGTAGGAACTCCCTACAAAGTACAGAGAAAATGTCTGCCGTGGAAGACAGTGTTCGGTTATTTGCCGGAGCTAACACCAAGCGATGCTAGCGCTGACTGGATTTGGTTAGACGCATCTTCGGTTATAACCCCATATTCACAACGCTGGTTTAACCGTGCGAACGAAGGAGAGGACAATAGCCGAGAACTGCGTCTCGTGTCTATTGCAACCCCACAAGGTGGCTGGACTTTACTCCCGCCCTGAAGGTCCTGCAACCGGATCTTGCAAAGTAAACGTGGGAATGTGAACATGAAGGAGCCAAGGCAGCCCAGAAAGCGTGCTCGGCAGTAGGTGTTGCGCAAGTGGTTCGTGCACGAGAATCCGCTAATATACATCCCAGAGCGTGCCTGTCGTGCAATCAGCGCCGGGTCAAGTGCGATGTAACCGAACGAATGCCATGTCGACATTGTGAAGCAGCCGATGTGCCATGCGAGATACGAGAGTCTCGTCGTGGGAAACACCCACGCCCTTCACGACGTTCAGTTGCTGGAAGCAGCATAGGTCATGACGGCCAGCTTGTTCCGCTGCAGACGACTGGAGCAGTTCATACAGCCGACCAAGTCGAGGCGTCTCAGGCGTTGGCAAGTTTATCACGTCCAGGACAGCAGTTCGAATGGAGCAACAACAAAGCAATTACAGAAGCTGAACTGGCTTCACGTGATGAACAGAGAAATGAGGACGATGGTGCCGTCTTCCTGGGTGAATCAACCTCGATAAGATATGTACCCGAAGAAACAGAGGCATCGCCTATGAATGGATCATTGCCAGAGAGCACTCGACTGCGGCACTCTGTACCAAATGCTGTCAAGGCGGAGAGCCTCATTCCTCAATGGGAAGCTGAACGCCGGAAAGCTCGTATCAACTATCTGAGGTCCGAGGGTGCATTCACAGTACCAGCGAAGCCTGTCCTTGAAGCCCTCCTCGGCGCATACTTTCGATGGTTTCACCCTTGTTTCCCAATCGTCGACGAGAAGGACGTCTGGATGCAGCAACAACAAGGCACGTTGTCGCCTCTCCTTCTTCAAGCCATGCTATTCATCGGAGTCATTCACTGCGATGAGGACCACCTCAAAGAACTGGGCCTGGGAGTGAGACATCGAGCCAAGTACATTTACTATAACAGAGCCAAGGATATTTACGACGCCGATCATGAGCAGAAGAAGCTTACTGTCATTCAAGCACTGTTTCTGCTCAGCTTTTGGCGAGCGGGTGCCCTCCTGGAAAAGGATGCACGACACTGGCTAGGTGCTGCTATCAGCCTTGCACAGACAAAGGCGCTGCACCGCTCATCTCACGGCGCCAACGGAAAGTCGGAGAAGTTGCGAAAGCGTGTTTGGTGGTCGATATACATTCGCGAACGACAGTGTGCTGCGGCTCTTGGTTTACCACACCGCATTAGGTAAGTTACGAACCTGTGAAATCATCTCACGCTGATATTTCTCTAGGGATGAGGACTGCGACATAGAGCCTCTAGACCGGATTGACTTTGATAATGCGTTTAGTTCCGAGACATTCCCGGGAGAATCTGAGGAATGGATATCGTTCGTGATAGGCATGTGTGGTCTCGCTCGAATTTTGGGTCGGGTTGTACATTCAGGTTACCTTCCTCGTCAACACCTCAACCCGGTCCTTATTTCGCAACTGAAAGACGAGCTTATACGCTGGAAGCAAGCGCTTCCTATGAAGATGCAGCTGGACAATGACTTCGGCAACAGACCAGGATTTCACGCGAATATGCTTCACCTCGCGTACAACAATATTCTTATCCTTCTGTATCGTTCAGCTTATATCGAAGATGATAAAGGAAACGGGGAAGTTGATGGTGCCGTAGCATTGCAAGCGGCCGCTCGTAACTCGAGGATCATTGAAGACATGCTATCTGACGGGAAACTTCGTCATCTTCAAATTCATTGCATCACAAATCTCTTCAACACATTGTGTATTCATGCGTTAAATCTACGACGATCTGAAGGAACAGCGCGAGCCATAGCAGAACATCGTGCGAAATTATGTCTCATGGGCCTTCAAGAGCTCCAGAAGACGTGGGAGGTCACAAACTGGGTCTTGCAACTCTTCTTTCAATACCTCGATCGCTCTACTGCTGCTCGACTACAAATATCAGACGAGAATCTACAAGCCTTAAGTCCTGAGAGAAGCAAAACAAACGAACAATTTCGGCAAGTTTTACAGTCGAAGACTACCACACCCTTAGACTTGAACGGAATGACGTATGGTTACGATGGACCTCCCCCCGTTACAACAGATACGCCGTGGTCTTGGAGCACAGAAGAAGCTAATCAATTCCTCTTGTCTCAAATAGAGAGTGAATCGGGTGCAAATTTCGGCGAGGGATTTGGTGGGATGTGGAGTGGTGACGAAGGATTCAGCGCTTATCTTCCACAATTCGAGTTAGGTTGAAATATGCTAAACAACAAAATAAATTAATGGTGCCATGTTTTGAGGAATCCCACTTTGTCAATATTCAGTGCGGACTTTCCCAAAGTCCTTGCGGGTAAAATCAACACCACAAGTCCTGACTGCAAGTGAGAAAGTTACGAGTTATGATGCCGATTAATGTAAGTCCTCATCCATCGTCTTCGTAGTTCAGTCCTAACGGGAAAACACGAAGGCCATGGTCAGTAAAATAAGTTTGTCTCGGTAAGAGCTTCTCCAGGACGCCTTCAATAATTTCAGAATGCGATCGAGAGAATTTCTCTAGAGCTTTTATAGAGACGAAAGGGGCAGCAAGTAAGCGTATAATACCAAGCGGGCTACGCGAAAGTTGTAAAACACTTTGCTACGATATGTCAGGAGCCATTTACCATCATACTTGCCTTAAAGCTCGATCAAATTGATCTCGTAACCTCCTACAATACAATGAGCATTTGAACATCGTCGTGTCAACAGCGGTGTCAGACTTCAGGGATCCATTTAGGCAGCTCTACTCCCAAATCCGCCCTCGGCGCTAAGCAATGTAGCACTGATCTCCTATCCAGCCGAAGGCCCACATGTTCATATGCCGCAGGGGCATTGTACATTGCAAATTATTCGCCGGTGAGCATTGGTGTTCATTGCGCAGACCTTGCAACTCTTCTTATAAGACGCGTACTGGAGCTAAGCGTCAAACAAGCGATGGCTGCTACACGCGATTACTCTTTGCTAAAGAGGACAAATCTAAAACTGCGCGGCAGAACCGTACCTGCTCGAATAGGAAATGAAATCACTACACAAAGTCCACCGCTCCCTTTGACTTTCAAAAAATTCCCGCATTCAGCAATGAACACCCACTACTGGCACACTAGTCTCAGCCTCAAAACATGTCATTCATTCAACCGGTAAGACGGGTATCGGTACGTTAGAGTAATGGCGCAGCGCATTGAGGCAAGCTGCCGAAGCTGATGGTGGCTCAGGCATGAGGGTTAGTTGCACAGTCGGAATTTCTTTTGCGAGAACATGGTGAGCATGAGCGACGACTACATATGTAATTCAGCAGATGTTAATCCCATAGATGGGAGCTACTTCTTTTCTCCTCCAGATCTGACCAAGCTTTGTAGCTGCAATATCCTCCCCAATCGTCTAACGGAGCCTTGAGCAAGTATCCCAGCGAACCAGTCAATTCATGTCGGGTTCATGTCTAACCTCAATCGTCCAAGATGGATACCATCATTCCATCGTTGCAAAAAAAAATTGGAGATCTGACTAACGAAAACTGGATAGTTTGAGCATTGGTACCTCTACACCCCGTACTCCAGACATGAGCCCTTGGAAGTGGTCGCCTCAATGCCAAAGGAAACATCGGGTAAGGGCTAAGTTAACCGAGAGTTACCTCTAGACCTAACTTAGCTACTCTGGGTTAGAAGATTAGGAGACAGAAATGGGGACGAGCTGCGAGCACCTCGTCAACGGATAACGCCACCACGAGGACCTAGAAAAAAATTTTTTTTCTCAGGGCGCAATTCTGTTATCATGGTCAACTGGACATGATCCGCCACGCAGGTGTAAGGCTACGAATACAGAAAAGAACAACCTTGAACGACATAATGGACTTAATTGATGCTCTACTTATCAGTTGAGACGTTATCTGGCCGAAAACAAATATACCAGCATGCCAGTTCGAGTGACGATAGGAATCTAGCGGGCTGGATTAGGCCTTCGAATTACCAAACTTACAATATCTCTTAAGCTACAAGGCCCATGCAACTTTCAATCTCGATGCACGGCGCCTAAGATCAGCGCGGTTCGCGCCTTCCCTAGTCAACATTCCAGTCCAGTATCGCTCAATGTTGATCATTTCCACTTAGTGCTTTCAGTGATCACAACGACGATTGAAATACATGCTTAGCCAAGAGGTTTTCTCCTAAGAGCTTTGTATTATGGGGTTCTTGAATAAACAACTACGTAATGATCGATCTGGGGGTATATGAAGAGGAAACGACTGAGATAGTGAGTCCCGCCATAACGAACCCCAGGTCACCCACTAAGACCTCTCCCATGATCATCGCCACGCTTACTCTTTGATACAATTTCATGAAACAGATAACGGATTTCATGACATGTGTTGTTTCCATCACCGCTTTGAAGTATCATGCAATCGTCCTTCCATTGTAGTGCGAATTAGATGTATACCAGATAGTCTAAACTTCGCCAGAGGTCTTTTTGGCCGCAGCAGCCTCGTTCTCCAGCAAGTTTGCGCTTGGAGCTTCGACATTGTCGAACTTATATAGCTGTGGCTCCTTGAGACCCTTCTGGCGAAGAATGGTTGTCTTGAACCAGTACGGCGCGACTTCGGTGACCTGGTACTTCGTGTGCGTGCGAGTCGGCACGGCAAACACGTAGTCAAGCTCTTCGAGTGTGCGCTGCTTGGTCTCTGGAAGCCACAAGAAGATCATCCAGAACGCAATGAAGTTGAGACCGGCATAGAAGCCGAAAGTTCCAGGGTTGCCAAAGGCGCGTAGCATGCGCGGCAGCGTGAGTGCGAGAACAGAGGCCCAGAAGTTGTTCGTAGCGACTGCCCAAGACATACCCACCTCTCTGTGAGAAAGCGGGAAGACTTCTGCGGAATAGGTGAAAGGTACTGGTCCTTCACCAGGGCTGTAAAATGCGTCGAACAGGTAGATGAAGAACGCGATCAAACCCAGATGGGCCTTGTTGCTAGATGGAATGTAGAAGCAGAAACCGGCTGCCAAAAGGGTCCAGCACATGTTAGGGAAAGTGAAGAGAAGCAAAGCTCGTCGACCAAACGTGTCGATTGTGTACACGGCTGGCCAAGCGAAGAGGAAGTTGATCAAACCGAAACCCCAGGAAGCAAGCAGAGCGCCTGTCACGCTTGCACCTGCCTTTTGGAAGATCGTGGAGCTGTAAAAGGCGATGATGTTGATACCGCACTAGCAAGACGAGTCAGTTCGTTGTTTCTCTCGGTGCAAGACTTGAATTCGTCTTACCATTTGCTGACCAATCATAACGATACCGGAAGCTTGGGCGGCACGCCGAACGCGCGGGATGGTAGCCAGCTCGACAAAACGAGTGAAGAGGTTACCATTCTTAGCCAGTCCGGACTCTGCTACGAGGATGTCTTCCTGGCGCAGAAGAGCGTGGGCATAATACAAATCACGAGCAGCCTGAATTGGGGTCATTCGGAAGCGGAGGAAAGATCTGATGAAGATTAGTGGGCCGATTTCAAAGCTTAATTCGGAGTGCCATTCTCTAGCTTACTCATATGCCTTTCTGTACCGCTTCTTCTGCATCAGCCAACGAGGGGATTCGGGAGTGAACATGATGCCAAGAACCAGGGGGATCGCGGGAATGAAAGCACTTCCAAGCTGAAGGCGCCATGAGATGCGTCCAGTGTCCTTGACAGCCAAGTTTGCGCAGGTACCGAGGAAGATACCAAACGCTGTCCAAACTTGCCACGTCATGACAAGACCGCCTCGAATGTTTGCAGGAGCTACCTCTGCCGAGAACACAGGCACGGTGACTTCTTTCAAACCCATTCTGGTAGACGGTCAGTACATCGCGTGTAGGCCCGAAAGAGGGTCAAGGTCTTACCCAATTCCAAGCAAGATACGACATGCGACAAGCTGACCCCAATGCTGCGTTAGCGCCGAGCCAATGGGAGCCAACAGACTGAAGATGGCGGCAATGAAAATGGTCTTTCTGCGACCGATCAAGTGATTGATGGGATCAGATATCCATCCGGCAAAGAAGGCAATCGCAATGTAGGGAACAGAATTAATAAAGCCGACAATCCAAGAGTTCTTGTCGCAGGTGCCTTCGGCCTCGCACTTGGCGCCGCTGTCTGGGATGCCGAATTGGTCCTGGAAGGTTAGGTTGGCGCCGTTGGACCCGGTTTGGTCCCAACCCTGGATGGCAGCGGCGATAGAGTTGAGGATGATGGTGAAGTAGAGCATGCGAGGGTGCCTCCAGCGCTTGGTGAACTCCAGGTGGAGCTCCTCGCGCTCAGCATCATCAATGTCTTCCAAGCCGTCGATGTTTGTTGGGTCTTGGGCAAGAAGAGCACCCTTTCGCAGAAGGGGAAGGATGTCAGTCAAGCCGTTTTCATTGGCAAAGAGCTCGACATCCTCAAGAAGAGCTTCCTTGGGGATTCCAACAAGCGGGTTGCGGATCCTGCAGGCGATGTGTCAACTCGTGCCCAAGAAAAAACACGGGATTGAAAAGAGAAAGGGGGACCTGTGGCGGGGGGGGGGGGGGGGGGGGGGGGGGGGGGGGGGGGGGGGGATTTTTCTCAGACACTGTGTGATTTGGGCTACGTACTCGCCGGTTACATTGTTGGTGAGATCCTGGACGGACTGCCTACGGCGTTGATCATCGTCGAAGACGGACGCACGCCTCTCCGTCTTCTCTTCGTGGAGCCTTTTCCACAAAAGTTTGTTAGCATTGGAGAAGATTCGAAAGACGGATTGCAAAAGTACTGACTCTGGTTTTGTCCCGGAAGTGTCAGCCATACTTGCGGCGATGCTCGCACCAAGAGGTATGGAGAGATACAAGAAGAGCTCAACAGAACCGGTTCTTTAAAGATGCAGGAAGAGGAGAGAATATGGGGCAAGGCTGCAGACGGCCTGCGTTTGTATGCTGTACGACCCCTTCACACAGCGAAGGGGACTTTGACACAGGAAGCTGGTCGCGAAATGAAAGGACGAGTGTACAACGACGAGGCAGGTAAGCAGCAGGTGCTGGACACCGCGGGCGAGGATCAATTTATCAACGAGCACAAGGGACCAGCGTGTAATGCAGGTATCGATTCCATGTGCGGGGAACAAGTCCCTTGGGGGTGGCCTGAGTGCCTGTAGGATCAAGGAGTCCTGGATGGAGCAAGCTGGTGATTGCAACCAAGCCCATGGGTTCGTTCAAGCCGTGCGTGGAGCGAGGCTGTCACGCTCTGGTCCATGCACTGGACGTACTGTTCGACGTGCAGCAGCCGGCTCGTCACACGGTGGAAGCGTCGAATGGCGTGTCACTCCGCTGTTCGGCCTGGCCGATCTTCCGCGATGCGCTCGCGATGCTAATGACAAAACGATTATTTCCGACAGCGCCCTTTCTCGTTTCCCACCCTTCGCTGGCTTTGATTATTGGCAGGCGCGTGCTGGCAACTAGCGTGCGCAAGTCTGGAAATCTGGGGTATACAGATTATCAGGGTAACATTTGCCTAGCCAGAACCAAGCTTAGCGCCCTACGCCTTCACAGTTTGGCTGCTCCATGACCTCAACGGCGCCGTCGCGGCGTGCGTCTTGAGAAAGCTTTTGGCGGCTTCCTGGCCTTGGCTCGGCTAGCCTCCAATCTGCGCGTCTCATGCGTCCAGCCTTTGTCGACCTCTCTCGCATTTGCACGTCTGCGCTGGGACTGCTACGACGCAGCCTGGGAGCCGCGCGCGAGCACAGCAGGCAAACGTCGAGCCCGGCAACGAAAGCAGCGCCGTCCGAACGAGCACGAGGCCGGCTCGCTCGATCGCTGGTCGCAGAGCCCGCCCAGTCTCTCGCGCTCGCTCCAGGCCGGCGTGCTGCTGCTGCGCGGTGCTGCTTACAGAGACCCGTCGTGATCGGCTCACAGTGCCTCAGCAGCCCGTCTCGTCATCTGGCAAGAAGCTGCGCGGCGCTGGGCCCTCCCGCAGCGCAAGCTTGTCGATGGAGCGCCACCCATCTTCTCCCCGTGCTCTGAACCCCGCAGACGGCCTGGAGCAAATCAGCATCTCGTTTGCACCGCCATTCGACGCGCCATGATACAAACTTTTCTCTTTCACTACATCAACAGCATCGACGGGGCTAACCGTGTGACCGCCCCATCTGTGACGACGGAAAGACAATGCGAAAATTTTCGCGCTGACACGTGAGGCAAAATTGAGCCGCTGTGGAGGCCCACAGTGCACGGAGGCCGTACGGAGAACGCTACCCAACACATGCAAAACTTCTCCATCCAAAGCCTACTGTGTGGGACCTGTTGCGGTCTGGGGTCTAGGCCTGTGCACGCCTATTGAGCGACGGCCTTTGCGATGCTCTGGCCCATGGTCTGTCTGGTCGCCAGCGTGGTGGTGAGTGGGCGGACAAGCAGGCGGCGCATCTCGACGCACGGGCTTCGCAAGCAGGAATCAGCCGCAAGCTCACACCAAGTCAGACTACTGCTGGCCCATCGAGTCGCCAAGCGGCAATTTTCTGCAATGCAACCGCAGGACAGCCAGGCTAAACGACGTTTACGAACACCTCGAGCGAGCCCCGAATGACTTGTGCGCCCAGAGCCAGCCTTCAAATGGAAAAAGCTCGCGGGTGGTATGATTCGACAAGCTTCTGCCGCCCTTCTAAAACCTTCGAAAAAGCACGCCATGCACCGGAGAAGTCGGCATGGGGCTCCCATGACCCAAGGCTAGCTGCTCACGCTATCCTGGAGATGATGCACTGGTTCGGACTTTGTCCCATCTCCTTTGGCTCCTTATCATTTGCTGCTCGAGAACTCTCGACTGATCAAAGCTTGCCGCGCGAACTTTTGAAAATTTCGCGCTGATCTTTGCCCGAACAGTGGGGCTCAACCATGCGGTCTCGGGCGAAGATCGCTGCCTCGAGCGTGCGCTGATGCTGTTACATGGCTTGCAAGACCTTTTTGGCGCCGCGTTCGCCAGCGAGACGATGCGATAGAAAATGTCGCAGCGAAATTAAACGGCCGCCAACTGCTGCCACAGCGCGCGCTGCACTGGAGAATCGGGCAGCGTTTTCCTTGCGAGCTTGGACACGCTTGCGAAGATGGGAACTTGGTTCGCGCAGCCTCTCCCCCAAAGACGAGATCTGACTTGTGGAGGGGGGTTTTGTGGGAGGCGGACGAGCCCCAGATGCTGGCTCGAGCCAGCCAATAGCGCAAAGACAAAAACAAGGCCTTGGGAACGGAGTGCTCCATAGTCTTGGCTAGTTCCGTCTTACAGTCCTCCTCGACCTTCCAAAGCCCACGTCAGAGAAGAGTGCAGGACGGTCGTAGCACAGGTCTGGAGCGCGACAAGAGCATGTCTGCCTCGGATGAGCACAAGCTCTGTCTCTCCTTCTCTTCCCCTATCTCTTCATGTGCATACAAATACTCAAGTCCTTCATTGAGTGCCCGTTATGTAACCCGCCCATAAAAAACAATCTGGTAAAGATCTGCCCAAAAAGGAAAGCAAAATGCTCATTCGTTTACACCCTTATCCTCGTCCTCCATTATCATCATCACCCCCCTTCCCTCCCAAAACCGCGGGTAGCATGCAGGACCTCGTCAGACTGTAGACGACGAGATCTAGGGACACGCGCGTGAACAGGAAAAAAAAACAAATTAAACAAAATCTGAGGATCATCATCGCAGCCCTGTACACGACTGATGCAAGATTACCACCCTTGCTCGCCTCTGTTCCTCGCTTATTCTTCGTTTTTGAACCAAAAACCCCCCACCCTTTACCCCCTTCCATGCGCCCTTCCATTCTGAATACAATCCCCGCCTCGAGCCGCAAGGCTGTACATGCTGACAAAGGACAAAGGAATCCTCCCAAGCAGTGAAAATCGTGGGGAGGAAGGCGGAAAAACGCTGGAGGGAGCAGCCGCATCCAGGCTTAGTCACCTCGCTGAATCGAAGTGGAAACGCATTAGGGAGACAACCCAGAAAAAGTTCTTTTTTTTTTATTTTTTTATAATTTCACCCCGTGCTCAGCGTCGTCTTTGTCGCGTCGGTAGAGACCAGGCTTCGTATGCCGTGGCGGCCACGTCCATTTCTGCGTCGCCGTCGCCGCGCCGGATCCTCGGACCTGAGAGCCCCCAAGCTGAGGGGCATGGATGAGAAGGAGGGGTAGGGGGCTTCGCTATGTGTCCTGTCCGCAAGGCTCGTCGCTGGTGATTCGCAACTGAGCGGCGTGCGAACAGCGCAATGTCGCAAGTGCCTGAACTGAGCTGTGTTTAACCTATGGAACGTGTCCTGCTTGTTCTACACATACACAGATATATATATATATATATGTTTGCCCTTCCAGCAATCATGATAAGTCATTCAATCTATACGCGAACACGTGTGCGGCCAAAGTAGGGTATTAAGAACGGGAGGAAAAAAAAAACAACCAAGTTATACTGCTCCAAAATAGCCGCGTAAAGTTGTTCGACACATGTGTTCGAAATCAGACGCTAGAACAAACTCCAGCCCTTTTTCTCCCCTCGCTTGGTCTGCAGCCCTCTAGCAGTGTACCTCTTTTCCCGTGCTTCTAAGGCTCGAAGCGCCTCCATCTCCTTCAGTACGTGTTCCAGCAACTCTTTGCGCTTCACAACGTCAAGATGACGCCGTATCTTCGGGTCTTCTCTAGCAAAGCGCTCGATGTCCGCCCGGGATAGAGAGTGACCAAGACGGCTGTCCAATTCTCGTGGGAACTAGACATCCTCGTTAATATGGTGATTGACAGCGGGCAGCTCAACTCGAGGGGAACTCACACTGTAGTAGAACTTTGAGAGAAGTTCGGCGTCCAAGAAGAGGTCCGCAGTGGTTGTCAGCTTGTCGGCCACCGCGTCGAGAAAGACTTCTGGGCAGTAGTATTTGTTCTTCTTGTTGACGCATTGTTTCGACTTTACGGCTTGAAGCCGCATCCGGATGATATCGGCTCGGTCGCGGAGGAAAACTGCCTCGCGCCCTACGATAGCGTGTCAGAAAGTGCATGTAATCCATCAAGATAGGTTCCCTTACCTTTTTTGAGCAGAGCAGCGCTAAAGCCGCCTGCACCACCCACTCCATCACCCTCGAGAACGACCTTGCCATCCCTCACGCGATCAATGAAGCCCATGACGTCCTTTAGCTTGCGCTTTCCTCCCACTTGTTCTTCGACAGACTTGATCGCCTGCTCACACACACGTAGCTCATCTTTCAATACGTGGGCGATGTTTTCACGGCCACGGGCCCACTCCGCGTCTTCGAGTTCAATGCGATACTTGTACGGCTTGATACAGATTTCTAGCTCGTCACTGATGTCATATGACAAATCTCTGAGAATCGTCGTCGATGCTTCTGTGATGGCTTTGCGAGCAAAAGGGTGTGCCGCAAAGGTTGACGATGCGACTAGGCGGTCGACATGTGCTTGTAAAGCGTTGGCGATCACCGTTGTCGCCAGTCGACCGATACCGAGTTTGGTCAATGTTGAAGTAGAAGCATCTAGCTTGAGGTGCCATAGTGGGTGCTCTGGGTCCGCCTTGGGCAGCTCAGACAGCGGATCTGTCTCAGGCACAGCAGGGGCAAGATCAGTCACAGGCTTGTTCCAGTATCGCTGGGCAAGCAAATTGAGCACTTGCTGGTCCAACTCGTGCTTGAGCAGCTCGCGAACTTGTTCCCTGCCAAATCGCTCCGAAAATTGTCTGAACGCATGTTTGAATGCATCTAGACTCTCGGCAAGATATGTCTCCGCGCTGAGAGGACGGTCGTTATACTGAACTTTGAACTCGTACGTCGCCTCTGCAAGTTCAGCCTGTATCGCCTCAGACGTGGTCTTTAGGCTAGCAGCCATTGTGTTCTCAAGCACGTGCATCAGCTTTTGCCTCAGCGTGGTCGTACCGACTGAGACGTGGGACTCTGGTCCAAACTCATGAGGATGCGCCGAAAAATAGGCGTTCTCGTTTTTTACAACGGCATTCGTGATGTTTTGGTTTCCACGGTGGAACAGCATGCCGCCAGACTGCGATGGCATCTTGGATATCACGCCCACATAGCCTAGCCGCAACGCATATTTACGATCGGTGAGCATCTCGACTCCCCTCTCTGGATCCACCAAATCCATTTTAGTGATGACTCCGATGGTCCTCTCGCCCCTCGGATCAACTTTACGACTGGCTCGAAGAGCGGTCGAGTTTGCCAAATCAACATCTGCTGCAGAGATGGCTAGAATGATGTTTGGCTGCTGAATATATTTTTCACAAAGCTCGGCAATCTTCTCCTTCAGTTCAGGCGGTTGATCTCGGCCAACAACTTGTATGTAGCCTGGCAAATCGATGAGCGACAGGTCGGGAACGTTGGGCGAGTAAATCCGGAGTTGAATCGGGTCGTCTGTGACACACTGTTCTGGAGGGACGGCCAGATTCAGATCCGTAAGTGTCTTTTGAATCTGCGAGAAATCCGTGACCTTGCCCAAGCCCAGCGCTGGGAATTCGCCGTATTCAGCTTTCGCATCTGGCGTGTTGACCAGCGTAAGCTCGATTGGTCTTCTCGTAACCATGTTGTTGCCCTTCGGTAGAAATTCGTGACCGACAATAGCTTCTAGCACCGAGCTCTTGCCTGATGATTGCGACCCAATTACCACGATCGAAGGCAATGTAAGCGCTTCCGATTGCCCGACCGTCTGCAAAAGACTTCGGATTTGAATCATCTTCTTCGTCAACATCATCATCTGGTCGTCTCTTGCTAGTCGCTCCTCGTCTCGTGTATCCTCACCGGCGTCTGTATTGAGCCCAAATGCTGCAGCCGTAGCAGCACCTGCTGCCGCAGCCCCAGCAGCACCGCTTTGCTGTGGTTCAGGTCTCGGAGACCCGCGTCCTTCATCTCCGCCGGTAGACCCCTTCCCCGGATCTACAATGGCCCTTAGCCAACCCTCAATATCCCACTCCTTCTTTGTATTTTCCCAACCCTGTTGAATTTGATCCCATGTCCCGCTAGCACCTTCATACGCAGCGCCCGCCGCATTACTCGCGGCATCTACCGTCTTCCCAAAAAAGTCACTGATCTTGGCCCCGGCCGCTGTCGCCTGATTCTGAATGTATACCAGTCCCGCGACGGTTGCACCACCGCCCAAAGCCCCGAGTGTGGCAAACTTGGAGAACAACTTTGGGATTGCGCGTGCGAAATGTGAGGCATGTACGGCAGGTACGTTGTGCAGTAGATTCGCGCCGTCGGGCCACGTTCTTCGTGCTATGGGGCGCACATTGTAATAGAGTCGTTGGCGGACGAGTGGTGCTGCCACCCGGGTGAACAGCAATCGTCCACTCATGACCGCCGCATCGATGCGGTAACCGTGTATCTGGTGGTTGCCTCAAAGTCCTGAGACAGTCGATTTCACGAGTTTAAAGCGATCTCCTCGTGGTTTTTGATATGTGATTTGAGCGTCGGAAAAAAAATTAATGAAAGGTCGATTCGCTATCCGAGGATTCAGCTAGTCTGTTAGGGAACGCTTGATGATGTCCTGAGTAGTGGTGCATTGAATGACGCTTGCTTGGCAACACGCCGCGATTACTTAAGCGGTTCACAACGTGACAATTTCGTCACCCTCGGTCGTAGGCAGTCTTCAAAATACATCAGCCTAAGAACAGACAAAGCCATTGCTCTAGTCAGGCATTCAACTGTCAATTTTTTCGAGCATCGTGCTTCGTTGGTGGTTAAAAAATAACGGGCCGGCCTTGTACGAGTGACAATCCCATCCTACTTCGTTCTGCACACGATGCTGTTCCAGATTCTGGTTCACAACCTACTCCTACACAATTCCTAAACATGACAGATTGGCAAGAGGATTAAATAAGTGCGCAACCAGATAATTGCATATATGCATTGATAAACAGCGATTTTAGACTTTCCATTAACCAGCATGATTTTCGGAAATTGTGCTAGATAGCCTACACGATCATTCCGCCATCTTCAAGTTGATTCCAGTTGACCGTGCTAATTCAAGTCGAGAATCAGGTCTTTTGAATGTGCTTGATTTGCCTGGCACTAATCATATTGACCTCAGCGCTCCTCCTGAAAGCGCTTTAAACCTCGAACTCAATCCGGACAAACAATTCGTTCAAGGTAGAAGATCCTGCCTCTGTTCTGCGGACCATATTGGATGGAAGGAATCCATATTTCCAACTCGGAATACTGCAGCCATAGCAGGGGTTACGAGCTTCAAAGTCGTTTTGAAATGTATTCGATCTCAGATAAAAGGCTGGCCTGCTAACGCTGGGCTTCCCTTAAACCATTTTGCCCAATCTACCAGGCAACCTTGACCTCATTTACTAGAGCTGTTGCATGCTTGACGGGCGTATTTAGCGAATGTGTGTATTGCTAACCTTTTCCTGTAAGCCCAATTGGCAAAGCTTTGCTACAAGTGGCAAGGCTTCGACGACAAAGACGTCCCAGTCTTGCTTCTTTCCCTTGAGTGCTTTCTGGACACGTGACGCAGCGGAGGCAAAAGACGAGGAATGCATGACTTCTCAACATATGAATGGATAGAACTAACGCAACAAAAAACCATTCGAGCGTCTACACAGGTTCTAGAGTGAAAATATGGTACAGGAAATATAATCGTAGAGCATGAGGAGCACGCATCTTAGTGTCATACTATAGTCGCTCAACTGTTCAGGTAAAGCCTGTTCTCTTGTTTTGATATAGTACATCAGCTCTCTGATTCGCAAAGTTTATCACATTCGCATCACCTATATAGAGGCACATAAATCCTAGAGGGGAAATGAAGCAAGTAATATGCCGTGACACGTTCTTGACGTCTACTTCTGGCTGGGTGATTCGCAGAGGCTAACAAGCACCATTTATTTCAGGCAGAACAGTGATAACAGACAGATTCGACAATATGAAATCAGATGTTCGAAATGCAAAGACGTACAGAATTACGACGGGACTTGCGCGTATTCCTATCGTTCGATTTTCGCCCATGGGGCTGGCGTATCAGGCCTGCGCTAGTTCAAGGGTCGTCAAAGGCTGACCCGAATTCCGACCTCGGAAAGCTTCCGGAATACGAACCACAAAATTGTTTCAAGCAGCACATCTTCGTCTAAGGAATTGCCGTCCCACCCTATATCAGAATTTTTTTCGAACCTGTTTCTTACAGCACCTGGATTGACGCACGAGAAGCGACTGTCTATATACCCTCGCACCCTTGTTTCCCCGCTGCCACGCTTACACGGCACGCTTCGCCGTGGTGTCGGTCACACAAAATCTGAGAAGACAGCATTGCGGTCGGACTGCGGGCGAGACAGACTCTTGGAGCTTCCTCAGCCATGGCTTCTGCGCAGCTGATATCCACAGACTCGCACGCGAAGGATGCAGCCTTCTCCTCGGACACTGCGACCACGATCACGATCGGGACTCGCACGTCGAAGCTCGCGCTCGTGCAGACCGACATTGTCGTCGCCAGCCTGAAGGCCGCGTTCCCTAACTACACCTATAAGGTCGAGGGAATGGTTCCGCTAGGAGATAAGGATAAGCTCACGGCGTTGTACAACTTCAATGCAAAGTCGCTGTGGACGAGCGAGCTCGAAGCGGAGCTGTCGCTCGGCAAGCTGGACATGATCGTGCACAGTCTGAAGGACATGCCGACGCAGCTGCCGGAAGGGCTGATCCTTGGTGCCGTGTTCCCACGCGAGGACCCCAGGGATGCGCTGGTGCTCAAACCCAGTCGGCTGCCTGCCGAGTCGGATTCGAAGAAGCCTCTGTCTGCAGACGAGATTTTGTCCAGCCTACCAGCGGGCAGTGTTGTAGGCACGAGCTCGCTCCGACGCATCGCGCAGATGAAGAAGCGTTACCCACATCTCAAGTTCGCTGACGTGAGAGGCAACGTGCCCACGCGGCTTCGCAAGCTGGATGATCCGTCCAGCTTCACCGACCAGGTGGTGCCGGACTATGCAGCCATAGTCATTGCCGTGGCGGGCCTGGTGCGGTTAGGTCTGGGGCATAGAATCACGGCATATCTGTCCGCATCGGACGGAGGCATGATGCACGCTGTCGGGCAGGGCGCCATCGGCGTCGAGACCCGCGAAGGCGACGAGAGGGTACGGGCGCTCCTTGAGAAGCTTGGATGTTGGAAGACCGAGCGAGCCTGCCTAGCGGAAAGAAGTCTAATGCGCACGCTTGAGGGAGGTTGCAGCGTTCCCTTAGGTGTGGAGACGACATGGGAGAACGACGACATGCTAAAGCTAGCCGCGTCAGTTGTCAGTGTCGAGGGCGACGAGAGCGTGGAAGCCGAGGCAAAAATGTGCGTTCGAACGAAGGAGGCCGCAGAGGATCTGGGCAAGGAAGTAGCGAGGATTATGATCGAAAAAGGAGCGGCTAAGATCCTGGACAAGATCACGATGAACAGAAAGATCATCGCTGAGCAGCACAAGGCATAGTAGGACATCGATGGAAGAAGAAAGTCACAACCGGGGCAGGCCTCGGTTCGACTGGAGCTCTCTCCCCCTCGAAGCAGCGGTTGGGAGCCATTTGCGACCTCTGAACTTTGAAGAGTGTGAGCATCGTCCATACAAAAGACGACGCATCTGGAACACATGCCTATGAGTGTCGACTTTGAGGTTCCAGGAAACAACCACAAATGCGGACAGCTTAAGCCAGTACCAATTGTGCCCTGAACGACATGAAGGGAGAAAGACAAGGCCGACTTATCCGCAAGCAGGCAGCCCACCATTCCGATGACGCGGTGCTTTACGCCTATTAAATTTTGATTCAAAAACCCTGCCAGCGCCCCTACTCAGAACGCTCTCGCAATGCCAAAAGAAAGCTGGGAGAAAGCCACCCAGCTCAAAGTTTTCCAAAGTCTCAAACGTGTTTTTGAAGTGTCCCCAAAGCAATCAAAAGACCCCAATGTGGGGGAGTGACCGAAATGATTCTACTCCGGTTCCGAATATTCAAGACCTTGCCACCGTCAACACGTAAACTCCGTGCTCCCAGAGTAGAAGTCGTAAATCATCGTGTCCTTCTCAACCCTCCCTCGGAGTCATCCTTGATCCTCACACATTCCGCCCACTCTGGAAACGTATCCCTGAAAAGTGGCCCCAAACTCCAATTCCTCAAATCTCTGAGGTGTGTCTCGAACGCCGGGTTCATTTTCCAAATTGGCTCAGGGCCAGCATCGCTTCCTGCGCCAGGGCTTGAGGCTGAACCTGGGCTAGTCATGTTAATGACAGATGAACTGGAGGTCAGAGGATGCGGAGGCCCCGCAGATGTCGGGAGAAGCACGTCGCTTGGAGCGTACGGCCAGTTGAGCGATAGGGTTGTAGTGTAAGGAACAAAGAAGGTGTCAAAGCTAGTGAAAGGCGTAGTTTGCACAGCAGCATCGCGGAGACGTGGCCTGTGAGTATATGCGTGTCAGGATCAGCGAGACATAGAGATAAGGCTGCTACTCGTAGGCTGCAATCAAACGTACCATGGTAGATAGTCCAGCCAGCATGGGTGAGGCGTGAACAGCTGACAAGGCAGCGGCCTCACCCATTCCGGTAGCAATTCATAGTTCTCCTTGGTAGGGTCCGCCTCCCATCGCGCGATCAAGAACATTATATATATCACTGCCACCTGCTCTGGCAGCCGGTTCAGATCAGGAAAGGTGCGCAGTATGTCTGTAATGAGCTTCGATATCGGGTGTACAGGGGTGGTCGTGTTCTTGTTCAGCAAATGATTCCAGTTCGGGTATGTCGGACCCGCCACTTCCTCCCTTGGTATGCCATTGTTGAGGGCGCGATGTCGTTCGGCCACAGCGTCGAGTAGGATTGCGTCGAGCGGGCATGTGGCTGGCACACGTTTTGGAATCATGTTGTAGTGGCGAAGCTGTTGGTCGCCACCGCCAGGAGTCTGCGGACTTGGCGATACGCCGTTGATGCTCTTGCCCATTCGCTGGTCGCTGCTGTCGAGAAGGAAGTCAACACCTAGCCGTTCATCATTCTGGCCATATGCCAGGTCCGGATGAACGGTTTGCGAGTGACGTTCGAAAGGCGGGTTGGGCGTAGCAGCCATCCATGATCGGGTCTGACTGGAGGGCTGGGCGATTGTATTGTACGGATAACTTCGTGGTATGGACGTCTGGCTGGCAGGAGATCCTACACTGGGGACACCACCGAGCGGCGACGCATGATCTGCTGGCGCTGGAGCGTGTGAGGAGTATGTGTCTTGTTGTGACAGCAACTGCGTCTGCTCAGCCGGAGGATAGGGTAAGGGATTCCGTTCAGCAACCGCCGCAAGCTCTATGGAGAAGACTCAGCACAATTGGGTCACGTCGTGAAGCCTCCGTTTACATACCTTCAAGACTACGTGAGCTGCCCAAATAACGCTGGAAGACAGAAATGAAGTTCGCGAGCTGCCGTTTAATCTCATCGTTCTCGGCCTGGATGGCGTCCTTTTGGCTGATGACAGCCTGCAAGTCTCGGTATGGCTGACTGCTCTCTAGCTCTCTGATGCGCTCGTTCAGCCGTTCGATTTGCTGCTTCGTCCTCTCGCGGATTGCGCGCTGGGCCTCGCGATCGTTGGCCCTCTTGCGCTCCAGCTGCTCCGGTGTGAGGTTGGCGACGCCGCGAGAGCTGGTCGAGCTTCCCGGCCCGGCACCTCCTCGCTTCCGCTTGGTTCCGGTGCCATTGCTCGCAGCGGTGGTGGCGGCTGTACCAGACTGTTCGAGGGATGTGGGATCTGGTGTGGTAGCAGCACCTGCCGTACCTGGCGCTGCAGCGTCATGCGACGAAGCTGGCTCGGTCATGTTCTGGTGCAGGCCACGATTCAGCTGGGCAGCAATGGGCAGCAGAACCGACTCATGAGCTGAACACAACAGGCCCCCTGCGCTATGTGGGCCAGCTTAATAATAAAGATAGCGAAATGCGAATGTTACACGCCTGGGCGTGTTTGAGTGCCGCCAGAGAGCGAAGTCGGTGGGCTAGTTGGCTGGCCTCCTGGCGTTGAATTGGACTTGCGGGCGTGTTGTAGTGGGTCTCGTTCCCCAGTGGGGTGCGCGCACGTACAGCGGGTGAGCGGGTGTCTGGAGGAGCGACTTAAAGTAGGCGACGGAGATGGCGACGATGATGCGAAAGGGACGACAAAGAACGGATCGAACTCTATGCTTCGCTCTCTTTGCTCGGCGCCGGCCAGAGCGCAACGTTCTCGTCCATGCGCAGGTCAATGACGGGCTGAATTTGGCACAGCTAAGGCCAAGCACGGATTGCAAGACTTTGGCTCGCCGTCTGTAGCCTCGTGCATTATTCCAGCAATCACTAAGCATTCATTATTTTGCGCAGAGTACGTATTCACTGCGACCTCTTGCATGGCATAAAGAAGCAACGCAGATGCAGAGGGAAAGCGCGTGCCCAAGGCATCAAGGCCGATCCACCATCGGTTCGGAACCAAGATAAATGAAGTGCAAGTTGGAGTGTCTGAACTGTTGGGAATGGACGGTACCGCTGTTCTCAGAAGTGAATTCTGGTGCCTGAGACTTCCCCGCAGTCTTGGGGAACTGCACCATCTGCTGATATCCTGGACTCAGTTCATTATAATGGGATGTAGACGGAGAATTCCACTGGTATCAACACCACCTCCATCATCGTCATTGCGAAGGCAATGCTTTGAGACTTCCAAGCTCAAGTTCGACATTTCACAGGAACACTATAATAATAAACAACCTCAGCCTCGTTCCAATCTCACCAAGGCATGGAGCGATTCGGAACACCCCCGCACTCCCCGGCATCCGGATATGATCTTCCACTCAATCGTACTCTGGCCAGTCGCAATGTCTGACAGCGAACCGCAATCACAAGCACCTGCAACAAGCGAATGAGATGGCGGGCCCACATCCCGTATGTAGCCTGTAGACCTCGTTTCTTCATACTGCGTTCTGTGTAGGCCGCCAAACGCTTGCTCAGTCTTTCCGAATTCTCTGCTTCCGCCTCATCCTTCACCTCACTAACCGTTGTCCGCCTGAACTCTGTCTACCACAAGAAAGATATCTAGAGCAGTTGCAGTGGAAACCGCAAAGAATGTCGGACGCACCACAGATAAGCCTCGGCCAAAAGCTAGGCATCCCCATCGCCTTTGGAAAAGCCCGTATGTTAAACATCCCCTAGATCCTAGATGTAGGGTAAATTTGTCCCTTCCTCGCTAACATCAGCAGTCGCCGCGGCTCTCATACGCATGACGACATCGCCCTTCAAAGGCTCAAAGGGAGGACCAACCTACTATCGCGATGTGTTCATGACCTTGGTGCGCACCCAGCTGCGCAATGTCTCCATCGAGCAGACGCAGTACACATCGAAGCCAACGGGCCAGGTTTACCTCGACTTTGCAACTGCGAACAAGTTCACACCTATGACGGATGACCTGGGTAATGGTGGAAAGGCGCATTGGCTCGGTGACAAGAGCGCAAAGGTCACACTTGTATATCTGCACGGTATGTTTCGGATTTCTCTTTCCATCACTTTGGGTGTTCGCTTCTGCATTTCAGGTGGCCGATGTCTGCAAAGAGGTAATGATGGCAACGATGTGCTGACGCAGTTTCCAATTTTCAGGTGGCGGCTACGTTGTTCCCGCAGGGCCCAACCACTTCTCCTTCCTGTACGACCTAATGAATGCCCTCAACAACTCAGGAGCCTCCCTTAACATCTGCTTCCTTGAATACACGCTCGCTCCGCACGGCGAATATCCCACCCAGCTACGGCAGGCGTCCTCCCTCATCACCCATCTCTTGACCACCAAGTCTGCCGCGGACCTCATTGTTGCCGGCGATTCCGCAGGTGGCAACCTTATCCTAGGCTTGCTGTCACACCTGTTGCATCCGCACCCGGCTATCCCCGCCGTTGATTTAAAGGGAGACAAGTTGCGTGGTGCGGTTCTGCTCAGCCCTTGGGTCAGTTTTGACACTCGACACCCTTCTTACACAACCAACGCCGAGAGCGATCTCTTTGATGAGGTTCCTCTCAACACATGGGCACGGGCGTTCCTAGGCGCTTCGATGAGGCGTGGTATCCTGATGGGCGATTCATACTCGGAGCCGCTCATCGCGGAGCCGGGCTGGTGGGGCGGTGCACACAAGGTCGTGGACGAAGTGCTCATCTGGGGTGGTGGTGGTGAGATCTTCATCGACGGAATTTTGGCGTTCAGCGACAAATTCACCGAAGGTTGGAAGGCGGGCGGTGGAGATCCGAGGAAGGTGCAGACCATATCGCGCGCGAGAATGTGCCATGAGGAGCCGCTAGCGGATATTTTGATGGGTTTCAAGGAGAAGGGCGAGGGTGCTAAGGATATCGAGACGTTTGTGCGGAGCAAGCTTTAAGATGGAGATATCTGCTGAGGAAAAGAAAAAAAGAGTGAAATTTAAGGGTCGAAGGGGAGTTTGTGAAACCTGCGTCATGTCCTTTTACGATTGATTATAAGCATTAGTGATCGTGTATAATGTAGGTGCGGTCCAAAAGCTATGTACAAAGACTTCTTATCCATGCGATACCAGCATACATTTGCCCATTTTTACTAATCATCATTAACCCAAAAGGAGATCAATTCACCACTCGGTACCAGCGCCACGCTGAGGATACAGTATGGCCCCTTTAGTCTTCGCACACGTCGTAACGAAGCCGGTCGCGTTCACCGGCACCCACGCACCGTCCTGTGGGCGTCCGAGAGACTAAGAACAGTCAGTCGATCAGTTCTCATGCTGAACAAGGAGCAAGATCACGGAACGACTTACATGGAAGTAATACCAGACCTCGGACAGCTGGGTGCGCCCATTGTCGGTCGAGCCCTTGCCGGCCGCTGTTTCGTTGTACTTAGGGCCGCTGCAGCCGATGTACGGCAGCGCGCCATATCCCTTGACCAAGGCGTTTTGCAGGTCGCTCAAGCTGACCTTCGTCGAGTTGCTGGGCTTGATGCCCGCTGCGTCGAGCCAGTTCCAGGTGGGCAGGCGCTGATAGTATTTAATGGCCGTCTCGAAAAACTCTGGCACCTCCTGATGCTCGACGTATTCAGGCCCGTAGCAGGGGACGTCAAACGTGCTGTAGCAGGTTGCGTGCTTACTAAACTCGTGCGCCCAGAAATCGGTGTTGGGCGCGCCTTGGTTAATCCAGTATTTGTTCATGTAGGCGAGCAGCGAATTCTTGCCAAACTTGGTCACAAACGTGTCCACAGTCGGGCCGGTGTAGGGAGGCACGACAGTGCCGTTTGGAAGGCCATTGGTCGTGTTGGGAGACGGCGCTGGATCGTATTGGCGTTTCAGGTCGCAGTACTGTGTGTAGCTACCATTGCAGAAGTCCGGCCATAGGCCGTGCAGCGTCCACGAATTGGGTGGGAGAAGTTGGCCCTTCGATTCATAACCCGTATATGTTGACCAGAACTGTGTGCTGAGGAAGAGGCCTCCATACGTCTCGACACAGCAGGTGTCCAGAGTCTTGAAGGCGTCTGGGGCATTGGCTTCTGGGCTGCACGATAACAAAGGCTTACCTGTTCATCTCACTTTAGTATTTGTGCATGACGGCGAAAAATTGAATTCATACTCAAGACACAGCTATGGTTGAGGCTGCTTTCGCCATAGAGCGATGCACTGCAAAGCTTGCTGAGACCAGCGGCAATTATCCAGCTGGAAACTTTCATCGCGAGTATGACTTGAAGGGCGAACGAAACGATTGACGAAGGCAAACAGGTTCCATACACCGTTTTATATGACGACGAGCGACATGCAAGTCCAACCCACGTTTTTATTCCATGTTGCATCTGAGAGCAAGGCCGACGACCAGAGAAGAAGCCCACGCTCCACCTTGTATCCTGTCATGCTAGCAACGATCGGTAAGTCGCGATGCATCGCTGATCCTTTCCATTTGTCAAAGCGCTTCGGAGGCACAGGCAAGGCTCATATTGTGGCCGTCGCCGTTCGGCGAGGGAGAGCACTTGGACGGCGGTTCCTGCATGCCCGTGCCGGCATGATTGGACCTAGGTTGACCGCGCTATGATTGGCCACATCACTATCTGCATGGAGCTTCGGGCTGGACGCTCCTGATAGGCAGGTGACGTTGGACTTGGATTGTACATGAGTAAATGGGTGTAGTAAGACGATCTCAATCCGTGCTCCAGGTGGAAGCCGAGAAGTTGAAAAGGCGGAAGGATAGGGCCCAACTACAGTCTTTTCACCACGCCTCTCAGCCCTCTTCAGCTTTCGCATTGTCACCAATCCCGTCCGACAGCTCGCCATGTCAGAGACGCTGGATCGGCCGAAAGTCGGCACTGAAGGATGCCGGTCTGACAAGTACCCAACCGCGTGCTGGGCTTTGCGCTCGGATGATGTCAGGTCAAGTGGTAACTCGTTGCCGCACATCGCCGACCCGTGATGCTTACCAAGAAGCTCAACGTGCGACGGCTTCGAGGGTCCGACCCGTAGTCTCAAAACTAAACCACCCACTCCATATGTGGATGAACGGATGAGCATGCCATCCCGGATACGGCGGGCGTCGTATCTCGAAAATCACCCCGCCCTCGTGCTTGTGATCCTTCTCCTGTGGGAGCCGTTCACCACCTCTCTCTACCTCTGGGAGTCGATCAAGCGTCACATCCAGGAGTTCTGGCAGGCTCATTACATCGCGCCCAAAGAACAAGCAGCGCCACGAGAGAATCATGTCTTCTTTCGCGGGACGATCAACCGGCCGCTCACGCCGCCTCTAGAAAGGCCCCGCCGAGTAGGCTCGCTGCTTAAGCCGAAGCGACAGCAGACGCACATGCAGGAGCAATCTATCCTGTTCAGTCTGCCTCCCGAATTGCGCGTTCTCATTTGGAAGGAGGTGCTTTCCGGCTACTGTGCATATCCAATAGACAAGCAAAACTGGTGCTTCCTCCAGCGTAAAATGATTGATCGGAATACCAGACACATTGCATGGAGCCTGTCTCAGCCAAGTCCGAAACTTTTCGACGAAAAGAACGGGTTCACTGCGAAAACACACCTGCTGGCACTACCGCTTAGCTGCAGACGAATGTGAGAGGCAACAGTCCATTGTCCATGCTGTCATGACTGACTGCAGGTAGATACTACGAAACCATAGATCTGCTCTACTCATCAAACATCTTCCATTTCCGATCCGGCAGCGGCCTCCTTGGGATCGAAAAGCAGCGCGTCTTCGTCGGCCTCTCGTGGCCAGCACGTCCGGAATTCGCCTGGCGAGTCTTGCCGCAACGATTCAATCACATCCGCTGCATGATTCTTCAGCACGAGGTCTACTACTCGCCTATACCGAGCCAATTCCTGCAAGGGTGGTTTCAACTATGTCGGTCTCTGGGCGATCTGCCGTCTTTACGTGCCCTTCGCATCGAGCTTGATCCGCGGCCAGGCTTGCAACACCAACTGGCTGTCTTTGGCTTTGCAAACCCCATCCCAGAACCGAAGATGCCCGACACCGTGTACATGCCTCTGTGCAGTTTGCGACATTTAGACATATTCGACGTAGTCGTATTCTGTACGGAAGGCGAGGCTTTGCCCGTGCCCTCGTTCACTGACTTGCCTTTCCGATTAGCGATCGCACAGTATCCCATACCTAGGCTACGGCGGAGGCGTGCATCGCAAGTTTATCATCATCAACATGGAGATCCACGTCTCCTTGATTCTGAAAGATGGATGAGGGACGCGCTGGGCATGCTCAAGGCAAGCTTGATATGACTTGATTAAGCGGAACAAGGATAGATCGCTCTTGGTCCTTTGCTTCTTCGTAGTTTTCAACCTAACCTGGCTTTTTCCGGGTCCTGTAATTTTGTGTGCATTTCAGGGTACAGCATAATCATGACAACATCTTCTTCAATCCTAGATCTTAGCCGCAATAATCAACTTGGGATAGAAGCTTGCAGAGCGACTATCGAAAACCTGAGTTCTTTACACAAAGCTCCCACCAGGCTTTCGCCTCCGCATTTTGACTTCTTTTTTTTTTCAATATCTGTTGTCATTTAGGCCATTTTTGATTTCTGTTCGGATTCGGCGAGAGGCATCTCAGATTCAAAGTGGAGAATGTCGAACAGATTTGACCGAGACAGTACACTATTTGGCAAATAGAGGACTCTCAGTAAACATGCAACTGCCCGCCCAGAAGGGTATCTAGACAATGCAATTAAATTAGTGAGAATTAGTGAAGATTGAACTCCTCAAAAGGTCGCATTGCGCTTGAGCACGAAGAGGACATCCATCGTCCACCTTTGGCTGCGAGGAAGTCGATCAGATGCAGCAGCATTCAGCTCAAGCAAATGTGCTGTCACACCATGGGTTGTATGCATTTATTCACTTCGCTAACCTTTTTTTTTTTTAGAATTTATTGCTAAGCTGCTAAGCATCAAATACCAGTTGTCCGCAAATCTTGGGCACTGTTTTAGTAGTCACTAAGCAAAAGTGAACATACAAGCTTAGAACTGTAGTATCTAGAACTAGTCCGACCTCGGAGTTCGCTGCAGGACATGGCTTCTAGTCACACCTTGATCGGACTAGATTTAGTCGCTCAAAGACGCTCCTCGCAAAGCGATGATCTACTGACGAGCCAAGCATGGGACGTCTGGAAGTGTTGCCGCTCGCACCAGCTGAGCATCGCTAGACCAGGTCAGAGCACATGCAGCTCACGGCGCCAAGTTGAGGATCTAAAGCAAAATCTGACCGCCATTTCTTCCTCCACTGCCCCACGACAGCAACGCAGAGGTGGAAGGTTTCGTACACATCGAGCAAGAGCTTTTGGAGACATGAGGCATATTCGGCTCGTCGGGACGATGCCGGGTTGATTATGCACGATCATGCAGCTATCGATCTCTGCTTTGCCAGATCTAGCATCGTATTCCACTCGAATGGCACAGTCGACTCAAAGTGCAGATCTTATTTCGCTTCCAAAGTCCGCCGCACAGATATTTGTACCCCGCTATTGCTGCACAGTGCTCAACTTTCAGCTGAAGTTGGCCGCAATGGCTCATAACTGATCGTGCCTTGGGATTTCAGTCAGCTCTGTGAGACATAAAGCGGCACTTCACTGCAAAACAAAAACTTCGAAGCCGTAACTTCCTTCTCTTCTTTGGAATCATGATAGCACGCTCTGTAAGATCCTCAAAGACATTCACTTTGATCGTGGTTTGTATTGCCGTCTTTTCCGATGTTTTCACGTACGGGGTTATCGTCCCAGTGTTGCCCTTCGCTCTGACAGAGAGGCTGGGCGTTTCGGATGAGGATGTCCAAAAATGGAATTCTATACTCCTCGGAGTGCTGGGTGTGGCCATCGTCGTGGGAAGCAGTACGCCTCTCTCTGGAGATTTAAAACCAGCGAACCTAACAACATGCTCGCAGTCGGCTTTGGCTATCTTTCAGACCGCATAAGAACTCGTCGGCTACCCTTCACATTCGGACTTGCATCGCTCGCCTCAGCTACCATCGTTTTCGCGTTGTGTCGTACTCTTTGGCTGTTGGTCGTTGCAAGGTTTCTTCAGGGTCTTGCCACAGCTGTAGTTGTCACAGTGGGCTACGCACTCATTTTTGATAAGATAGGATCAGATCAACTAGGCCAAGCGATGGGTTGGACTTCACTGAGTCTTTCAGCAGGCTGGTTCATTGGGCCTGTTGTCGGAGGTATTATTTACAAGCATGCTGGCTACTTGGCTGTCTTTGTGCCACCTTTGGCACTTGTTGGCATCGAGATAATGCTTAGACTTCTCATAGTCGAAGATGAAAGAACAACGAAAATCACCGAGCAGAACTCTTCGGGCGTTGGAGTCTTCCAAGGAGATACAGAGGCCACGCCGTTAATTGGGCATGATGTGACTATAGGGTCCAAGCACAGAAGTGTCTTTATCACGCTTCTCTCGTCGAAACGCTTCGTTGTCGGCATGTTTGCCTTTGGCGTCTTTAACGGTCTTATGGTCGCCTTTGATGGCATCTTGCCAGTGTTTCTGAAGGACGCGTACGGATTCAACAGCCAGCAAGTGTCCTTGACGTTCTTAGCAATGACCATGCCTATGCTTCTGTCTCCGATATTTGGAGCAGCCTCGGATCGGCTAAACAGCACGAAGTGGCCAGCAACTGCCGGTTTTGCTCTCTGCGTACCAGGACTCTTATTGTTGAGACTTACAGGAGATAGTGCAAGCAGGGAATTTGCGCTCCTGATTGTTCTCTTGGTAGAGCTTGGTGTAGCATTTGCCGTCGGCCTGCCGCCGCTGGCAGCTGAAGTTATGCACGTGGTCGAAGACATGGAGCGCATGGATCCCGGCGTTTTTGATCCTCATGGTGCATGTTCACAAGCCTACGGGCTTACAAATGCAGGATTTGGTGTTGGCTGTGTTTTAGGCCCCGTAGGAGCTGGCTTCATACGCGTATACTGGGGCTGGAAAGTTGCTGTTACAGCCATGGCTGTCGTGAGTGGGGTGACTGCGGTAATTGTCCTGTTTGTGACGGGTGGACCACTTGGTATAAAGACACGTGGAGTATTAGAGAGAGAAGTACACTCAGGTACAGAGGCTTGAGTTAAAGAGTGATGACATTTATATTAGCATTCTAAGGATCATGAAAATTATGGACATTCTTCCTCCTGGGCTACTCCTGTTGGGCTTCTCAAGCCACTTTAGCATCAAATAATTTCTACATTTCAACATAAAATTCATTCTTGTGCCTCCGTCCTTAATCATCCCTTTTCTTTGACGAACCTACACCTTGACTAAATGCCCTTTGCTGAGGGGAAAGAGAATTCATTTATAGATAATCACTTCTATTCCTGTTGACTTTTGTAGGAAATATTCTTCTAGTCCTTGTTGAGCCCGTCTTATCGATCCTGCACCATAGGAATATAAAAGTCGAAGCTATCAGGTTATTCACTTGCAACAATTTCCGACACCCGATTTCGTGACCCGAACAAACAATTTCTGAATCCGTTACGATTCCAGCAGCCTGGTGGCAGAGCGAAGCGAGGGGAAATTTCGAAACTTTCGATCAACGTCCACTTCCTTTAACCTGCTCAGCTGGAACATGGAGTTGGTTATACGGTTCCAAAAACCTTGCTTCTGTTCAAATCTCTTTGACGTGCTGCCTTAGCTCTGGCTCGTTGCCTAATCTTTGCGTCTCTTTCCTTCTGTCTAAGCGGCGCTTTTTGAACCTTTAGATCACTCATGAGCATGCTGATCTCATCAACTTCTTCTAAATTTGATGCACTCGGTTCCGTTTTATAAGCTTGCAGATCGTTCACAGATGATGAACCCCGCCTGATCCCGCTTCTTCTCTGATAGCCTAATGTTGGATGAAGCGTTGGCCTGGTTCCGTCATCTGTCTGCGGCTTGCGGCAAGTGTTTACTGGGTCAAGAGCACTTCCATCGAAAATTGGTCGCCAACCGCAACGAGCCTGATTGGTTTTTGATCCCTCAGCACTTACTCTAATTTTGCTGGTATTATCATGAGAATGATACGAAGACATACCCAAGCCTTCATCGCAGCCCCCCATCCTGTCCTTTGTATTGCTCTTTGCCATGCACGTTTCTTGACCGTACCGCAAGAAACTTCTCTTGAATGCATTTTCCCGCAATCTTTACAAACGAACATGATGCAAATCTCGCCTTTAGCCAGCGGAATAAACTGCACCTCATCACTGCCTAGAAATCTCGCATCTTCACAGTTTGCACCGTACGATTGCAGAACCGTTTTGAGGTCAGATTGCGCATGGGAAAAATGAGACAACTCCATTGATGCGAAGGCCCTGGAAAGCGCCTCATCCTTGTCAGGCTCAGTGAGTGAAAGCCCTACAGCTGCCATCGCTAACTGCAACCACTACCGTAATACCATACGAGAATACGTTTTGTCAATACGGACGGGGTTTCTTGGTCCGGGTTTCGGGGTTGCTCGATTGAGTTGAACCGTAAGGAAGAGAAAAAACCCCATCACAATTTGGGGGGAAAAGAAGTTACCAGAAATGTTAAAAGTTCGTAACTACATTTGATGCCAGCTACTGCAGGTCGTGGATGTTGTCTTGGATTTGCGACTAAATTTCGCAACTACGTCTTAGTTCTATCGAGCCGTTTTCCAAGTCATCAAGTCCAGTTGTAACTCACCCGTTGATGCAAGTAATGAGCGCAGCATCACGAAATGTCAATGGAAATCCAGCCTCAAGTCATGTTTATCAGGGCAGGACGAGGAAAATGGCGATGGACATGGAAAAGCGCGTCTTTGGAGGTTCCGATGTCCACTTCATGATTATGCTGTTGCCATCGCGTAAACTTAATGCCGATCCCGGATGCTTTAGAACTAATGCCGATTCCTGCAAAATTATTCCCGCTCGCGATATTTGAATTCGTCTTCCCTCGAGGATTCAATGTCTGAGCAACATTTAAAATTCCCTTCTGGTAAATGCCCTTCGCTTCTCGGGTGCTGCACGCTTCGTTCTAGTGTAGCAGTGCTCAGATAGGGCGCAATCTGTTTCGATGAATCTTCGGGGATTTTGACTCGAACAATTACCTCGACAAAGTTTCTCGTCCAAATGTCAGCCCACCATGAAGGCCGAAGAAGGTGTCCAGCTGCCCAATCGTAATGAAGAAAAGACGGCAGGCTCGATTTTGACTAAAGCGGAGCCTGAGAAAGCTTCGAAACCGGAGCCCGTAAGCCGGGAAAGAGAAGGCGCAGTACAACAATCGTGCGGGAGGCGACAACCAAAGTTTTGCGACAACAGCATCCTCTCCTTTCTCCGCTGGTGGCTCGAAGACCAATGGTTCTTGGTTGCACTGGCATTTCTCATCGTGTTGGCTTCGCAGGTTCAAGTGAACAAGTCCCAGCAGGAGCTGAAGACCACGGTTGTTTCGTATCTGTGTGTATCTCTGATCTTCTTCCTGACCGGCTGCACGCTGTCGACACGAACGCTTCTTGAGAACTACGCAAAGTGGAAGCTACATCTCTTCGTCCAGGTTCAATGCTTTCTCATGACGAGCGCAGTTATCTATGGTATCGTCAGCGCTTGTGCCGCGAAGAAAGACTTCATGGACGCGGGCTTGCTTGTCGGTCTGATATTCGAGGGCTGTGTCGCAACGACCATATCAAGTAATGTTGTAATGACACGCACTGCCCATGGCAACACCGCGCTTACTGTGGTCCAATCAACCGTCGGGAATTTTTTAGGACCATTTATTACGCCTGCGTTAATTTCAATGTATACATCAACTGGAGCCTGGTATACGAAAGTACTCCCAGTAGAGAGAGGTGGTTACGGCGAAATATACCGACGAGTGTTCAAGCAGCTGGGTCTATCCATATTCGTGCCACTGGTAAGTCATTTGAGTTTGTTGAGTAAAGATTTACATGTTAAATTAGAGCAGGTCGTTGGGCAAATTTTGCAGAACTTGTTTCCGGGACCCATAAAAGGAACGATAGAACGTTGCAAGCTCAACAAGCTCGGGTCTGTAGCCTTGTTAGTTGTGATATGGTCGACATACGATGAAGCATTCAGCAGCCATGCCTTCGACTCTGTAAAGACAAGCAACCTGGTCTTTATAGTGTTCATAAGTATTGCATTGTTTTTCCTCTTTCTCGCCGTGACTTTTGTCTCATCAATGGCTTGGCTCTCGAAGGCGGACACTATATCTGTCTGCTACTGCGTACCTGCGAAAAGCCCAGCTCTAGGAGTGCCGTTGGCAAACGTTATGTTCACCGGTCTGAGCACTCAGCTTAAAAGCAAGATCCAAATGCCGATGGTAATTTATCAAGGGCTGCAGATCTTTGTCGGATCTTTGCTGACGCTAGTCTTTCGCAAGTGGGTCAAAGCGGATGAAGAGGTCGAGAGAGGCATGCGTGCTTGACGACAATGCGTTAGATTCTGATGTGAATACACGATCAAAGGATTTGGTACTTGAGAGTGGAGGAGTTTCTATTATGCTTCCGTCCGACATAAAGATAGATATAGCAGAACAGTTATGGATTTCCTTGCTCAACACGAGAAGTACATGAAGATACGTCATGCAAATTTCCATAGTAGAAACGCATTCAATGTATTAGATCACTATGAGATTCCCGCTAGTAAACCTTTTTCTCAACCAGTACTCGATCACGTTTGATTTGAGTTCTCTTTTGGAATTGTGACGCAAGCCTCATCTATTTACAATTGCCTAGACATCTCATAGACATATGTAAGTTTTCCTTCGTCGTCAAAGCTTCCAAACAATGCCACTTCAACAGAAGATTCTTTTCCCTCTTTATTTTTGACATATGCTACATGTCGGCTTGCGAATTTTCCCTTCGTCTCATCCACGACTAGATCGATCAACTCTACTTTAAGCTCCACTATGGCTGACCGGACCTGAACAAGGTGTAATATAGTGTCTTCGTAATTCGATTTGACCCCATGCCTGTTCTGAACGTACGACGGAGACAAGAACGCATCTACGTCGTTGCGGATGTCATCAGGACTCGATGATCCAACCGCAAGACACTCAACAAAGGATGTCACCCAACTCGCGTCAATTTTTGGCATACTGGTATGGTAATGAGATCTCAAACGATGTATATACAGCCTAGTGAGGCGTGTGTAAGGTTGCACGTGCTACTTACAATTAGTAAAAGTATTTCTGCGGCGGAAAGTAGAAGGACCTTGGTTTTCCTGTTTTCACCCGGAAAAACAATCTTAGAGGGGTGTAGCAAGCAGAGGAATGGGATACCGATATGGAATAATATAGCTGAAAGCCCAGTTCTCTCTGGTTCTGACCCTGTAAGTTCGATCGTAGAGATTCAGGTGATCTGGGATGTCACCTCGTCCTACTTCACATGACATCGTACTGGCGCTATCCCAATCAGGCAGTGCTGAAAGTGAAGATGCCAGTACTGATTCTATTGAACGCGAACACCTCTGCCGCCAATTCATCGGATAGGCGCGTCTTGAGAGATGAAGCCAGCGGATTTTAAACCCCATTCGAAGGTATAGCCAACCATTGAGACTAAAATTTCTTTGAAGACCAGCCCCGCCGCCGAACAAGGAAAGATAGCCGGCATGACGTGAAGCCGTCACGGACAATATAAGCCCCTCAAAACAGCTATATCTTCGACGCCTGCTTTTTCAATCTGCATCTATTGTTATCCTACAAGAATCTGAGAAAATGCTCCTTTCTGTAGCGTTGTTCTCTCTAACGACATGCATTGCTTCTGTGGCGGGACAGCACTGCCATCCAGTTCGATATATGCCGCTAGGAGATTCCATTACAGATATAGTATGCTGGCGTGCGTATCTATGGGATCGATTACAAAATACAGGATATGCCAACGTCGACTTTGTTGGCTCGGTTAGAGGAGAAAGACCAGGAGGCTGCGATGTGCCAGGATACGATAAAGACAACGAAGGCCATTCTGGGCTACTAGCTGTCCATACTGTTGCCTTGAACTTGCTACCGACGTGGCTAAGACAAAATCCTCCAGATATTGTCACTATGCATCTAGGATCTAACGACATCGGTCATGGCTACAAGATCGAGCAAATTCTGCACGCATTCTCGAAACTGGTCGGTCAGATGAGAGACGCAAATCCCAGAATGAAAATAATAGTGAGCATTATGGAAATGTAGATGCCTGTGCGGTATTTTCTGAATTTTGTAAGGTCGCTCAGATTCTGCCTCTCTACGCGATTGGCTTTGAGGCCAAGGTGCTTGAACTAAACTCGCGAATCCCGCTGTGGGCAAAGTCTATGAGCACGTCCGAATCGCCCATCATAGTCGTGGATCAGCACAGCGGCTTTGGACTTGCAGACTTCCGTGATGGTGTGCATCCTAACGATGCTGGAGATAAAAAGATGGCTGAGAATTGGTATCCGGCCTTGGTCGCAGCCGTTCATGCTGTCCAGACCGGACGAGAACGTGGTGGATTGCAGGAGCAGCTTGGTCATGAACGTCAATTACTTTATGAGGAAAGCAAGAGACGAAAGGGGGCTTGAAAAAAAAACACATTAGTCGCATAGGCGAATGGTGACATGGGCTAGTTTGATGCAATCGTCTTGGTGATGTCCAAATTCTCCCATTCATCCCCTCTCGGGAACCCAATGTGGAAGCGACCCGTTACGGCCCAAGCAACCTCCACTTCGCCCTTGGCTTCAAAGTCATCGAAGCTGCCGCCGCGTGACTCTTCATTATCAGGAGCGTCGCTGAGGAAGCAACCGTGGACGCCGCATACGCTAACGCCAGCAAAGCTTTCAGGCCCTATAAAACCGAATATCGTTCCTTTGACATCCAGCAGATCATCATCGCCTGGGTTGCTTGTGCTGTGATCCGCTTGGTCAGGTGTGTTGATGTTGCCCTTGAGCTTGATTCTTGCAAACTCGCCACGGATTCTGAAGGGGATGAAGGAGTTTTTGCCACCCGCGCCATCGCCTTGAGAGCCAAAAACATCAAGGAGGGCATCTTTGTCCAGAGATCCGTTCACTGTAAGCTGATATTCTGGCACGAACTTGGTGACTATGACAAAGGCCAGGCCGGCATCCGCTGGGGCCTTTTGAGCCAAGTTGCGGCCGTCCTTGCTGATTTGGTATGCTTTCGAGTCGACGAATACGAGATCGCTGTTCGATCCTGCAAGAACTCCAAAACCATGAGTGCCATAGCCTTGCAAGTGGTGGACAACGGGTCCGTGGCTTGAATATCCGGCTTGCAGCGCACCGGTTGTTGAGTACTGGAAGATGTCATTAGGGATCTTGGCTGCCATGCTGCTTCTTAGGCTGAATATAGAAAGTTTAGGCACGGTAGAAATGAGCTGATTCGATGAGGAAAACGTTGAGATGCTTCGAAACTAGTGTAAGACAAACGGCTCGGTCGATGAGAAGCCGCGGCAGTGTCTGGTGCGGCCGTGGTGACAACGCCAAATCGGCAGCCGTGAAGGTTCTGGGAACATCCAGGGTCGTCGTTTCCGCATACAGCTCAAAGCATGACTTCATCACCCCCGCTCATGTGCAACGCTGGCAGAGGACAAGTCTACGCAAGAACTGTTGAGACAGGCAAGCTTCAATGAGAATACGATGTGCTCTCAAGACCTTCTTCGGGCCCTGCGCACGCTCACGTCTAACGCCATCACCAAGGGCTGTGAAGCCGCAGTTGGAGAGCTCACGTGACAACGTTCATGTCGACGACGCTCCCGAGCTTGGTCACGGCGATCATGCCGATGGGATGAGAGTAGGGGATGAATGAATCTCATTTCATCATGTCCAGCTTCATCGCCATTTACTCTGGACTTGACATCACATAGCAGCGCCAACGAGTGAAGAAAACTGCCACGGTTTCCCAGCAATCCCTCTGACAGAAAAAGTCGTCTGACCCAAAAAGGAACGGTAACCCTGAACAAAAGGCCTAGCTGTTTCCTTTTACCGCTCGTTGGGGCCGCCCCAGTGCCTGTGAAGAGGTGAGTGAAATTGTGTGCGGTGAGGGAACGTCAGCAGAGTAAGCCAAACGTCACGGCTCGGACGGGGCGGCTGTGCACCCATCAGGATAGTCGAGCCATAGAAGGGCAACCTTTCACAGACAGCGTCGTATCTGTAGCCATGACAGTGTTAGAACAGGCAGCTCCACGAAGCAGCGCATCCTCTCTCGGTCGGCGCGAGTCTGCAAGGAAAGTTCGCAGACACACGGCTCCTCGTTCCTGCATAAGGCCTTCCGCAAATCTCGAAATAGTAGATCTTGCAGCGACGCGGTGGGCGGATATCGTCGTGGCTTCTCGCTCGGCGAATGGCAGTGGTGCAGACGGATTACGGTCATGAAGAGTTTGAGACTCCGTTCGAAGGCTAAAAGGAGGCACACTGGGCCACTGCCACAGGAGGCTGAGGCCTGTGGGAGAATCCAGCGTGCGTGGGGCTCTTCTGCCTCAGCGGGCGACGGCCTCGGGCCCGCGAGCCAGCCAACCTGTGCGGTGGACACGCAATGCGACCGTTCGTTGGCCCATCAAAATCCTGCACTTCTAACAGGTCGAACGGCGCTCTGCCTCATGGGTGGTTCAAGCGAGTTGCCAATTGCAGCCGCTCAGGTAAGCAGCTAGACTCTCGCAAGGCTAGTATCTCTCAGCCGCACAGCCAGCTCGTTCCCCACAACACCGTAACTCTCGGACGCAATCTTTGCACCCCCTCTGCCACTTGCACAAACATCTTTTTCCTGCTGCAGAATAGCCGCCATGTACATGATGCACATGGGCTATTCGGAATGGCCGCGTCTTGGTCGCCCACAGTCTTCCCCCACCAAGACCGACCTGACTCCGTGTCCTTTTTGTTCACCATGATGACTCAAGTCCTGGTGTTTTGCACCTTCCAAGCCTCTGGACCCGTCCCACATTCCCTCGTTACCGTTCATCCTGTCGGCGAGCTAGGGGAATTTGCCATAATCTCAGCCGATGCGGTCATTACTGCTGCTATTTCGGTTTGGACCCCTCCTAGCTTTGAGCCGCCACTTGAACAAATCGCTCCTAAGCCTTTCTGTAACCTTATTTTGACCTTCCTCAGGATATGCGTCTGCTCCTTTCAATTGGCTGTTCCAAATTCAGCCTTACATTTCATCGTTGCGGTTGTGGCTGACGTGCCGTCGCCGTTCCGACCGCTACTGGCCCCAGAATGCACATCATCAGCCATTTAGAATCCTCATCTGAGTCTTGAAAACCGTTTAAGCAGTTACAGTCATGACACGAGCTCGCACTCTGATGCGTTAATGCGCCTCCTGTCGTTCTACTCGTCTCGGCTCTGCTCTATCCGCTCTTCCATCACTGTGCTTTTGTGGCAGTGTGTCCAGACGACAAGCAGACATACGAGCCGGTATGTGCATGGTCTCAAGACCAGAAGAAACTGATAAAAGGCAACCTAATTAAGTAGTGAACTACTTATTCTTATACCTTCATACAACAATAATTATTCTTCATCACCCAACATATACTCGTTCTTTCCTCCATTACGTTCGATCACTCACTCCACAGTTTAAATTCTCAAATCGACATTCACCAATACCACATTGTCTTTCTCAGCTCAAGGTGTTGACGATTACTACCTCTTGTACGAACATCGAATTGCACCAACAATACAACGACGTTTCTGGATTCCAGTGGAAATCTTGGGAGCCAAATTTCGACAGTCTCTATCGCAAATGATATCGCAAATGACAAGCACTTCAGTCGTCATGATCTTCTTTTTCCAGCGGGGAGCTCTCTTTGGAGATGATGACCCTGAAGACGGCCGTGGAGGTTACAACTGATGTCGCTCTCGGCTTTCCTGACAACATGGCCATAATGTCCGTCACGAAAAAGGCTACTTTCACTCGTGGCTTAAAAGTTTGGCGTTGATATTGTCACTACGCTCTTGAATTATCTTTCACAGGCGAATCACCGAAGTCCATTATCCTGATTACAAACCGGTGTTGTGGGATCAAAAAAAAGTTACGATGTGTTTGTGCGTATGATACCCCAGGAGCGATTTTATCATGCAGCAGTGGCGTTTGGGAGTTTGGGAGTCTGAAAAACAAAGAGCGGTTCATTCCTCACATATCGGTTGCTTCATCTTCTTGAACATCAAATCCTCTTCAACCCACAGGCGTCTGAAAATGCTGTATATTAGACATTGCGCAAGTGTATTTCACCAAAGTCCTAGTCTCATACTCCTTACAAGCTTTTGGCTGCTTTATTGAACTTGAAGTCATTTCTCCCCCGTGTCCGCTCTTGAAATCTTTGATGCTACCCTGAAACTCACAGCATTTCGGTATGTTCCGTTTGTACCTCGTCAGTGGGCCCCAAGAGGAAAGTCACGCCGTGTACAAGAAAAGAAACTTCCCGAGCCAATCGTTATTAGAATAGGACTTGTATTTCCGCATATAGCTCATTGGCTTAAACGCAATTTAGGACCTGCAAGTTGCATTACTTGTCGGAGTCTAGGTGGACGCCTTTGGCACGATTCGGTGCTTTCCTGATCCAGCGTGAGCTAAATTGTCGCTTGGTTCGATTCAACTTTGATAAAAGACACGGTGATAGCCATATTCAATGCTCAAAGTTCAGTATCACAGACTCATACGGCTACCAATCCGACATCTTCGTGCGAGCTAAAGAAGAAGGGGTTGAAACTTGGAGGGGACTAAATTCCCTACGACCAATGAGTAGAAGGACGCGCAGATCTTCTTTATTCACGGAATTGAGCTCTCCTGCGTCTAGTCCATGCTTCAGTCCCAATCAACTTTACGCGAAGGATTTCGCTAGTCTTCAAATCATCGTCTTTTTCTCATAGGCTGTCATTGGGCCTTGACCAGCTGAATGCATCAGTCCTCATCACAGCGTACTGGATCAGTGTGCCTTGCCCTCCGGTAAGGACTTCTTGTTAGCAGAGGAAGAGGTTTGCGATTACCCTGATCGTCAACCTCTTGGTAACATTGCGGTCTTTGCATTTTCGCAACATTGGTGATAAAGAGTGTCCGTTGCTTTTGGAAATTCCTCTCGAAAACAAATTGTAGGGTGCGACGCGTGTGCTTGTCTGTGTCCGGAATCCTAAGCCATTGCATCAGCCTTGAGTGTTCGGCAGACGTACAAATTGATTGGATGGCTGAGAGGATATTCTTGACCAGCTTCTAGCATGCCTGCGTCATAGTTCGTGTAGAGAGCATTTCCAGCTCAACGACCCTCGATTTAGAAGCTCCGGACGCAGAGATGTAGAACGGATTGCCGAACTCTGATCCGATGTCCAAATCCAAAGCCGGTAGCGGAGCATTTCCGTGCCACCTCTCATGTGGGGAAGAAGTCAAGGACTATTGTTTTTCAATGCCGCCAATCTCGACGAGAATCACAATAAGAAGAGCGATTGGAAGAATATTGCCTAGGTTCAGTGCTCGAAGAAATTTTTCTACGCTACAATTTCTCAATATGCGCCTCTCATATGTTCCTGATCCTCCAAACTTCACCTCCGATGCGGACAATGAAATCGTACAGAGGATTCGGCAACGACGAGGCGAACGAGGTTTGATATCGTTGGATAGGGCATTGCTACATAGTCCTCCTGTAGCCAATGGCTGGTAATATGCACTATTCTGCTTCTTCTCTGAAGACAGTCCGGCATTGAATCTTGAATATCGCAGTTGACAATGTGCAGGAACACCCTACTTGGCGCTGTCCGCACCCAAACCACACTTTCGGTCTCCATAAAGGAGACGGCCATCACCCGCGTCGCAGTTTTGAATCGCGCTTGGTACGAATTCGAGCATCATGCGCCGTTACTTCTGAGAGACGGCGGGATGCCAATCGAAGGGCTGAAATACATCCTTTCAGTACCTGCGCGAACACGGCCAGAAATCAGCGCCAAGATTGGCATGGATGAGCAGCATGCAGCGGTGCTACAGTACACGGACTACATGACGCTCGACTGCGAGGTGCCCGACGATGTGTTTGCGAGGTTGAAGAGCCTGTTCAACGAACGTGAAGTCGTGGAGATTACCGCAACTGTCGGCGCATACAATTGCGTGTCGAGATTCTTGGTTGCTCTAGATGTCAGTGAAAGGAATGGGGTGGAAGGAATGAAGGAGTCACTGAAGCATGTCAGCGCGGAGTTGGAAGACGTAACACCTGCGAGTAGATAAACTGAGAAGAATAAACGCTGGGGCGGAGCAAGGCGAACAGTCTACTCGAAAAATCGTCCAGTTTGCCGAGAAAAATAAGTTTGTTTATGACTGTCGCATGGTCTCCTCACTTGCCATGCAAGGTATTCCCACATCAATTGCCTAACGCCGTAGCCCTTATTGATGCCATGATGCCATATGTGTCTGAACTATATTCGCACAGTCCCGCCAGCCTTCAAGACCAACTTCAACAAATCGGAATAGCTTTCATGGTACTCGGAATCTTCGACGGGCTTGCCCTTGCCCCTGTCTTTTGCTACCATTACCACGCTCGTTGGTCTTTTGGTGTTCCCAGCCATGCCCAGCTCGGCTCGTGATTGCACGTATATGTATGGAATGTTGTGATCTTCACACAGAACTGGAATATGCGATATGACATCCATTGGCGAGATATCTGCGGCCAGAATAACGATGCCAGGAGGATTGGTGGTGCCGCTGTTGGAGGGTGCAGATGTTTCAGTCTTGCGGACCGATTTAACAACCTCCTTCACGCCGCGCTTGAGGACCTTGTGTTTAGCCGCTGTACACAAACAACATCAGTATCATTCGGCAAACCTAGAATGCATAGGCACGTACCTTTCTTGACTGCTTTCAGCACCTTCCTGGTTTGCTTCTCATCGGCCAGAGGGTTCGCAAACGGTACCAGAGCCTCCTTCGGAATCGTTCTCAACTGCACCTCCTCATCGGCATCCACTCCATTGACTTTAGCAACGGCTTCAGAGCCACCATTTGCTGCTTCGGCATTGGTCTGCGCCTTCGCCTCGACCTCACTTAGCAGTGCGTTGATTTCTTTCTCGCTCTTGCTCTTTTTCTCCTTCTTCTCCTTTTTCGACTTCTTTACACCGTCGACCTCTGCGCGTTTTTCTTTCTTCTCCTTTTTTTCTTTCTTTTCTGGCTTGTCCTTCGCCATTGTGTCGCGTGAAGACTTTTCGCAGGTTTGCGATTTGCGATCTTGTGGTTGTGCAGCTTGGAATCTTTTTTTCCCGGCCTCGCAGACCATGCACTAGTCCTGTTTGGACTGGAATAACCACAGAGAATCACGTGCACGCACTTCAGCTCAGGCGACTTAGTGAAGTAACTCTGCATTACAACTGTTTTTCCTTTACAAAATGGGCTTTGTGAAAGTAGAAACTGCTTCTACAAATGAGGCTCACATGTGAGTGAATGCTTAGGATCACATTTAGAATCACGTATTGTTATAGAACATATGGAGTCGACGACATCCGCAAATGCCTCCTTACACTGCAATAGTATTGACATTTATATCCAGCTCAGAGGTATTCGATTCTTTAAGTTGGGAGAAAAGGAAGAGATCAGAATGTTTTCCTAGAAATAATCAAAGCTAGAAATAATTCAATGCATGTAAATGTACTCCATGTTGCTATTAACAAAGAAATGAACGCATCATGTTGACCGTTCATCGAAAGTAATCCCAATCACCGAGAGGGTCAATAATACCCGAAGCTTTACGCATATTGCTAGGATAGTGCAAACCCGTTTGATATTTGAGCGATTTTGGCGTGTTTTACTCAATTTTGAGTCGCGATTCAGGAGCATAACTATACAAGTCATCCCTATTGCAATCTTCCTTGCACGCCTTTGGTCCGTCGCTCACTGATACATTTCATGCTCTTACTCTCTACAAAAATAACATTTGGTCGATATATCGATTATCATGCGCATGCTTATCCATCAAACCACAAAGAAGTCTCATTTAAATTGATCCAATAATTCATATTTCGATCGGATGTTGATATCAAGACCCATGGCCTTGGATCTACACAGCAGGAAGGATGTTCTCATATGTCTATATGACTAAGGACGAAGGTCGAAGGAGCAAACTCATTGCGACAGCAGTGAACATCCTGGAGTTAGACCTAACTAAAGGAGACAGTGCCTAGATTAACTCTGCATGAGACAGGGATGCACCACTAAAGAGCGATAATGATGAAGAGAGATCTTACACATGAACGAATGCGAAGCGTCGGAGATAGGATATCGCCATCGTTGAACATACAATACGTCCGAACCAGAGTTGATGACAAAAACACACACGCTAAACCTGATCCAGCGCGCTACTCCTCGGCCGAGCTTGGTAATGAGCTCGAATTATCTTCTGCCTAAGGTTATGATTTCATTATATTATGAGCATGTTCCTATTGCCCGTGAGAAGCTTGAAAAACACGCAAGGTATATATTCAAGCATCCGGCGTTTAAGATTATCCAGACGAAGAATTACGACAATGACGAAGTTCGACATCACAACAAAATACAAAATGAACTCGGGATATGAGATCCCAGTTCTGGGCTATGGCGTAAGTTTCCTGTTGATAATCTAATCCAAATCAATAAGCAACAGTCTGTACTTTAACAAAAAATACAACAAAACCACTCATATGAGACTTAGGTCTACCAAACTCCAAGCGCTATTGCTGAAGAGGTTGTGCATCACGCAATGGAAGTTGGCTATCGTCATGTAAGAATAATAGCCTTCATGCTTTGACACTCTCAAACTAATGTCATTACAGGTTGATTCCGCTGTTGCTTACAAAAATGAAGAGCCTTCTGCTGCAGGAATGAGAAAAGCTGGCATTCCAAGATCAGAGCTATTCTTCACAACAAAGGTTCCCCCTGGCCAAAATGACTATCAAGCAGTAAAAAAGCATATCGAAAATACGCTTAGAATCACGAAGCTCGATTACGTTGACCTGTACCTTCTGCATGCTCCATTTGGTGGCAAGGATGGAAGACTAGGTGCTTGGCGGGCTCTGGTGGAGGGTGTAGAGTCTGGGAAAATTCGAAGCATCGGAGTTAGTAATTACGGTGTACATCATCTTGACGAGCTTGAACAGTATATCAAGGCTACAGACGCGGCGCAAGGCAAGGGTAAGGGTGGGATACTAAGCGTGAATCAGGTCGAGCTTCATCCATGGCTACCACGGAAGGATATTGTAGAATGGTGTGAAAAAAGAGGAGTGCTTCTTGAGGTAATATAGACAGCACGGCTTTGATTGCGAACACTGATCAGTCCTGATAGGCATACTGCCCTCTTGTGAGAGCCCAAAAAGCCGAAGACCCTCTGCTGCTTCCTATCGCAGCAGCACACAACAAAACAACGGCGCAAGTTCTCCTTCGGTGGAGCTTGCAAAAAGGTTTTATACCACTACCAAAATCAGTTACCAAATCACGCATCGAGGAGAATGCCGACATTTACGACTTCGAACTCTCTCCAGAGGAAATGCGAAAGCTGGATCTAGATGTCTACGAACCATGCGCTTGGGATCCAACAACAAGTAGAGACTAGGTAGCATCAAAAACTCTGTTCGCTCTTGGAATTGAAATCAGGTTGTGCAGTTTTCCGTAAGAAATAAAGGAACAATGAACAGCGTATGTAAAACGGCTGAATATTCTGATAAAAGTGCAGTTTGAGTCTAAATTTGTAAGAGCGCACTAATGCCATATCCTGCACCGAGTTGCTATAGAATTGCTGTAAGGCGTGTTACATTTCTCAAGTGTCAAAAAAAAAATATTCGTATAAGGATCATTCAAGTCGTAGTCAGCATAGTCTATAAATAGGCCTGGCAGTCTTTGTCAATCCCATAAAAAGCTAATATCCTGGAAGAATAAATCAGGATAGAACGAAGATATATTAAAAACGGGAATATATTTAGCCGCTTGGGCGTGAGGACACTGTCTGGCTCCTCAAACGACAAACTGTCGTTCGCGAGTCACAAAAGGCCAGGTTCGTGATGATGTCATCAAAACCAAGTGGCCAACTGTCCCGCCTAACTTACGCAATGCGGCAACGTCTAACTTACATGTATATGCTCAAAAGTCTGTAAAATCGATTCTCGAGTTTTCCGCAACAGATATGGCGAGCTTTAGCGATCTACCCCTTGACATCCTTGTGCTTATCTTCCCCTACCTAGATCCGAAAGAATTCTTGAATCTTTGCAGAACTTGCCGGTCTTTAGCACAACCAAGCATTCGCAATGAGCCCACGTACTGGAGCTACCAAGTCAGAACTAAATTTCGCGTGCCAAATCGGCCTGCTGTACAATCAGACGGCCTACGCTGGGAGAGTTTGTACAAGCGATTGCGGACACAGTCGAGGGTGTATACTTGGGGGCAAAACACCCATGGCTGCCTGGGTAGAGACACAAGTTCACCCGCACGAGCCGTGGAACCAAGGAGAGGTCGCGGTATAGGCCGACGGCTTCCGTTGCCGACGCAATCTCGAAGTAGTCAACTAAGCACGTGGCCAGGAGAGATGCTCAAAGCTCGAGAGATCAGTGTAGTCTCTGACTTGCAATGCGGTGGATGGAGCACCAGTTTGCTCACAGATAAAGGCATCATATACTCGGTCGGAGTTCTTGACGGCTTAAATCAATGGAGCTCAGCTGAAGAACTGCGTCCACTTCATTTTGATTCTGTCAACAATGAAAAGCCTGCAGCTCATACCACCATTCGGCAATTTTCTTCAGGCAGAAGACACATTTTAGGTCTCTCGGATGATGGCACCATCTGGAGTTGGGCCGACATCAAACGACAAGCCTGTAAAATCTTACTCCCTGACCTCAATGGCACCGTTCGTAGTGTAGTAGCAGGGTGGGACAGGAGTTCCGCATTGATTCGAGGGCTCGGTATTGTGTTGTGGGACACTGTTCGACCTGGAGTAACAGAGCGCGCGCTTGATAACTGGATCATAATTCCAAAAACCGGCTACAGACGAGCCCGAGGCATGCAGAACCTTTCGAGGCAAGCCGATGCCGTTGCTGATGCAATTGGAGAAGTAATAAGCTACATCGTGCTGGAGAATTATGTCGTTTTTGTTACAGACACTGAAAAAGTCTTCGCCTGTCGCTTCAAACATGACGTAAACTCTGGCATTATTCACGATACGTTTGAGCTTACTGACTTATCGATCAGCGCTAAGGATGTTCAAGGCTCGTTCAGGAGGTTCGCAGTATTCAAAGGCGAAGGAGAAGTGTTGATCGCGGACCAAGATTACCTTGATGCCTGTGCACTCCAAATATCTCAACAAAGCGTAGCGACCATGCCGGAAATTATGGTCGTACCAGCATTACAGAATTCAGGAGTTATTCAGCTTGCATTTGGTGACTACCACTACCATGCTCTGCATTCTGATGGAAGTATCTCTTCCTACGGTGTCGAACCAGGAGGCTCTGCACTAGGTCTAGGTGGAGCAATGGACATGGGATTGCCTCATGGAATGCTACGTGGCATCAAATACAATCCATGGAACCACGACGGTGTGTTATTACCTCATGCTTATGCAAGAGGTAGACGAATTTGGTTCCATAAGGAACAAGAGGCTTGGGTGCGGTTCCTTGCAAATGGTGGCAAAGACAAGGATGAAGCCAAGGAGCGCATGAGACAAGTAGGAAGTATGCCAGCGGTGCAAGGTGAAGTCAGTGAGTGGGTAGAACAGATGGGTTCAAATTGGCACAAGAGGCCTGAGGTACAGAAAGTTGATAAGGACGGACTGGGTGCGTATTTCGCACTGTCAGTTGCTGCAGCTGGTTGGCATAGCGGATCTCTGCTTCTAGTCAATGATGCTGTCGTCGATGCCGTGAGAGAAAGCTGCCTCGAGTCTATTCCCGGCTATCCTCGGGATGATGAACAATCCACAGCAACGAAAGAGTCCAAACTGGCGCAAAGTATGTTCTCATCAATCTGGAGTATGGCAAGAGATTACTTAAGCTTACGAGTAGCCCCAGCCGGTAACCAGGAAAGTCGCAACGACGATTCCGAAGACAACGAGCAAACGATATTACCTCCCAAAGGAAAGCAATGGATCTGGGTCAATCAAGACTTTCCTCGCTTGAGGCTTGATGACGGATTTGAGATGGAGGGCCAAATCGGGTTCACGGAATGGAAGGAGCCAAAGCCTGATTGGAAGCTGCGATGGACTGGAGATGACAGACGAGTTTTTGGCGTTTCAGGTTGGATTTTTGAAGAATAGACGATCAAGAGCGTCTGTACCTACCCTTTCTCCTTGATATCTCAGATCTACTTTCCATGAAAGATCAGCGATCGTAACATTGCTCCATCCCTCGTGGATGTCGAACTCACCCTCAAATTTCCAGCTTGAACAACTTCTTAAACCCCACGCGTAATGAACCAAGTTTACCAATGCATTACTGTAAGGGATTATCGCAGAACTTCCCGCCCCCAATGTGGTGTCAATTCCACCAAACAAAAACATGTGCCCCGCATGTACGTGTTGCGGCAAATGTCAGTCCCACGAAACTTGCTCATTACCATGCCAGATGCGGCAACGGTAAGCTATGCTTCTCGGATCTCGCTATATTCGTACTTTTCAGGAGTAAAACCTGGGATCTGATTGGAACAATCTGCGGAAATCGGGAGCACTTGGAATGATTACTAGCAGGAAATTTCTCTAAGCTGTGCGCAGACCGCGCTTCGGAACGAACAGCCGTCAACAATGGTCAACAAAAAGTTCGAATCTTTGGCTGATGCTCGTATCAAGTTTTTTCGTACTGGGCACTCTATCTACGTTAATGTGGGGCTCTGAGTGTATAAAGCAGCGTTCTTGTCCTCAAGCCAGCTGAAGCTTTATTAACACAAGATCGAAAAGCCCATTGAAACTACGCCTTCAATCTGATTTCAGCAAAAAATTTGCTTAAAATACAGAAATAAAGCACTAAAATGGGCCCATGCACCTGTGCTTCCGACAAAGGCTGCAACTGTGGTAATGATTGCAGCTGTTGTGAGTGTTGAGTCACCAAATTATGATGAACAGCCACTGATCCAAACAGCGCACTAGAGAATCAATGAGAAATTGAAAATTTACAACAATGAGAGGAGAATAGGTCTACGAGTTGAGTATTTGGGTTTTGGAATGTGACGCAAGCAAATTGCCGTGTTCGTCGGTTTTATTGCACGTTCAGATAAATTATGATTGAAAACGGAAGATAGTCTGTACGCAAGGTATCTCACCACCTCAGTCGGAAAGGACTTTAAAAGGAGAAGAAAATGTTCTCCTCCTACATATCATTCTTTTCAGTACAGAAATTTTAGGATCAATATTTCGAATTATACGGAATCAAAATTGAGAAGTGTTTTCTAAATCATTAAGACCTCGCCTATGCAAACCAGAGAAGAGCCTATACTATACTCGAAATTCGTTTCTTATCGGAGCCTACCGGTTTCATTCACCAATATTTGGTCTCTAGCTTGAACTTTGGTTTGTTGGCTTGATCAGTGGAGAACATAAATAGCCTCGCAAATCTGCATATATACGAAATGTATACATGAAGCAAACCGACTGTTCTTCAAGGTACGACCTGGTCTATGACTGTAAGCGAAAGTTCATCATGAATCTCTGTTCCTCAATAATATAGTTGTACGCCTGAAAATTTCGAACACAGAGTGTAAGACTAATGTTTTCAATTGGAGTAGACAAAGCTACACGGGTGCGTGTGTGTCAATTCTAGTATCCAGTATAAAATCATCAAGCTGGGCGATCCGAGTGTATCCTATGTCAGTCATGGTATTTCGATTTCTCTATTCTTCCTTCCATTTAGCGCGAAGCTTGTTCGAGAAAGGTGAGCTGAAACCTCGAATTTGCAGCAGTCAAATGTTTCTAGGCCGAGTTCTGACAAGATGGCCGAACAGCAACGAATGGAAATGAATCGAAGTAGGCAGTCTCAGTCTAATAAATGGTAACATTCAGAATAGCATATTTCAGAATCCTGTTTTGACATTGATTTGGTTGCAAAGAGGCTGAGTTAGAAATGATACTTTGCATAGATAAAATCTTATAGCGGGAGACGAGTGGTCTACACATGCGGCGACGATATCAATTAGACATAGCGAGTTGGACTACGGAAGACTCGAGTGTTCGTTTGCTGGATGCTGCGATCCGAATTCAAATGGAGGCGAATTATGTACATGTTCAAGGCAATGAAACGGAGTATTCGAAGCCAGAAGGTGGCTTGTATTTGATCATGCTGATTATTTACGGGCATTAAAGTTGTTTACTTTGGGCGAGGCTACCTGAAATCAAATTGCTAACATACGCTTAAGATCGTCAATGAAGCTGCGAATTTTAAGAAATGAATTAATGGAAAACAGACGGACCCCTACGACACGTGATGCAACACCGACTTCCTACAACATTTTGGTCTGATTGCAAAGAGAAATCCCCTCAACGTTGAATTTGTAACCCAGAAAGCTGACATACGTCAGTTCTTCATTTCCTTAGACTGTATTCTGTGCTATTCAGCTCCGTTATGGCGCTTACAGAATCCTTTGCTGAAATTAAAAAATCTGGGGTTGACGGCAGGGGTCTTTTTGCATCGAAAAGCCTCAAGGCAGGCGAATCAATCTTCAGGAAAGCCCGACCTCTTGTTGCTGCATTAGATGTGCCTCGACTTGAAGACACCTGCGTCAACTGCTTCAGAACTAAGCTAAGTGAAGGGTTGTATGACGAAGCAGCAACGTTGGAGATCAAGAAATGCACGGGATGTCGAATCGTAGCATATTGTGGCAAGGTCGGTTATCGATGTGTGTAATTATTAGAATGGCTACTAATGGTCATTTTTTAGTCTTGCCAATCGCAACATTGGAAGAGATGCCACAAATACATGTGCAAGATCTTGAAGGAATCCCAGGGAATTGGACCCCGTCCGAATGAGAATCAGCACAACTCCGGCGTCATATTCGCGTTGATGGAGATAATTCAAACACGCCAGAATATGAGACTGTCTGAGAACGATTGGATTGCCATGCTTCAACTCAAGTCTCACGCGAAAGAGATGAAAGCACAGGATCCAAGGCGATATCATGAAGCTGAGACGATTGCAGAAAAGACGCTGATGTACCTCAATAACCCACCCGACTACGCCAAAGACTTCACCACTCTAATAGCTTGTGCAATACTCACCAACAGCTTGACACTGGTCGCACCAACATGTGATCCTCTAGGCCTCGTCTTTGACCCTTTTTGTTGTCTTGCTAACCACTGCTGCGAGCCAAACGCTTATGTCATGATGAATGGCGCAGAAATTTCATTTAGACCATTAAAAGAAATCTCAAAAGATGAGGAAATCTTTGTCTCGTACATTGATAGCACCGAGGCAATTAGCGTCAGGCAGTCTCAACTGGCCAAGCGATACTATTTCACTTGCAAATGCACAAAATGTGCGCGCGGCGCGACGTCACCGCAGGACATTTTCTTGACACCGACTTCTGAAGCCCGACAAGAAATGAAGAACGCAGTCGACAACATGCAGCAAGAGATGTCCAAAGCAATAGCTTCGATGAAAGCGGCATATAATCTAGAGAATTCACAGTTGACACAAGGTGAAATTATCGATTTCTACATTCGTAACAAGCTCTCGATAGCAACCGATCTACAATCATCATCCAACCGTCTTGAAATGCTTCGTCATATCCTGGAAGAATGTCAGAAGTTTGGGCAATACGCGATAACTCGGCAACCGTATGCCGCGGCTCGCAACGAATATGTCTTGGAATGCATATGTCAAGGAGAGTTTGAGACGGCGTGGTTACATGCAGTTCGAAGCTACATTGAAATTGATCCCCTGCTTTACCCGGAAGCTCACAACCCTCTTCGAGTAGTTCATACATTCCGGCTAGCCAAACTGAGCAATTTTCTGGCGTCTGAACCTCACGACAAAATCCAGACCGTCATAGGGGTTTGTTCGGAGGCCAACCTAGCTATACCCGTACTTGCATGGAACTGCATGAGAGAGGCTTCTCAGCAGGTGGATAAGAGTCACGGAGCTGATTCACCTTTCACTCTAGCTGTTAAATCAACATTCAATACAGCTGTGGCGGAGATTCAGAATATAGCACCGGGCGCGATCAAGCAAATCGAACGGGAGCTAGGCAGTCTGCACCCTTCTTTAAAAAAAGTATCTGCGAGCCTGCCATACTGAGCCATCGCGATCTTTTCCATCTTAGACCGGCGAGATCCGCAGTCAATGGGGATCTAGGATACTGGGGCGCGTGTCTTGCGAAGGATTCATTCTGCATGCAGGCACACATCTACTCGATTGGGTATTGAATGCGAGACCAGATCTATGTACTAGGCTTAACGCTGTATGCTCTGCAAAAGTGAGGACTTCTGCCGTGAGTGTTAGCAAGTGAGGGTGGTGGAACTCAACGCACCTCTTTTTTTTCTTTCCAAGGTCAAGTTCCTCGGTTTCTGGAATTCTGAGGTTGGCGGGGTCGATCGGACGGGCGAGTGATCTTGGTTCGAGGCCACGAGATCTCTTTAGTCCCGGATGATGCTCCTTGCAAGCGTGCGGATCCTTGACCGACCAGGATCAATGGGCGCAACGTCATGTAGTCACGTGGCCTCGCCTTTTCTTCCCAGAGTAACTGACGGTTCAACGTCGCCCGAAAATGGACAAGTCAAGAATAAAAATGCTAACTAGATGTCGCTTTTGCTTGGCCCGCTGTTGGTAGCCCCTCATTTCTCGCGATGCTTCTGCGGAGAATAACGCCGATGGTGAATCAGCTCCGTGGCAGCAAGCAGTTACACCGGTTTTCGACCGTCTTCGAGGCATTTGTCCGTTAGTTTTATACTCTCCATGCTTTCCACATGTTACCTTTCCGGAAGTCATACCGTGCACCGTTGTTCCCCGCGTTATGAGCAAGCAAGGAAATGCAGATATACAGGGAAGACACGTTGTGCTAATTCTTTAAGTTCGATTGCGATACGCGGATGATGAGATCGACTCAAGGTTTTTTTTGGTGTCGCCGTGCTGTGCACACCTGATATGAAGACCATGCCATTTTCAAGCGCTTGCTGCTGCTACCCAAGAGCGCTTTTTTTGCTCCAGATGACCAAGTTCTGTGCGGAAGAAAGGAAAAGCACTCATGGATATGACACGTACGGTGAGAAATGATGTCTATATAAATCCTCAATAAAGCCTTTCCAGAGATTCTTGTTCTTCAGAGATACTCGGGAAGAGCTTTTGTATCTTCAGATCGATCCACTGTCCAAAACTTGGGACAAAGCTATCAACATGAAAAACTTTCTCCTTATTCTTGCATTAAACGTCCTTGCTCTTGCTGCTCCAGTGGTTCAGGAACACAAGCGTCAGATTACTGACAATGAGTTCTTGGATGGTCCATGTAGAGACATCATCTTATTCTTCGTACGAGGGACATTTGAACTCGGCAACATGGTTAGCAAGGTCTCCAGTTACAAAAAACGGAAGTAAGCTTATAAGTCAAACAGGGTCTCATCGTTGGGCCACCGTTGTCGGCTGGGTTGAAGAATAATTTTGGTGATGACCGCGTTGCGACCCAAGGAGTGGATTACGCCGCTGGGGTCGCCACCAACTTTTTGCCCGACAATGCGGACCCCGTCGGGGTTGCAAACATGCAGAATCTTTTCAATGAGGCGGCAACGCGGTGTCCAAACTCCGTAGTGGTTGCAGGCGGCTACAGCCAGGGAGCTGCTATTACCCATGCAGCCATCGCAGGCCTCTCCGACTCAGTCAAAAGCCAGATCGTGGGCGTGACGTTGTTCGGAGATACGCGCAATGAGCAGGACCATGGATCAATCGAAGGCTATCCACAGGATGACCTCCTGATCATTTGCAATCCAGGGGATTTGGTCTGTGATGGAACACTGATCATTACACCAGCACATTTACTCTATACGCCGCGAGTTCCTGAAGCTGTTGCGTTCTTGACAGAGAAGATAAACGCGGCTGGTGTGTGAGCTTCCTTGAATGATGAAGCCAAAAAAAAAAAAAAAAAATCCGGTATATAGTAATTAGCTGCAAATGAAATACTTCAGATGCCAGAATCTGAAAGTTGCCAGTCGTTCGCTATTACGCAGGAATTCCTAAATTTGTGAATAGATATGTATCTTCGTCGGCTTTTGAGATACTTAAGTGGGGCCCATTATCTGGTTTGGCCAAGAGGCTAGGTTAGGCCTCCTGTGTGCCAAATTTTAAAAGGCGAAATCGTCTTCCCTGCTGATACAAGCAGTTAGGATCAACCCCAGCGGCGCCAATTGCTGACCGCTGAGACAACGCCATGGAAAGGCTCCTGAACAATCGTACCCCACGCGGTTTGAGGGGCGACTCGACTTCCTCGAACTTTCAACCGTCCTAGACCGTTCCCAAAGTTTTCCACAGAGTGCGACTCCTGGTGTGAAAAGGTCGCACAGAATGGCGAGGATGACCACCCCGGAAGACGGGTCGTTGCCGGCATTCCAGAAAACGATCCCGACGGTCCACAGACTGGACCACTCGCAAGCCCAGCGCGTCCTCTGGGCGCTAGAGGAGCTGCACGCCTCCAACGGCCTCAAGTACCATTACAAGAACTACCCTCGCGTGCAGCCCAAGAACCCGGACCTTCTCGAGGTCTCTCCTCTGGGCAAGAGCCCCATCCTGACGGTCGAGGACCTGAAGGGCAGGCCGGTGCCGAACATCCAGGTCGTGGACGGCGTCGTGATGGAGACGCAGCTCATCTTGGAGTTCCTCGGCGAAAGCTACGGAGGGAAGGACCTCTGGGAGCCGGAGACGGCAGAGGAGAGACTGCGCGACCGCTATTTTCGCTCGTTCGCGACCGGGACGATGGTCGAGCGGGTCGACCAGGCAATGCTCTTCACGGCGCTGCCCAAGCTGATGCCGTTCCCGCTCAAACAGATCTTCGGCCTTCTATTCATCCCTTTGGAGAAGGCTTTCAGGGCATATCTCGTCGATTTTTTTGACTTCATGGAGTCTCAGTTGTCTGTCGAGCTTCCTTACTTTGCTGGAAAGAAGCTAGGAATTGCGGACTTCTGTCTCGAATTTCCGATGAGCATGGCTGTGTGCCAGGGCTTTCTGGATGGGAAGAAGTATCCCAAAATTCGGGCATGGCATGACACAATTACATCACGAGAAGCATACAAGAAAGCAATTGAGAAGGGTGGTGGGAAGGAAAAGTACGATCTAGTGTCCTTTGGGGCGAAATGAGCTCAGAATAGGGCTGCATAATCTTCAATTCGAGCTTTCCTGACCGTGGAAGAACATACGATTTGAAAAGAGCCGATTGCCAACATTTGCATACTCTCGCATGGTTTTTAATCAGAATTGTCTACCATTCATCTTCAGCGTCATCGTCATGACCATAGTCGCCACCAGTATAGTATCCTCCATGCACATTGTTTAAATGATCGTAGATTTTTCTGAAGTCAAATTGCTTGCCACAAGCCCAACACCAATGTGCTCCGCACACACAAGTCAGATGATCGCAACCGGAGGTCTTTTGCGAAGGAATATTACAGCTCGGGCATAGCTTGACTGGTCTCGCACGTACAGCGAGATTACGAGCTGCAGCACGTAAGCGTTGCTCCGCTGCCGCAGCTTCCACAGTTGCTTCACGACGTGCTGCTTCTAGTGCCCGTCTTGCAGCTTCCTCTTCGAGTCGAAGACGCTCGTACTCCTCATTAACGCATTCTTCGCAAACAAAATCATCGATCTCTTGAGGGGCACCTCGCGCACAAGACCTTTCCATGTACTGTTTTGCAGCAGAGCATCGCAAGCACCAGGCATATATCCAGGTACCTCGGTCCTCAACAGCCTTACGAAGGTTGCCTACGGCATGTATACCCATCCCATGATTCGCGAGGGTCTTCGCTGTTGGCGCTCGGCGGCAGAATGGACAATTCAGAGTCGCTGGGTTAATTATGTGGCCAGAGGCATTAACGCCATACCAGGACTTCAAACAATCCTCGCAGATCTCCTGATTGCATCCGCGTCGTCCGCATGCCCGCCGCAGCTTGCTGCGGTGGAAATCAGAGAAGCATAAACTGCACGCAACAGACTCAGCTTGTCGTCGATCAATCCACGACTGCAGCTGGGATCGAATATCAGCAACGTTCTGAATTTGTTTGCCTTTGATAGTTAGAGCAGTTCCTTGCTTTAATCCCGGCAGAACGCGTATGTTGTCCAGGAAATTCTGCGGACCGACAGTGGATATGACCCAAAATAGAGACCTTTTGTTGAACGGTGCTTGGAGAGTATTATTTTCATTTCGCAAGAGCCATTGACTGCCATTTTCATTGATCAAGGCTTGAGCGGAAGTTTCCTGATCAACAATAGTCTTCTGTCCATGAGAGCAGGCCACGCACTGGAAACTCTTGGGTTTGCCATCTCGCATTTCACGAGTCCTGAACTCCATCGGCCAGACCATCCGGTTCATACAGGTTGTGCATTCGATCCAGGGGCAATTTTTCTGCTGACGACAATAGAAGCATTTAGGACGGACCCTTAGTTCGTCCGGGTTATATAGGACGTACTGCGCGCGGCATTGACGAGAGCTGCATTCGACCCATATGGCAGAAGTCGCAGAATTATCCTCTTTCGTGACATGGCTATGGATATATCGCTCTTTCATTTCAGCGGAACCATAGTCATTCGCCGCGCATATACCGCACAGATTCCTAGATTTCTCCGCCATGATGGTGACTGATCGAGGATACTCGCAACCACGACAGATCACAGTTGGGCCAATGGGCATTGCAGTCTTTTCTGGTGTCCATCCAACCCGGGCTATCAGGGTAGTATCCAGATTGACCTCAGCGAGCTTGTACGCGATGAGTTGCTGGAAAAGTTCTCGATCTGTACTTGTCAACAAGTCGATCGAACACCTTTCTCGCCACATATCATCAGCGTCAGTCAATAGAGAAAGACAGCTAGTGTTCCACGTTTCTGGAATTTCAACGTTGTTCCATCTATCTTTCCAAGAGAGCATCAACTTCGACGCTGCATCATATAGTGGCTTCATGCCCATCTTGATAGCCAATGCGGCTAAGACAGCCGCTGGGCGTTCCGCGAGCATTGTACCTGGTACAATAAGGTGAAGAAGAATGCGAAAGAGTTTGTACCCGTGCTTCTCGTTTCCTAAACACAAGGGTATCAAAGGAATATCTGCAAGCCGGATATGCGTCGGGAGATCTTCGCCTTCAAGAAATGATACGTTAGTCAATGCCTCTATAGTATGAGAATGAGGTTAGGGAACAAACCTTTGTTTACGTATGTCAGCTGTGTCAAAACCTTTCCGAGGCGTCGAAGGATTCGATAGTCGCAGGAACGACCTATCTCAAGCAACTCATCTCGCTTGAAGTCCGTTATGGTGCCTCCATCTTCGCCGACGCTCGAATCGTGTTTGAGAGTTGGGTCCAGGAAAACACAAGGAAAACGATCGTCGGTAGGCACGCTCTCGACTAGTTCTGCTATTTCCGCGCCAAAATCGTATGACTCTTCGAGCCAGGCCTTCATCCGAGACCTTTCGTTTTCATCTACGACCTTCTCCACGTTCAAGCTGAAGGCGTTCAATAAGTAATCGCGCTTTGGGTTTTGCCGGTCGTTGCAGATGGCTCGCCACAAGCTTCCAAAGACAGGATTGAGAGAGATGGCCGCAACATCGTTCTCAATAAGTTTCGCAATCTGTTCGGTTGCAACAAGACGATATTGCTCATCATTCTTGTACCGTTCCGCGAAGTTCATGACCAAAATGCGCTTCTTTGGCATGTACGACTTGAGGACTTCCGATGTTACATCTATTTGGGCAATGTTTCGTTCGATACGCGAGTCTGCCGCATACGAAGGACCCGTGGCCCAAAAGTAATCATTCGCCGTCTCATCCGTTTCGTTTTTCAAGACCTTTATCGTCGCCCCCTTTACGTAGCGAATCAAAACAGCAGGAAGTGCAGCAGAGGTAGTGCCAGCCTTCTCGACACCCATCCAGCTCAGAAGGACATCAATTGTGGTCTCTGCGATACTCGAAGGGTCTGATTTGGTCAGGTTGAAACACGCCCCGTGGGTCATGGAACTGAGGTAAGAATAGTATCCAGACTGCGACCTGGACGCTGCAAGAGTTGAGTCTAGAAAGGAGAAAACATGGGCCTTCTTGTCACCCCCGCGAAGGGTGTTTGCGGCTGACACCCAATCCGCGAATTCCGGAGCCTTGATTGTGTACATAAAAGCCGGACGAGTTCCTAATAAGTTGTGTTGCTCTCGCACCTGGTTGGATCCATGATCCTTTCCATTTCCATCTACAACGATGTGTGGGGGTGCATCAGTATATAGCAGCAAAATTGTGGTTGCATCCGCCCTCATTAGTTGGTGCGCTTTGGCAAGTCCCGTCTTCGTAGCTTCAGGGTAATCACCTCCACCAATTGGTTCAAGACGACGCGCCTTTTGCAGCAATTCGTCTGCAGTAATCGAGGCTTCGCCAGAGTGACCAGTCTCGTCAAGCCATCCTGACGACTCTAGCAGTCCGTTTCTCTCTCGGTTGGCCTCTGAATAGTCTCGATAGACGAGAAGACCGATGCGTGCAAAACAGTTCGTGAGCTGAGAGATCTGAATGATTTTTGGGAGGGAATTCTGCAACGCTACCAGGTAACTGGACATGGAGTATGTTGCGTCAACAAGCAAGAGAAGATCGTACGCCTCAGCCTGAGAGTCCATGTTGTATGGTTATCGATGGGTTCCCACTTTAACGATCTAGCCAGAAGTAACCCCAAGCTGCTGGCCTAGCATGCAATGACTGACTATAAGGCATGAAGAGGCGAAGAAACGTCCAGATTAGATACTTGACGAGAAAAGGAGTCATTGCGGCGGCCGTGGCTGAGTTAAGGGTGGCATACATCATTCTTATGGCTGCCTTTCGTCCATTCAAAGACACCGCGCATGCGGTGTTGAAATAGACTTCAATCTAACGCTTTTAAGGCACAAGTAGTCCTCAAACGTGTGAAGAATACGATGACAAGGCTTGAGGTGTTGCCTTTGTGGAAATTGACAAGATAAAGGCTTGCATTTGACGTGGAGAAGTGATGCAAGGCTCAGTGACTGGTACTTGCGACCCCTGCAGCTTCAGCTGATGTCATGCAGTCATACAAGTTCAATGTATGTTTTCGCCAAATGCTTCCCATGGCGGGGCATCTCGTCCGTACCTATTGTGATATCGCCCATTCTTGCGGATGTGGTTCTCCCCATTCACGACTGTTCGATGAAGTTTCATAGAGTCGCTGCGAACTCCATCAGACTTTGGAAGCCTCTGGCACTTCAGGGCATTCGAGCTTTCAGCATGAACTTCGAAGGGGCAGCGACGGAGCTGCTCGGGACCAAAAAGCCACCGTTCATCTACGGCACGGCATGGAAGAAAGATCAGACGAAGGCACTGGTCAAGCAAGCTATTAAGGCTGGTTTTACCGCAATAGACACAGCTGCGCAGCCAAAGCACTACCAGGAAGTACTCGTGGGCGATGCATTGAGGGAGATCCTGAGCGAAGGACTCCTGTCGCGAGAGCAAATATACGTGCGTAGTCCTCGTCCTTCCCATCTCTACTCTGAGCTTCTTTAAGCCATTATGTGCGTGCTGACCGATGCATAGCTACAAACCAAATTCACGCCTCCGGCTGGCCAGAACAAGACGAACATGCCGTACGACCCTAACGCACCATTGAAGTCACAAGTGCACACCTCCATTGCATCATCTCTAGAGAACCTCAGACCAAAATTCGATCTTGGCTCGGTGCAGGACAGCTACATCGACTGCCTCGTGTTGCATTCACCGCTAGAAACAATCCAGGACACCTTGGCTGCCTGGAACCTGTTCGAGTCATATGTTCCCCAGAGGATCCGCCGGCTAGGCATCTCCAACACTGATCTCGCCGTGCTCAAAGCCGTGTACGACGGATCCAGAGTCAAACCGTCAGTCGTTCAAAACAGGTTCTACAACCGCACCGCTTTCGACGTGGACCTCCGCGCCTTTTGTCGAGAACACGGCATCGTGTACCAGTCGTTCTGGACGCTGACGGGCAACCCGGGGCTGCTTAGGACGTCGCCGGTCGCGCTGTTGAGCAAAGATGCCGGCGTCTCGAAGGAGCTGGCGCTTTACGCGCTGGTCATGAGTCTGGGCATCGCGCCGCTGAATGGCACGACGAGCGAAGAGCACATGAAACAGGACCTGACGGACATTGCGAGGCTCAAGAACTGGACGTTTGTGTATAGCGAGAAGTGGTCTTCGATAGTAGCAGACTTCAAGGCCTTGATTGGAGATGCGTCGTAACGAGGTGGATCCGTCGTTTTGAATGGCACACCAACGACGTCCTCGAGACCAACGTTGGCGTAAATCGACGAGTTCTCCGCGAGGAAACGTACAACATGTCAGGTGCAACCCAAATATTCTTCGAGATGACAAATGAGACGCTCACTTCCACCAGAGCTGATCTTAGATTCGAGATTCGTTACGCAGATAAGAGACAAGACCAGTAAAACGAGCGCCAAACACGTGAGAGTCGTCCCCCTCAACTCGATAAGGTTAAGTTGTGTTGTGAACACAGGTTGCACACATCATACGGCGGTGAGCAATACCGACCCATGCTGCTCATTCACCCCACTACTCTCGATTTCGTTTACGCACTACGCGGAAATGAAGTTGCCAGGTGCTCGAAACGCGGCTGTGCTCGTATTCATATATATATATATAACCGCAGAAAGTTGCAAAGGACGAGCGAGAAGTAGAGTTCCTCATTGCAAGATGTCAAAACGGATCCAAAAGGGTCACGCACCACAAACGCTACGCTTCAAAGTCCACCAGGTTGACTTGGGGACAAAAGGATCGAGTACACAACAATATTTGTGTATTCACAGCGAACATCACCAGCCACTGATGGCAAGGGAAAAGGAAATAAACAAGTAAAATTCACACAGTACGTCACGAGCACCGTGAAGGCATCCCAGAGAGGACAGCAAATTTCGAGAAGGGGCTGAACGACAGCGCAGCGAAAGACTAGCCAGAAACTAAAACCTGTTACACCCCTCGAAAGCGAGACCGCCGGCACAAACGAAAAGGAGAAATAAAGAAACCAATATTACAAGAACGTTCAGAAAAAGAAATAAAAAATTCGAGACCAGGGAAGGACAGCGCGAAGGTTTTGCCAGTAGTCATGGGTCCAACCCACCCAAACGCGTGGAACGTCGGAAAAACGCCCGCCCCATCAACTTAAGTCCCCCCTAGAAAACAAGTGTCCAAACGCCACGCTTCTAGCGGCTCTACCTACCAATCGGTCGGTTCCCACGCTTTCGGGTCTCTGGCCTTTTTGCTCATCAGGATTGTAATTTTTTTTTTCTGAGGCGCGCTTTTTTGGCTCGCTCGCTGACCATGGTCATTATTCAAGAGGGAAAAAAAAGCATCGATAAGGAGCACAGCCGCAAGACAGGGCGCTTCACCTTGAAAAGTTGGAACAGCGCGCAACCCTCACGTCGGCGCAGCGAGGACATGTTTCCATCACTACGAGCCGTGATTTTGTGCTTGTTTTTTTTTCCCTCTTCCACTGAACGGCGCGGTGCGGACGAAGAAAGCAGAGGAGGGGGTAGAAGGCAGGCGGAAAGGAAATGGGGAGGGAACGGGAAACGGGGGTGAGGGTGGATTGGGGTGGGAGGGCGACGGAGAAACGTCGTTTGCTCGCCCACACCCACCACTCCTTTTACAACCCCCCTTTTCGTACTCCTTCGATACATACGGACGAGCCTTAGCCTCCTTGTGTTACCCTCTTCTTTTCCCTTGAGGGGGGAAGGGCCTGAAAGCATGAGGGGCATAGCGCCGCGTACTTGAATTTGGACGCGATTCGAGAGCCAGAGGCAAATGCAACATATAGGAGAGAGACACGGAGGAAGGGCGAGTACGGAAGAGGGATTTTGATCATGACGCGGTGGGATGTGCGGACACCAACGGGAAGGGGGGGAAGCGGATCTTTGGAGGTTGCGATGGGATGAAGAGAGCGAAGAAGGTCCAGGGCGGATCGCACACAAGGGAAGCGACCAAATGGGAACGTCTGAGATTATCCGTGTTTCTTTTCCTTTCCCCACCGTTTTCCTTTCCTAATTCACGTTGGCTCGTTGCTTATTTTCATTGTTCTTATCCCCTCCAAGCCGGCCGGCCTTTCGTGTCAGAACATAGCAAGTCGATGCGAAAGCGCATGCGTTTGTCCGTCCGGACACGATCCCGGTCCGCACCCACTACGTACATCGACACATCGGTCAACATTCATGTTCGATCCCAATGCTGGCGCTAGCCAACGAGGGTGCACTTCATCTCCTCTGTGCTTTTCGTACCGCTTGCCACGAACTTGTCGCACCAAGGTCATGTGGCGGATAGAGCGGAGTGAATGAGCGAAAGCGCCGAGGGAGAGGATAGGATGTACGTGGGCAGTTCAGTGTACCTGCAGATACCAAGAAAGCCAGTCTAAGAAAAGGTCTCCGCATCAGACCATCAGTCCCATCAGCCTCATCGAGGCTCAGACGAAGGGAGATGGAAAAAAAAAAGATTTCTGATTTCCCAGCATAAGATTCATCTCCGAGCGCGTCCGCACTGGCAATCGTGCAACACGCTTGCTTCGTTGTCACGGATGGCGAGCGGCGCTGGCGCCAGCGAGTCAGTCATGGAGCAAGAAGATGGAAGGGGTGAGGACACAAGGAAAGGGCCAAGGCACGTGGGAACAAAAAGTCTAAATTTCTTCGACGCGTGCTTTCTCATCATCGAACGGGCGCCTCGGACGGCTGCGAGATGAGCGACAGCGGTAGCGGTGGTCCGGGTGGCGGGCCATTGCGGCGCGCGCGGGGGGGGAGCGCGGGAGGACAGAGGCACGACCGCACGCGCTCACGGTCTGCGGCGTCCATTCGTTATTAGGGAGAATTTGCGGGGCCAAAGTGGGAGGACTGAGCAGCCACTAGCCCAGCGACCCCAAAAGAGAGAGAGGTGCAGAGCAGGTCCTCCGTAGTGGTTTGGTGCATTTGATTGTTATTGCCCAGCCGGCGATGAATCGTGCAAAAGCGCAGGACGCATGGAACGGCTGAGAAACGGCGCGGTCGTGTAGAGTGGAGGTGACGACTTGCACGAGAACAACACACGCCCTGGCCGTTGCCGCCAATGGACGCAGAGTGCTGGCCTTTGGCTTTGCTGGCGAGCACATCAGCAACGCAGCAGGCGGGTCACCTTCACGGTGCTGGAGGCGATGATTCGACAAGCTAAGCGCATCGCGAGCTCACTCTCGGCGGGCTTTGTCTTGGTGCAACTCGTGAGAAGGGTGACGGGCGCTCACACCGTTGTCGCACGTCGCGTACGTGCAGTGTTCGCCGGCACATCGCTCTCGTACCTCGGACAAGGACGCCCCTTTCAGTCGCCCGGACGTGACGGACGACGGAGCCAGCTGGGTGAAATGAGGGCTCGGGACGCATCTACCGACGGCGGGCAGATGCTGAGTCAGCGGTTATTTTGCACGTCCGAGCTGCCAGCCCTCCCTTATGAATGCCACCCCTCACCCCTCGCCGTTGATGGTGGGGTCAGGCTGAACGGGCCTGGGGTGGGAGATGAGCTTGATGATTGCGGCAGACGAACGAGTTTCATGCGTTCGCGGGGCCGTCCGTTCACCTATATCGCGGTCTTGTATACATGCAATCTCACGCCTCGCCAACCGAGGACACGGCGACGTTTTGTGCTACTCAATGCGTCGACGCAGGTGTTGTGGGTTGGAAGCGACGAGCGTGACGTGTGACGTTCTGCAAGGTCTTCTTCCGTCTTCTGGAAGCCGAGGAAGGGCTGCCCACGGCCCCGGACTCACGTTTCCATAGCTGTGACGAGGGGCAAGCAGTGTTGGATGGGGAGTAAGAAAAAAAAAATTTTTTTTTCCGTTGCTTTTCTCACGCGGTTTCTGTTTTTGGACCGTTGGCACGAAGCGCCCGACGCGAGTTTGTGCACAAGCAGAGCAGACGTGTCTGGATCACGAGCTCGGTGCTGCCACGTCTGGCAAGGCACAGAACGGATCGGTGCTCGTCGTACCATGTGCATACGTCCGAAATTCTTGAGCGAATGTGCGCATGCGTTGTTCAACTGGGGAGAAGCGAGCGGCCCTGGGGCTGGGCAAGGGCATCTCGTGTCAGGCCAGCTGGCTGATGGCCGGTGGTTCGACCGCAAGCAGCGGGAGCCGACGACGCACAACGAGCAACAGGCTGCCTGCCTCGCCACACGCTCGCAGTGCCTCAAGGGCGAGGCTGCAGAGGCGACTTGTAGCAGAAGCACGGAGGGAAACAGAAAGCGCCAGGCAGTGGACAGTGGTGGGTGGCTTCGTGCATGATGTCGGTGGAGCTGGCTTGGGACGATTGGCGTCCGGCGGAGCCTGTATTAGGGGGGGTGCGAGGAAGCGAAAATGACCAGGAGACGAGCGCGAGAAGAGGGCGTGGGCGTGCGAGGCGGCGAGAGGGGGAGCGCGCGAAGAGGGGGCACGAGAGAGGCGGAGGAAAAAGAAGCCAAAAATTAGGGAGGCGGGTCGCGGTCGGCGGCCAAGGTTGGCGGGCGCGCAGGCAGGCAGGCGGCCGCTGAGCGAGCGTCGGTGGCTCAGTGGCCGCAGAAGACCGCTCCCAAGAGCTCCCGTCGAGGCCGTGTGCGGTCGTCCCGGTTGCCGTGGCCCCTCCCACCTGTCTCGCCTCCTCTGTCCTTCCCTCCCCTTCGAGCCCCTCCTTTACCCAAACTTTCTTTGGCGAGGTACCTTAACCTACCACCTGCTGCGATCGTAGCTCAACAACCACGCCAGACGCGCCATCACTTCCCCTCTTCCCATTGTTTATCCATCTCCATCTTCAACCCGTCTGTCGTGACGGGGTCCCAAATTCCCGTCCGCGCCCACCTTCACCGCCTGCTCGCTCGTGAGAGTCTCCGCTCGCCCACGCTTCACACCGCCCGCCAGAGAATGCGATCGACCCCAGTGCCGTCCACCACAGCTCGCGATCTCCTGTCCCAGCCGTCAACTTCCTCATCCACTCCACGTGCGACGCGTTAGGCCCTCCTTCTCCCGCTACCGCACATCGTAGAAAGCAAGACCATGCCAGCTGCGACGGCAGCCATGGCGGGCACCCAGGCGGCGCCCCGGAAGGCCAGCGGTGCTGCGCCCGAGAAGAAGTACAAGTGCCAGTTTTGCAATCGTGCCTTCAGCCGGTCGGAGCACAGAAGTAGGCATGAGCGATCACGTAAGTCTATTGTGCCCACGCTCAGCCTGTCCTCTTGCTCGTCTCTCCTTTTGTTTTCTCTTTCTTTTTTTCCTGCCTGCAACTGAAGCGGCGGGGTACAAGGCCGCTTTGCGACTTGATTGTCTCGACCGGTGCGGAATTCACTAACGTTTGTCATGTCTCCGCAGACACGAAAGAGCGCCCGTTCAAATGCCAGAAGTGCAAGAGCACCTTCGTGAGGCGCGACCTGCTCCTGCGACATGACCGGACGGTGCACGCGAAGGACGGGGGCGTGCCACTCCAGAGCGACTCCAAGCGCCGAAGCTCGAACAAGACGAACGACAGCGCGAAGCCTGTGCCAGCCAGCAAGGACACAGCGACCCTCGAGCAGATTGAGGCTAGCAGCGATGACATGGTCGACATCGAGGCCGCCGCGATGTTGATGACCGACTTCCATCACAAGGCAATGGCTAGCCAGGAGCCGGAGCCGATTCCCGACATGACCGAGCCCATGCCCACCATGAACGGGAGCTCGATGATGGAGCCCACGTCGTATTCGAACGGCGCCGTGTCGCTACCCCAGATGCCCTGGGACTCTTTCATGCCGCGTAGCGTCAAGGAGCCCAAGTCCCACTCGATCGCCTCAAGCAACGGCGGTCGCGACTTGCGCTCTTCCTTCGACGCCAACTCGTCGCAGGTGCACGCAAACCATCATCTGCCACCCATGATGGAGCGACAGATATCCGGCACTGGCAGCGACACGCTTGGCATGTCTTCTTTCCACAACCTGCACAGCTCGCTAGGAATAGGCACGCCAGGCGCGCTGTCGCCCTACCCGTCGATGCTCGGTCCAGTCTCGCCTGTTGACTATCGGCGATCGCCTGGGCCGTCGCAACAACTGACCATGGCGAAAGCGCCCCAGCTTGACGGCGACGACCAATGCTCCAAGATATGGCAGAACATCCAAGCTGCTGACTCGGAAGGTCACCTCCTCGACACGTTCCGACTGCCCACCATCACGGTGTTGAACAGATATCTATCGACTTACTTCAACCTCTTCCACCACCACCTGCCGTTTCTCCATCCTTCGTCCTTCGAGCCCACCGAAGTGTCGCCTCCGCTTTTGCTTGCCGTCCTCTCGATAGGCGCACTGTACACGTTTGAGCAGGAGCAGGCCTACATGCTTCACATTGGCTCAAAAGTGCTGGTCAACCAGTTCCTGCAGAACAAGGAGAATTTCAGCTCGCGCAAATGCCCGCTGTGGACGATGCAGAGCACGCTCCTGAACATGATCTTTGCGAGCTGGAGCGGCGATCCCAAGGGCCTGGAGTGGGCTTGCTCGATAAAGAGTCTGCTGGCGAACATGGTTGCCGGTAACCGATACGAGCTCAAGCTGCGCTCTGAGGCTCGAGAAGGCGCTCAGCCCAGCCACGAAGAGTGGATCGAGGACGAGGGCTGCCGGCGCACATACTACGCCGTCTACATCTTCTTCGGGCTGCTGACGCTGACGTACAACCACACGCCCGCCATCAGTTTCAACGAATTCGACACGTTGGAGCTACCGTCGTCAGAATCGCTGTGGAATCTAGAGGCTTCAGTCGAAGACTCGTGGCGGGACAGCCTCAGCGCGACCCCCATCATAACGTTTCGAGAAGCGCACGACAGCCTCTTCCAAGGAGAGCGAGCGCGCTACAGCGCCTTCGCGACACGCGTCATGATCAACGCACTGTTCCTAGAGGTTTGGTATCACAAGAGAAGCCCTGAGGCCCTACAGGACGTGGTCACCGAATACAAACTGCGCCTCGCCTTGGAGACGTGGGAAAAATCGCTCGACTTGTGCGAGCCTGAGACGGTCGTCGTGCAGCTCTCCGCGCCGCACAAGGGCCACCCGCTCATCTTCAACGCGCGAGCCATGTATCGCAACACGCGCGCCCGCCTTCTCGTGGACCTCAAGTCGATTCAAGAGGCGCTACGGTACCATGACTCGTATGAGGTGGCCGCAGCCATGATCAACGCCAGGGAAAAGGTCAAGCGATCTCAAGAGATGATCAAGGTCATCCAGGAGTGTTTTGACTGCATCGAGGTCGCCGCTATGCAAGGGATCCGCTGGGTGGCCAGGACGTCCGCCACGAACTGGAGCGTCGAGCACCCACTTTGCGGCATGGACCTCATGGTCATACTCACGCTGTGGCTGTATCGGCTTGAGCACGACGACGAGCAGGCCACCGAAGAGGAGCTTGCCATGTACAACAAATTGCGCAACTTGTTCGACGACGACTCTGTCGATGTGTATGGCGCAAAACTCTCGTCCACGGTCGCACGACTGTGGGGGAGCATGATCGACGAGGTGGTTGTCTGGGGGTAAGTTTGCTAACACGTGCACATACGACCAAAGCCGTGTCGCCTTCGACGAAACACCTTTGTACTAACGACATGGGCAGAATCACCAAGCTAATGGGCGAAGCCTTTAAGCTGCATTCCCAGGCCTTGGTCGGTTACGAGGATGCGATGTCAGAACGCTCTGGCTCGCCGACACCGTCGATGGCGGCTCGTCACGTACCCGTCCTCGATATGCAGACGGCCTACTAAATATTACGCCGCTGCAGCCACCTGCCACTTGTTTTCTTCGTCATCCACGCGTCTCGACGGCATTCACAACCCGTCCAAAGAACGACTTGCTTTGTTTTTTTGCTTCCGGTTATCGTCTATTGCTTTTTGCTTCCTGTCTTCCGGGGGCCTCGTAATGAGTGCGTTGCGTTTTCTGTGCATTTGCATGAAGGGATTATACGCCAAAATAGTTATGGATTTTGTTCGGGCGAGAGGGACGCAACGGCCGATATAAGCGGCGCCTAGAGTGAGGCATGGTCGCCATCATCGTCATCATGGCCCAGGGTGGTGGAGTTTGTTTATTTTTTTGGCTTTTTGTTCTGTTTTGGCTTTGTTTTTGCTTTGGCCTCTGTTTACTTTCTTCCCCGCTCTCTATTTCTCTCTCTCTCTATCTCTATCTCTCTCGTTGCGTGCGATTCTTCCTCTCGTTGTATCTCTCACCTTCTCTGCTGGGCAGATAATTTTTTTGGGACGCCTCAAACTTCGCTTCTACAGCACACCCGGCAACGACCGTCATTTCACATCGGTCTCCTCAACATTTACACTTACGCAAAATTGTAATTCCTTCCTGTTTGCTCTCCTTGGATGAAATTTGGGGCAGTTTCTTTTATTATCCATATACCATGAGCCGCTTAGCGCGCCCTCCTCTTTCGATGCTTTCTGGTTCGTCTGTAGTAGTAATAGGAACAGGATGGGCGAATAAGTGGAAGAGAGGAGAAATAGACGAAGAATCGATACATCTTTTTTTTTCCGCTTTGCAAAGCTTCTGGACGCTCAACTCGAGCTTGAGAAGGACATGATCTCGAATCTGGCTCACGATAAGTGCAGGTTTGGCTTCTGCAGGCGCCAGACGCACTCGATCTAGCCTTGATCAACGAGGCCGTGTGTGATGGTGAGCAGGGCCATGTTTTGATTGTTAAACACTGCACCTCCTTCGTCCTCTATCACATCCCACTTCATTTCCCATCCAAGGTTCTGCGACAGAGCCTCATCGCGGGGCACGACAGCACGCCAGCAGACTGGAAGGGCAGACGGTGGTGGTTCCTGGCCCTTGCAGGGCTGAGATGAGCCCCCCATGCGCCGCCCGCCCGATGCAGCCGCCCAACGCTGCGTCATCGCATCGCTTCTGCGAGCAAACGTCTCCCAAGGTCCCCGCACCATCGGCTGCACTGTCTTCACGGCATTCATACACCCACAGGTACCGGTTTCACAGGCGAGGGAAACACCTCCCCCAACTGGAGCGTCAAGCTCACAACTTGCATCGTCTCTAGCCGCGCCGAAATGCCCGTTAAAAAAAAAAGGGAAAAGTCCGCTCCGTGGTGCGTTTTCCTTTCCCACGTTTTTTTTTTCTTCCCTGCGGATTCTTTTTAAGCGCCGAGCCTGCCCGGCTTGGACCCAACCACAGCGCGAGGGCTGCCTGGCGACGACCGTCCGACCAAGAACGGGTTGCAAACAGCGCTTAAGGCCGCCGCCGTTTTCCCCTTTGCGGATCCTGAGGAAGAAGGTGAGGCTGTGGGCCTCGACTCGTCATTGGGAACCGCAGAGCCATGACGACGTTTGGAGCCGCCGGACGTGCATGGCAACCGCCCGCTGGTTGCAAAGAGGCCTGGTGCCGTGGAAGGGCGGGATGCTCGAAGCGTTCGGTGCTGGAGACTTTGGAGATCGAATTCAGATATCTTTCCCCTTCATCTCGCTTCCAGGTTTGTTTCGGTAGGATCCTGTTCTTTCTCTGTCTATCTCCTAGCACTCCCTCTCCGTTTCTCTCTCTCTCTCTCTCTCTCTCTCTCTCTCTCTCTCTCTCTCTCTCTTTCTTTCTTTGGATTCGTTCTAATATCTCCTTGTCTTCCTTTTCGTGGACCTTCTTCAGCGCGTATCGGTGCTCGTGATACTTCCGCTCGGGCTCCTCTACAGCTGGTGCTGGAGTTATGGCTGATCTTGGGTGAGTGACGTTCGCGCGGTTCTTTGTGAAAAGATGGGGGGGAAAAAAGGCACCGATGTGGTGTGTAGATGTGGGGGCTGACGATGGACAAAACCGAATGCAGAGCCTGTACGATATGTTCATGACCTTTCACAAGAGAACCTACTCATACGTGTCTTGGATCATCGCGAGTTCTCTTGGCATTCCTGTCGCGGCGACGCTCCCGCCGCAGCTTCAAAGCGCAGTCCCTGTGTGCGCTCAGTTCTGTCTCACGGTTTTCATAGAGGAAGAGTTCTCCGGCATTTGCAACGAGCCCACTACGTTAGATTGCCTGTGTACGCACGTTGGGTATAAGGGATATGCATTGGCAGATCGTACGTGCTTTGACGTCGGGAAATGCCTTGGCTATCTCGCTCACCTGTAAACGACTAGGGATCACTCTCTGCATCGAATCGGCCAACTGTACAGGATTTCCACAAACTAATATTGCCCCGGTAGCAGCTGTGTGTACTCTGGTTCCGGGAGGCATCACGACCACGCATACGAGCACCGCAACACTAACATCAATAATTGCTTTGTCCACGACCGCTAGTGCAGCAAATAGCACTAGTGCCCGCGCGACTTTCACATCTACTTTTTCTCAGCCACCGTCTTCTGCGACGGGAATGGCACAGGTCTCTGCCAGCGCCGGGCCTGACGGGGTGTCCATGTCCGGTAAGGTAAGCCTCACGATGGCACAGATTGCGGGTATCACCATCGCCGCTGTGGCGTTGCTCATTCTCACGGTCGGCGTCTTCTCGTGCATCTTCTTCGTGAGAAAACGCAACAGAAGACTGGAGATGGAGGACCACAAGATCCTGACGCAGAGCACGCCAAAATCACCGGACATGCAGGACATGTACTTTCCGCCGCCTCCGTTGAGCCCCAACCGTAGGAGCAGGGGCAGTGGGAGATTCAGCATGATGCTGCGCTCAAAGTCTGGAAACTCCAGCGAAGAGGAACAAAGAGTGCAGCCGCCGGCCACAACGCTGCAGCAAAGGACGTGGCCGCGTTACTATCCCATCATGCCGGACGAGGGGATTGGCATAGCCACCACGACAAGTTATCCACAGCCGGTCGCGCCCGTCCAGCAAGCCCCGTACATTCCTGCGCCGACTCCTTCACCAATGCCAGCACCTGTCCCCTTCCCAGCCGCTACGACGTCGCAGCATGCAGTTTCGAGGAGCTCTTCAACAGCCACCCTGCCGTCATATCAGCCTCACAGCTCTTACAATGCAGGAATATCTAAACCTCAGCCACCGGCTCCTGCATACATACAGAGCCAGAGAAGCTCCTCGAAGAGCAGTCAAGGGACCGGCCAACTTTTGAGCAAGTCAAGACAGTCCAACGCGTTCAGCGTAATGACAGATATCGAGGAAGGAGAGCAGATAAGCTCCAGCGAAGCTAGTCAGGGTGAAATCGCGGAGAACTCAAGCTGTGAAACCGCATCAAATTCGTCAAAGGCCGCGTCCACGGCGACAAAGAAAGCGAGGAGGCCGACGCTGACCATAAACATACCGGGCCAAGCACCGAGAAACCCAAGCCTGCCACCTCCTCCTCCGGAACAGGGCCCTCCGACAAAGGCAGCCATGGCTCTCCCGGGTCCGCCACCTCAGCAGACTCTGCCAAAGCAACCCAACCTGAAAATTGCGACGTCAAGCAACCAGCAACAACCGTCGCTACGGCGGGCTCCCAGTACGAGCTCAGCGCCTATGCTGCAGGAATTGGCAGCGAGAGCTTCGGTAAGGTCTGCTTCGCGCCCAAAGCAGACAGGGTCAGCAGCGACTGCAAAGCTTATGCAAACTACTTTATCTCGACCCCCATTGCTCCGCGACGAACACGTGCGGAAGATTCCAAACTCGCCTACAGAGATCCTAGCAGCTGCTTCCTCGTATGCGCAAGCGAGAGGCCCAGCGTCGGAATCGAAAAGTAGAGAATCTGCAAGTAGTGCTGCACTTCCTAAATCAGACCACACGGCAGGAGGCGCCTCTCTCACGTCGGATTGCGAGCGTCACACGTCTAGCCGGTCGAATTCGAGCGGAAGACGGCCGTCAAGAGGACCGTCAAGAAATAGCCGAAGAGGCTCCGACGCATCGGTAACGTCATTTGAAGACGAGGGCGAGGATTCCGAAGATGAGACGCCACCGGAAACGAATAAGAGACTGTCGCCCGTCACAGAAGCTTCACCGGTGGCAACAATCCGCTATCCAAAGATCCCCCGAGGATCCAATCAGGTCGTACCTCGCAGTCCTGGAACGCCAAAAAACACCTCGACGAGTTCGCAACCTCAAGAACGTACACCGACGCGAGCCAGACCTGAAGTCGACACGGCAGCTGCGATTGCAGCCACACAGGGCATAGCCAACAAACTTTGGAAGACAGAGGTAACACCGGATGGAAGAACACTGCCCACCCCTGAGTGGACGGCCCGTCGGAGGTCAGAGAGCTGGCAGGATTGGGCTCAGAACACGCCGGAAGCATCGAGCGCGGGCACGTTGCAGACACCCCAGAAGCCGTTTGCGTCGGGAGAGGCCCCGAAGATAACACCCACGAAACGTGGCGACGAATTGTTCCTCGACCTGAGGTTCTCAAGCTCAACGGTTGGCCGTTGATTGACCCCTCACAATAGAGGTATTTTGAAGTTCGGTAAGCACAGATTGGTGACGATCAAGTGGAATGGGAGGCTCTCATGCCTTTTTTTTTTTCTTTTTAATTTGACCTTTTGTATAAACGTGACGAGCTACGAGGATACCCGACCATTCGCTTTTTTCTTCAATGTACTATTAACTTGTGGTAAGACGCGAGAGTATCTTTGCATATATCAGAATATACCCTCAACGATTGCATCCTCTCAAGGCACCATTACTGCTGCTCCATCATGTCGTCATCCTCAGCATTACAGATGCCCCAGTAGCTGGTTGAAAGAATGAACGCGCTGCAAGTTATCATTGGTGGCCTGATACAAGATGTTTGATAGGCTTGACAGGTCAGATCAGATGCCCAGAACCTGGCAGGACGCTTGATGGCAAGGCAAAGTCCTGCGACGTGCCAGAACTGGGGAAATATGCACGTCTGGCTCACCAATGGCTTGATTCAAAGCGGGGTGACTTGCAGCGGCGCGTCGAGCGTACATCTCGAACGCTGAGAGGCCCAGCAAGCGTAGATAATGTTTTCTTGTGATAGATCGTATGCGCTGCGATCCTACCAGACGACCTTTTTTGAGTCCGCAGGCGGCCTGTCGTCTGTCTGCACACTTGGCCGTGTCCCGTCCACAACTTGGCCAACACGTGTCGAAACGGATTCCCAACACCCCCGCGCCTCTCATCTGGCTCGACGCAGTCGAGGCTGAGAACTGTCCGTATATAGTCGCGGACGCGACGGGTCGTAACGGTTCGGCTCGCGCACGAGGTAAAAGAGAGCGAAAGAGAGAGAGAGAGAGAGAGAAAGATGGCCAACAAGAAGAGCAAAGCCAGGACGAAGGTGCGGGACGTGGATACGGTGGGCGGAGAGAGGCCACCAAAGGCGACGCCGCGGCTGTACCCGCGCGTTCGTCTGTTGAATCGATTCTACGAGCCCTTGGTGCTCCTGTCGGTCCTGGGGCGGACGCGAGGGGAGCATCTGCGAGCAAACCTGCCGCGGGGGTCGAACCTCGACCAATGGTCGATCAAGCACGTCCGGCGCCTGTTCCTCTTCAAGGCGGCGTACCTGTGCGACTTCCGGAAGGGAGGCGACACCGTCACCGCCATGGCGATCGAGGGCCGGCCGGAAGGCAAGATCATTTGGGTAGCGTCGAACACATCTCCGGAGCCGAAGATCATTCCCTTTATGCAGGAGCTGCTGTCGAGGCTTTCCCGCGCGGACGAGACAGACGCGGACGTGGAAAGGAGGGTGGACGACGCCGCCAAGTTCTGCATCGGGTTCGCGAGCCATCGGATCAAGAATTACGCGAGCTTCATCTGCTCCAAGATCGAAAAGTGCAAGAGCCTGTTCGAAAGGCGTCCGCTGCAAAATTCCAAGTGTGAGTTTGCATTCTTCCTCATTTTTGTTTTTGGAGGGGAAGAGGGGAATGTTTTCCCTGCTCAGTCTCTCCTTCTGTGCGTTCGTTCCGCTGTGCTGTGCTAAAAGGTGCATCCACGGTGCAGACATGCCGCTCTTTCGCTGGCTCGAAAACTTCATGAGGCTCAGGGACTCGTATTTTAAACTCTGCAGATTCGCATACGATCAGCGGAGGTGCGGAGAGATGAAGCTGCTCGAAGAGTTGTGCAAAGAGCCCGACTTCCACCCCGATCAAGACTCTTTTCACTTCCACTTCAAAATGCTGAGGCACTACGTTGGTCGTCTTGGCCATCATATAAAGGCCGTAAAGATGCTTGTGCTCTGCATGCCCCGGCTCTCGAATTTGTTCGACGGTATCAAGATCCGTCCCATACCCACGCCGTCGAGTTTTGAAGTTCCACTGACCGATGACATGACTAATATAGACCGCATTGTTATAAGACTTCTACCTTCTGGATCCGAACAGGTCGCACATTACCAAAGAACGCTCCAGGAAATGGATACGAAATTCAAAGTAATGGATCGTTTCATGGAGAAATATCAAGATCCCAACTTGAAACCGCGCGTCCACGCCGAAGTTCAGGTTGCGGCCTTTTTTGAGAACAGACAACTCAGATTCGAGGATTCGGACCCCTTCATCGCGTCCAGTAAACCGTCGTGCTATTGCTGTTTTCTCTATTTTCGACGTCACCATCCCAACTTTGTGACACCGCCTGCCCACCAGAATATTCATCTGAACTGGGGGCTTCCGGACTTCCAAGACGACATCAAGCAGAGGGACATACTGAACAGTATGATTCCCGATATCCGTAGAGACCTGTTAGATCAGATCGATCAAAAGCAGCCGAACCTATTTATGCATCCCGACTCCACAACTGGGATCACGGAGTCGTTAATGGACTTGTCTGACGAGGCTATGTCGGTTCTCGACTCGGATGACTCATCGGTCTTTGATAGAAACTCAGGCAGGTGTTCTGCAGATGAATCGTCAAGAAGCCTTCTCACGGATATAGTAGACAGCGAAAGTATTGAAACCTCGTCCCGCCCATTGAATGACGATGAAGATATCACAGCGACGGCAGATTGGCTTGGTCAACTGCAAGTGAACGATGATGACGGCGCGTCGGATGATAATTGGCAAGACTCATCTGACGGCGGCGGCGTACCACTTTAGAAGTCCAACTTGCATCTCTGTGTTCTACCTCCGGGCTCAGCTGTGAAAGACTTCAGGGACTACAAAACAGGTTGTGAGGGCTAGGCCAAGGCTTCCAGTGTTTGCGCCTTTATATATGTGCTGCTAACTTCTCATGCAGATTTCTTGTCGTCCCGAAAGCGGCAGGAAAATAGCTGGCACGCACCTGAAGATTCTCACAGTGCGTAGTAAGGACTGGTTCAAGATACTTTGAGAAATGGACAGATTTAACGGACACACGCCACGAGATAAAAGAACAAGATTGTAATGCTTTAAAGAAACCTACCAATTTGACTTCTTCTTGTTCCTTCTGGTTACGAGAATCGGCTGGTCGTCAAGTAGGAAAGAATAGCGATGACAATGTATTGCCGTTTCCATTATAAATGAACGTTGACGATGTGGTACATCTCATGTTCAATCTCCAGAGTTTGAATCCTTTTTTTAGCAACTGCGAGGAGTGAACATTCCAGTTGTATGGGCAGATTCACTCCGATTAACTGTGAGTCGATAGATGAGCGATCGGCGGCTCATGGATGGAATGCTTGAAGACTATCATAAAAATAATTGAAGGACGGGGGGCATCGGAGAAATGAAGCCCGATTAATGCGGACATTCGAACCACTTCATCAGCTGCTGTACTAGCATCGGGATATTTCAAGAGCTTGTAGCGGATAGCATGGGATGTGCTAGAGCGTCAGCAACAGTATCGTCGTGAGATGCCATGCAGATTATCTAGTGGCGCTAGGGTCTGACAGTAGAGCTGCCAAATGAGTTCCAGTCAATCGACAGATCAAGTAGTCATTCCCTCTATCGTCGACGGCGGGCTGTTTTGTTCTGGATGCATTCGGACAATTCCCCCGTTTCGCGCTTTTGGCAAGGGTTTGAAAGGGGCGGACAACGTGGAAGCCCTGCTCGCTCCTACGCGAGCCAAGCGCATTGCGTCGTTGCATTCATCCAGGCCGGGGTTCGTCGTCGCGCTGTCAAACGGACACGTGGTGCTCGTTCCCTAGGTTTGCGATGCAGGAGTCATGCAACACGGTCGACTTCGTCCATGTAACACTGCTTGGGCAGCTGTTCGAGCATTCGTCCAAACTAGGACCTCAGGGTCCCGTCAGCGAGCGCAGCGTCAACAGGTGGATAGCAATGCGTGTTCCGATTCTGTGTTCGGGTTCGCCAAGGGTGCAGTGAGGAGACGAGATTGTGATCAAAGTGGATAGCTTGAAGTGCGTACCAATTGCCTCAGGACTCGGGAAATACATTACTCGCCGTCAGAGTCTCCAGCCAGCCAGGGAGGATCGTCCTCGTTGGAACCGCACCTCGGCGGCGCCAAGATCGCGCACAAAATATCATGCGAGGCCTTCCTGCTCGACACGCCGACGGAGGTTGTCAGCAGCTGCGCATTCATTTTTGCCGTACAGCATAGTTTGGGTTATTTGCAAACGGTGTTGCAAGCCTTGTGTCAGATCTCCAAGGATGATCGTGCCTACATGAGGCTAATGCGAATCTCCTAATACGCGCCCCAGACCATGGGGCCATGAATCCTGGATCAACTGAATTATCGATTGGCTATACGATTTAGAGTTACGCGCTTTGAGACTAGTTCGCCATGTGTGAACTTCCTTTCTCGCTTACCGTTCGAAACCATTTCAATAGCATTGAACATTCCGTAGACGCGTGAATTCTGGAAGGTTTTCCGTGACCGTTCGCTCCACCCGTTCCTGCGCATCGTATCGTTCCGCGATCGTAGGCCGTATTGGGCCTTCGGCATGTTGGAGATGCAGTCGTTCTCAAGCGTACTACTTGGGTCTATGTTTCAAGATGCCTCGAGCGCTGCATGGATTTATGCATTGTCAAAGTCAAGACCGTAACTGCGGCTCTTTCAGGCAGAGCTTTGGCAAGCGGCGAGACTCAGATGCCCGGGCATGATGCCGGCACGGGTCTTGGTAAGCGGTGAAGATGTGGTCATGTTAGCCTTAAAAGGGGGCCACCATCCTGTGGTTTTGTCGTCCCAAAAAAGGCTGGCGAGGCTGTGGGACGTCCGGCGCTCCTCTTCGCTTCGAAGACTGCAATTTCTCGTTCAGCCAGGCCGTCCTAGATCAGAGAAACGAGATCTGTACCATCTCGCGCGGCCAAATGTCCGGCCACGGGCGCTGTGACCGGCTCCGGGCGGCACTTAGGTCCCAGCAGCGAGGTGGTTGACTGTGTCGGAGCTGGACTGCTCCTGTGGTTACCGATGTCCTTGCACCAGACACGGCGCAAGAAGATGCCAGCTCGCATGCACGCACGCACGCCCCGAACGTCTGTCCGCAAGTTACGTGTAAGCACCCACTCTTGGTTGTCCTCATGCACGACCGTTTGGGGTTGTTTCAGTGGGAGCTCCTGTGCGTTTGGCAGCGCTACAGCTGCGGACCATCAAACCTCCCCGTTGCTGGCTTGGACTGTTCACGCTACCGGACCACGCCCGCTCTGCGTCTGGCAATTAGCGGTTCTTTATTGCTCACGCCGGAACGGGGCATCGATCTTCTCAGAGCGGTCGCACGTGGAGGAGACAAGGACGCCCCCGGGAGATTGCGACTCGCCTCTACCTGGCGACGCATCGTTGTGTCTGTGGGTCGGTGGGCGGTCGTTCAGCCTGGGTTTCACGTAATTATATGGCAGCATTTCTCGCTGCGCAGTCATGCTCGTTCGTCCTCCTGACGCACGCAAAGAATAATCACAGCAAACTCGACACCCCCATCATCTCCTTGACGGTCCTACGCAAGGACTCTCGCGTGCCCCAGGACCGGTTTGGCTGTCGCAGTCAGCACCTGGCATTCGAGGCCCCCGAGTCCAAGCGCTCACCCTGTACAAAGTGCTGAGACGATCTCCTTCCGGGTTGTCTGCTGGCTTCCGAGGCAACAAGTCTATCCACTTCATTTCTTCCTCTCTGCATCGGTGCTACACGACAGGACAAAGCGCTGTTGTTTGGGTCCCTCATCATTCGCTCCGCGCAACTGTTTGTGATCCTGTTCGTTTCGATCCTGCCATAGGAAGGTCCGCGCGAACCAAACGTCATCTCCGTCACACCGCGTGCCACGCCTGGGCCTTTGCACAACCTGATAGTCTCCAGGATCCCGCAACACCACAACGGAGCCAACGGTCGCTGCCCTCAAATACCGGCACCATGGCTTCTGCACAGGACGAGTTCAACGCAATCTTCAACAAGTCCGGCTACGAGACCGGCAAAGTACATCCGGACGACAGGGACGCCGCAACTCCATCGGACACATCCCGCTCGCCTTCGCCAGCACAATCGTTTTTGAACATTGACGACGACGAGGACAACGCAGAGGACCTAGCAGTCAAGGCAATGAGGGGCACGTACTATGTTCCGCGAGCGGCGCGGATGGCGAACACGGGACCCAAGGGCGTCATCGCGGACGCTCAGGCATTCGAGCAGGCCAAGAGACAGGCACGAAGCATACGGACAATGACGAGGAATCAGCGGTCAAGCTACGCGCCAGGCGGGCAGTCGCCCCCAAGCGTGTACAAGAGCGAGGAGTTTGACAAGAGCAGCGACGATGACGACGACGAGACGTTTCTGGAGAGCTGGCGGCAGAAACGGCTGCTCGAGCTCGCCAACAAGAACATCACCCACGTTCTGGGCAGCAGCGGCAAGAAGCTGTACGGCGACCTGCGCAAGGTTGACGCTGAGGGCTTCCTCAACATTGTCGAGGGCTCCCCCGCCAACACCGTTGTCCTGGTGCTCATATACGACCACAGCGTACGTGTTCTCTCTTCCCGACTCTCTCCCAAGTCCTGGCCCGCTCCTTGCTCACCAGCATGCTGACCTGCGCCCACAGTCCGAGGTGTCAAGCCTAGTCGAAGAAGCCGTGCGCGAGATGGCCTCCATGCACGCCACTTCGCGCTTCATCAAGCTTCACTACACCGAAGCCGAGTTCGAGCCAGCCGGCGTGCCCGCTCTGCTCGCCTATCGCGGCGGCGAGAAGTTCGCCGGCTTCGTGCCCGTCTCGGATGAGATTCCGGACCACGAGGAGCTGAGCGCGCGAACCCTGACAGCGCTCCTGCAACGGTTCGTCCCGCCCTACCCCCATTCTCCCAGGAGGATGTCATCTTTTCCGTAGCTGACTCCATTCCTTCAGGCATCAAGTCCTATGAGGCGAGGTAGTTTCTTGCGGGCTCTCCGCCGTGTCCTCCCCTTTATAAACGCTCGTTTAGCGCACGAGCCGTCCTCCTGCCATGACATGGATCATGAGCCAAATGATGCCTTCAACTCTCCATCTCCTCTCACAGACACCCCCTCCAAAAATAGCCTTGACGCGCACAAGTCGCGGCGCAAAGAAAGGAAGCAAATAATAGAACCGCCGCAAGGTCGATGGAGAGTTACGAAACCTGCCAAATTTTCCGCTTTTTTTTTTCATTTTCCTTTGGTCCATTGTTTATCATCTTCGCCCGAATTCGGGACGGTCTTCTGGCTCTTTTCACACATACATATATAACTACACATCTATCTTACGGGCGTATCTGGAACGGAGGGTTGGGATGGCGGCGCCTTGGATGGTGGGAACGGGAATAGTGGGTAAAGAGGGGAAGGCCTTCTATTTCTCTTCTTGCTGGCCTCGACAGATCCCCTCACGGCTTTCTTATTTCACTGCTTCCTCTCCCTCCCTCTCGCACAATCTATGTTTCTCTCATCACGGCAGCGACCCGCTCGTGGAACGACGACCCGTCGTGCTCGGCATCGCTCAAGGAGGGCAACGGCTGTAGAGCTCATTTCACTCCGCCGTTTTGCGGCTTGTCCTCTTTCCCAGAGGGATATCTACACCGTTCCCTAAAAAAAATCCTCTTCCTACCTCCTTTCCACCTCTTCTCTCATCTCGCGTTCCCTAAACGATCAAACAAGACGTGTTCAAATAGATGTCCGGGACGGTGAACGGGGGTGGGCGGGAGCGGTGGGAGCAAGTGAAGGCGGCATGTACACTCGAGAGATACCCACGCTATATCAAAAGAAAATAAAAAGTAAACGAGACCGAGATTCCCCGTCTCCTTTACCTGTGGACCTGGGGATGTTAGACGGAAAGGGATTTTTTTTCATATTTCGCTATCGCCCATTTTCTCAACTTTTTTTATTCGAGAGGAGAATGTTGTCGCAAGTCTACAGCGTGTGTGCCTTGAACCGCTTAGAGGAAGAGAAACTCATTGCCATGTTTGATTTTGGACCTGTCGGCCTACGGATAATATATTCAAGTATTATAAAGGATAAGAATGCATCCCAGCCCGTGGGCCGTCAAAGTAAAGGCCAACACCAAATCGCGCTCCTTTGCTTCTCGCCCTCTCCGCAGTTTAGAAAGGAGCAGATATCACAGGCTCGACATGGTTCCACGGCCCATGAACGCCTATATGGTGTAAATGTTTGCTACAATTTTCTTTTCGTGCCCACACCCGCGTCTCTTTCCGCTTGCGTGCAACAGCACGCCGGAACCGTGCGGAAAACCCGTCCGAGAAATGACCCCAAGCGCCACGCTGAAAAGAACGTTTGCTCGCCCCCTGTTTGTTTTACGGTCTGCCCAACAATCCTCAGAAGGAAATAGAAAAAAAAAGTTCAAATCAAGGAAGCAGAAAGCACAGCGAGGTCACGCGGAAAGGTGCCGTGGAGACCGATGGCCCACCGTGTGTTGGAAAGCGAAGTAGTGAGTATTAAAAAATAAGCCTGGTGTCGTTAGACCTTGGTCATCTTAACGGGAACGATATCGATGTTGTGCAGCTCAGCCGGGAAGACGCAGTCTGGACCAAAGATGCATGTTTTGCCTCGCTCATTAGGCCACTTCGTCGGATCCAGACGCTCGGGTGCTTGGCAGCGGTGGCCATATATGCATCTATCATGAGACATACATCAGCGTGACAGCTCGTCCAATACCAGAACAATTGATCATGCAAAGGGGCGGGCAAACAAAAAACAACGGCCGAATCTGCGATGAGAAAGAATGAGGATAACACGAGACACACATACCTGGGATCATCACAGCTGCTGCCAGAACGGCAACACGCGAATCGAGCGACAACCTTCAGCACCTCAAGCTCCCGCTTAGACGGATCCTTGTCATGCTTATGTGTGCACTTGTTGCCGTAAGGACACTCCTGGCGTAGGTAGTGCACGTTGCACATCTTCATCTTCCGCACACGGTCTATCTCGGCTCTGTCGAACTTGACGATCGGGTCGAGACGCTGGCCCTTGCGATTTCGCGGTATAGTGTCTTTGGACGTGGGCTCCGGTATGGCCTTTTCGATGGGCGGCGTGGGCGGTGGAAGGACCGCTGCTGCCGCAGCTGCGGCGCGATTCGCCCAAGAGACGGGACTGGGCTTCGCGTAAGTCGATTCCCCCATGGAAGAGATTGACTCGGACGGCGTGTGACTCATTGAGCGAAGGAGGGCACCGACAGCGGCCACCTCTGGATTGCCGTTCATGGTGCCTATCGGCGTCGGCACGATTCTTTCGGAGCGGAAAATGGTGCCAAATTTCGAGCGATTAAAGGGTAAGTCCAAAAGCTCCTTGCCAAATGGCTGTCCTTCCAGCAAAGTTACACGCCTCGTGATGACCTCATCGAAGATGTACTTTTCCAGTAAACGGGCAAAGCCGTTATCATGGGAGCAGCCAAAAACTAAGCGGTGGTCAGCCTGGGAAGAACGAGGGGCACAGCGCTCAGGCGTGTGGATATGCTGCTTCCTTACCGATGTGTTTGCAGCGAGGGTCGTAGGCGTGAAGCTTAAACAGTTCTGGCGCAGCATGTCAGTAAACGTGCGGCAAGTAATGACGACCAGTAGCCCTTCCATATGCTTACCAGATACCTTCACGTCCGCCCGATCTTTGCCAGGGCCAACGTCGATAAAATCGAAAAGCGCATTGCCACGCGTGAAGCCCCGCACAAAGTCCTCGATCAATGTGGGTGATGCAACAAGTCCGGATCTACTGCACATATCGGCCAAGCCCTTGACGTTGGCGTACATTCGCGTGACAACCTTGATCTCGTTGGGCAAGTCAGGCACCTGCTCACGGGCGTACAACTCCGTCGACTGACGCAGCATTTCGGCGGCCTGGCGACCGCCCTCCTCGCCCTTGGATAAATAATGTTCATGGAAAATCATACCATCGCCGTCGATCAGCACGAGCACAAACGGATCGCGGTCGATAGTCCGTCTAAGGTTCTCATACTCGTTCTTGTAGACTGAATTGTTTGCAAAAAATGGGCCGTGCTGGCGCTTCTCAATCTCTACTTGCTCCAGCAGCTTGGCATATTCCTGGCTGACATATGTATAGCGGTGAATCAGTTCCTACGACGGCGGGCGTCAGCTATGCAGTTTTCAATCTTCAGTCATCCCTGTCGAGGATCGCACAGCAGTGACACTCGAGCACGACGCCATGAACGACGTTGTCACGAATATGACATAAACAATGTTCACGGAGCCGGCAGCTGCCGTATTGAGCGGGTACGAAGCCAGCCATGTTGATAAAGCACTGCCGTCCATTCTGAACCGACCTTGTAGCACGAGAGTATATATCATCACGGTAGACACACACCAAGACGACGTACCTCAATAAGTGCATTCTTCACGTCATCCGAGCGCTTCGTGTTCTCATAGCGAGTCCAGGCGTCGACGATGATGGAGTCCAAGCTGCCATGACTACCATTTGAGGTATGTGGGTGAAGCGTGGGCGAAGCCATGTCAACAAACTTGCCCGGAGAAGCCAAAACCTGACCAGGGGACGAAAACTGGCCGAAGGAAAAGGGTCTGTTGGTCATTTTTCTTCTGCTCCCCTGCTTTTTGTCTGGACGCAAACCTCCAGAATGGATTGTGCTCCAGCTCTTGGAGCCTGATGGGAATTCGCAACAGTAAGCGAGACTGCCTTTGAAATTGATGATAAGGGTGGTGGTGGCTGTAGTGGAGGGGGTGATGATGACAGTGGTGGTGGTGGTGATGTTGCTGGTGATGACGATAATGATGATGATGATGAAAAAAAGAGCTCACGACCGGAGTGCTAGCCTCGTGACTTTAGTGAACGCAGCGAGGGAAGGAAAACGGTGAGGTCTCGCCAAGGTTGGCGGCCCTTCCAGCAGCAAGCACAGAGAGAAATGGCGTCGTGCAGAAAGCTTGGGAGTGAGACGGGTCTAAAGGATCCAGACTCTGGCGCGACGTGGTGGGCAAGAGGCGCAAAGAGCTGTCCGTCACGACAACGCGCAGACCAGCAAGGTTTTATGGTGTGCAGGTGCAGGCAAGTGTGCAGACGGGTGGCGACAATGCGGGTGCGGGCGTGCGTAGTGAAGTATACTCACAGCTCGATTGGCTCTGAAGGATGAGAGCAGGTCAATTAAGGAAGAAGACGAGGTTGCGGGCGTGGCGGTGAATGCAGGCAAGGAGAAAAGAAAAGACGGGGGAAAGGACGATGATGAATGACGGCGAGGACGGTGTTGATGACGATGACGGTGGTGGTGGTGATGGAGAAGAATGGATAAGAGAATCTGGTCCGGTTTGCAGGCTTTGATATTTGGGCATAATTCTTGAGATCAGTCGTCAAAAAAAGTGCCAACTCGCGGCGCTTCCAGACCAAGGCTGAGTCGTGTTTGGCCGGGCCTGACTTGGGTCGATCTACTTTCATTCACTCCCAACGAGCTACTTGACGGCTACCCGAACATTCCACGCTCTGCGTGTCCTGCTCATCTGCACGTATTGTGCGATATGTGTGTGTGTCTATCTCGCTGCTTTCTCTGTCCTCTTCTCTGTCTGTCTGTCTCTCCCTCTGACCCCCGCGCGCGTATCGTGAACCAGCGCCTACATGAAACACGAGGGATGTCCGACAAAAACAAATATCGAAATCTCATTTTCCAGATCTGCCTGTTCATTTTATCCTACAATCTTCATGCAAGGCTTTCCACTTCACGCCGGCCACATGGGCCGACTAATTTTGGTGCGCGACAAGCAAACAGAAAAAAGGAGTCGAGAAATGGGTATCTCATGCCGAACGAAAGGTTGCCTTCCTGAGGCTTTTTTGTTCCCTGAGAAGAGATGAAGTTCTTTTTTTTCTCTATTTACCCTTCAAAAGAAAAATTTTCTTCACTTCGAATGGAAAAAAAAAAAATGTGCCCGTTTGGCAGCCGACAGATCGGCGCAAGGGCGCCCCCTGGCGTGCAGCGGGAGTGCTATACCCAGTCCGCTCTAGCCCGCGCGGTTCGCGACAAGCGGGCGCTCTGCCCAGAGGACCCCCCCCATTGTTGCTGGCACGACCGCACTGGGCGTAGTTTGCCTGCCAACTGCCACCTGGCATGCTCGTCTGCGGGTCGACCAAACGCAGCCCAGCACGACACCGAGAAACAAAATATACCTCCAGCTCCACCATCCGTCTGACCCTCCCCTCTGCCAATCCACATCGTCGCACCACATTCGCCCCCACCCCGTGTTCTCTCCTGCACAATGCGATACTTTCGATCAGCAGCTCTGGCCCTGCTGCCGCTGCTTGCCCTAAGCGCCACTGCCCAAGTCGAGGTAACTAGCACGTTTTCGCCGCAGTCGAGCTCGCGCGACTCTGCTCAGCAGCATCGGCAGCATCAGCAGCAAGCTCTTGTTGCAGTGCCTGTGTCTCGCCCCCGGATCAATTCCTCCTCTAGTCTTCTCACAAGCTGTTTGCTGATGCTCCCTAGGCCGTGTGGGAAGAGCTGACCGACGAAGAAGCCGCGGCGGCGACGGGCCAGCCCACCATTGCACTCGACGTCAAGACCACCTTTCCCTACAGCGAGTTTGGCGTCAAGCTCGTGAATAATCATGCAACACAGGCAGTATGTTCTCTTTGATGGTTCAGGACGCCGACCGGGCTGCGTGCGCATCGACGGCTTGTTTGGACGAGCTTGTTCGAGTCCAGCAGCTTCGAGCAGGAAGTGAGATAGCTCGTCCACAGCTCGTCTGTAGCCGTGCACAGTCTGCCCCGAGTCGGCGGAGCAATTGGTCGCACGGGCACGAAGAGTCTGATCAAACGTCACAGGTGCTGACTTTCAACAACAAAGAGACGGAGCCCGTGCGCGTTCAGATTGTTGGTGGTTCTCTGTGGGACATCAAGGCCGACACCATCGTGCGCAACTTGACGGCCATTCCGTACAATGTCGAGGTGCCTGCAGGCTCGGAGCAGAGCCTCACGTACAACTTCGCTACGGAGCTGCACCCGCAAGACCTCCGTCTGTACCTCGCAGCCCTTGTGACCAAGGGCGAGATGGGCTTCCAGGTGTCAGCCTACAACGGCACCGTCTCCGTCGTGGAGGCCCCGCTCTCCTTCTTTGACCCCCAGATGTACGTAGAAGCCGCTTCTTCCCCTACGAGCCGCCTAGAGGCACACACGCGCACAAGCATGGCCTCGACGGGATGGAGATCACAGCATCGCTAACGCAGCTTCTCTTTCATGCAGGATTTTCTTGTACGTCTTTCTCTCGGCCTGCTTCGCTGGCACGTGCTACTTCATCTACAACACATGGATTGCGACACTGTTCCCGCAGAAGAAGCGCGGTGGCAAAGGCGGCGAGCGTGCCAAGGGTCCGTCCAAGGCCGGCAAGCCTGTTGACTCGTCTGACCAGGCGGCGGACGGACCGGCCACGGCGAGCGGTGCCAAAGTGTTGGATGAGAGCTGGATTCCGCCCCAGCACCTGAAGAAGCCGGAGGCAAAGAGAACGGGAAGCGGCAGGGCCAGCACGCCGAAGTCGAAAGCCAGGTAAGAACGGGCGGAGGTTGTGTTGGGTCTGGAAAGTGAGGGAGGAGTTTGTTGCTGCTGCACGTGCTTACGTGGGAGGACAGGTGGGGTGACTGGGCACAACAGGAAGAGAAGACGAGGGCAATTGGTTGCTCCTTGGTCACGACCAGGAGAATTAAAAAATGCATCTGCGTGTTGGGGAAATTTCTTGGTTCTCCCCGGTTCTCTTGCAGGCCATCTGCACTGTACAAAAAAAAATGCAGTACATCACCAGAGCAATCAGGGTACCATCTATCGAAGCAAAGACTATGTATGTTTGTATTGTCTGACTTGCAACGGTCGGACGCTACATGGCAGAACACATGGATTTTGAAATTTTTTTTATTCCGCGATCGCCTGTGATCAGCGCACAGTGTGATGGACATGATTTCAGTGGGCAGGGCGACGAGTGGCGAGCCGGACGTACGACACCACGTCAAAAGGGAGCCCCAAGGTTCTGAGCGGGACACGAGATGAGAGTCAGAAAAGAGTAAGAGAGCAACAGGCGTGTGACTGTGCGAAGCCTGGGAGCTCACGAAAGCGGAGCAGGACGGAGCCGGACCAGTCGATGGCGTTACGTCTTTCGATGCGACGGCGTCGGGATGAGCCAATGCGGGCGTCGAATGGGCCGCATGTGGCCGGCAGACGCAGCTCGATGGCCTCCGGTCGGTTCGCAGCGACGGCCGCCGTGTTATGCCAACGATACTGATAATAATAAGGCTCTGCGCGCAGCTTATGCAATGGCGCATGCACCCCACACGGCGTGCATGGCCCTGCGCCCACGTCCGCCCAGCCCGCGCCGGCAGCAGCGCGCAGTACTTGTAGCGCGAGTGCTGGCTCGCTGTGACGCCGATGGCTCGCAACGAAAAACTTCGTCTGCCCGCTAAGCCGGATACTAACGACTAAACCGACTCTGCTGCGGGCACCTTTGTCCTCCTCCTGCCGTTCTTTCGCTGCTCGTGCAACGCAGCGGGGCAGCGTTTTTAATTGCTGCCCGTCCGTCGTCCCGCGCTTTCGTCTCCTCGCGCTGTTCTCGCCGTTTTCAAGTCGAGCGGAGAGCAAGAAGGTCCAGGGAAGAGCGTGTCTGCCCGTTTGTGTCTTTTGCCTCTTGAGAACGCTCACGAGCCCTTTTGCTAGCCGACGGTCCGTTTTTCACCTTTTCTTTTTCTTTTCCTCCTTCCCTCGCCGGTGTATGCTACCACCGCTCGGAGACGCCCGCCTGCATACACCGAGAGGCTTGCGAACTGCACGCGCGAACATCGCCTGTTCGCCCTAGGCGAGGTCGCTTTCCTTCGCCCGGCGTATTTTTCCCCCCCAGGAAAGCGCCAAACCTTCTCCTCCTGACGCTGCTCCTTCGATGGCACAGGAGGAGCATCAATTTGAGAAACTCAAGATCGAGAAGCCGCGCGACGGCCGACGCATCTCCTCTTCCTTAGCCGCCCTCAGCTTGCACGCCCATCATGGCGACAGCCCGTCGCCACTACTATCACCACCAGCCCAGTACCATCACCCTCTGCACCCGCCGTATATAGGCCCCGGCACGTCGCCCTCTCCCGCCCAGCACGAACTGCTGCGTTCGCTCACCAACGATGAGTTCAAGAGCTCGGAGGAGGATTTGTCGCGACGACTGCTGAACGGCGAGGACATCGAAGCCGGCGCCGGCGTCCTTGTTGAAGAGGAAGGCGCATTTAGCACCGCGTCCGATGACGAATCGTTCAGCCCCCAGCACGGCAGAAAGGCGTCCATCACATTTGCAAGAGAGACCATCACGAGCGACGGCCAGAAGAGACGCCTGGAAGAGCCCGTCCCCCGCTCTGATCCGCTGCAAATACCTGCACCCGCTGTTCGGGCTACTGAAGAGGTGGACTGGCCGCACCAAAGCGGACATGCGAGCCACCGCTTGCCGGACGGCCTCGTTCTGGGCGAGCAGAAGCCCCACGAGATCTCTCTCGACACCGGCAGTCCCACGCGCAAGGACTCGGCCATAGACCACAGCGAGTCGCAGGAGGACGTGGCGGGCTCTCTGACGTCTGCTCTCACGGTGTCGCCCTCCACCGAAGAACCGCTGACACCTCTCAACGGCATGCTGTCGCCCGTCAGCCCTGGCACCGTGACGGAGCAGAAGCCCAGTCCGTTTTGGCCCAGTCGCCGTACCGACTCGCAACGCTCGCGCAGCTACCAGCGTCTTGACAAGGCCGTCAACGGCGGGCGGAGGCGCTCGACGCGGTCGGCCAATTCGTCCGTCTCGCCCGCCAGCGCCTTTCTCTCCTCGCTAAACAGGTCTTCCACTCAGGTCCAGGATGAGCCCGACGACGAGGGTCAAGAGATTGCCGGGAGCGGCTGGATCATCGGCCGAACGATCGGCTACGGAGGCTTCTCTTCCGTAAAGGAAGTCTCTACCATGGATGCGAAGACGGCGAAGCGCGTTGTGCGAGCCGTCAAGATCATGCGCAAGAAGCCCAAAAACGTGAAGGACGACCAGCAGAACGAGCGGGTGCAGGCTGAGTTCGAGCATGAGGTCGCACTGTGGCGCTTCCTCAAGCACCGATACATCGTGCCCCTCATCGCCGTCTACGATACGCCTTTCGCCACGTTTTGCATCACCAAGCTCAACGTCGGTGGCACCTTGCACAATCTCGTCCGCAGCCGGCGCCAGCAGTACAGCGTGCTGGACCGTGGGTTGTCGGCGCCGCTGGCGAAGCGCTATGCGTACCAGCTCGCAGCCGCAATCCGGTATCTGCACGAGGACGCGCATATCGTGCACCGCGACATCAAGCTCGAGAACTGCCTGCTCGACATGACCGCGCCGGACGCTGCCAGTCAAGGCGGCAACATCCTGCTGTGCGATTTTGGCATGGCAGACTACATCCAGACCGACTCGCGCGACATGTCCGCCCTTCCAGAGCCAGGCGAAGCGCACAACATTGGGCCTGCCGCATCCTCCTCGCGGTTGGACCCAGACGACGTAGTCAACCGCGGCGGCGTGGCGGCCGATCTGAACAACCGCGACACAACGCTCACAGTCATGGGCAGCCTCGAGTACGCGGCTCCGGAGGTGGTGACAGCGACGGAGACTCTATTCAGCCCAAAGGCGGATGTGTGGGCGTACGGCGTGTGTGTGTACGCCCTGTTGACGGGTAGCCTGCCCTTCTCGCACGAGATGCGCGAGACGCTCGCCCTGATGATCGAGAAGAGTCAATGGGACATCACTCCGCTGTACCAGGCCGCTGCTGTCAGGGGGGGCGGCCCCGCTGGTATGGCGGCCGTCGACCTAGTCAAGGGCTGCTTGACGTACGATAGCGAGGAGCGCTGGAGCATACGTGACGTGCTCGAGTCTAGATGGCTCCTCAACTGCAAGGAGCTGTACGGCGAGGGAAGTCTCAGTGAAGACGAGCTGGACGAATGGGGCACTTGACGTGAGGTGACTCGAAACTGCCCTGTCTTGTCTTGTGTTTGCAGGTAGGAAGAGCGAAGAGATTGTGGGTTTGCATACCTTCCGTTCTACTCCCGTCTACGGCCACATATTCACTACGACATTGCGGCATCGGCGTTGGGGGAATCTTCTCTTCCATTTGTCTTTTTTTTGGGGGGGATCTATGCTCTCAGGACAGCTGTTTCGTGCGTGGGAGCACACGGGATCAGTCATTTATGCTGTGGGACGTGATGGACGTGATGATACCCTTTGCGATACCCAATTTTCCTTTTCCTTTTCCCCCTCCCGTTTCTGCCTTTGCCTCATCTCACTTCCGGTTCTGGTGTACAGTAAGGGCGCAGTGTTTTCAGGTTACGCATGTTGGAGTCTTATTTTTTTTTTCCTCCTTCTCAGCTCTCTTTCAAAAATATGCTTGCAAGTATGCATTAGGTTTCGGCGCGACATCGGACGGACAAGGGAAACGCTTTTTAGCTTTTGGACACGCCCATACTCGTTTTAACCCATTGTACTATTAGAATCATGGCGCCGGAGAGACGTTTTGGACACGAGAAAGGGAAAAAAAAATCTTAATCTAATAAATAAAGATGCCAGTCTTCGACGTCTCTTCTCACTTCCCTTCTTTCAACATCTGTGATATCAATAACTGCTTCCAGCCCTCTTATCATTCTTCCCTCGTACGCAGTCCGCAGACAGCAGCCTACTCTCGCCTCCAGGTTTCGAACTCAACCTCGAGGTGCTCCTTCAGCTTCTTCCAACTGGAGCCGAACTGCGCGCCGCACCGCCAGCACACGCTGCCGCGTTCCTTGAGCGCCTCGTGTGCGCCGCGCCTGCGCGTGAGGATCTCGGCGGCGCTGAGCGGCATCTCCTCGATGCGGGCGAAGAACTCGGTGGTGAAGCTTTGGTAGTGCGTTCTGTGCCGCAGGCAGGGCGAGTGCATGTCGCGCGAGATGACGTGGATGTGCAGGTGGTTCATGGACGGGTTCGCGTGCACGCCGGCGCGCACCTCGTCGAGCCACGCGCGACCCGGGGGCAGCTCCGCCGTCTCCGCCGCCGCCGCCGCCGTCAGCGCCGCCCGCCGCGGCCGCTCCTGCGCGCTGTGCGCCCCGTGCAGCCGCCGAAGCTCCTCCGCCGCGATCGCCGCCGCCCGCGCCACCTCCGCGCGCGCGCTCGCCAGGAACGCCGGCGACCGCGCGAACGCCTCCAGCGGGTTCAGCCCGTACACGGACGGGTCGCGCGGCAGCAGCAGCAGGTGCACCGACGCCTTCGGGTACAGGTCGCGGATCAGCACCCACTCGGCGCTGTGGTAGACGACCCGGCCGTCGCCGAACGCCTCCGGCTCCGCTATGTACGCCAGCAGCCCGTCGCGCCCGAGATACGCCCTGCCCGTCGCCGACACCGTCGTCTTCGGCCGCTTCGCGTCGCGGTCGTCCCGCGCCGGCTTGCTCTTGGGTCTCATCAGCTCCGCAACTGCGTCTCCTCGTCAGGCTCCCTGCTTCTCCTCACCGCGTGCGCGCCTCGAGCGGGTCATGGTGGAGGTGGTGCAACTGGCTGCGTGGGCAGGGCTGGGTAGGAGTGTCCTCGTACATGCATTCTTGGCTTGCGCCTTGTCCTCCGCCGGCAGCGACGGACCGCCCGCGTCGCCGCCATCCGTCTCGTCCGGGAGCTCGTGGTCGTCAGCCGTGGCCAGTTGCTTGGAAGGCATCCTCGAAGCCGTCTTCGCGGGGCCCATTCAGGTGCGGGGAAGACATCTGGAAAGAGGGGGGGGGGGGGAAAAAAAACTTGGGGGCAGATTGGAAGAAAGCTCCGCCCTTCTCGCAGCGAAGGTCTGCTGCAGGCGGCGCGTGGTGAACCAAAGGTGCGTCACCGTTACTTAACGAGAGTTCCGGCGAAGAGCTACCCCTGTTCGGAACCGCCCGACACCCATTACCCGACGGACTAGTTCTAGCGCCTGGCTGCGATGCTCTGCGCCTGCGTATCCTGTGGTCTTTCGTCCCGACACAGACCACGAGAAAAAGAAAAAAGGGGGGGGGGGGGGGGGGGGGGGGGGGGGGGGGGGGAAAGGTCAAAAAGGTAAAGAAGGAATCGCAATTGCAGCTGTCGATCAGATGGATAGAGTGCAGCACGTAGAACTAGTGATTGCATTTTTGTGATTTTTTTTTTTGGGGGGGGGGGGGGGGGGGGGGGGGGGGAACCATTTATTCTCGTGCTCCCTTTCCTGGATTTGAGCTCGACAGGCTGAAGCCTGTTCTTCCACACAGTCCTTCATCTCTACAACAGTGTGGAGAAGATATTTCCGTTCAGAGAGCATCTGAACAAAGAGCGGTTCTCGAATACTTGGTCCTTGGAGAGGGACGGTTAATGGTTTGTTCGGCACGGCGCGTGCGCGTGCGTCGATCACGTTGAGAAACTGCCATGGGCTGGCGAAGCTACGAACGTTCGGGCAAGTATTGAGGCAGCGGAGTGACAAGCACTGTGATCGATTATCTATCTATTGCAGTGCATGATGTGAGGAACCTAGACCGCGGTCTTGTCGTCGCGCCTTCGAGACGCCTTCTTGTCTACAGTACAGTGGACGGCTCGTCGGGTAGACATTCCAGCAGCAGAGTTCTGTTCCTCTGCAACGCAGCTTCGAGTGAAGCAAGGCGCGTTCCAGAGTTTGTTTCAACTTCCTTTCACGATATCTGTGCAGAAACTCAAGTCTTTGACGCTTGCCCACCGATGGAACTTCCGGCCAAAGACGGCGATGCCCGTTGCCTCGACGTCCTCCGGGGGTCCGTTTTGATCTCTCGCTCTGCTCTGCCGCTGACTCTGCCCCTGGCGAGAATGTCGCGCACTTCTTCGATGGTGAGCAGTTCGTTTCCTAGTTCAATCTTCTGGCCCTCCATACTTTTCCGGGTCCAGCAAGTCGGCAGCGGTGAATCGGCCCATGTCTTCCGCGTCCGTGTACGACATCTTTGCACCCTCGTCGTAAAGATGATCAAGCGCGTTTGTCCGGTAGGTTGCGTGATCAGGTATCTCTCCATTTCAGCTACGCAGTACGGACTGGAGAGGGAGAACTAGATCCATGTGGGAGGATTGTACGAATGGCGATGTTTAAGTCGATAAGGACATGACTATGGAAGGAAACTAGACACCTTTACTCAATTCGAGATTGTTGCCTGGCTTCTCTTCGGAAGACTTATTGCTCCTTGGTTGGTAAACTGTTCGGAATTTACATCTCGCAATTCCCTAGCTAGCTACATGGTGTTTTGGCATGGGATGGGCACAAGTGGCCAAGTTCCAACGCCCGCGACTATGCAAAGCCTTTGTTTTAGAGAAAGCCAAGAGCCTACAATGGGTTCGCTTCACAGTTTGGCTGGCTTGTTACTCTCGCGAAAACTTGCTCTCAGTGAGGCGAGCGAAATGCAGGTAACTAGATGCAAAGGCCAGAAATAAGCACCGTCTCTGTCTCCAAGGCCGAGATCGACCGGACTTGGGAGAAAGGAAAAAATTTTAACGATAGCTCTTGCGGAATGCTCTTGATATCTTGTCGATCCATCATGAGCAACTTTGCCCGATGTTCTTCGACTTTTGACTCACTGTAGCCTCGGACTTGCTTGCCCATTTCAGGACTCGCTACGCGCTGTATATCATTTCTGGCCACGTTTTCCAGACAAAATATAACTATAATAAAAGCTCTAAAATGCTGTTAGACTTGCGCAAGTGTGTAGTGGTTGCCATGGGAGTTCCGCGAACTCCCCGTATTAACTCTTCTTCCAGTACCGCCTACATTGCGGAGTTATATCAACTAGCGACGCCGATATATCTCACCCAGACTTGGCTAAATCAATGGAAATCTCCCGCGAACTTGGATTCCATCATAAATGCTGCATTTACCCGCCCTATAAGAGATTGCACCTGCGTGCACTTCTTTCCATTGCTCATCCTTGCATGTGAGGTGAGGAGCCATGAACATAGAGAAGCCATCTTAAATTTCTTGGAGCGAACAGGGAGAGACGCACGAGTGAGAAGCGTTCAGATGCTTCAAAGAGATATTCAATCTATCTGTGTTCAGCAGGATTTGAATTCAGACAATGGTATACTGGAGCATCATGTTGGAATTTTGAGTGTTGCGATCAGTAGCACAAGTAGAATTTCATTCTTCGTGTGGAAAAATATCGACATGAAATATTACATTTTGTCCTTTCTGTCCTAGGCCAGAGTTCAAAATTCTATGATATGTTACAAGCAGTTAAGGCACCACGTACGATTCGAGCTGTTTTAAAATAGTCTGGTTTATAAGAAGTGGTTGGATAGGCTAAAAAGTTATTGAGGTGCTGTCATCGTTGTAGCTTTCAAGCACCTTTGAGGGGTCCATTTCTTAGCCTACGAAAATTGTGCACGCTCAGCCCTACGAGCATGAACCCCGACTACGAAATTGTTCGCTAATCAAAACCCCGTGACAAGTTTTCAATCCACCAAAGAGCACATTTCACCGACCATTTAAGGGTGGGGAGAGTATGCCAAAGAATGCTCACCCGCCGCGAGGTGGCTCAAAGAAATCAGCTCCTTCAGCAGCACAGCCAACGAGTGATGATGGACCGAAGATAATATTCACCAACGCTAAGGACAACCCCAGGAAAGGCAAGAAGAACAATGAAACCTCAACAAACTCCGCAGAGTCTTCAAAAGCAAAGGGCAAGGCGAAAGGTGTCCCTGAAACGCCTACCGAAGATGGACCTAAGCGACCAGATACAAGGACGTTGATCGGAGGTGCAAGCTGGACTGGCAAGTTGCCTGTGAACATGCTCTCAGAGCATTGTCAGAAACAAAAATGGGATAAACCAGAGTACACAATGATGAAAACTGATCATGGGTTCGTGTCCGGCGTCATTCTCAAGGCTACGCATCCAAAGACGCGTGAGACAACCACCTTACCGCAGATACGGTTTCCAAAAGAGCACCAGGCAGTCGCTGGGCAGGAGACCGCAGTGGAGGCTCGTCACTTCGCAGCTGCATACGCTCTCTTCCGGTTTTCGAGCATGAAGAATTTGCACATGATGATGCCGCCGAAGTACAAGGATTTATGGAAAGGGCTGTTCACCGATCTGAAGAAGGAAGACGAGGCCCAGGGTAGAGGATGGATGTACGCGCCAGACCCCTTTGCCATGGCGAAGGAACGAGAAGATGAAGCAGCCGCTAAAGCGAAACGGCGCGAGGAAATGGAGAGGTCAAAAGCGAAGGAGCAGGCCTCTGGGAAGGGTCCGGGTAACGTTGTCATAGGAGGTAGTGAGGGAAGTCAAGTGAGGCCATGGACGAGAGCACCGAAGATAGATATGGGACGGAAAACAAGATTGCATGTCGAGCAGCTCATTCGAAAACACGCAGTCTGGGGCTCCAGCGCCGGAGGCCTCAGTAGTAAACAGCGAAGTGCCCTCGTTGTAGACGTTTCCAAGCTCGGCTTCCGAGCAGCGCACGTGGAAGAGGCGATGGAGGTTTGCGGCAGTCGCGAGGAGCTTCTCGAGTGGCTACTCATCCACGTGCCTGAAGACGACCTACCAAAATGGAGCTTACCTGAGAATTATACGGCCGGCGTAAGTCTGGCAAGCAGCGATCTGAAAAGAGAGGCTATCATAAAGCGGCTGGCTTCTTCGGGATATGCCACGGATCTATGCGAGATGGCTCTTGACGCCGGTAAAGGCGACGAGTCGAGAGCTAGCACATATCTGCAGAAGCTGTTGCTTGAAGAAGTGGGTGACATTCAGAGCTTAGCGGAGGAAATGGCTCGTGCAAGCCTTGGTGATGAGGATAGTACAGTATGGGAAGATGAACAGGCCGTCCTGGCATCGATCTACGACGACAAATATAACTCACCAAACCCGGAATCATGCAGCATTCGCATCGAACCCGAGGGCTGTAACAGGGTTGTAATTACGCTTGGTCTAAGAAAGCCTATAGGGCCATACCCCGAGAATCTTCCGCTGCTGTCAATCAATGCGGAATTGCCAGCATATATCAGACTGTCCATTCTAAAACAGGCACTGCGTTTCGCAAAGGATAATCTGCTTGGCGATCAGATGATATTCAGCATCGTAGATTGGATCGAGCACAACTCAGCGGCCATCATCGAGCAGCCAGGACGTCTCGCCGACGTCTCGTCTGCAACGGCAGCTGGCGAAAGCAAGACAGCCGCAGCTTCGTTTTCAAAGTTCAGACCGCAAAAGCGTCGACCACGGCCATTGGATGAAAAAGCTACGCGAGCGCTAAGTACGCAAATGATGGAGTCCTGGAAGCAGAAGCAGACCACCGCAGAGCAGGAGAGGATGCTCGTGATCCGCCGTTCGCTGCCTGCGTGGAAGCTACAAGACGCGATCGTCGAAGCGGTCAACGGGCATCAAGTCACCATCATCTCTGGCGAGACAGGCTCTGGAAAGTCCACCCAGTCCGTCCAGTTCATCCTAGATGACATGATACGCAGGGAGCGAGGTGGTGTTACAAATATCATTTGCACACAGCCAAGGAGGATCTCGGCGCTCGGGCTCGCTGATCGCGTAGCTGAGGAACGGTGCTCCAAGGTTGGAGAGGAAGTCGGGTATATTATCAGGGGTGAGTCCAAGTACAAAGAAGGTCAAACCAAGATCACGTTTGTCACGACGGGCGTGTTGCTTCGCAGACTGCAGAGCTCAGGTGGCAGCACCAAAGACGTCGTCGCTTCGCTCTCCGACGTGAGCCATGTTGTCATTGACGAAGTGCACGAGCGCAGCCTCGACACGGATTTTCTGCTTGTGCTTCTGCGCGACGTTCTACGGCAGAGGCGCGACCTCAAGGTCATACTCATGAGTGCAACGTTGGATGCAGACATTTTCGCGCAGTACTTCAGCGGCACAGGGGGAGTTGCTCGCGTCGAGATAGAGGGCCGGACACATCCAGTGCAGGACTTGTACCTGGACGATGTGGTTCGTATCACAGGCTTCAATGGCCACAGTGAAGAAGACGACTTCGAGGAGCCGGAGGTGCAAAAGCAACTCGCAGGCACGTTGCGTGGAATAGGCATGAGAATCAACTACGATCTTATCGCTCAGACTGTGCAGTACATTGATCATGAGCTCGGAAATCAGGACGGAGGGATCCTTATTTTCCTGCCTGGTACTATGGAGATTGATCGAACCATTCAGGCGCTGCGAAACGTACCAAACATTCACGCGTTGCCGCTCCACGCATCTCTACTGCCAGCAGAGCAGCGGCGAGTCTTTCCTCCCGCACCTAAGGGCATGCGCAAAGTCATTGCAAGCACCAACGTCGCTGAGACGTCAATTACCATCGAGGATGTTGTTGCCGTCATCGACACCGGACGCGTTAAAGAGACCACCTTTGACCCACAGTCGAACATGGTCAAGCTCCAAGAGGTATGGGCGTCCAAAGCAGCGTGCAAGCAGCGTCGTGGTCGAGCAGGTCGCGTTCGTGCAGGCAAATGCTACAAGCTATTTACGCGAGCCGCCGAAGCGAAGATGCCGGAGCGTCCAGAGCCGGAGATTCGAAGAGTCCCGCTGGAGCAGCTGTGCCTGTCCGTAAAAGCCATGGGCATACGAGATGTGCCGGCCTTTTTGGCAGGTGCTTTAACACCGCCAGACCGTATGGCCGTTGGCGGTGCTATCACCCTGCTTGGCCGCATGGGTGCCTTGGATGGCGATGAGCTTACAGCCCTTGGTCGCCACCTTTCAATGATACCAGCGGACTTGAGGTGCGGCAAGCTGTTGGTGTATGGCTCCATCTTCGGTTGTCTTGACGCATGCTTGACTATGGCGTCAATTTTGACAGTGCGTAGTCCTTTCGTGTCGCCACAGGCTAAGCGCGAGGAAGCGAAGGCTGCTCGCGCTGTCTTTGCCGCAGGAGGCCACGGCGACCTGGTGGCAGATTTGAGAGCTTACGACCAGTACACCGCGAATCGCAAGATACTACCGACGCGAGATCTTCGGCGATGGTGTGAGGACAACTTCCTGTCCATGGCTACACTCAACGACATCACGTCAAACAGATCACAGTACATCTCTTCCCTCAAAGAGATTGGGTTCCTACCCTTCGGCGCAGACAACGCTACACTGGCAGCCATGAATTCGAACAGCTCATCCGACGCCCTTTTGCGTGCCCTCATAGCTGGTTCGTTCAATCCGCAAATCGCTCGCGTGGAATACCCGGAGACCAAGTTTGCGGCAACTTCCACAGGAGCAATGGCACTGGACCCGGAGGCCAAAACGATCAAATATTTCACAGAAGATGCATCCGCTTCTGGCGATGGTCAACAGCAGCCTCGAAACGACCGTGTCTTTATACATCCATCCTCAACCCTTTTCGACGCGTCTTCTTTCCCTTCTAATACGACGTTTATGACGTTCTTCGAGAAGATCTCCACCTCCAAGATCTTCCTGCGCAATGTGACCCCTGTGAATGCCTATGCAGTCATGATGTTTGGTGGGGGTGTGGAGGTCGATACCTACGGGAGGGGCGTTGTGGTAGACGGCTGGATCAGGTTGAAGGGATGGGCGAGGATCGGAGTTCTTGTTGGACGCCTTAGAAAGATGCTGGATCGAGTGCTAGAAGAAAGAATCGAAAGACCAGGTCTCGCAGTCGGCGGAAATGGAGAGGACGTAGACCAGGAGATTGTGAGAGTTGTACGAAAGTTAATTGAGCTGGATGGTTTGGATAGATGAAAAGTCAAAGTCAAGAGACTTAGATCTAGCGAAGTAAAAGATTGAGTACGCGTGGAGCACTATCCAGACACCGCAAGAACACACACCAGAGGTTCTTGATTTGATTCATGTGCAAAACATACGGAACCTGCATTGTGCCAAGAAAAATTTAAAAAAAAAATAAAAAAAAAATAAATAAAAGAGCTCGCAGTAGCCAGGCGAGTCGAAATCACGTCAGGCGGCACAGGGAGTTTCCGAAACTGTTCAAGAATAAGCGTCGTGACGGCATGCAGTTTGAGGGACGGCCTGATATCATCCACTCATTCATTCGATCCTGTCCTGTTGTAACGAGCAGTCTTGAGAACTGGGTCGCGTAGGATGGCTTTGATCCTCCGTCCTACTTCTGGTGATGCCCTGGAGGTGTCTCCGGAAGGACACAGTCAGAAGGCTGCAGATCACCAAGGGATGAGGGGGTTTAAGTCATGTGATCGATTGTCGGTGAACCTGAAAAAGGAATCTGAATGACTATAATTCGACGTTCCATGGTGATATTGGAAGTGATGGATCGAAACTTTAGTCGTCCAGCAGGTCTGTCAAGTCCGTTTCGATAAGAACCCACTGGCTTTTTTGCCTGCATTTCCTTGGTCGGTGGATGCACAGTGAGAGAGCATGGAGGCGGCACAAAAATCTCGCGAAACATGCATCATTTTAGGTCAAAGGCTAGCTGAACAGCGGTCGGAAGCATTAATCCTAGCTCATATCTTACTGCTGAACGACGGAACAATCCCTTTGGGTGGACAAGGAAAGTGTAATGCAGTTTCGCTGATCCTGTGTGCTGAGGCCCTAGGAGCTTTGGGACCCGGGAAAACGCGGTTTGTGAACCGGAGCGTTCTATCTGCAGGCCATGTTTGACCACCACAAGATCTTTTTTTTTTCTGACGCACAGCAAGGCGTCGTGCGCAAACCAAGCTTTTCGAAGGGGGGGGGAGAAAAGTGTTCGCTGGTGACCGGATTTTCGCAAAGGTTTGAACATGCACGGGGGTGTCTCTTTGCGAAACAGCTGAGTGTGCAGCTGGCCTGCAGACAAATCTTCATTTTACTTACACATTTTTTTTTCTTTGAATGGGAAAGACATAACACGCGCAGCCGACGCGACATAGATCACAGAGCGCTCGACAGGATATTTCCGAGGTCTGCGTAAGGCGGCTGGGCGTAAATGGTGCTACCCGTGATCCTAGGCGTGGAACCACGAGAGAGTTTGGCGACAAAGACGCACACAATGTGCAGGCAAGGAAGCGGTCTGACGATCGCACAGCTTACTCCCTGTTCCTAAGTGCGCGAATCATTAGACCAACGTGAAGCGATAGTTGCCTGTATCAGATGGGTAGGGGCCGTCGCGAAGCATAAAGCATGCAATCAACGGCGTATGCCGGCATGTGTGGCTGATCGAGGTGCCTTATTAATGTACGATCTTTGTCTTGAGTCTTTTGCGATGATAAATAAGGTCCCAGGCCGATCAGGCAGGGATTCCCTCCAGCGGCTGCCCGAGTCACGACTGGCAACGTAGGGTGGTTTGGGCGAACAAATGAGCGCATGCAGGCCAATAGCTCCAGGACCGGACGTGAAACTAGGCCAGTTTGGGGCCCCAGGCATGGACGGATAAATGACCGAGGATGGGGGACAACGTTCAGCCAAGACAGACTGCATGGCCGTATTGGCTGCGCGAGCGAACGGAGAGACGGAGTGTGGCGGATGGCATTGTTTGAACAGGGCAAATGCCCCATGTTGGCTCGTCGAACGCGTCAAGCGTGTGGCCACCTTCTCCTTTCACGTTGGCAACAGGCTGCAGTCAGCCATAAAAAAAAAAGGAAAGAAACTGCTTCTGGTTCGACCCACGGAACTTCCTTGAGGATTGACGGGCGACGAGTCCCGTCGGGCACCTGCAGAATCCTGACAGACGACCCAAGACAAAGCAAGCAAAGGCTCGTTTCTAACCCGAAGCGCCGAAGCCGGTGATGGCTGCCGTTGAGGAAAGTTGCACTGGAGCTCGTGATGCAAGATAATCACAGGAATGATGGGTAGCCCTCGACTCGGTATGAAAGTAGCACGCCCTGGATTATTATTGTTGTTTTTGTTGTTCTTGTTATTACTCATCCAACGGATAACATCGGTTTCATCTACAGGGAAACTCTTGCCATGAGGGGCTGGCAAGGCCAACGTCAAAAAAGAAAAAAAAAGAGCACGTCGCGGCTTTGTTAAGCATCTAACCAAAGTACGTGCTGGAGTCTTGCAAAGCGCTCTAGCACATTACGGACAGGAAAGATAATATAATTAGCTCCGCCCTAGCTGCGGGAATTCTAGAACGTCTGGCACGCTTTCAAGGGCAACGTGCGGGTGGGTAATCATTTGGTATCCCTGGTCATTGGTGGAGAGCGGCCAAGCGTTTCCAGCAGATCGGAGTGCGTTCAAGGATGAGAAAAGGATGGAACGTCACCGCGATTCAGCTGCCGTTTTGGCTGTGGGCATCGGCCGGTCGGGCGGGTGTGTGTGCGTGTGTGGAGCGGCTAAGTACTGTAGCACCGTTGGGGCCCTTCCAGATGATGATGAACTGAATGGTGAGACGGGCCCCATCCTAGTTGGCGTGGCTGCGGGCCCTGTTGACCGGGTGTGATGATGATGGTGGTTGTGGTGACGGTGGTGATGGTATGCGCTCAAGGCTGTGTGGAAGGGTGAAGATGATCACACTTGACGGCCAGAATGAAGCAAATGGCTCCGCACCAAGGCAGACGTCGTCTCGGAAAACACCTGTCACGAACGCACCACGGCGGACGAGGAATGGGCACGTACCAAAGACTTGCTGTGCGAGCCGTGATAGGTGGTCGAACAGCATGGACGGCAGCAGAATGGGATGGAGGAGAGTCATACGCTAGTCGCTGGGCCAGTTGTGCCAGATGCCTGCGCTGCCATAAGCATGCAGGATACGGCTGCACAGGATTTTTCGGGGCTGTGCCTTCACAAGGAAGTTTCGCGGACCAGCAGCCGCGCATCGAGCACTTAGATTAGGCTCAGACAAGGCCCGCATCTGCTTCGCCAACTAGCCGACGAGCACCAAAGCTCCACTGCTGGGCGTCGATGGCAGGCAGGTGACACAGCCGTTCAAGACGTGCGACGGCACGCTGAGGCTCATGCGCTCCAAGGCTCGGGCACCTTTCGGGATACTGCAGGCGTGTGAGTGGGCGGAAGAGGGAGAGCTGTGGGTGTCCAGATGCGTTGCGTCTGCGTGGGTGCATGCTTGATCCCGAACCAAGCGCAGCGTCTGCGGGGACGAACTTAGGGGGGGCGAGGCGCTGGTGGTGTGCCCGCGTCGCTGCCTGGCCCCCAGCCCGTTTTTTTGCATGGTCCGATGACAGCGCGTGCGAGACGAACGACTTCGCTGCGGTGCTCGGAAGCTTGCAAGACCAGGACCAAATCACCGTCCTCCGGCTGCTGTTACGGCCTGCCAAGCGCGACTTGATGAAGGACTTGCTGGGCCAGAAGGTCTGCTCCTGGTGCCGTGCCATTGGTAAGGGAGATTGTGACGGTGGAACCGAACGTTCGTCACTCGTCGGCTTCGTATCGCGCCAAAGAGAAAAAAAAAAGCCCCTTCCTAGTCCCCAATACGGCCTGCCCATAGTGCATGTCTGATGTGTGCGCGTATGCATGTGTACAGAGCGAGTTAAACGTGCTCCGACACAAACACAGCACCGTACCAGTATGCGCCTGGTACACAAGGTAACACGGAGCACACGAAGCCAAACATCCGGCCATCATTTCGTCCCGGCCGAGGACGTGGTCAGGGAGAAGAAAAAGGAAACATGAGGAACACGACTGTCCTGTGCAGTATGATGCAAGCGCGGAAACGTCTGCATGGTGCACGTAGTGCCGCATCTGACCAACAGGAGAGGACGTGCGACCACAGCTCAGGCTCGTATCATTCTCCAAATTGGCCTTGCGCTTGCGCAGCCTCTCACAGGCGAACTCACGATCAGCATCCACAACTACGCCGCCCACAGTTTCATGACCCCACACACGACAGATGCGCCCGCTTTGTCTTAGCGCCAGAAGGAGGAAAGAGATCACATTTCCCAAGCCCTCGCAAAAACGCAAGCCACGCGGATGAGACCATGTCCCGAGCGAGCCGAGTAATGAGGTTCACGGTCGAAAAGCTCCGCCGCTGTGGATGCGCTTTCACACTTGTGACCTGTGGTTGGATCGGACCTTGGTTTTCTTTTGGCGCCATTCAGAGATGTCAAAACATTCTTTTGGGAAGCACCGCTCCGATCGCGTATCCAGCATGGGGCTGGTTGGTCGGCTGGTCGGTCGAGACGATGATGAGTGCACGCTCAAGGTGAGCAATCCACCATGTTGCCTGCTGTCATTCCAATAACTCTACACCTGGCATCGAACCCTCGAACGACGGGGCCTTTTGCACCCATCCATCACCCACCCCCCTCGCCAAACCCCATTCTTCTCTAGAGCAGTGAGCTAGCCTCCCAGACACTGAACCAGACTCTGGCGGGGTAGACGTCTCTGGCATGGCTTGGTGTCGCGCGCTGCTAAAACGTACCTTGGATTCATGACCAGCAGAGCTTTCATGCCTCCCACTCAACCCCCCAAAGCGTTGGAGGATTCACACGCCGCAGGTCAGGGGGTGCCCACAGTAAAATTTAGCGGCTGGGCTGCGCTTTCCAAGGGCGACGTGGGCCACCATCTCCGAAACCTGCGCGAGAGCCGTGCGTTACAACCCGCCGGCTGGCCCTAGACACGAGATCGGCGCTGGAAGGCAGAGAGTCTATAATTTCTTCTGGGATCTGCATGTCCTGCCGAGGAGGCAAACGACCAGTAGACGGGCCTGCGGCTAGTTTTGCTCGGAGCTGCAAGACAAACACGCCGGATCCCTGCAGTTTCGAATCGGGCGCATCACTGGATTCGATGCACGTCGTCCAGGCGGAGAAAGATGACCATTCTTTGACCGCTTGTGGGTAACGTCGCGCTGTTTGGCTGCCCTGGTCAAAGGCATCACGAATGCTAGTCCTTCGAAAACCACTTTGCATCATGGAGGGATGGGCCCACCTATAAACCTCCCCCCCTGGCCTGCCGGTGCTTCGTCCCGCAGCATCTTCGGCCGCATCTTGCGCCATCTACACAACTCTAATGTGAGCTCAGCCGCTCCGGGTACCCACGATGCTAGTTTTTACCCATCCACATCCTATACTCCTTTCACCATTATCTTCCTACGTTATTGGCTTCAGGCTTGCCGCCAGCGTTTGCCAAAAGGCCATGATCCTGAGGCCAATCAGCCGCAAGGGTGCCACATGCTCATGTCTTGCCCAAACTAGTCCTCGTCTATCCGAGTACCAGTCTCCTAGATTCGTGTCCAGGCCGTGTGTTGATTTCATTCCTGACGAACCCCAACTTTTTGCACAAGGGTGACAGACATTACTCGTGCCACATACCTCTCGACTTTTTCCTTTCTTACCAAATGCCCGGATTGACGCCTCCCTACCTTGCCGTGCCCTTTTATTGTCACCGTTCTTATTTTGTGTCTGTGTCGTATCCTCGCTAAAGGCATATGACGCCCCACCATGTCATTGGGTACTCTCTTATAACGCTCTAACCTCGCTGTTACTCTGCTTCTTTATACTGTTCCTACTTCTACCACTACAGCCGCCAAAATGGCCGGCTCAATACAAGCGGACTACGACGAACTTATGCGAGCCATGGCAAATCGCTTCGCTGCTTCAAGACACTCTCGCCGCTCATCACGAACGTCGCCTGTTCAGTGCACGAGGAGACATTCTGCCAGGATTGAGAAACCTAGAAGCCATCAACCAAGCCCGATCACACCAGAGAGGCGGCGAATTAGCAACGCTCCAAGATATGTCTCCTCTTTGGACGATCACTACCGACGTATGATGGGTCTTGATGACGATGACGACTACGAACAGGACGAGGTCGTCAATCAGTATCAGTTTTCTACCCGTCCCGTGAGTTGGCACCCAGGCTACTATTCTTCGCACGAGATATCCGACAATGGGTATTCTTCATTCTACTCGAAAGAACAATCACTCGCAAGCCAATATCTTTCGTACCAAAACAGCCCCTTTTACCAAAACGCTGTGCAGGCGTCACGGCCAGAGTTGGCATGGGCTCAATACATGCGTGGTGATTTCAACGCGACTGCGACTCAGAACGGTGACGATCATAATCCGACGTCATGGTTCGACGGTAACGAGGCACAAGAAGACGATCGGATCAACTCAGCCTTGTCGAATTCGCAGGATAACGAGGATCGGGAAGAAAGATCCGAGAGGGAGCAGAGCGTTGAACTAGTTGGATTAGGCCTGTACGACCCTCCCGGGTTCACCGTCAAGATTGGCTCAAAGTTGGAGGAAGAATGTGACCCGCCGGAATTCGACGAAGACGGCAACGAGAATGAAGAGAGTTCAGAGGAGGAAGAGGAAGAGCTGCCTAAACCCGAAGATACAAAGGTCGCCCAAGCGGCCGTGCCCGTTGTCAACATGTCAGGACAAAGCTTCTTCGCAGGGGCCGACGAGAACTACGAGGGCAACTGGTGGTCGGCCGGGGACAGCAAACAGCTGCAACCACAAGTCAACGAAGTTAGCTACAGTTGGGTGTGATACGATCTATATGAAAGAGAGCCATTTTGGGAAATTCTGTTCAAGCGTCGGCGCTGGTGGCAAAAATTATTTTAGTTAGACATACCCAAGAAATTCAGGAAGGACTATTGTTCATGTGCATCAATATATATATCTGCAGCATACGCATACTGTTCATATGCCGCAGTGGCAAAATATTTACCTGCTTTGGCAACCATCGGAGACACGGCCCTGGTTCCGTAAGTTTGTCTCGCACTCTCATTCGTCGAGGCCGAAAAAGAGTCTTCCGCCAATCTCTGCGCTCGATCCTCGCAAGCGAGAAAAACATCTGCTCGAATCGTCACCACAGATTTGGCTCTTGCCATGGGCAATTTGTTCGCGTGGCCATGGAAGAACGATGAAGAATTGCTCGAAGTGCGCGAGCTTTTCTATCCCAGCCCGGAACTGGACGAGGCCACTCGGCGTGAGAAGCAACAGCTCGCGGTGAACATTGTGAGTTCCCAAGACGGCAAGGTCGCCCGCATGTTTTTGTCAACGCCGTAATTTTTTTTATGTTTTTTTTTCAAAATTCTTGATTCGGTGCAAAAACGCCTACGTGTTTTGTGTTCGAGTCTTTTCCAGGGCGCAAGAGAGTTCTGATGCTTTTCAGGTCAACGCGTGGAAGCTGCGTCGGTGTCGCATACCGCACTCTATCCTGGCGACAGCTGACCTTGTGGACGCAATCCTTCACCATGACGCACGCAAGAATTCTGCTTCGGCCATCAAAGCCGTCTACGCGTCTGCGCTGGCGAAGATGGTCACCAGCATCTGCGACCTTGAGCAAGACGCCGCAGAGAAAAGGTCGATGATGGAGCAAGCGAAGAAGCTCGGAATGCCCGAGGACTGGGTGCATCTTCGTCACGCGATCACACACGGTCAAACCCCTGGCTTGATGGCCCTTCAGAGCGCCGTGCTCGAAGCTGTGCCTTGGATGTGGGAGCATTTCTGGCAGCATCTCAGCCCTGAAAGCGAAGTGCCAGAACAAGAAGTTCGCAGCCGTCTTGTTGAGATTCTTACAGGATACCGGCGTCAAAGACGTTCAGAGTTCACTAACCAGTCGGAACTGAGACCCTACGACACTCTGACTGCACAAGCTTGCAAGCATATTAGGAGAATATGTAAAGCGGCCAAGGACGCTGACATATTGGTGGATGTTTTGCTTGGCGAGAATATACTGCTGCCGTCGGAGAAACAGTGCGTTGCTTCATTTGCCTCTGCTGGTCGTCCCACAACGCCACTAACATGCATTAGGACGAATCTCAAGTTCAAGGCCTTCCTTATTGTCTGGGATGCGCTGCTTCTCGGCTTGGCTGAAAGAATACCGGCATTACACCAGAGAGTTGTTCTTGGACTGGTAGAGTATCTGACCGTACAGACAACGTACGATTATGCCAAGGTCACGATCAGGTTGGAAATAGCGTCGAAATGGCTGCAGCACATGCTTTTAAATCAAGATTGGACATCTCGTCTTTCTGCTGCCGCTCTTGAGAGTCTGCGCAACGACGTCATAGAAGGATGCCTTTTGTATAAATCAGAATACACAGATGCAGTGGTTAGAACGTTACTTGACGCCATGTCTGGGCCTCTTGCCGAGTCCTTCAGACAGCTTTTGGACATCTACGATAAGGGGGGAGAAGACGGCCAAATGGACGTCGACATCCTCCAAGACGCAGGTGAAGGACAGGGAGATAATTACTGTCAACCAACAGGCTGGTCAAGACCTGTAGCGGTGTGGCTGCCAAAACCCATTGGAGCTTAAAGGTTAGTGTACCTCTTAAATTTCTAGGATACCCAAGTATCTCCCAAGCGAAGAAATAAAGGTCATGTCCAGATTTAAGTGGCCAATGGAATAACTCAGACCGAGCTGTGTTTGCTGCTGCTTTCGTTTTCTCGTCTACGCTGGACCATTGTCGTCACGAAAATACGGATTTGCCAGAATGATCCCAGCAAAGCGCACGCCAACAATGCAAGTCTGGCCAATGAAATGCGCGTGTGCCAATCACGTCAGTTGCGCGTCGAATTTCTCATCGCGAAGAAGTCCACTGAAATCTCATATTTGAATCGTAGGTTACCCGACCACCTATAAAGTGCCTATTTTTCGCACTTCGTCCTTCGTATTTCCTTCGGAGGTTGTTTTTTTCTTCCCTGATGTTCGCATCGCGAGGGCATTCGTCGACGGCGGTGAGGGCATGGACTCGGTCTGACTGAAAAGAGCTTGGAAAGAACACGAGCTGGCCATCCGAAGCGAGACCGGCTGCATTGTCACGATGGTCGGTCCCCACCCTGCCTGCATTCCCAGATTTTGCACGCTGCTCGACCGACGAAGCCGTTGCGAGCTCGACGAGGGCGAGCAACGTGAAAACAGAGGTGTTCCGCAGCTGCTTTCGACGTCGCTACACCGTTTCCCAAACGTCCCTCACGCAGGCATCGACCAGCCGTCTTTGCACGCGCGACAGCATTCGGGAGTCAGGCAAAAGTAAAGTCGCGCTGCAGGCGATCGTTCCCAACAGCGACTGTTCACTTTCTGTGAGGCAACGCACTACTTCAACTGTGGCGACAAGGTTTGCCTGTAGACGTCCTATCTAAGTCACGTTTTCCTTCCTTCAATCCAACCACATTCGCTCGTTACCTCCACATCCCTGTCGCCATCTATGACATTGTGCTTCAAAAGCCCGCGACCGTCCCTTTCGCACTGCCCACATTCTCCCAATCCTGTGGTCTTTCCTTACGCTGACGTCGCGGGATTCCGGCGGTTGCCCCTCGGCTGCGGTCTCTCAAAAGCCCATGGAGTTGACCGCCCCCCCCAAAAGCTCTGGCCTATGGTGAACGGCGTTTTCGTGGCTACTCGGCTCTGCTCGAACGTTCGGATGAGCTGTAGGTGGGTCGAGTTGGGCAATCTTACGGACGCCTTTTGCGGTCTTGCTGGAGTCAGTTTTTCGTCGACATAAAGCCAACGTGAGATTCCGATCCTACGCCGTGCCTTGTTTCTTTTATCTTTCCGATCTTGCTCTATGCAAATTGATTCTGGGCTCTTCATCCGATTCTAGCAGACTATAGCTCGTTCTTCGTATTCACAGATCGTCAACTAAACGTTCCCGCTGTTTCTTTTCCCCCTCTCCTGTTCAACATTGAGCATCTCCCGTCTCATCTTCGTAGAAATGGAAAACGATACAAAAGCCGTGACAACCACACAGCCCGTCAACGAAACAAGCGTAGCCCGTCCGAAAGGTTCGAAATTGTCTCGCTACCTGAATGCCGAACTTACGGACGACCGCATGACCGAACTTGAGCTGTTGGTCCTCGCCTTCGCGACCGGTATGCAAGATGCAACCACGTTTCCCGATTATACTGTCTTCGCGTCCAATCAGACGGGAAACACAATCTTTCTCGCCATAGGTTGCGCAGGAATCGCAGACGCGAATGTCTTCAGTTTCTCCAACATCGGTTTCGCACTAGGCTTCTTCATCCTCGGCGGTTTCACCATGGGACAAATCGGTAACGTCGTCGGTCCACGGCGAAGGGCTTGGATCTTATTCAGCAATCTCGTTCAGACAATATTGGTGTGGACTGCGGCGGTAATATTGTACGTCGTGCCACGCGATCATGCCGGTCCGCAAGCTTGGCTTGTCCTAAGCTTTTTGGCATTCGCGGCGGGCGGTCAGGTAGCCATGGCAAGGGGTCTCAAGGTCGTGGAGATCACAACAGCTATGGCTACGGCTGCGTATGTCGATCTGCTGATAGACCCCAACCTATATGGCAGCTGGAGAAACAGGGGGAGGAATCGCAGGGCGGCCTTTTTGCTTACACTTACGCTGGGGGGTTTCGCCGGAGCTTACGCTTTGAAAAACGTTAATTCTGGTTTCAGCGTAATGTTAACTGCGTTGTTAAAAACATTGGTGATGATTGCCTTTGGCTTCAACACAGGAAGCACTCGAATCGAGGTCAAGGATGGCACTGTGATCGAAAGCATACAAACTGTTTGAGAAATCCTCGTTTATATATCCCACTAGATCAATGCGTTTTATCTTAGATAGAGGAAAGAGAAAAAGCTGCTTTAGTAAACGCTTCAACCTTGACGAATTTTTACCAGGTCCACATTTCCGACTATTCATGGTTTCAAGTTAGAGCCCGATCCTAGGATTGAAGGACATGCTTTTATCTTCAACGCGTTACGCTCATGCCCTCGCACGCTCGTTGCTTTAACTAAATCAAAGAGCAATTTTCCATCACCATAGAGGAAGCTCCTCTCACAGGAAGCGCTCATAGCATCCGAGAACACGAGATTTGAAGGACGCGAGTAGTCCACACCTGTGCGCTTCTCATTCTCATTTCACTAGTGCTATCAGGTTGTAGATCTTGTGACGTGGATGGCATCTTTGTCTCCTATCCCCAGCCATTTAACAACACATTATGCCCTCGAGAATATCTCGGACATGCGCTGTACTTTTGATTCTTTTCGCTTGTTGAGACTTGATCGATGCATATCTGACCTATCCGTAAGTGTTCTGGCTTGGAATCTTCCCCAGGCTGTTCAGCTCCGGTGACCTTGCCTTGTCCCGCAATTCCAAAAAGAACCAAAGATATTTTTGGCATGGTGAGGATTTTTCAGTCAACCAAGATTACAGCAGTATCTATTCTCGAATCCCAAGTATGAGAAACGACTTCCTGAATTGGATTGTTCTCAAATTCAAATGTTTCGAGCAAGCATTGAATTAAAGTTCCTGGAGTAGAAAGGATGCGAAGAAGCCAGGTCTGCTTGTTTGCTGGGTTGATGAGATTATATTTAAACTGTTTAATAGCACCAACAGCGGGTGTTGGATTGTTGGTTGAGGACTCTAATCCTGTTTCATACGGGATATCGGTGTTGAGCGCACTTGTTGAATGCTTGTCTTCATGAACACAGCCATATACATGGCAAACGTGAAAATTCACTGCAAATTGTACAATTGAGGGGCTTTGAAACAGGTCAGTTTGTGATAGGAGGAAAACATCATCTCTTGAGTCCGCACGAACAGTTGAGCACAGACCACTGATGATACGGACCCACCCGCGCTGCTTGATCTTTGTTTACCCGCACCACCTCAAGCCTACAACCTCACATCGAGCAGGCCTGCAAACCGACTACAACCCCATATATCTCTAGTAACCACGATCTCTACACAAGAGAATTGCTGGCGCGACCTCAATTACTAAATCGCGCTATTTGGAACGATTTTGTCAACTCCGGTCTGCGCGCGCGGTCCCCCTCGAACCTCCCACCACGACAACATTACGCGACAGTTGGCCGCCCATGACCGCGATACATAGCAGAGCGCCGTTAGAAGTCTTGAGTATGTCGGCTGCGCAGAGGCAATCGCGTCGGAAGACCACAAGGCATCTCTTTGATGACGATGACGAGCCACCCGCGAAGAGATCGAAGGTGGAAACAGAGACCGTATCAAATGCAGCCAGTGCTCAGTCCACGAGTAGGATTGCAGCCGCAAAACCGAAAAAGGCACGAACAGGTACGCTCCCGATACATTATCGCGTAAATTCGCTTGTCCATAGATTGATCATCTTTCGGCCGACATCAAACTTAATTGACAACAATTACGGAGTCTTTGGACGCTAACGATCCTATAGCGTACAATGAAGATGCGGATGGCTTTACATTTGCGCGAAAAACGCGTTCAAAGAAATCCTCGGACGAGCCTGTGCCTGTAAATGAAGCGCAAGCGTCACATTCAACTGCTTCGAAGCCACGTCTTGTGCCGAGAACGAAACGTAACGATAGCAAGACCGACCCAAGAATTGCGTCAACGTCATCAGAAACGGATCTGACAGGTCCAAGACGGCGATCTGCACGACTTTCCGGAGACAAAGAAGCTGTCCAATCTTTACCAGCCGAGAAACCGAAGCGGAAGCGAAAGTCCAACGAGCTTGGTTCGTCTCAGCGCGCTCGCGCTGGTAGCCCAGAGCTACCTCCGAAAGACCTTCAAATTGAACGAAAGCGCGAGGGGACAAAGATCATGCTTCCATTTGCAGACACGCCTGTAATAAATCGCAACAAAGAAATGCGAGCGACCAAGAGTAAAACGCAGAATCGCAGAAGCAGCGTCAACTCAAGAGGGAGACGAGCCAGTTCGCTTATCGAGAGTGGCACATCAAATGGTAGGACTTTCCGTACTTATGGTTCGAATCGCACGCCAAGAAGCGCGCAAAAATTCCCTTCTTTTTCGTCCTTTCTGTCGGATTATCCGCTTGATTCTCAGCGTGTTTCTATACCAGTGTTGCGAGTTGAAGAATCTCTAGTCCAATCAGCCTGCCTGTTACGAAGTTCTAACAATTTCAACTCTATTTCTCTCTCCTATGATCTAGTCCTGGCTAATCAAAATGAATTAACAGCTGTACCTCACTCAGACGTAGACATCAAAGACTTTTACAAGCACATCGAACAAAGCCTCCTCGAACCAAAGCGGATGCGCCAACTTCTCACCTGGAGCGCAACACGCGCTCTTCCTCCTAAAGCTCATGGCGGCAGTGGTAATGCAAGCGAGACGTTTATCCAAGAAGCTGCGCGTTCAATCATCGAGGATCTGCTCAAGGATTTTGCCAACAAACCTGAGATGTCGGATTGGTTTAGTCGCGACGAGACGAGCGAGCCAACTGCGATTGTGAAGAAGCCAAATCCGAGGAATGCGCAGAATGCTGCCAGGCTACAGAGATTGGAGGCAGACATCGCGAGACTAAAGGAGGAAGAGAGGCAGTGGAATGAACTTACAAAGTCACTAAAGAGCGAAGAAGTCGGGGACTTGGATGATATTGATCCGTCTGCACTAGATCCTGCACAAGCAGCTCTGCTTGCGGAGCTGCAGCTTGGACATGACGCGAGTGGAAATGCGAAGAAAAGGCGGAAGTCAGAGGACAAGGAAGAAGCACACACGACGGGGTTAGAGGATATAGCAGCACGAATGCAGGCTATTAATTCGAATTTGGAGCCGCAGATCGACATGTTTGCTGATGGTCTACACCGAGTGGGACAATATCGACTTGCGGCGGAAAGAGTTGCAGATAGGCTGCTGGGCACGACGGCCAGGAAGCTCGAAATACGCGAGAAAGAGTCGCAAAAGGCCACAGGTACAAGTTCGATGGGCTCCAAGGAAGTGCTATCCGCTCTCGCCCGAGCCCTTTACGCAAGAGGAGACGGGAGATAATGTGTGTTTTGCAGAAACTGACGAGCTTATGATGAGAATTGAGATTTTTGTACATGCATTGAGCATAACGGGTGGCTTTGTTATATACGACTTGTTCTACTCACGATCAATTTACGTGCTTCGTCCTGGGCCTCACACATGAGAAAGGAATAGCTGGCATATCTTCACATATTCAAGCTTGTGATTTTGGCAAACGATTTCCGGAAATGTTGATTCAGACTTTATAAAGGATGTTTAATGCAGTGTGATATATAAAAATGATCAAAGGTTCGTCCATTAAAGTTACAGCAGTAGGCGTACATGGGTATTAGCTGCTCAATGAATGCCAAATAGAAGCTCAGAAACACGCTTCTTGCTCGACAATGCTCCCGAATTTGGAACGAAACCAATACTCTCACCTGAAGTCGACGCCATCATGATATGAGAACAAACAAGTCAAAGCCCCGCCCCCAAAATGGATGCTTCCCTTCCCATGCACAAGCTCCGTAACATCTCACTGAACTGATCCATACGCTACATGCAATGAGTGCCTCAACCGAATAAATTGCTCTCCCTAAGATCCTCAACGAGGTCATCGACATTGCTTAGGTACTGTCCCAACAATCTCTGTTTCTCCCTCGTGCTCTTGATGGTCTTTTCCATCCTCTCTCCGTCGTAATCGTATCCCCATCCACCAGCCATGTAGCTGCCGTTCGAGCTAACAATCGAAACCCCGCCGTCCTCGTCGTCCTCGGCTAGCGAACTAGTGCTTCTCTTTACCCTGAGCGCCGTCCCTCTGCTGTGTGAAATCGGGGGCGAGGAAGAAGGCGCTTCGGGCATGAGGTAGAAGTACAGGAATTCCAACACGCGCATCTTGACGCCCTTGCTGGTCTCTTCGCTTCTAAGCAAGTCTTTGATGCTCAGCAAACCGTCCACACGCTCGAAGGTGCGTATTGCAGGTGGATTGTTAAGCAGAGCGGTGACAAGAACAAGAATAGCGGATTGCTGGACAGCAGGCGGATTGGCAGTGTCAAGGAGGTCGAGAAGTGTATCCATCGAGGCTTGCTTGATGAATAGATGCCTGCTGGGTGGGTGAAGCAGGAGAATACCTTGTAGGACAGCCAAGGTCGAAGAGAGGTGGCCATCGACTGTGCCTGGAGAGCGGGAGAGTAGTGCATTAAGCGTCGCGAGGAGGTGTGTAGCGACTGTAAGGTCTCGTCAGCTTGATGTGCTTTCCAACTAAACTTCCCCGTGTGAAGTGAGAGGTAAACACGTACCATTATACTCGAAACTCTCCTGCAACCGGAAGAATTCTCTAAAGGCCGGATCTATGGGTAGCTCGCGAAGCGTCTTGGGCGTTTCGCTGTTGCTAGAAGTTATGACGGATGCTCGTCTGTTGTGACCTAGTTTTGTGGCTTTCGAAAGGCATATCTGGGCCAGAAGTCCTTCAATCTGCTTCAGGCCAGTCCGGACTTTGTCCGTGTTCTTCGACGAGAGATTATCGAAGGCCAGAGAGAGGAGTGCCTCCATTCCGGCTGATTCTGTGTAAATTCCGGGAGCCGCCGCTGGTCAGCCTCGCGTGGCAGAGGTCGTGCTAGGTTCTCTACGGAACGAGGCGAAGCTTGACTACTTGGCTATCGGAGGATGAAAGACTGAAGATGTGATATTCTTAACGAGGACAATGACATTGGGAGACTTATTGGGACTGGAATGGGGCATGAAAATATGGAGCAGCGCTTTCCAGGTCGAGTTTTGGTCTGTGTTGAAGGTTAAGGGTGAGTTTGTCGGTGTGGACGTGTGTGTTGGCATGTCACGGCAGTTGGTTGCTATGGCAGCGCCTAATCGATAAACCTTATGTGGGAGCTGCTATAGCCCCAACCCTTGCCTCTGCCCAAACAAAAGGAATAATGCGAGACATCGGGCCTTTTTCTACATAGTCTAGAGACCAGACATGTCGGTCTTCGCTACGAGGGCAGATGTCTGTGATGATACCTACGTGTTCTTGGTTGATGATGGCGCTGATTGAAGCCGTGAAGAGCCGTTCGCATGACGAATCACCTCAGCAGACCAACGACGAAGACGTCACGACGTCATGATTGGCTGAGACGTCGATTTCGTACCTGCGCCTGGCGTCGTCACATGCGCTGGAGGATCGTGCCCAGACAAGCGACGCAAAGCAAAGCACATTCAAAAGCTCTCAATCGCCCGTTACAGAGGAATACATCTTCCTTGACCCTGATCCTCGCGTTGGTGTCCTGTTCAGCATCCGTAGCAACCTCTCCAGTCATATGCCACTCCCTTCGCTGAACCGAAAGTGTCAACCTCGCTGACTCTCGGCGGCTGTGGCACGTACCGCCCTCTGCGAGGCGCAAGGCAGCATCATTACCAGCTCCAGACATACGTCGTGCTCCCTAGCACACAAGGAAGCCTCTGCACAGGAACCGGGGCAGGGGACACTCTTGCATACGTGACCTAATCCATCTGACAGCGGCTAAGTTATACGTGGAACTAGCCACATCAAGTCTTCATCATGGCTGCTTCTCTCCAGCAGGAAACCACAATTCTACCCTATATACCACCCCGCACCTCGTCGCACCGCCGCCAAAGCTCCTCAGGCACTGCATTTTTACCCGAAGATTTGAACATCGTCCCTGCCGGCCCCTCCAGCAGCCCAAACAGACCCAAGTCCATGAGCGCGAACAAGAGGATGAGCGGGACCGCCACATCCACTACGACAACAACCACAACGGCGGCTGCAGGCCAGCAGGCGTTGAATGGAGTAGGCAGCAGTGGCAACAAGTTCAACGCGGGAGCCGGTGCGACTCGCTTCCCCTTCAAAGCGAAAAGTGCTTACTTTACCTCGTCGCATACAGAATTTCAAGCCGCCCTCGCCGCTAGCGGTAACAACAACAACGAAAGAGATCCCAAGCGCGTGTCGCAGCCGATCTCCTCACCTCCACGGGACTCGTCGTTGTTGCGCACGAGCAGACCGAAGAGCCTGTCGAGCCCGTTCGAAGGCAAGGAAAAGCTAGTCTTGGAAGGAAACGGCCCATTCGAGCCGCCCAGGAACTTTGGAGACAAATTCATTGATGGGAAGGTGCCCACATGGACAGCAGAAAAAGAAGGCATCCTCATGGGGCCATATGATTATTTGTACGGGCATCCAGGGAAGGACATCAGAGCGCAACTGATTGCAGCGTTCAATGTGTGGCTCAAAGTGCCGGATTCGAGTCTGGCTATCATCACAAAAGTGGTAGGCATGCTTCACACGGCAAGCTTGCTGTACGTATCTTTCTCTTGAAGCTCAAATCATTGGATGTGTGATACTAAACAATGCTCTCCCAGCGTCGACGACGTCGAAGACTCTTCGCTCCTACGCCGAGGGAACCCGGTCGCACATTCCATCTTCGGTACGGCACAAACTATAAACTCTGCGAATTACGTCTACTTTCTTGCGCTTCAACAACTTACCGCTCTCCCCCACGCCAACTTCGCCATCCAGATCTTCACCGAGGAGCTTCTTATGCTGCATAGAGGACAAGGCATGGACCTTTTCTGGCGAGACACGCTCACCTGCCCATCTGAGGATGATTACCTCGAGATGGTGTCTAACAAAACTGGAGGTTTATTCAGGCTGGCAATCAAACTCATGCAGGCAGAGTCGCCGGTAGCGGACCGCATAGATTGCGTTCCACTCGTCTCGACGATCGGATTGCTCTTCCAGATTCTAGATGACCTGCTCAACCTCTCGTCGCCTACATACACGCAACGCAAGGGCCTGTGCGAAGACCTTACGGAGGGTAAATTTTCTTTCCCAGTCATTCATGCGATCCGCGCGGATCCTTCCAATCGCGTCCTTATCAATATCCTTAGGCAGAAGACTACCGACGAGGAAGTCAAGAAGTACGCTGTTAGCTACATGGAGCGCATGGGAAGCTTTAGCTACACACGCAAGGTGCTCGGCGTGCTCGAGCAGAAGGCTTTAAGTCTTGTGAGAGAGGGCGAGATGCTTGTCGGCGGCGAGGAGGGAAGGAGAGGCGCCGAGAAGATCAAAGGTATCTTGGGCATGTTGAAAGCGCTCTAGGTATTTCTTGTAAGAGTTGGGAATCTATAGATTGGAGCTACAGATCTTTGGTTCATTGTTGGTGGTTCTGTTCTTGGTTGTACTTTGAGGGAAGTGCTTGTATATGCTTTGCGTGTGGACTGTAAGACGGCATCGTCGGGTCGAGGCGATTTGGGAGGGACAGATTTTGGAATATACCCGGTAGCGCATGGTTGACAGCTGCCACTGAAAGCTGCCACATACCCAATGTAATAATGGATCGCTCCTTGAGCACAAGTCACGCTTTCGTTCTCTTTGTACATAGGCACATCTCCTATATTGCACTGTGAGGAAGTGGGAGCTGTAGGATGCCACATATGACACACGGTAGCAAGTCAGGAAAGACGAATAGCTAATCGATTGTCGTTTACTAGTAGTCATGAACTGGAACAAATCAGGCGAAGCATTGCAAGTCTGCAATTGGGAAAAGGATGCTATGGCGCACGTGGAACAATGAAGCGTCTTGGTAAAGGGCAACAGCGTTGATATGCACCAAAGCATTTGTTTCTTAACGCTAAAAGATGAATATCGCACGACGCAGCGAGAGCGAAAATGAAAATCGCAAGGATCGTGCCATTGATGTCGGGTAACCAGCAGTTTGTTGAGCATGCACGTCGCACACTGGCGTGCCAACGGCCCGCGGCAGCTCCATATTATCAAACCCGTTTTTCCAACCCTGATTCTTTATAGTGTGCGGAAAAAGTGAAGTGCTTTGTGCGGAGAAAGCGTGGTTTTCGCATTGACGCCATGTCTTCCAATGGCCAGGGGGACCTTGCACATGGCACGCGATTCGCGTGTGGCAAGGGAAGCCGCCACCCTGCGAGTGTTCCAGAGCGGCGAGTTAGAAGCTGCACCCCGGCGACCACTGGTGCTTGCCGAAATAACAATGGCAGCTCGCTCGAACCTTCCTCGGAAGAAAAAAGAAAAGAAAAAAAACCTTGGTTGGGTCAGGCCAGCAGGTCAGCAGGTCAGCAGGTCAGCAGACCTCCAGAACGAAGCAAGAGCCAACAAAACGACAACGACGGTGGCCAGCCGAACCACTGGTAACTCGGGGGGCCTGGTGTGGATTGAATGTCCTTTCTCTTTCTTCCGTTGGCTTTGTATTCGGCAAAGTGGTGGCGATTGTTGTTCTTCACTGAGGAACATCGAGCGACCACTGGTGTCGCCTCCAACCGTTTCGCTTGCTCCCTGAGCGCCAGATCTGACCGTTGGCCACTGCTCGCGGCGTCTGAGAGTCTGCGTCTAGTACTAAACGCATGTAGGTCGATGTGCACTTGGACACTTCGTGTGTCGGCACGTCTATTTCTTCGGCTGAAGAATGGGCTGTACTGACGTTGAAATCGTCGGTTTTCTTGTCAGGTATAGAATGGATGCTCTTGGCTGCTCTAACCGGTGTCGTTTGCGCCGAGGCAGGTGAAGGTTCAGTTGGAGATGAACTAAGATCTGGTGTCGTGCTTGATGATGAAGGTAATTGTGGGAAGCTCTTGCGTTCTGCCTCGTTTGGTGTGTACGGTTCCATCGCAACAGTCGGACTAGGAATAAATGGGTAAACTGTCGGAGGCTGTATAGCAGCGAGCTGCGACGGCACTGTACGCAACGGCAACGTCGTTTGCTGAGACTCAGAAGGTGGTCGATGTGTCGCGAGGACAGCAGGATCGAGCTTTGCTCCTTCGGCTATCCACTTGAAGAACGGATGATCATCAGGTCCAGGTAACGGTTGGGGTGGGCTCGTCCACATATTGCCAAAGTCGGGATATCCAGGTGGCCGATAGGAAAATGTTTCCTTGCTTTGGTCTTCTTGAGTCTCTCGCTGCTCTTGGCGATCATCCGTCTTCGAGGCGATTAAACACACGACTTCGCTTCTGGTTGTGCTTGGCTCTGATATAGGTTCCGAAGGCGACTGCATACTTGGAGAGGCACCACATCGAGTCAAGCAAATTTATTGACATCTGATTGTCTAGACACTAGGACAGGCCTGTCTTGGGTGGAAGACAAGACGCTTCGTGGGCAAAATTTCACATTCGTAGCACTGGAAGCGACACTAGGACTATAGGCCGTAGCTTATAGGAACCTAAAATCAGGTTGGCACAGTCAGCGCCACCGTGAGTTACGTGCATCCGTCATCATCTAGCCCGATGAACCTTGCTTGAATAGTGAGGATTCAGCTTCGACGACGTCAACGGAGGCGTGACAGATGAGACTGGACCAATTTCCTTAAATTGTGAGAGCTGATACCCCTACAGCTAGCCACTGGTCTGCTTAGCGGCCGTACCTCACCATAAGGGAGAGAAAGATCCTCCAGACTTGGCAGGTTAGCAACATGGCAGAAATGCGGGCCCTAAGCTAACAGGGGAGCCTGCATAAAGGAGATGGCCAGAGTCCCAGACTGAGCCATTGCTAGTTGTATCATCGCGTCATGCTCTGCTTGTGCGCAACAAGATTTGCCGTTAAGGCATGATGGATTCTGCCATGGTCCTCATGCCCAACGGTGTCGAGACTGCGGGGCAAATAATCCTGCAGCGGTAAACGGTCTTCGTGGTCCATCAAACACGGTTGATGGTGGTAGTTACAGGAGGGAGGTTCAGCTGAGACGTTGGCATTGTGGCTTTTGGGGCGCCACCACCTTGAATAAACGCTTGGCATGAGCAAGGATTCCTCTCCCACAGAATCTCCTCGCCAACCTTTGAACCTTCGAACTGGAAACACCGGTCAATTGCATTGGCTCGTACTTCACAGAACGCATTCGAATAGCAAAGATCACTAAGCCCGCATGCAGATTTGAGCAGATGATCTTTCGGATCTGCGATGTTATCGATAAAGGGCGACATTAAGTTACGGCCACACCAATAGCGTCTCAGCTGGCAACTGCGCCTACGCGTCGTCAATGTACATCTGCGTGATGCAAAGGTCAAGTTGACAGTCCTGCCCGCCTAGTCTTTACTTCTTTCTGTCCCGTTTGGCCTTTGCCACCAATTTAATCTGGGCTTCGAGGCATCCCGCACAATTCACGAACTCCTTTTTTTGCAAGATGCATGACATTTGCAGTTCAAAGTGCCAGAGAAAATGCGGACGATTATTCTAATAACGCTATGCACGGCATCGATCCCGCGCCCCAAATGTGGGTGTCCAATGTTGTACTATTACCCTGTGGCTAGCTGTCAAATGTGATTCGCGCGGTCCTTTGACAGGTACGGGCCACCTTTGCGCGGCAAAAGACTGCGGCTTAGTGTCTGCGGAGACAGTATCCGCACAAACACGTCCAATCCCGAAGTCTAGACGTTTTACCGCTCGCGGTTGACCGGTGATCGAAGAGGCGATCGAAGCCTTGGTCGCACGTGTTTGGACCCTCAGCTAGACACAAGACAGCCACCGTCGGAGTAAGGTGGAAACACCTGGCCAGAAGCGTAGTTGAGGGAACACGGCCATACCATATCAAGTGTTCTATTTCACAAAACGTGACGTATGAGGTTTAGTGTGCAACCAAACTTTGTACACAGTACACCGTACACCTTAGATTTGCCGAGTTGTCCGAAGTTTGCATGGCGATTCGAGATTTTTCTATAGCCTACACAGTAAACTAGACAATGTGATGCGGCGGACTGGTCGCACAGACAGAACACTCCAGGCAGAAATGTCGCTCCGTGAAGGTTTCTGTGTTGTTGTTCTCTCATGTGCATACCTTTTCGAGCCAATCTACTAGAGGAAGCATCGAAGGCAGCAAGAACAACATTTTGGCCTGCGATGCAATCAACATGAGTACTGCTGCTTTAAATTTCATGTTGTCAGGAGAAAATACCAGGGTCGATACTTCGTGACCAGGAATGCCAGCCTCTGAACCTCCTCAGTTCTCCTATAGCGCCTCGCGCCAGTCAAATGAAAGAGTCATTCCAGCAAACTTCAACTATTCATGGAACCCAAGGTGTCGTACGTGGCCGAAGGCCGCTTCTGGTCCTAGGCCGAAGGCGACCTTTTATAGGCAGGTGGGGTTCATTTAGCGGCATTAGATTATCATCTCTTCTCGGCTTGAACTAGGAGTACTGCGACGTGGGAAGGACTATCGAGAGATCCCCTCGTAGTTACGGCAGTAGTCTCTGTCTGCTTTTCCGCCTTTTCGTTATGCATCTCACATATAACAATACCTGAAGATTGATTGAGCAAATGTCCGTAGTACTAGCTGACTTGCCAAGTTCCAGGTTGACCTTGAGAGCTCGGTGAACCGAACGTCTCCGACTGTATCGATAACCGAATCGTCGTCTTGCTCTTCACAGATCTCTAACTTTGAAGTGAACAACAGGAGACTATGTCTTAATCTTCTCATAGCTTGCGCTCAATTGTTCAAAGAATCCATAGAATACAAACGTACCTATTTTTCAATATGATTTTTCATCACTACCTTAAGCCATTGCGTTTAATCGAAAGGCAACCTGGCACACGAACAACGCACATACCAACTCGTCGTACTATCAATTGAGGTTACTTTTACACTTAGGGCAGCATAGTAGCAGCAAAAATTTCTTCAAGGCCCAATCCTCCCATTTCGTTACAGCTCATGTGGCAGAAGTGTCAACATAGGAAATCCGCTCGTATCCTTATGGCCTGAGAAATCGTGATGCGCCTTGGGCTCGGGTCAAAATCCGACCGATGACCAAATATTCACATCAACGTCTTGCATCCTCCGCACTTGTGCTTCTCCGCATCGATGGATTGGGAAGGGCTCAGCAATGCATTCTACTCTCAATTTGGCCCGATAGCAAGTGCCGTTAGTGATACCGTTGACAAGGCACTATCTCAGTTGGCACAATGGACTGCCGAAGGCTCATCTTTTCGACTTCAACCCCACAACGGGAGTCCGTTCACAGGTATTGCTCAAACTACACCGTCACAAGTGAAAATGGCGAGCGTGACCACTGTTGACCTACTGAGACTCGCTACGAGTCTGCCGTACGCGGGGCAGATCTCGAGCTTTAACGCGGGCATGGCGAACTTGACCTTTCAATTGTTTGACAGTTCGTTCGCCTCCATTCTAGGCCCAAATGCATCGTGGCGCATGATCGCGAACGAAAGTTACCAGGCCTTCCATGAAGCCGGCGTGTATCATCAAGACACGAAGAGCTTGTACATCGCGTCAAACTGGGCAAACGACTTCTCGAATCCGATCAATGTTTCCATTCTGAACCTGGAGGACTACTCCCTTTCATCAGAGCGGTACGAGGGCCTTGCTTCGCCTAACGGAGGGACGACCTACGTGCCGCCGGGAACGACGGAGAAGCCCCAGTTGATCTTTTGCGACGAAGGCGATTTTGAGGTTGCCAGTGCTCTAACAATCGTCGATCCGGTTGCAAAAACCACCAAGGTATGAAGACAACGAGTGGAATAACTTAAGGGGGTCCTGCTCACGGCTGTATAGCAAGTTGTCAACAACTTCTTTGGACGCAACTTCTCTTCCCTGAACGACGTCCGCCAGCACTACGAAACAGGGGATCTGTGGTTCACGGATGCTCAGTACGGGTATCTCCAATCGTTCCGTCCAAGCCCAGGCATACCGAACCAGATATACCGCTTCGAGCCGACGACAGGAAACCTGCAGGCCGTCGCCGACGGCTTCGTTCAGTCGAACGGCCTCGAGTTCTCTCCCGATTTCAAAACGCTGTACGTCTCCGACACTGGCGCGCAGCTTGTCGAGCTTGGTCAGAATTTCACTAGACCAGCGACCATCTACGCCTTCGACGTTGTCGATCAGAAGTACTTGCAGAACCGAAGGATCTTCGCCTACGTCGACTCCGGGGTTCCTGATGGCATTCACGTGGACACCAACGGCAACGTCTTCTCAGGCTGCGGGGATGGTGTCCAAGTATGGAATCCAGAGGGACGCCTGCTTGGAAAGATCAGGGTCGAGAAAGGAAGCGCGAATTTCGCATTTGTCCCGGAGGGCATGATTATATTCAATGAGTATAGGCTGTTTCTAGTCACGATGGCAGCGAGAGGACGAGAGCTAGCCAGAGACTTTGGTGCGTAAAGGCTAGTGTTTATGACTGAAGACACCCATGCGGAATGCCAAGGCTGTCTTCTTCTGGGTGAAAAGGTTCAAGGCATGTGCGTTATGAAGACTTTATTATGTATCGCTTTTCCGATGATGAAAATGATAGTGTCTTGGATCGGAGATGGAGTTTGCCCACACGTAATACAAACGATATTGTTGACGAGTTCGCGAGCCGGGATACCCATTTCCTCTTGACGCTAATGGCTTGAAATAACACAGCGGACGGGCTTGCCTTAATCTAAACGAAGCCTACCCATGCTGTGAGGAACAAAGAAAGTTTCCGATTAAGTGTGCCGCATACTTTACAAACTTGCAACGTAACCTGAGTGAGCCATAAATATCACGTGGTGGCACCTGCGTGGTAGGTTGGCATGGCAACGAACATCGGAGAGAATCAACATCGCGGGAACAGCTTCCAACCTCAAACCGAGCCTCATCGCGTCGCAAAACCCAACAATAACACACCGTGTGCCAAACAATCACTCGCGCAAAAAGATACCCCCTTCCCTACAGAACCTTAGAATACACTACCTTTCTGGAGGTTGCCGCATGACTGGTTGAGCAGTGTCCTTTACCTGCCGCTGGAAGGCACCGTACGCACACATACTCCTCTTTGGCCTCCTCAATACCGCAGAAATGGACACGAGCTATCTGGAGAAACAAGTCTCCACTATCATCAACAAGTTGCATGAGTTATTCGACGAGATTGGCGTACCAAGCCATGAGCGCGATTCGCGAGAGTCTGAATTGTTTGCGGCTCTATCCGAGACGCTGCACAACCAGTTGCGGCTCGTGACCAAGTACGTTGTGCATGAATTCTAAGACATGGATGTGAATGTTGATGTTGGAGCAGTGAGAAGCATGAGATTGCGGAGGAAGCGAACCGCCTTATCACCACCATAAAGCAGATGCAGATCAGCCTCGAAGGCAAAGAGCGCAACTCATACGACTTTGACGATGACTTGAAGGTCACCTACCCGCTCAAGCCTTGCCTTGAAGGCCTCAAGGAGAAACACAAAATGGTGCACAAGCTGCATCGCGAGCGTTATGAGCAAGTCAAGAAGCTGGCGCAGGCCATCGAATCGTATTCTTCACACCTAGAGCCGTCCTTTATCAAGGTCAAGCTTCCGCCCACTTCTCCAAACGCCAGTTGCCCGCCAACATTCGACTTGTCGCATGCATACTTCTCTTCTTTGGATGATGAATTCACGCGCGTCTATGAGGAATATGAGCGACGACTGGCAACCGTGAAGTCTTTGTGCTCAGAGATTATCAACCTTTGGGCAGAGCTAGGCACGCCGCAAGCCCAAACCGATTCCAATATCGTCACCCTTTCGCGCGAAGCGCCGGAACAACTTGGTCTCCATACCGAGGATCTAAAGCGTTTGCAATCAAAGCGAGACCGTCTGGTCGAAGAAAAGAAAGGTCGAGAGCGCAAATTGAAGGAGTTGCGCACACAGATTGAGGCTCTTTGGGAGAGACTGGGCGTTCAGGAACCCGATCGGAAGGCTTTCCTCGCAGCAAATAGGGGCTGCGGAATGCGAACGATTAACGAATTTGAGGATGAGCTGAATAGGCTCATAGAACTGAAGCGTCAGAACTTGGGCTTGTTTGTTGAAGATGCCAGGGTCAAGCTGCAAGAATTGTGGGACAGCTTGTACTTCTCTGAAGAAGAGATGCTCGAATTTACACCTGCTTTCTCCGGTAGGCCTTCCTATTTAGTCGTGAGAAACTCCAACTGTACAGCCACTAACATGGATGTAGACGTTTATAGCGATGCCCTGCTCTCTGCACATGAAGCTGAGATTGAGCGGCTCGAAGCCCTACGGGAGCAGCGTGCGCCAACTTTAGCTCTGATCGACAAGCACCGTAGTTTGATAAAGGAGCGTGACGAACTCGCGGCCTCAAGTCAGGATGCCTCACGCCTGATGTTGCGAGGCCAGAAGGGTGAGAAGCGTGACCCTGGCAAGTTGCTCCGCGAAGAAAAGATGAGGAAGCGCATTGCAAAGGAGTTGCCAAAAGTCGAGGCAGAACTTAGAAAGATGCTTGAAGCCTGGGAAGACGAATATGGCCGGCCATTCCTCGTCCATGGTGAGCGGTACATCGATGAGCTGGATGTGTCTCAAGCGAAAGCTCCGCCTCCTCGTTCAAAGACGCCGTCAATACCCACAAACTCTGCCAAGGCGACCACGAAGACTACGACGACCAAGGTACCATTGAAGGGTGAGCCAACTGCCCGTACTGGGACTGTGCGTGGAGCACCACCATCTCGTGCGAAGACACCGACAAACTTTGGCAGTACGATCCGCGGTGGGCAGCCTCCATCCACTCGTGGTGGCGATACAATCAAAACAAGGTCTGCCACAGTGAAGTCAGCCAACAAATCGCCGACGCGCATCCCAGCGCGCGCACCACTGAGTAATCTTCAGCATGGAAGCAACTCTCCCGAGCGGCAATACACCTCTACCACAGTCAAGATGGCACCACCGCGTCTCCCTCCCCCGAAGATGCAAGATCTCTTTTCGAAATCGCAGCTGACGCCTGGCCCTGGCCGGGAGTATAGCAACGAGAATGTGGAGCGCAGCGGGAGCATAATACGGCAACTGCCACCGGAGGACCCATACGATGACCGCGCGGGCGCACATTCGCAAATGAGCCATCATTCGTATATGTCGCGATCGGCATACAACCCCTCGCAGACATCAAACTATTCCATGTCCTCAAACGAATCCACCTTCCACGCATCGACGATGAATAGCCACCATCCAGCAAACGTAGGTCGGTCGTATGCCTACGGCCAGTACCCGCGTGAGTATCCTATGGCGCCGCCATCTCGTCCGCAGTCGAGGCATATCTCCGTTCAGTCTTCACAGTCAAACAACTCGCAGCCTTCGCAGGTCTCGGGGTCGGAGAACTGGGAGACGTACGACGACGCCAGCGAGCCAGAAGCGGACGCCACGGACGCATACTACGCAAAGTTACGGCTGCAAGCCAGCCGCGGGAAGAGACTAACGCCCGAGGGCGGCCACGGACCCCAGCGTGGCACGGTGGGAAAGAAGCCCCGTGGCCTCATCGGCAACGGCATAGGCGTCGTCGTCGAAGGCGTGGATGGCCAGCTGGTAGAGGGAAGTGAAGCAGGATGGACGGACGAGGATGGCTTCTGATTAATCTCCATCACGGAGGCAGCGTGATCTCGCCCATTCTTCTCAGCTCTCCGTCCCCTAGGCGGAGTTGTGTTGATTTCCTTCTGCCCTCGGCTCTTCTTTTTTAAAATCATTCTCTTTTCACTTCTTGCGTGTCATTTTCTTGAACTGCTACAGTGCACTGGACGGACGAACCTTTATGCTAAAAAAGATGAGACGAACGAGAGTTTCACGTACGTATGCTTGTGTTGAATGTACGCACGCGATTACGGCAGCTCCTGGTCTTCCATCACCAGACTTTTCTTGTACTTTGTACACGGCCAGCGATATTATACGCATCTGTGGTTTTGGGAGCGGCGCTCGGAGCGACTGTTGGTTTTCAGATGAGTGGGAATCTTGGGATTATTGGCACTGGCGTTGTAGGATTATCCGTAGCACTACAAGTTATAGTGAAAGCCTCAGGGCAAATGTCTTCGACTTTGAAATTGAAGAATTCCAGGTCGCCTTGCTTGTTTATGCAGCCAAGATTGAGCGTATTCTCGATTCATGAGTCCTCGATACGTGCTGAATGTTAGCAGAAGCCGACGTTCGCGCACAAAATCAACATCGTGCTTCTCCCCATGACGGCCTTGCCTCGAAAACCAAGCAAGATTTTGCTCACTGGAAATTCCAGGGCGATGCTTTCGTCTCTTGCTCACCGTACCGTGTCAAGACCTGCCAAGGGGAAGTGGAGGACCCTTTTGTTTTCGCGTTCACACTCCTCTTGTTTGCTTTACGATACAGCAGCCTGTTCTTGTAAGAATGACCAAGCTAGGCACGATCAATACGAATGCATGTTTAAAAACTGTCGTGCCTTTTTGGAGAGCTGCCTCAACGAGCACCAAAGCTGTGCAGAGCCTTTAGTGGACGGCGAATCAGCCTCAATCTGCCCAACGCGCCTAATCGATGTCGGATCTGACAGCATCCCAGCACACTTGGTCAAGTTGAAGAGCCTTGAGCAAGTCAATCGTAATAGCAAGGACGCAAGGTTTCCTGGATATGTAACGCTGAGTTACTGCTGGGGATCTAATCCCGATGAAAGACACTTGCTGCGAGAAGAGAGCGAGAGCAGCTTCATGCGCGAGCTACCATCGCTCCCCAAAACCATTCGAGAAGCCGTCACAGTTTGTAGAAGAATGGGCGTTAAGTACCTCTGGGTGGATGCGCTGTGCATCCAACAGGGCCATTCCTCCACCTCGTCTGACTGGAAGAGGGAGTCAGCCCGTGTCGGCAGCTACTATGCCAACGCGTTGTTTACTATTGCCGCGACCTGGGCGAGTGCGAGCAACGAAGGCAGCTTGCCAAGAAAGGCGAGCAATGTGTACAGTGGCTGGAACGAATTGTCAAGCATGATCTTGAGCAGCGCGCTTACCAAGAGGGGATGGACACTACAGGAGCTGAGTCTGTCTCCAAGGATCCTGTGGTTCAAATATGACGCGGTTCTCTGGACTTGCAGTGCTGGTATTCGAACCTACCTTGTGCGTGAAAACAGCTTGCCGCTGTTTCTCACATTTAGAAGCGACATGAGGTCAAAGTGGTCCGAAATCCTAGAGCAATACACCATGAGTAGCCTATCTTTCGCCGAGGATCGTTTGCCAGCGCTCTCCGGCCTCTGTAAATATGTGAATGAAGGAGGAAAGGACACATACCTTGCAGGAATATGGCAATCTTCGCTTTCGGACGGCTTAGCATGGCGGCGTTTGAGTGAACGACTCCCCGAATATAGCTCCTCCTGGCCCAACATTCCTTCTTGGTCGCCACTTTCATGTAAAGAAAAGATTACCTTCAATCCCGTATGCGCCACGGGTTCCGGCTGTGCAGTCTGTGGACCTGGCAAGTTGTGGCTCGAAGACGCACGAGTGATCCTGAGCTACGAGGATCCTCATGGACGAATCGAATCGGCTGTGTTGCGGGTCTCGGTATCAATATACGACGTGACGGTCAGGCTGCACACTCAGTCCTTTTCATTATTACAATTCGGTGGCGATGTATCTCTCGAGGGGAGACTCTCGCTCGACACGAGTCTAAAGACGTCTTACACCGAGACCGGGCGGGTCAACGCCATCTTGATTGGACATGCAGTAGGTTTTCAGAAGCTTTTCTTCTTGCTTCTGGATGCTGTGGATGAAGGCGACACGTATCGTCGTCTTGGCATATTCGAGTCGAGATTCAAGACCAGTCCACAACTGCTTGAGATGCTGAAGGAAGGCCGAAACAAGCAGCGGGTCAAGATGGTCTAATCGTAGCTTGCCCTCGACTCGAAATTTACTGGCTAAATTGCCAATTCTGGCAAGCTTCTGGACGGATAGTGCAGACTTGTGTCTGTGTTGTGGAGTAAAGGCGGACTTCCTGTTACTGCAATCTGCACACAGTTGGGCCCCGTAGGGACCATCACCTTTTGCGTAGATCTGGGCACGGGGTGTGATTATTCATCCTGTGCTTACTGCGTCGGTCATGACTGGCTGTGTGCGTCAACGCTCGAGTGTGGGTTTTGTAGTACCAGAAGCACTCGTTACGCTACAGAACGATTCCAGATGTCTGCTTCTCACCTGTCCTGGGAGGTTGACGTGTGCGCCGAAACAGCAGACGGGAAGACTTGATGCTCCAGCGTCTAGCGCGTCTTGCGCGCCAGTAAACGATGACGGAGCTTGCAAAGGACAAGGAAACCACTCCGCTGGTCTCAGGACTTGCGGAACCGAATTCGCTTCGATACGAGAGGCGAGCCGTGTGTGACGTAGCGTCGGCATGCACGTCATGCATCTCGATCGCGGTCGCTCACAACGATCTTGGTGAGCCCTAGAACGGCACCGACGGTCTTGGTCATGCGTTCTTTTCTTCCCCATCGGGCAGGCGTAGCAGAAGGTAGGCCACGGCCGACGCGGGGAAGAGATAAGCTTCTACACGCTTAATGGACGAGATCAAAACGTCGTGGGCACCTCAAGGCGGAGTACAGGAGATGGCATTGTGCGATACCAGGGTACAAGCGCGGTGCGTAGCGAACACGAGTGCGACACGACTGGGCGGTGAAAAAAGAGGGTAAAAACAAGCTGGTGCGGTGGATCTTGAGACAACGAGAGAGAAAAAAATTTGTACCGTGTGCGTGTGCGGATGCGGCGTGGAATGACAGCAAAGTGGCAGAGCACGCGACGGGGAAGTCCCTCGGAGATGGGCAAACAGACGGGAGCCGAGTATTATCGTGCCTGAGGCCGGAACCAATGAAAGTGAGGCCATTATTGGGCACGCCCAGGTGTGGGCTGGCACGTCGGCGGGCGCTGGTTGGGTGTTGACACATGCACAGCAGCTCAGGAGGCCCCAAGTCACTGTGTGTTGTTCCCGGCGCTGGTGCGCAGCGAGGGAACGTACTGCGTTAGGGGGAGGTTCGGGGGGGAAGCCGCAACGTCGAGCGCGACCGGGCACGCGATGTGCCTGGGCCTGGCAGGTGCTGGCCTGTCCTGGCAGGCCCTGGGCCAGCGGCTGTACTGTGCCGAGGACACCATTTACGTACTGCGAACCACCGCCGCGAATAAGAACAGGCGGAACGTAAAAACTCGAACCAAACAGCGTGCGAAGAGATGACATCGGCGCGTGCACGGAAAGGGACAGATGTAGATCGAACAGAAAAAAAAAAAACCGGAGCAAAGGGAGGTGTGCGGTATGAGCTGTGAGGTGTGCGTCACGCCCCACGCGACGCAAGTCGGACGTGGTCCATGTGGGAGGGCATGACCAAAGCAGGCCAAGGCAAAAGGCAGAGGCCTTTTTGGTGGTGAACTGAGTGGTCCTTAGCGGTCCTTCTGCTGCTGCTGCGTTGTCGACGTCTCACACGAGCTCAGCTTGCTTTATCGGCATGCGACCCTGAAAACGACGCCGCTTATCGCCCACGTCCACCCCCAACCAGCAGCGTCACAGCCCAAAACACCCACTCATGACCTGTCTGTCTGCCGACCTGTCCTTCTTTGCCTGAAGCACGCCTGCATCACCCTCTTTCTTTCCAGCGTCGTACCATACTTCTTCCGGGCCAGCGCGGAAGGTTGTCCAGCATAACAAAACCGCGCACCGTACGACATCCTGCCGCTTCCGCTCCCGCGCGCATTGTGCCTCGCACGCCTTACTCACCACCACCTCTTTCACCTCCCACGTAGCCTCACTCCCAATATGTGAGACGGATCCGTGCCCACGACTACCGACTCCCTCTCGCCTCCCCAGCCCACCTCCTGAACCGTCCAAAAGGGACCTTCTGTTTGCAGAGTCCTGCCCCGATGTCGAACGTTGCGTCATTTGTTCTGCACAGTGCGAACTCGAACAGTGCTACAACACTTCCCCAAACCTTTACACGTTTCGCTCTCGGCCTCCTCCGCCCTGTAGGTGCGCAACCCGTCCCGTAGCCACTGCATGTCCTCGGGACACCTATGAAGTCCCTCCTGCCGAACACTTTGGTCTGAGCGACTGATTGTCCGTGAACATCTACACAAGGCGCGTCGCCGCCGTCTATCGCTATGATGATTCAGCCGCGGGCATACCTATATCGGGCGCCGTCGCCAGAGCAAAAGGACAGAAGGCGAAATTCGGTTCGTAGCCAGTCGCCCAGAAGCGCGCCGTCTATATCGTCCTCGCCAACTCGGCCGAGATCGACCCCCTTGCCCGAGCCAACCAAGAACGTCAAGAAGCCAGAGATCACCGTTGTCAATCAGAAAGTGCAGGTGCCTGTGGTTGAGCGCGCGGCGAGCGAGCCCGTTAGCATACCTACCACGTCGATGCTTGTTCAGCCTCGCCACCATCCGAGCGCACGTAGCCAGAGTCCGAGAGCACCCACCCAGACAGTAAGGAGTCGAGGTCCGCATGGAGGAAGAACAGGGCGAAAAGTGAATGAGAAGCATGACGCAAACGCACTGCCGCCTGCTGTAGCTGCGTTGCTGGCTGTCACTACCATACCGCCGCCGAGCCGAATCAACCGCCGGCGCACGCCTTCGCAGCAGAGGCGCATATCGATTGACGAGCTGATCCAGGAGTGGAGACAAGAGGATAACCTATCGTCTTCTGAGGGTACCAAGACGCCTTTAGACATTCTGTTGGAGCCTGCCGATGAGACCGACAATGAGGATGACCAGATGCTGGCTGGGATTGATGATGAGAAGGATTCAGCATGCATGTCATCGCGATCAGTCTCAAGCGATTCTATAGCGTCCACGCCGTCCTTATCGCCTTCTCTCGATGCAACACGGAGCACTGTGTCAAACTTGAGCGGCCCTAACACGCCATCTTACCGTAATCGAAAACACCTGGCCATCCGAACTGAGAAAGTGGTTTCTTCACCACCAACAGAGAGCTGTCTGGACGACCATCCTTTACGGTCCCCGGCGTCTACCGATACCCTGCTCGATACACCACAGATTTTCCCACAAAGACCAAAGCGTGTCGTGAAGCAAAAGTCGACCTTCAAGTCTAATTTGACTGCGTCGCTCAGTGCTCTGAAATCGGCCGCAAAATCATTTTCCAACTTCACGGCACCGAGCATACCCCACGATGATATGCTCACAAGATCCTTCTTCTCACAACCGTACCCTTCGGAGATGCGACCCCGAGATATAGAGGGCATCCCGGATCCCGCCTTACGAAGATACCTGAATCCTACGCACGGCGTGCCGGCCTTGCCTGTCCTCTCATCAGACGACTTCTCTTTTCAGCTGCAAGAGGCGCTTTCTCAGCCCGCGGACGACGTCGACGATTCCCCACTAATACAGATGCAAACGTACTCACGTCGCAAGAGGAGTCGTTCTCGAGTTGGTTTGAGCGTCGGGCCGGATCGTGGCGAGGCTGCCGTGTTGGGTCAGTCACTGCCGTGGATTCGACAGAGGGAGCCGCGAGAGAACAGTGATTTTCTCCGCGTCATCGTGCTCGAGATGAACATGCGGAGGACCGGCAAGCTGGATTCAAAAGGTCCGTTACGAGCTCGCATCTGGCTGCCCCCACGCAAGAACTGCGAGGGAAGCGAGGTTGAGGTTCGTGGCAACAAAGAGGTGCCCATCAGATGGGTGGGTTTAAGCCCTGATGACATCTAAACTCGACCACTTGAGATGACGGACAACCGGAGTGGCGGTAAAAGAGGCTCGTATCTTCTTCGAAGCGTTCGTCTCACGCCGTAAGGGACGTGTCCACTAATTTTCTTTACCGTCAAGCAGCATTGATAGCATTGATAGCATTGGAGAGCCTATCGTCAGGCGTCGGAATTAGCATTGGCAGTTTTCTCCTTTTCTTTGTATACCCATTAAGAACGAAAGCCACGAGGCGAGAGCGCATTAGATGCATTCCATTACTATAGCACCTTAGCACCCTAGCATACGATGAAATGAAATTCTATCACAGCTCAAATCCTTTCGAAGAGCAAAAGTGTTTTTTTTTCCCTCTTGCAAGAATCTGAGAGTGGGACGGAGGGGGTGGAAGAGAAGAGTGGAATGCAAATCAAATTCACATCTGTCAGCCTCGTCTTGCACGAAAAGGTCATTGGCGGGCAGTGTAGCAGCTCTTGTATTTGCCGCGAAAAGAGAGACAGATCACGCAAGCGAAAGGATCTTCGGTCGCCCACCATGCGGTCCACCAGGGTGCACATGTTTCTCTCCTATCGTTTTCGCCACGGCTGATTCGCGCGGTTCCCGCCACCACGGTAGCTCTGAGCAAGAACCTTCCCCTCGAAGAAAAGGAAAGGAAAAAAAGTTACAAGCAGAGGAGGAAGGGGAGGGGGAAGAAGAACTGAGGACCTCTCCCTCTCCTTTCGAGGACAGAAAATGGGAGCGACGCGAGCGTGGCCGGGCTCCTCGCTGGCCTATAAGCCGTGAGAGATCCCTCTCGTTGCACCACCTGACTCCACAAAAAAACTGGACGCTTTCGCGAGGGCAGGCAGAGAGTAGGTTCACGTATGCGATCCAGACAGCTGGGACGAAAGGGGGGTGGGTGGAGTGGAGGCAGACTGGCACGAGGTGTGAAGGACCTTGTCTTCTGGATCGCGAACTCGGATGGGTTTCGCAGTCCCAGAGAGATGAGGGAGACGTCCTTTTCTTCGCTTTATAATTTATGAAAGTGAGCCGTGACGTGGTGTTGGTTCTTTTTTTTTGGCATATGTATTGTTTTTTTGTTACAATGTGGTGGAATCACGAGGCACGCATAGGCATGCTGATTTGCCTAGCGGGAGTAGGGTAGATGGGGCCTCATTACACGTTCTGAGAGAGTTTCATTTTTTTTAACACAGCGAACTAGGGGGCGTGGCTTTTTCCTGCGGCATGGGTGACAGATCTGGAGATGTTACTGCATTGAGCAATAATCGTGTCTCGCCGATCAGAACGTCGTTTGGGTTTCTCAACCAAGGATTAGGAGACGAGCAAACAGTTTGCGTGGGAGGAGACTAATGAAGGGTATCCTTTCGCTTGAACAAGAGCTGATGGGATTTGTTTCACAGCTTGCGGTACAGATGCAGTTGATATCGCATGTTCTCCAGTTCAAGTGGATACTCGAGTCCCACGGGCACTCTGAACCACTCGCTTTCGGTCTCCCGAAGCTTCTCCCATGACCGATTAGGTATTGCCTCTTCGCTGTCCCTTTGCTTCTCGGCAGAGCCGTATCCGGCGTCCTTCAGCAGCGCGTGATCCAATAGCCAGTGCATGGGGTACTTCTTCTCCTTCCCGTTCAAGCTGACGGTAGAATAGCTGCCAGCGCTGTCCACGACAAGCAGCAACGAGCCTTTCACTACCACGCCAGTCAGCCGCAGCAGGAAAGCCTGCGTCTTTGCTAACGACGTTGCATACAGCTCGTTCAGCGTAAAACAGATAGTTACCAGGTCTTTCCCCGTAACGACATTTCGTAGAGTCTCGTCGTCCATCGCCAGAACATCAGCTTGCCGAAACGAGACGTCAAAGATCGTGGAGCTGACCAAAGGCACGTTGTTGGCCTTGGCTGCAGCAGAGGCGTATGCTGATAGCGGAGGCGCTGTCGTGATGCTTTGCTGGAGTTTGTCGATGACATGCCTCCAGTCTGCCATATCCACGAATGTGGCGTGTACACTGACGCTTCTCTCAGTCTGATCAACGACTCGCAGCTCCTCCAGAGCTTCAGCCGCATCTCTCTGCTGCTTCTTCCCGTCGCTTCGATACCTGACGGCGCCCGCTAATGCAGCAACCTCCGCGCCTGCACCGCCCCCTATGCATGATACTTTCAGTCCTTCACAGTTCCCCTCGCCAGGCTCTTCCTCGTCTCTAAGGCGATCCTTGATCACACTGTCGAATATCTTCAGATATCCTAGCGCACGGGCCGGGCTCCAGCGCGCCGCATACGCCTCCAGGTACTCCTCCCTGCCAAAGGCGGCGTCAAAGTCGCGATTGTATAGGTGCCCCTTGACCTCTTGCAACAGCGACGTCAGTCCACCATCGGCCAATCGGCCCGCGAACGTGTTCTGGAACACGTTCAACACCAGCTGCAGCAGCTCCAGCGGCAATTCGCCTTTCGTAACCGCCGCAATGGCTTCCGTTTCTGACTTCGTCGGCCGTCGGTCGGCTGCTCTGTCGCTCTTCGGCCGACTGCCCCGGCCGCGGTCTTTGACGTGCGACGATTTTTTTACAGTTTTTTCTTTGGCCGCGGGAGCCATCTCGCTTTTACTAAGAGTCCCACGCACCGTGGCTTTTCAAAGTGCTCTTAAAAATTTTTTTCCCTCATTTTTTTCGCACGTAAACATCAAATGGCAGGTAGGACAGATGACGAATGGATTCCCTGGCCTGAGTGCCTTGTGGCCCCACATGTTGTGTTGGCAGTGTTAGGTTTGGTACGAGACCGTCTACATTCGGATATTTACAGTAGAGCTACAATGCGCAAAAAGATACGAAACCTCGAGCCGGTGGCACGAACTAGGCCGGCGGCTCAATGACACCTCGTGTCAGGCATACGAGGACGACCATGATTTAATCGGCAGGTCACTACTTTATCCTCGAATCTTAATTCTTTGCGGTTCACACTTCGACCTGCATCATCCGTATCTTCGTTCCAGAATTGCGCGGCCTAAATTCCAATGCAGGTGAACAATGTGATCAAGAGCCTGCAGGCATGGCTCACGGTTAGAAAGGGATTCTGATGAGCTGTTCTGGCCAAAGACATCTCATATCTCCTTCCTCGTGAATGCCCAATAAGCCCTTATTGGGAATTTCCAGTCTGACTTGCGCAGCTTATCATCAAAGATGTCGAAGTTCGCCTTTTCCAGTTTCTCCAAGAACAGCCTAGTCGTTAGTGCAGGTCCCATCAGGACGCCAAACGCGCGATTCACGTCCGCCAATTGCCTGTCTGTACTACGTTCCTGCACAGTGTCTCCGTAGCCGTGTTCCCCATCATCAATATGCTCGAACTCGTGTCCAGCATCCTTACCGGCGCGTAGATTTTTAAGCATTTCCCTTGCCGTGATGAGGTGGTCGTTAGCACGAGTCGCAACTTCAAAGACAGCGTCTGAAAGGCCTGGAGCTGCAGGCCCTTCACGCAGAACCCTCTCCTCCTGTACGCCTGTACGTGCCATAATGTCTAAGGGCAATAACACCGCACCTTGAGGCGGATTGGACATCGGACCTCCTTTTGCATTGCTCGTGTGATGCGTTGGAGGCGGTGGTGGGAACGCGATAAGCGGTAATCCACGAAGTACGGTTGCAATGCCTGTTGCTTTGCCAATATGCGAGGCGACATGATCTGCGACCAAAGATTGCATGGGAAGAGCTTGCAACGTGAGGTACAGCAATGTGCTATACGTATTCTCGGCGTAGCTTTCGAGGCTCTCCAAGGTCGGGTACGGTGGATTGCCAAGATACTGTTCCCGCGTATTTACGATGCGATGCAACCAATTCTTGCTGAGCTTCACACGGCCACTACTTCGTCGCTGCAAGTCCTCAGCAGCTGAAGCAAGGAGTATTGCAGTTGGCTCCTTACGGGGTGTTCCAGCCAGCGACTCGGACACGACATCCCTCCAGAATTGCATGCGCATAGCGCCGATGCTTGGATGTGAGGTTGTATCTGCTACGCGAGCGACGTCAACGTTGAAGGCGCGGAGAGCGAGGTAGGCATCTTTCGCAGAAGTGGGAATGAATGCTTGTAGAACATAAGAGGGGTGATCGTATTTCCTGTTTTCATTAATTCAGTATCAAATTTACCGTCATTATATACAGAAGAAGTACTTTAATAGGCTCAAGCAGTATGCGCGCGCTCGTTCAATCTCCTGTTGCGATGCAGTGGAGTAGCATCTGCGAGCGCATCTCGAGACATTGCGCGAAATCGTAGCGCGACCTGAACCCAACATTGACCTCGTTGACCTCAATTAAATTTAAGATATGGATGTCATTGCTTTAGGGCTGAAAAAAAAAATAAAACATAAAGTCAAAGAAGGTTTGCGATGGACGAGGCGATGGAACTTTCTCATTCCGTCATCAAGCACATTTTTTATGGGTCCGACACGGGACTTCGTGTCAAGCTTCGTCCCGCAAAACGCGTCCGAGTCGCCTCTGCACCGTTTGTCATCGCTGCCGCTTTCGCGAACACGACACGCATAGAAACGATGAGTTATGGAGAGACCGTCGAAGACAGACCGAGGAAGAAGGCCAGATTTTTCGTTGACGACCCTCCGGAAGCAGATTTAGGTCAAGAAACCCCGATACCAGGCGGGCTTGAACCGCTTCCAGATACAGCTGTTGCGCGGCCAGACCAAGCAGTCGTCGGATTCGATGCTGACTCCTTGGAGGCTATTATTGGCGAGAAGCTGTCATTCGAAGACGTGCAGACGCTTAGAGATCTCAGTAATGGCAACGTCGAGCAAGCCATCAACTTGTACTTCGACGGATCCTTGAAAAAAGCAGCTTCAGCTAGCACGTCGACTATCAAAAGTAGTGGACGACCAAAAATTCCTTTACGAAGCTTCCAGGAGCATGGAGAGGTAGCTAATTCCTCCGAGTCCCTCCAATTACCGACAGAGCGAAAGGAGAGTCCGCAAACATGGAAGTCCATGCCGTACAAAAGATATATCGGCTCATTCGGCGTTACGGGCTGGGCAACAAGAAGTGGCACCGGTCTTATACAATATGGAGAGAACATTACACTCGAACGCATTATTCCCCACCAATCTATAAAAAAAGCTGGCAAGCTTGGCCGCGCTGCTAGGACGGACGTAATTGTGCGATTCAAGAACGCGAAGAACGAAGAGGTGGGACGTCTCGAAGCAGAGACTGCTCAATGGATATCTGGGCTACTCGATCAGAACGTGTGCACTTTTGAGGGCAGCTGTGTGTTTGCGCCTGATCGGATCAGGACGAGCGATACTATCTATTTGCAGTTGAAATGCTTCTTGCTCCGGGACATTTTTACTAGCGCATCGATCATCAAACCGCTAGATGATAATCGCCAAGCCATGTTTTACGAGTCAAAGGAGTCGGATGATGAGCGAAGACTGAGGATGCGGCAAGTAGGATTGGTCAAACTCTTTGATGAGATTAAACTGAGCCCTACAAGAGTCAACGCCCAGACTGAGAAACACAAGCGACAAGGACTTCTGGCAGCTGCTGAGATCGCGGAGAAATATGAATTACAAGGTTCTGGACAGTCAGGAAAGAACAATGCAGAGAATGGTAGCTCGTCGCCCCCTTCAGAAGAGGAAGAAGGCCAAGAACTTGAGCAGAATCAGCTTGACTCGCTTTACGAGAAGGCCCAATCATTTGATTTTAATACACCTGAAGCCGAGCCACCCGACACTTTTAATATGGAGCTCCGGAAATATCAGAAACAAGCATTGCATTGGATGCTAAGCAAAGAGCGGGATCAGAAGGCGGAGCATAAACAGCAGTCTATGCATCCGTTGTGGGAGGAATACGCCTGGCCTACCAAGGATGCAGATGATATGGACGTGCCTACTGTCGAAGGGCAGTCGACATTCTATGTGAACCCATATTCCGGCGAAATGTCCCTCGACTTCCCGGTACAGGAGCAAAACTGTCTAGGTGGTATACTTGCAGATGAGATGGGTCTGGGGAAGACAATAGAGATGCTTAGCCTGATCCACAGTAACCGAATAGACAGTCAAACGCTGGGGACGGACAGAAGCGGCACTGTCAATGACCTACCCAGATTACCCAGAATTTCTGCGAATGTCGAACGTGCACCAGCAACGACTCTGGTCATTGCTCCCATGTCGTTACTCGCGCAATGGCAAAGTGAGGCCGAGAAGGCGAGCAAACCTGGAACCCTCAAGACGATGATATACTATGGCACGGAGAAGAATGCAAACCTCCAGAGCTTGTGCTGCACCGCGAATGCAGTGAATGCTCCAAACCTCATTATCACAAGCTATGGCGTTGTGCTTTCTGAATACAATCAGGTTGCATCCAGCGGAGGTGACCGTGGCTCAAGTGGTGGTTTGTTCTCCTTGGATTACTTTCGCGTCATCCTTGACGAAGCACATTTTATCAAGAATAGACAGTCTAAAACGGCGAAAGCATGCTACGAACTCAGAGCCTTGCACCGATGGGTCCTCACAGGAACGCCTATCGTCAATCGCTTAGAGGATCTTTTCAGCTTGGTTCACTTTCTACGCGTCGAACCGTGGAGCAATTTCTCTTTTTGGAAAACCTTTATTACAGTGCCTTTCGAATCAAAAGACTTTCTCCGTGCTTTGGATGTAGTGCAAACAGTCCTTGAGCCCTTGGTGTTACGGAGAACGAAGGATATGAGAACTCCTGAAGGAGACCCGCTGGTGCCTCTCCCACCACGCATGATCGAGATAGATCATGTTGAGCTTTCAAAGCCTGAGCGCGAGGTCTATGATCATATCATGCTCAGAGCTAAACGCACGTTTGCTGCTAATGAGTCGAATCTCATGAAGGCATATACGACTATCTTTGCTCAGATTCTGAGGTTGCGACAGACATGTTGTCATCCAATTCTGACGCGGAATAAGAATGCTATCGCTGATGAACTTGAGGCCGGTGCTGCTGCTGATGCTGTGGATGGTCTTGCTGATGACATGGATCTAGATATTCTGCTCGAGCGGTTTGAGGCTGAGGAGCAGGACGCGAATAAATTCGGAGCACATGTGCTCAAACAAATTCAAGACGAGGCTGATAACGAGTGTCCAATCTGTTCAGAAGAGCCTATGATTCAACAAGCTGTAACAAGCTGCTGGCATAGCGCCTGCAAGGAATGCTTGCTGAGTTATATTGAGCATCAGACAAGCAAAGGGGAATTGCCTCGTTGCTTCAACTGCCGCGAGCCTGTAACACCGAGAGACGTCTTTGAGGTGGTCCGGCACGATGATGACGGCTACGAAGGCTCACGTGTCTCACTTCGACGCACCGGCGCTGAACCATCAGCCAAAATTGCAGCATTGTTATCTCAATTGAAGGCATTGCGTAAGGAAGCTCCCGGCACCAAATCTGTTGTCTTTTCTCAATTTACGTCCTTTCTCGATCTAATCGAAGCCGCCCTGACCCGGGATCGTATCTCATACGTTCGATTCGATGGATCAATGACTCAAAAAGCGCGCGCAGCAGTTATATCTGAGTTCACATCATCGCCTAAGGGTCTAGTCCTGCTTCTCAGCCTGAGAGCTGGAGGCGTTGGCCTGAATCTGACGGCAGCAAAAAGAGTATTTATGATGGATCCTTGGTGGAGCTTTGCGGTAGAGGCGCAGGCCATTGATCGAGTTCACAGAATGGGACAAGATTCAGAGGTTAAGATCGTGAGATTTATCGCGAAGGGCAGCATTGAGGAGAAGATGTTGAAAATTCAAGAGAGAAAGAAGTTCATGTGAGTATTAATCATTCTTGTCCTTCACAAAACTATACTGATGGCTGTGTGCAGCGCAAGCTCGCTGGGAATGATGTCAGATGAGGAGAAGAAGCTGCAGCGCATTGAGGACATCAAAGAACTGCTTAGCTAGCACAGCTTTGCATGATTTTATCAAACATACCACACAAATCATTCACTTCTACACGGCATTCGCATTGAATTGAAATACGACCAGCTTCGCCTTCTATCAACTTCCCGTTAAGTCACACGATGTTCTCAACATGAGTGAAAAATCCTCTGAATACAGCTGCAAATGTCTCTTCTGGCATTTACGTTCCATGTTTGAGCAGGCTATCAAACTTGATTGTACTTGAAAGTGGTTTCGTTATTCCGGTGCTGTTCGCCTCGCGCACTAATTCTTCCAATCTCAATGTAAAACAGGTTGAGAGTATTAATTTGCATGCGTACTCTTACATACATACTGGCATACGAGTTTTCACGGGGTTACGTGCTATCAGTTACCGTAAAACTAACATATGTGGGCCTGGAATAGAAAGCATGACCCCCGTTTTCCGCGAACACATCATTACAATCGTTGAGGACGTGTATATCTTAATGTCCAAATTATCCTCTTCAGTTTTCACCAGCTTATCTATCGCGTTAGGAATTGTGACCATGGCTCTGTAATAGGCATGAAATTTGACGAGGAATAACGCACCGCAACGGTCTGTGTAGAGATACTCGGCATTGAATCATTCATCTCGCGTGTACTCACAAGCGGTTTACCTAGATGGCATTAGGTATTCAGACTCAATAAGAAATTTACAAATAAAAGCGAGAAGAGAACAGGAAAAGAATATGTCAAAATTCATCTGTTCTTGTAGATTATGCGCGCACATCACTCTTCTATTCGAGAACATTCAACGCGATCTTTCAGCTGTCTCAAATCGGTCGACGGCTACAAGAGTGCGATATGATTTGGACTGTTGGGTTTGGCCGAAGGTTTCACAACAGAGTTCAGATAAGAGCCTAGACGCAACTACAAAAAGTTCTATATGCGAAACAAGAGAATCTACAAATTTCACGAATAGCTGATAGCAGCACGTGAATGTTGTCAAACAGTAAGATGCACGTTGTCGTGTTCGGGATTTGATTCGTCAGAAACTGAACAGAGAATATGAATACGACGAAGACCATGGAGTGATAAAATCAGACGGAGTCTATTTTACTTCCAGCTCTTTTTCTCCGCCTGGAAGTTTCATATGGAATTCATGTAGAGTTTATGAGCGACATGTATGTGTTGTTGAGGGCATAGCTGTGTTGTTTGCTCACTGATTTACAGGGAAAACACAGGTCACTCCGATAATCTTGAGCAGCGTCAGCATGAAGAAGCTATTTTCGCCAGTCAATTTGCAGATTTAGAACTGGATGCAGACGATGACTCCATTGACTCAATGGACAAGGAGAAAGATAATACCCATGGAAAAAGAAACCGGCTGAAAACCTTATGGAATAACAACATTATTTCCGCGTTTCCCGAAGCTATCACCGATTTCAAATCCATTAAGCAGTCCATATCTGTGGAAAACAGTGTCAAGAAGGACTTGGGCGACCCGGACAGATTTCCAGAGATCAAATATGTAGCTGAGGTCCGAAGGGGGGGCGGTTTATCGCAAGAGGAGTGCGAGTTTCGACATGCTCGCCGCATGCGTGTGGTTGAACATTTTGCAAGATATATAGGACTGAGTCCAAAAGAGGTTCATCCAGACGATGTTCCAGTCATTGCGTTTGGAGGCAGCGGCGGGGGATATCGAGCAATGCTTGCCATGATGGCGTATTCTAACGCCATGAAGGAATCCGGATTATGGGATTTGATCACATATGTTTCTGGAGTATCCGGTTCATGTTGGGCACTTGCAGCATACTACACCTTCGGAAACGCAAATTGGATCACCGTTATTGAGCACTGCAAAAAGAGACTGTCACCGAATCATCCTCTCTCAGGAGAGGCGATCCGTTCTGTGCTGAATGCTCCATTTGGGCATTATCACACTCTTGGGCCAATTGTTCAGAAGCATGTGAGTGGATTGAAGACAGTGCCGATGGATCTTTATTCTGTTTTCACAACTGGCCATTTATTCATGCAAGAAGATCCGGTCTTGGATCCGTCGAAAACGAGTAAGCAAATTTCACGTCCAGGCCAAAGCTGGTACAAATGGAGCGACGCAATTAAACATCTACAACAAGCACAAGAACCTCTGCCCATATTAACAGCCATTCGACATGAACGACCATGGAGAGACTGGGTTGACAAACAACATCCTTTCAAAGAACCACTTGTAGAGAAGAGAGATCATCTAGAAGCAAAGGATGCCTGGTTTCAATGGTTCGAGATAAGTCCATTCGAAGTTGGATGTGACGAGCTTGAGGCACATGTTCCAACATGGGGCTTTGGAAGACCATTCTCTGGAGGGAAGTCGACAATGCAGTTGCCCGAGCAATCGCTCGCACTGCTTTTAGGACTCTGTGTTAGCGCACCGGCCGGTCCGTTAACATCTTATATCGCTACAGTGCAACGTAACCTACCTCAAGGTTTTATTGGCGATGCGATTCACAATATTGCACGAGGTATCACGAAGCTTTGGGGCAAGCAAGGGACGGAAGAGTTTAGACAACATCATCCGCTTCACGCATGTAATGAACACAACTTCATGTACCATCTGAGCCCAGTACAAGCGAATAAGCCGCGTCCGCAAGGTATCGAGAACTCCCCGCGTATTCATCTTATAGACAGCGGCATGGACAACAACTGTCCAACGTACGTTCTTCTTCACCCTGACCGAGGGTGTGATGTCATCTTGAATATGGGCGCGTCAAGCGACGTGCAGAAAGACAGTTTTCAGCAGAGGGTCGACCAGATTGGAAGTCGTCGTGGTATCAAATTTGAGAAGCGGCACGACGTGGAACCAGGTCCTCAGGGTGCTGGAGACCGATTCAAAGGAATGTATGGACAAATTTTCGATGGAAAACTCATTCCTAGACCAGAAAAGGTTGTGGATTCTTACGGTAAACGGGTCACCAATCCTCCCGCAGCAACATGCAAGAAGGAATGTACAATGATATATCTGCCATTGCTGCCAAACGAGAGAGCGGTTGCAGGGTTTGACCCTTCGACAGCCAAATTTTCGGGGTCATATAACTTGGTATGGACCCCTGAACAGGTCCAAATGCTTGTTGATGTAGGTACTGCGAACTTCAGAGACGCTGAAGAATCTATCAAGACGGCACTGCGCGATGCGTGGCAGAGAAAGAAACGGCTTAGGGAAGGTACGAGCTTGTAAGGTCGCCCCGTAAACACATCACCTGAGTCGTCCGAATGAGGTTTTAGTCTGATATACTTGCGTGTATTAGACAGCCAGCGACAGAGGGCATTTGCTAGCACATGCCACACATAATATACTCGTTAGAGCAGCAATATTGACTTATGAGGAATACTTCTTTATTGAAATAATGAACTTCGATTTTGCATTAGCATGATCCAGCCTTTCTGTAAGAACACGAAAAAAAAGTGGCATAATCTTACTCAATTAAATTTAGTTATTAATATACAAAAGTCAGGACATGTCCGTTAACTACTTCGTAATCATTGGTTGCCCCAAACAGCCGCCGCTATCTAGGCACTTGGTTTGCAGGAACCTCATAAACATTTCCTTGCGGCGGAGCAATCTGCACAGGGGCTTCATACAACGACTGAGGCGGCTGCATTGCAGGCTGCTGACCTTGTTGATAGGGTTGTGCCGATGCATGAGCCATATAGAATGTGCCCGGAAGCTCTGGTGCTGTTGGTTGTGGTGATGGCACAGCGTATGATTGAGGTGGTACGGGTTGCGCGTATGTACTCATGGGCGATACTGGTGGTGGTGGTGCTTGATCGTAAGGCGGTGCAGGTTGAGTGTACGTAGGTCCCTGGACAGGAGGTTGCGTTGGTGTTTGTACATACGCTTGCTGTGTAGGAGGATAGTATTGCTGTACGTTTGTCTGAACCTGGACTTTTTCGTCTGATGCTTGTACTGGAGGTGGTATGGCCTGTACTGGTGCAGGAGCTGGGTTCTCCACTTCTGGTGTCTTCCTAGTTTTTCTCCGTTTCATCCACCAGATTAGCACGGAGGCCAATATTAGTAAGACGGCTAGAACTGCTACACCAGCACCAATACCGCCTTTAGCTCCTGACGACAGCCCACCCTTCTTTTTTTTGAAAGAGCTCGAAGACGAGGACGAAGAGCTACTACCAGAACTACCGCCACTGGACCCTTCACTGCTACCACCTGAGCTACCCGAAGTGGAGCCAGTGAGCAAAGAGTCAGTACTCGCAGCGCTTCCTGCACTTGTTGCAGTTGCAGTTGATGTTCCCGTATTACTGACGAAAGGTTGGCTACAAGCAAATTCGAGCCAAGTAAGCGACGCTTGCATATCAGCACTATCACATGTCGAACCAAGGCAGTATCCAATATTATATCCGAGACTCTGATCCCCACATAGACAGCTATAATCGCTGGTTGCGCATTGTGTTTGAGAGTTCACGGAATTCACAACGCATGTTTCCTATGCACACATTAGTATAACTTTCGAAAAGATAGAACCAAGACCGTACTCCACATGAAGGGAGGGCAGATAAGTCCGAAAAGGACGCTGCATGAGCAGTTGCGAGGAATATCCCAAATACAGTTGATCTAAGCATTTTGGGTCTGAGTCGACGTACTGTGTACAGGAGGAGATCGATCAACAGAAGAACCGATGGTCTCTCAGTCCTCTATGAATAATTTAACAAACTCGCCAAGTGCGGCAACATCCATCATGGCTTGTCTCAAGCTCTGCTTAGTCTCCTGGAAAACTGAGCTTGACAGGGCGTCAAGGAGAGTATTGAGGCTGAATGGCGTCGCGCTAAAAATGACCGGTCAAGCAGGAAGCGAAAGAATACGAGAAAAGATTGGAGATGAGCGACGCCAGCAATGTAGAATCATGTATTTAAAGTAGCAAGCCATGCTTTTTTTACTCTTGTTCCTCTAAATGTTCAAGATTATCGCATGGATCTGAGTTTCCAAATAGAATTGGCAGGATTGGGATGAGGCCGTGGCTCCACGCTATCCCAATCTCTCTCCACTGTTTCATGCAGCAATTCGATTCGAAGAGCCTGCAAAGCCAATCAGCAATAGAATAGAAGATTGTGGAAGAAGAAATGTTGAAGAAGCAAATGGACCACTAAGTCCAATGTTCATCGCGAGCCAGACCATCAGATAAGATTCCGAACTAGATATTTTAATCGTATAAACACCATGTTGATCTCTTATTCAAAAAAGGTTCTCATTTCTAGATCAAGTTGTAAAGGGCATAATTTCTGCGACACATAATCGATACTTACAAGTCGTTCTGCGCACGTGCTCGTTACATGTTTGTATGTGTATCATCATAATTCTTTCCTATTGAACAGTTTCTCGTCGTGAACATTAGAGAGCTAGTTTGGTTTAGCATGGATAAATATCAGTTGTCAATTAGAGTCTGTAAGAGGACGAGAAGAAGGCAGCAATAAAAAGGAAAAAGCATAATACTTGTGTTCTTACGCTTGCCAGGCTGTGATTGGTAAATCGCCTGGTTTCCAAGCCTACATCCGCACACTTCCGTAAACTCGATGGGCAACGCAAGCACCTAGGCTCCATTATAACTTTGGACATCCTTTTATCTTCTTTGCCGGACTTTTATTTCTGAGAAGCCGGCTGGAACGGTCAAAATGCGACTCCTGCCTCGTTTGTGTAGTATTTTGCTATTCACTGTGTTGGTATTTGGTACTCTCGCTTACCTTTATGTCCCCTTTGGCTTCACGAACGATCCCCCGGATAGATTGTGCGTATCACCTCACTACAAAATTAAGCCAAACTCTTCGCTTCCATTGCAGAGGAAGCCAGACTTCTATCCGCCGTTAAGTACATCGGGCCGAAATATCGTTGACAAGGACGGGAACGAAGTACAATTACGTTCGATCAACTGGTACGGAGCAAGCGACATATTTTTCGTGCCATCGGGACTAGATGTTGCGCATCGAGACAATATCTCGGCGCTGATTAGAAGGATGGGCTTTAACAGCGTACGTTTGCCGTATAGCGACGAACTTGTCCTCACTAAGCCCACCATCGAGCCTCATCTTCTTGAATCTAATCCAGATCTGATTGGTAAAAACGCTCTGGAGGTTTACCACTCAGTTATCGAAAGTTTGACAAGCCATGGTCTCTTTGTGATACCAAACAACCACATTACGCAAGGTACTTGGTGCTGTGGTGCAAATCTATGCGACGCTCAGTGGAGCAACGACTGGCTCGGGCCTATATGCCGGATTCGACAAACGGAGACGCAATGGATAGAGAACTGGAAGGCCGTTATGCACCCACTTGCAGAGAACAGACTGGTCATCGGTGCCGACTTGAGGAACGAAGTTAGGGCGCTATGGGGAACGCTGCGATGGGCGACATGGGCGGCAGCGGCGGAGCGATGCTCTGAACAGCTGCTGGATATCAACCCAGACTGGCTTATGATCGTAGAAGGCTTGTCATCAGCGAACGATCTGTCTGGGGTGCGGAAACGACCTATAGAGCTTTCCATCGACAATAAGGTCGTTTATTCTTCTCACGTATACGCGTGGTCGGGCTGGGGTCAGCACAATCCGTACTCGAAAGCGACGTATGAGGAATTCGCTCAAGCTATGCAGAAGAACTGGGCGTATCTTGTGGAAGAGAATATCGCACCAGTGTGGGTTGGAGAGTTCGGCACCTCGGACATGCCCACGAAAGGCGACAGAAATTACTGGACTCATCTGATCCGATACCTGCGGAACCTGGACGTCTCCTTTGGCTACTGGGCGATAAATCCCCGGAAGCCTTTGAACTATGAGCGAGAGAGTTATGGAATGGTCGACGACAATTGGGAAATGGTGACATGGGACTATCGACTAGTCGACCTTCAAAAGCTGGGATTGAACACCAGCCTGCTAGGCGAGTTGAAATGAAGATGGTCAGGTTAACCGCTCAAGGTTAAAGTTGGTTCTCATGATCAACAAAAGGCAACTCCACGATACGCTCGACCCAGACGACCATTTCTGAGCAATGCGCGAAGGAGTGGTCTCACGCTTGCATATGATTTGTTGGTGAGGCATATCGTGGTGTTAAAGCGGAACATTTGGCTGCCAAGCCTGCCGCATGCAAGTTCCTCCTAAGAGCCACTCATAAGCTGAGAATTGACCACGCCAGGCAGGTCTGGACATCAACACCAAATAAGTTCCACAAGACCATCGCAGGACCAGCACATGCATCATACTACAACGAGCCCGTTGAAGAGCTCGATAACCTCCGTGTATAGCTCAAGACACTGACCTTCTGACTAGATGTCTGGGTTTTGCTCAGCCAATCAATTGAGCGCTCGTTCCACGAGTATACTTCACGAGCATGGTCTCGCAGCCGGCGACGAGGCCGGAGAAACTTAAGTTTGATAGGAGGCGCAGTGCCGCGACTGCTATTGGAATGGATCTGGCCACAAGAAGGTGCGCCGGCCCCTGTCTGTGCAGTGAACGATGCAATGAACAACGGTCAAAGGAGATCTTTTGCACTGGTTAAAGTAGTCCTTCGTCTGGGGTCACAGGCTATTCATGGCTGGAAACTATAACATGAAGCTAGGCGCAGCATCGCAGAAAGCGAAATTGTCTTTAGAATGAATGTTGTCGTCGCACGGGACAGACTCCAGTCGTCTGAGATTTCACTTCTACCGTCCTTCTTCCACTCCGTGTCACCCGTCGCAGTCAACCGACTTAAAATACTCTTTGAGACGTTTCCCCTTCGCACACGCAACAGCTGACCGTCCTTGTCACGAGAGAGATGTTTCGAGCCTTATTTCGTTGTCTTCCGGGACTGTCCACCATCGCCTTGCTGATACTGATAGGCTTCGCATTTTTTGACCTCGATTCCCGGCTTCCCTTGAAGGCACACGTGAGCCATGGGAGCGTCCACAAGCACTGGAAAGCTGAACATGGCGAGCTCAAGCTTTCGCAGAAAATATTTGTGCTCTACTTCCTGATCACCCATATTGACACCGCGGGATTCTCGCTGCGACTTTGCCTGGCGCTCGTGCTTGTCCGTCGCAAGATCAAGGAAACGCTCAAACGACGGCAGATTCCACTACCTGACGCATTCGAGCAAGATGGTTCTCCTCTTCTCAAGCACAGACGCGGAAACTCACCCCCTCCGCCGTATACCTCTGCGCCACCTTCGCCTTCCTTGAATGAATTGTCGCCACATTCCGAGGTGAAGCATGCCATCATCATTCCAAACTATTCCGAGTGTCTGGAGACGCTGCAAACAACGTTGAAAAATCTCGCTTCACACCCGAGAGCCCGGACGCAATACGAGGTATGCAATGCTGATGAGTCTAGTCACGTGCGTGCAAGCAGAGAGCGCTGAAAGTCATTTAACAGATATACCTGGCGATGGAAAAGAAAGAGGCAGGATCGGAAGCGAAAGCGGCGACGCTGATCTCTGCGTTCGAAGACGAATTCGCCGAAATCCGTGCCACGTTCCACCCTAGCGACATACCCGGAGAGATCGCCGGCAAGAGCTCCAACGTTTCGTTCGCAGCGAGACAAATCTTCCGCGATCATCAGGAGAGTGCCGACAAGCTCGATGTAATCATCACTGTTATTGACTGTAAGTTTGCTTCGTGGACGCGCTCGTGAGGAGATGCTTACGTTCACCAGCGGACACCCACCTTCTACAAGATTACTTTACAGAGCTTCGTCGCCTGCATCATAGACATCCGAATTCGTCATGCGCCCTCTACGTCTGCCCGATCATCTTCGATCGAAACGCCCACGAAACGAATGTGCTCGTCAGAGTGGCAGATATTCTCTGGGGAGCCGCAGGTCTGTCGGGGTTTTTGCCATGGTCCACTATCCTGATCCCAACCTCGGTTTACTCCCTCCCTCTTGCTCTCGCCGAACAGGTGGGAGGTTGGGACGGCGACCCAGTAGCGATTGGCGAAGACATGCACATGTTGTTGAAAACGTACTTTAACAGTCACGGCAAACTCGCGACGATTCCGGTGTACAGCGCAGCCAGCCAATGCAACATCTCCGCAGGCGAGTGCGACGAGTGGAGCCGTGGGTTGAGGACGATCCAGGCTCGGTACCGGCAGGCTCAGAGACACATGTGGGGCTGTCTCGACTCAGGCTACACAGCAAGGCGTATCGTAGAGCTCAAGTCTTTCCGTCTATCGCACATACCGCTGCTGCACCTGCTGTGGGAGGCACACATTCTTCCTAGTCATTTTATCCTCATGCTTCTGACTCAGCTCGTCTACACGAGTCGCACCCCAACCTCAAAGATCCATCCGGAGCTCTTGTGGGCATTTGCGACATGTACGACGATACGAAACGCCTCCTTCTTCGTGATGCAGGTGGCTTTAACCCTGTACGACGGCTACCACCACTTGTGCGTGACGACACGTGCCCAGGACATGCAGGTCGCCGGAATCGAGGAGACGTTTGCGTGGCGCCAGCCGTGGAAGGCAAAGTATCTTGCAGAACGCATCTTGTTCCCCATCGCGGGAGCCATCTATTCGGCTGCCCCTGCCATCTACGCTCAGGTTTTCCATTTCTGGACCGACCGGCTAGTGTACGCATGTTTCCATATATCCCCCCTGTTTCGAATTTTCATGCCGCCTTCTAGACAGGCTCATATCAGCTCTCGGGCGTACTTTTCCTTGGTTCAAAAGCCGCGTCACGACAGTTCATATGTTGTCGAGTGGGTTGGCGCCCAGATTTCTGCACTGCTGACAGCTTTTCGTCTAGGTATTCCGTCAGCTTGAAGCCGATTCGAGCGCTCAGCGGAACGTCGAGGTCAGCAGAAGGCTTGGTGTGAACACACCAACCTCCGCAGAAACCTTTGCCCTCCTTTCGATAGACAGGGTTTGCGTTAAGACGCTCGCCGCGTAAGGTCTCGCACGATTTGCAGATGGTGCGTGTAAACGGGGGATTGTGAGCTTGCAGACGCAACATCAAACCGATGCAGCCCACACCTAAGACGATACGATGGGCGAAAGTGCGACCGCCGGACTTCCGCATACACGCAAGCAGACGTGGAGAAGCATAAGACGGGGGCATAATATTCGGTTCGGTTTCCTCTTCGTAGTTCGATTGCATCTTAGCCAATCTTTTGTGGCGATAAGATACCCAGGACGATTCCATGCTCTTTGAACAGCGTGTAACACTGCTCGCCAACGCTTCCGTACAAGGACAGAACTGTAATTAAGACAAGAGGCCAAGCATAGTATAGAATAGCCAAAGCATGACAGGTTTGTATTTGCGTTCATTTTAAACATAATACATGCATTTAATATCACAATTGTGTATGTGTGTGTGTGCGTGTGTTGGGGGTATCATGGTATCATTGCTAGTTCAGCTTTTCGTTTTTCTCAACTTTTTGTGCCTGTTCTTGCTTTGTTCGAGTTGTTCATACCTTCCCACCGTTCGTTCCCTTAGCCCGTTCTTCTCCACAGCGTGGGCGCATCGCCGTCCAAAGGTGGCTCAGGGCCAGGCAGAATCTCCCGCAGCATGTCGTTGACATCTTTACCCATCTCCTTTGCGTCTCTCCACTGCTTCGGGTAACCTAGGCTGCACTCTTCGAACCTAGTGCCATCTTTCCAGTCTGTCCTGCGCACATGCAGATGGCCGCTGACCACAACTTTTGCGTTAAAACGCTTGTGCCAGTTCTCGGTCTGTAACCGTGCATTAGTGGGTTGCCTTATGTAGCTAACGTCTGCGAGGTTGGGATCACACTCACCTTGGTGGTACCGCACCATATCCTAAACCGAGGAACGAGCGTCAACTTGACGAGATCTTGTCTTAGTGGCCAGTGGTTGATAATGATGAGCGGGAGATCGGGATACTCCGCAACGGCAGCTGCCAGCTTCTTCTCCTCCTTCTCCACGAGAGCGGCACACCAATCTTGGCGGGTTGGATATGGGTCAGGGTGCAAGAGCATCTCATCCGTGGCCAGCACGTCTTGCTCCTTTGCCCATTCGACGGCATTTTCTATCGGTACATCGTCGGGTTTGAAAGAATAATCGTACAGAGTGAATATGGGCGCAATCAAGCAAGGGCCACCGTCGCCGTCCCAGACAGTGTAGGGGTCCTCTATAGCAGAACGTAGTCAGCTCGTAGTGCTCCCGCAATCAAATGTTGACAAAAAAAGGAGAGGGGGGGGGGGGGGGGGCTCTGTTCTTTCAAAGTGGAAAAAACAGAACGGGGACAAACTCGTACCTGGAGTAATCACGCCGTGTGCTCGAGCGGCTTCTACGCACTCCTGGTACTTGGCTACACCTCTTGCACCGTTCTTATGCGAGGCAAGGGTATACAGCTCGTGGTTGCCAGGACACCAGAAGACCTCGCTGAAACAGCTCTTTGCTTTTGCAAACGCCATTTCGCAATGCTCCCTCGTCTCTCCCACGTCGCCGACCAAGATCAGACCGTCTGTGGGGTGCGGCCTTAGATCCTCCCAGGCTATTCTGTTCGGCTTGAAGGAGAGGTGGATGTCGCCAATTGCGTAGAGTTTTCGGGACGGCACGGCCGGGAGCGAGCGAGGCGAGCCTGACGAAGCGGAAAAGACGTCGCTGGCTTGAGCAGTGAGAGGGTCGTCGATCATGGCCAAAATGCTTTCTGATCTTGTCCGTAGGGTAGGCCGCACGGGAGGTGCATGTCTGAACGTCTGAGCTCTCTGCAAGCCGGCGGCTTTGAACGGCGGCGGTGATGTCGGTCCCTCGAGCGATGGGAAGGGAGTGAGCACTGGGCTGAACTGTCCCGTCGGCTTGAACGGCGGCGTGCCTCCCATGGAGGGAAACGCAATGGTATCGGGAGACGACATGGATGTCATCAACGCGAGTCAACTACGGTCACTTGCGGGGAGATGTGATGCCGAGAGGGCAGCAAGGACAGGAACAGGTCGTCGTGTAGATGGGGGCCACAGAGGCGTGTCCGTTGTTCAAAGGAGTATGTGGTGGAATGGGGCTAGATGTTTTGGTGGTGAGGAATCTGGGGTATTAAGAGCTGTCAAGCCGGAGCGCAATTACAACCGACCGCGGGACGGGCGTGGCTTGTTTTGCCTTCGCCCTCCACGTTGCTGAGGGCCGTAGCAGGTCTGGATCCGAAGTGTTCGCGGTCCATGATGTGACTAAACGGCCCTAACCACCGATCCTGACCCGGGCGAGTCGAAGGAGAGGCCGACCCTGCTGTCAGCAGGCCCCTGGCCTCTGCGCCCGCGCATGCGAGCGCACAAATTCTGGTCTGAACGCATGACGACGCACGCTTGACTTGTTCCAGAGCGCTCGCACAAGAGAACAACGACTCCTCTGGCCCTCCCGTCAGCTGAGCGACGATTAGTGCGGTTTCGGCCGCGGCGAGGTCTGCCAGCTGCGTGCCCTCGCCGGTTCCCTCGCTGGCTGCCCTCACTGGCCGCGCTCCAGCTCCCGCCTGGTGCTCATGGTACGGTCCTGCGCTGGACGCAGCTCTGCATTGGCCGACCTTGCCTCTGATCATCGGGCTGTGTCTGTCTTGGTATGCGCTCTGCCCGTTCTCTGCACTGTACGTCACTCGTCCACAGTCGCGTCCCTCTCTCGATCCAGTCCCTCGATCCCTCTCACCACGTTCTTGGGCGACCCATCCTGCCCTGCGCCCGTCCCAGTCCTGGTTCCGCCACCCGACCGTGGAACCTGCGTGCTTCTCCTTTTTTTTTTTGACTCCCGGCCGCGCTTGCACCCTGCCAGCAGCCTCAACCCGGAGCCGCGCATAAAGGCGAGTCTTGTAGGCAGATTGGCCGCGATGAAAGTTACGGTGCTGTCGAGAGATCCACCAATGAGGGAGCTGATCGACAGATCGGTTTTTTACGTGCTCCGACCGCCGACTTCCCTAAACCCCAACAGACGCCTTCGCTCGCCCAACCAGAGCCTTTTCCAGCCCGCTCCTCCTTACATGTGTCAACAATCCCATTTCCACTATTGTTTCAATACAAAATTAAAAAGCGGCTCATGCGAGATGATCTAATGAAAGCGCTGCCCGCGTCTACTCTCGCGTGCGCAAAAAGCCGTTGGCCGTGCACGCCTTGACCAGCTTCCTTCACGTACCTTTGAGAGGAACAGCTGGACGTTCCTTTCGGCTGCTGGCACGCCTACGCGAGGCTGAACGCAGGAGGCTGCTTAAAAAAGGTTGATAAAATCACCATCGTGACCTGGTTGGCTCCCATGATCGAGCAATCACCAGTCGCATGGACTCGTTCCTTTTTTTCAATTTCCCTTGACCATCCATTGTTTCGCATCCATTAGCATCCATCGCATAAGATCGGGAATCTCTCACTTGCGGTGTAGCCGATTTGGAAGACAGCGCGCTCGTTGTTTTCTGGCCTCAGCCGCACGTTTCCTCGCCTTTCCCCCCCTCCGCGTTGACTTATTGTCGGAGCGGATAACGCGAGCTGCCGTTCAGCTGCACTTCTCGCCGAGAATCATCGGTCAGCCGATCAGCAAAATGAACTGACCGACATGCCGAGCAATGCCTGCAACTGATTTTTCTTGCGACGCGTGTTGCCCTGTCGATCACGGCTGTCGCTCATAGAAGCTTTCGAGAAAAAGCTCGGATCATGGTCCAACGACGGAAGGAAGTTCGCCGATCCCGAGCTTCCTCCTTTCCGTGGATTCCTCAACTTATTTAGGAGACATGATATCATTGCCTGCGCGGCAACCATGGCTTAGCAAAAACGTTGACGCCCGACATCATGTCCCATTAAGCTCTACGTATACCTTTCGCCATCATGACTCACCGCCGCGCTTACCTTATTGTGCCCGCTACCGTAGTGCTCATACATCGCACTGAAGAGCGTTGACATGTTTCTGTCCTGTAAGCACCGCCACTCCAAGAGACCTCAATCTTCGCCTTTTCCATTCACAATCAAGCATTTGCTCCGTATGTTGTGCCTGTCCTATCCTGGATTTCTCTACACTTTAGCTGCTTGGAGCTGGGCGTAAGCTTCACGAATCCCGTACTATATCCGTCCCGCCAAGTAAGACAGTGCTGCGACCATATTCCTCAGGAGTCTTCGGGCCCAAGATCTCGACAAGTTCGAGCATTACGTGGCATTTATGTGGGAAAGAGCTGACCAAGATGACATTGCCTGGAGTTCTAGCCCTCGTTCAGAACCTCAAGCCCTGCAGAACTGAATACGATCGCGGTGCGCTGTTTTCGCGACGGGAGGCTGACAATCTCCTTTGCTTTGACACTGCTGTAATCCTCCTTCCTTCACGCTCCTCCATTGGGGTCAAAGCTTTTAGCATTCATCGGGCGCTAAATTGCTTAAAATTCAATCGACATGCTTAACAAATGTTGATGCCGGCGCTTTTCGCACACAGAAACAGCCCAGCGGACGCTAAGGTCGCACCAACACTGCTCAAGAGATCAAAGGGGCTATTTTAACTCTTAGACTAACAAGTTGACTGAGCTGCTGATCAATGCTGTCGACAATAGAATAAAGTTTGCTGAGAATAATCTTGCACTCGTACCCTGCTCTAAAGGATCCTGAATCGAGACGTCGATACGCACTGACGGACGAGTCGCTCCACTAATCTATGCTGAGTCACTAGCGCTGCGGCATCAATCCGAGAACTGCTCGTATACGATTTTTTGCGATTCGTTTTCTATGCGATTTGCCTACCGTCGAGCGAAGTCCTCTATACAGTAAGTGTACCAGTTTTTTGGTCATTCAGGTCTTGTCCCGTATTCGTCCCAGAGCAGGGACCTGGATACCTTTGTAAGCGGAAGTATCCCAAATCGACTTGTCCACGACAGTGTTCCTTTGAAGACAAGACAGCGCTACACTTTCTACGACTTGAGCAAACCCTGTCGTAAGTACGTAACTGTGCATTCACAATCCGGAGACCTTCGTCACGAGGATCGTCACAACTCTGGGCACCTGCAACTGGTCTCTTAAGTAGTCTTGGATATGTCCATAAAGACACAGTGATCAGCGATCATATCGATAAGGACATAAAAGCAAACTGTGCTGTATAGGTAGGAGGAACCAGGGCAGAAATCTGACACGATGCGGCGTGCTTCACACCGCAGTCCACTTGTCCAGCCCTGCTTGACTACTCTTGCCTTGAAGTTCAGAGACGAGATGCGTTTTCATGAAGCATTGTGCCTTTCACCTTGACCATCTCCGCATGGTGGTTGGAGAACTCTTCACATGTCAAAGTCTTTTCGTTATTTGTTACAAGATTGATGTATTATCTTCGAAAACATCGTACATAAATTTTAACACGTCGACTCTCGAGAATTTCAAGCATGGCTCGAGGCTAACTGCTGATGCGGAGAAAGTCCTTGGTCGCGCGCTCTGTCTGCGTAGTCTGTGCTAATTATTGCAATAAACAAAAAAGGTTTTTTAAAAATGGGGTTTTTTCTCTCAATCGCTGTTGCACGCCTGCGGCAGCGAAATTTGATGGGTATGATACGACTTTTCTATACTTAGTGTTGAGGTTAGATTATATATTATAAAAGGCGAACTTAGTCTATTTGCCTTCGGGCATTTGGTCAATTTGAAACGATACAGAGAAGATTAGCATGGCCCCTGCACTAAGGATGACACGCTCAATCAAAGAGAAGCTAAACAGTTTTTTTTTTGGCCTAAACGTCGCCAGTTCGATTCCTATGTCTCGCGCAATGAATTTCCCCTCCTTTCCTATTTCTTTCAACTCCCTTTTCTACTTATCGTTTTTCCACTTCTGATCTCTATTTTGTTTTGTTTTTTTTTTCCTTTGGGGATTCGTAAATTAGTGACGAAACTGGCGTCCTTCCTACAATCGTTCTCGTCTTCCATTTTCATATTCAAGAGCAATGCACGAACGTAAGAACCCACATTTTACGTATAAAACTGCCAGCTCCATCAACAACGCACGGCGCAGGGTAGGCAGTGGAGATTGAAATCGAACAGATCTCTCCTCAAGTTTCTGACGTTGAAGTGGATTTCACTGCTGTGTGCCACGGACCGAGCTTACTCTAAGACAATTCGGCTTCTTCCTCAATGTTCTGGAAAACTGTCTAACAGACGACTTTTACATGAAGACGTTCGAGTGTCCGCATAATCGGAAAGCCCTTCAAACGACCGCGACTACCTTGTCCTGTTCGCCGGTTCAAACACTTTTTCAGGCATCCCACCGAAATGTAGAAAGCGGCGCAGAGAGAGAGAGAGCTATGGCGCACGACGTCGGTCGTCGTCTGCCTTCTCATCGTCCCACGTTCGGCACACGTAGTCGACGGGGAGGTACTTTGCCGAGGTTTGACGGCATGCTTGACACCGGCTGCGCCTAGATTTATCTCTTCCAAGTAGCGGTGGCCTTTTTTACCCCCGAATGCCAGCTCTGTCTTGGACTCGGAAGACCCAAGAAAGCCTGAGAGTTGAGGAAGACGAGCTGTAGCCCGAGCGTATAGGCTGCTGGATCAGCCTCAAGAGTCGCCTGTTCACCAGACCTGCTCGTCCGATTGGCAAAGTCAAGCATGCGAGTGAAGCAAGGTCCTTATGTCGTTCGACATTTCACCAAAGGCTTTTTCCCTTTCATTGATTCTCGGCTCTTCGTCGCCCCAGGACAGAGTTGCCGCTCCCTCTCTCCTCGACAAGAACAACTTCAACGCAACCGCCTGGCTCAGCGCGCAAGCTCCGGCTCGATCGATCAAAAAACCCCTGCGTTCTTCCCGATCAAGCGGCTGTGCGTGGTGATTACGAATCCGAAAGCTTCCTCGTGGCAGAACTCGACGTTCTTGCCCACCTACGTCCGCCTCATTCCTTTTCCTTTTGCAACGATTTCTCTCGTCCGATTGCAAGGCCCTGTCACTTTGCCGCATTCGCGCTTTGCGCTTCCAGGCGGCGGAGGAGCGAACCCCCCTCCCCTTCCGCCTCGATTTGATCGATCCACCCGTGAGCAACGTTCTGTAAGTCGAACAGAAAAACGTTACCACTGTGTTTGTAGAGGATTCGTACAAGTCTTTGGTAGTTGAAAAGAGATCGGTGCCGTGTTTGACCATTTTGCAGAAGAACCCCAGCTATGGAGTTAGCAGCGAGGGATGCTATGCTAAACTTTCCTCCCCAGTTCTTCTTCTTTGCGCGGAATTTTCAATGGGAAGAGCACATGCTCTAAGACTTAGGGAGACAATCCGAAGATATCATGACGCGAACTCAGTATCGACCGGATAAGGAATACAAAAGTCGCTCAGTGCATAGGGGTCATCTATCAAGCACGCTGAAGGAGTACAAGACATCAAGTCGAAAAAATGCAAAGTGGAGGGTGGTAGCTCTATTTTCACTATTGCTCTTCAATTACCGTACAGACAAATAAATCGCTCCGCTCGTGTTGCCCGTCCTCGGATGTGAGACTTGCACAGCTCCAACGACACCACGACAACCACTGACCAGTATCTGACGTGCGCATGTGCAGTAAACATGCAAACGAACATCTTCGGTTATCAAAGCTTCCGTACACCAGATACATCGAGTATGACATTGCTGCGAAATAAAAAGAAGAGTTGGAAGGATTTTTGCCCAGCCGCCCTTGCCCCAAAACTCAGACTCCATGGACGTTAGTACGAGAGATGTTTTCAGCCCAACCCATGACGAACAAGAGCGAGGACGTGAGACAACAACGCGAAAGCCAATTGTCGTCTCACTCAGTGCAAGCACTTAAATGCAGTGAAGCGTGTCGTGTCGAAAGTGGAGAAGGCATTTTGTGTTGCGCAAGTGTTCCGTCGCAGCAAAGAAGTGGAGGCAGAAAGTGAATCTCCATTGCCGCCGCGGGGCGAGCAGAAACGCTGAATCGCAACGACAAACAGTTTCAAGTCTATGCAAGGCATCCAAACACAAAACACGCGGGAAAGCAAGCAAAGCAACAACGCCATGATTCCGCAGATATAGAACGCCTTTGTAGTAATTGCTCCCCTGTAGCAGATGCGTGTCATGATTCACCAGAGAGCGAAGAAAGACACACAAAGCAGGCCTCAGTAAATCATGTATGCGTGTATGCGTGTACGTGATCGTCGAACATGTCATATGGTCGATTTAGGAGGCAACAGCACGAGCGCCGCCGCGACCACGACCGCGCTGCTTGCTAGGCACAGTGCTCCAGCCGTCTTCCTCAAGGGACTCGGCAGTGTTGTTTGCTTTGGGGGACGCTGGCGTTGCAGGCGCCGAAGGCTTGCGTCTCCAGTCCCCGCTGGCCGCGGCACCACCACGACGCTCGGCCTTGGGGCCTCTGGGAGGTTCGCGCACAAACTCGCGTGGCTTCGCTGCCTTGTCGTCGACGACCTCCCCGTTTGTGGTAGCATCACGACCAGCAGGTTCTCCCTCTCCCTCGGCATCGTCGTCCCCTCCTTCATTTTCACGAGCCAAGATTTGATAACCTGGACGAGTCGCATCGCCGTTCTCCTTTTGGCCGTTAGCCTTGCCATTCTCGTTGGCTGCTTCTGCCTCTTCCTTGGCAGCTGCTTCGCGAGCCTTCTTCTCTTCCCTGGCCTTTTCATCAGCTTCACGCTTCAGTCGCAAGGCGAGTTCACGTTTCTCTGCGACTTCGCGTTCACGTGCGGCGGTGTCAATTGGACGAGCAGCTCCAAAGGGGCTGGACTTTGAATCAGCCGTCGAGATAGGCTCCGCTGGCTGTGACTCGGAGACGGTCCGCTTGGCCAGGTTGAGCTTAGGTCGTGTCGCCGGTGGAGCAGGTTGTGCGGGTGATGATGGCACGCTCGGCTCTGGAGTCGGACTGGTGGACTGAGCTGGAGGATCCGGGCGCATCTTGGCTCGCCATTGAGTATCCCTCTCCGCTGCCGTGGGCTGTCGCTCTGGAGGGCGTGGGGCAAACTCTCGTCTGGGTGGCCTTGAGCCATCTTGCGACCCGCTAGATCGTCCAGTGCCTTCACCCCACGAAGGTGAGAGCTTGCGTTCGCGTGGCTCCCTTGTCCGGCCACCGTCACGACCTTGGGGTGCTGCGGCGGCTGGCACTGGGGATAGTGGGCCCTTTCTCTCCCAGTTATTAAGGTCCCGAACCTTTCCGTCACCATCGTTGAAATTGCTCCGTCTGCTGCCGCCTCGCTCCATGGGTGGTGCTTCATAGCCGCTACCAAAAGTACGTTCCGATGCGCGGCGCTGCTGCTGCTGAGGAAGGTCCGGGAGGGGGCCTTTACGTGTCCAATCGTTCAACTCACGAGCTTCAGGACGGTCCTTAGCTACTTAGGGTCAGTTTCTGTTCGGATGGCTGTTCCTTTGGTCTACTACTCACGAGGATCCGCTACACTAACACGAATGTCTCGGCCTTTCAGCGGCGTGCCGTTCAGATCGAGGGCCTTCTTCAGGCCCTCAAGAGTTCTGAACTCGGCATACCCGAAGCCCTTGGGCTTTCGATCCAGCCTGTCCTCCACAAGGCGCACGTTGATGATCTCGCAATTGGCGAAGATGTCCTCGATGTCGACGCTGGTGGCGTCGAATGGCAGGTTGCCGAGATGGGCAGTGAATGGTGGCTTGGTTGGGAGGGGAAGCTGCTGGCGAGGAGCGAAGCTACGATCGCCACGGTCGCGGTCGCCACCCCGGTCTATAAAGCTTAGCATTAGCATTCATGCATTCATTCCAACGGCGAAGAAAGATAAACGCACCTGTGCCAAAGCGATCACCGCCAAAGCTAGGGGCGCTGCTGAAAGCCCGACGGTCTCCACCGTAGCCGGGGCGGTCAGAGGCTAAGCAAATGTTAGTGTTGTCCGCCCACGCGTGCGCAGAGTCATACCAGCTGCTGCGATACTTGTTAGTCTGGGCTAGTAGCTTCAAAGCTCAGCCATGTACTTACGAGCAACAGGCATGTCCTCCATCTCGTCGGCCCATGACCCAAGAGCTACGACAAGTTAGCAACAGCATTTTCCCTCCATTGTGTGCGGGCGAATTTCGTGCCCCTCAGTGCCTCCTGTGAGCCGCAGCGAACCATCTTCCGGTTGCCACTGCGCACGGCACACGATCTATCTGCGTCGGTGTCGCAGGACAACGGAGAGGCGGGAAATGGCATGGCCGGGGAAGGAGGGCACCAGGTCCATGATGTGCGCTCGACAAGCTGGCAACTCACATTGATCGCCCAGAAAGTCCCCCAGGGACATCTTCTGGGTCTGTTTTTTCGGCGCTGCGCACGCGTTAGCATAATTGACGCATCGCAAGAGACGTGAAAGGACGATTTGAGACCACGGCGTCGAGAACGGCCGAGTCGCAGAGGGGTTACAGACGGCATGAGAGGGAGACAGGCGTGTGGAGAATTTAGGGAAGGGAAAGGGAAAAAAAAAAGACGCATACCCATGATTGCGGCAGTCTCAGACAACGCGCGCTCGGACTGGAGTGCGCGTCGGCTGGGAGAAGGGAAAGTAGAGGTCGACTTGGGCCTCTACTCGGTGCGGGCTACAAGAGTTGTGTCGTTGGGGAAGTGCGGGTGTAGGAGGAGGTCGTAGGCAAAAGTAGGTTGCAGAATACAGTGCACCTGTGCAAATTATTGATCCCGGGTGGACGCTAGGCCTGTTTCGGCCGTTGGCGTGGAGCGTCCCGCTCAGCGTTTGGGCGACCTTCGCCATCGTCCGCCGTGAAGGGCCGAGTCCAGGCAAGAAGGGGAAAGCAAAAAAAAAAGAGCTGGTCGTCAAAGACGAATACGAGCGATTCTCATCTTTGTTCCGTCCTTGAGTCACACGGAGATGCTTTCCTGTGCTTGAAGCGATGACGACCGCGTCCGTACAGAGTCACGACGACGAGGGCGTCCTGATGCCTTCTCTGCGCGTCGGCGCGGCTTCTGGTATGTCGTACTCTTTTTCTTATTCCCGTCACCCTTCTTCCCCCCACCCCCCTTCTTCCACAGCAATCACGGGACTTTCGGCCGTCTCTCTGACTGCTCTACGCGCAGGCCTTGCCGGCCTTCTGTTTGGAGGCGTAGTCGGCACCGTCCGCTCGGCGCATCCGGTCTTGTGGGCTTCCGTCACGTCGATCCAGTGGTCTCTGCTGGGCGGCACGTACTGGCTGTTCCGATCGTCGCTGCTGCAGACCCGCGTCGACGACGCTGCGGACCTCCGGACGCGCTCCTACATCAGCGCCATCTCCGGAGGCCTCTCTGCCGCCGTCGTCGGCGGCGTGACGCGGGGCCGCGCGAACATCTTGCCCGGCACCGTCGTCGGCTCGCTGGCCGGCTACGCGGGACAGCAAGCGTACAGCGCCCTGGACCAGCGCCACACCGAATCCATCATCTCGTCTTCGAGCGCTGGAGGCAGCGACGAGGCGAAGAGGGAGCCGCTCTGGAGACGGATCACCGAGTCCAGGTTCAGTCCCGTGAAGCGTCTCTCGGACCAGGAGTACAAGAAAGTGCTCGAAGATAAGCTGCTGCGCGTGGAGGCCGAGATTGCGGTCCTGGACGACGACATTGCCGCACTGAGGAGAGCGGACGAGAGCGCCAAAGAAGGCCCGAAGTGAGACCCTCAACAGTTCTTGCGAGAAGGCCCGGAGTCGCGATGAAGCAGCACGCAACTGTTGATCGCGTCCAGGAATCACCCAGGTTAATTGCGTGACGTATCCAAAGCGTTGAACAGGCGTGTGCATTGTCCCATGTGTGCTTTGCCATTCAACTCCATCGGCTCCGGCTGAAGCGTCTTACAATTCAAGTGTATCGTCAGGGCTGAGAAACCGTCAAGGTTGACGAAGAGCGGAATCGCGCATCAAATCGTACCAAGATGAGAACTGTATACTGTATGAATAGAAAAAGGACGGAGAGGAAAGAAAAAAAATAAAAAAAAAAAAAATGGCGCTCTGCGAAACGTCAAGAAACTCCCTCTGCTATTACGACACTTCTGCAATCGAAAGACTTATCAAATTCTCTATTCCTATCCTGCTAATCCGGTCCCCCTCGCTGCGCTGTGACTCCTCAAATGTTTACGCGCGCAGCTCATTGTGCGATTGTGTGCTTGTACTACGGCTTAAAAGAAGCGCCTGCAACAATAAAGACAAGATAACCTTGGTATACAATGAAATGTCAGATCAGTAAATAAAAAGAAAGCTCCCAGAGTCCCCATTACCACTCTCGATGATGATTGGGACAGAATAACCGTTGTAAAATGTGAACGATGAGAATGATATGCGAGATGATGCATGGCAACCTCTTCCTGCACGAAGTCGTCTTATCCAATGCTTTCTCGTGAGAAACGACCGCCGCCGGGAAGAAGATGATGCCCACAACTTCGAGTGAGTATTCTAAAAGCAAACTGGGAGAAGACCAACGCCCTGAACACCAATGCACGTAAAAGCACACTCGTCTTGATGGTAGAGGAGATACCGGATAGCTCGCTTGCACCATCACGCTTCCGAAAGACTTGGGCCTACTGTCCTCCCGACGAGACTGCATCCCGTGCTCTCACTTTTTGAGGTAAAAGACTCCAGTCCTGCATATGCCGCTTCGTCAGGCTATTTAATAGCAGCGCTGCGGCCACCATAATCAAGTCGCCTCAGAGATGGTTTATCCATCAATGAGTGTCTTTCCCCCGTAGCTTGTTCCACTCACAGAAGAAATGTGATCACTCTCTAGGCCCAACAGTTCCAAGCTGCGGCGTGCAAGAGTCACCACCTCCTGCTCTCCGTTGCCCTCCTCGTCGGAGTAGGCGTTTTCATCCTCGCTGCTCATCTCGACGCTACGCTCTTCGATGCGCTGTACCATGCGAATGATCTCAGGCGACTCCTTGATCTTCTTTATAAGGCGCGAATCTTCGGACTCGATAAGTTGGAGTAGCGTCCAGATGGCGATGTGCTGAAAGGTGGCGTCACCAGAGGCGAGGAAGCGGGTTAGGTAGCCTTGAATACCGCCCTGTGGCGTGGTCCAGTGCTTGAGGAAAGGCGTGTAATCGCCAACTGCATCGATTATTTAGCAAGCCAACAAGCAAGCAGATGATTGATGAACGAACCCTTTGAACTCAGGTTGCCGACGGCAGCTGCACTGTTGCCCCTTACTTCTACACCCTCGGATTGGGTAAGCTGCACCAGGACGCCCAGGACACCAAGATCCAGTAAGTGACCTTTGAGATCGTCGCTCAGCGCCAATACTGCGATCGCAGCTGTCATTTCCCCCTGCACAGCCAGCGGTACGGTCAGGATGAGCTCCATGCACTTCTTCACGGCACCTGCTTGCAGCACCAACTCTTTGTTCCGGTCCGAACTGGCGGCCAGATTACGTAGAGTAGAAATCGCGTGACACTGAATCTCCTCATTCTCTGTCGAGCCGAGAAGCTCAACGAGTGGAGTCAGGAATCCAGCCTCGATAATCGGGGACTCGTTGCTTGGATGTATCGAAATGTTCCGAACGCAGGCAACCGCGCTGAGGACAAGAGGGAGATAGCTGCTCTTCAGGAGCCTCAGAAGCGGACCAAGACCTTTCGAACGGACAATCTCTAGCTGATAGCGCTCGTCCGACGCAAGGTTTCGGAGGGCGAGTGCAGACTGACACTGCACCTTCGGGCTGGGCGAGTCCATTAGTGAGACTAGGGAGTGCACCAAGCGGGGTTCGGTTTGAGCGAGCCGCTTCCTGTTGACAGCGTCGACAGCTATGTTGCTTAATGCGGTCGTGCAGTAATATTGGACGTCGACGTCCGGCGAAGACAGCAGGGACACAAGCACGGGAATGGCGCCTGCAGCGACCAGATGTTGCCGATTCTCGTCTGAATGCGTCATATTGAGAAGTGCACCTGTAGCGTTTCTCTGCACGCGCATGTCTTTGCTTCTGGCCAGTCTTGTTAGTGGCCCTAGAGCACCCGACTTGGCAATCTTCGCCTTGTTGTCTTCGTGCGTCGCTAGATTTGTTATGCAGCCGACCGCGTTGCATTGCACCTCAACGTTGGGCGAGTTCATCTGCTTGATGAGCGGTATCAAGCCTCCCAGCTCGACAATCTTCACCTTGTTCTCCGTGTTGACGGCGAGGTTGCCAAGCGCAGCACTTGCAGCTCGTTGTACCTCGGTGTCGTTATTCTGAAGTAGGAAAAGGATAGGATCCAGCGTGTCTCTGCCGACCTCTCGAACATCGCGCTCCGTGATCTCGGCGAACGTCAAGCTCGCACTTCGCTGTAGGTCTGTGTTGTCGGAGTATACAAGGGTGGTTAGAGCTTCGAGTGGCGCGCCGCTGAAGAAGTCGGTCTCTGCTCGCTGTGCACATGGTCAACGACTGGTCAAAAGGGACGACGGATGCAGAACAGGTTCGCGTGTTCTAGGGGTGGTTGGCAACAACCAAAGGACGGTACCGTACATTTTCAAGATAGCCTGTTCACGTCTGTCAGCAGCCGAGAGATAAGGTGGAGGTCGACGAGCATTACCTAGCAGCTCCGAGACGGCATCTCGTTCGGAATCTGCGAGCACTACCGCAGGGCATCAGCATCCATTGTCAAGCTGTTGGTGTGCCTCCCTCGTCGCCGCTGCCGCTTGGATACGACCCTGGCTCAAACTGCGTCATGGCAAGACGCTTGACAGCGGCGCCTCCGTGTCCAGCTCTTGCCGAGAGACAGCCATCGTGGAATCGATGGAATAGGGTCCAGCATGTCGCAGGCAGACAGCGGCGGCCTGCCACGCCGGCGTGTTGACGAGGAGCGCAAGCGACGGACTTACCAGGCTCATATAGACTGTCCTTGGACCGACCTGCACGCAACAAAGCACATCAGCTCAACCTGCCAGCCTCGCCCGCGAAGGCGACGAATGAGAACTCACCACCACATCCGCACCACGCGAATAGGCCTTGACACCAAGTCATGGCTCTCTCTCCAATGCAGAGCGGTGCTGCGACAGGCCTTGGACGGCCACCGGGCCCGCTAGCTCAGGCGGCAGCTCCTCGTCCGCTGTCAGAGCCTGGACGAGTGTGCCAGAGTAGGTGAGGACGTGGAAGACGGTCGGCGGGATGAGTCCGCTTTGCATGCGGTGACGAAGACGGGCAGCAAAGGGACGACGATGTCGGCGCCGTCGAATGCTGTCTACGGCGGTCGGGAGGTGGTGGTGGTAGTGGCTTGTTGGATGGATGCTCAGGTTAGGTCCAAGCAGGCTCGAGCTTGCGGCAGCTGCCAGTGATGATGGTCTTGGGACCCACACACGCACACGCACAAGCGCACGACGGAACTGGCCTGAACTGGCCTGGCGGAACAGAACTGGACCTGTGTCTGGCTGCCTGAGCCTCTGCTTCCGGCGCCCCAGGGCCCTGCCTGCACACCCAGAACGCTGCTCAGCGGCGGGCCCCCCCCCCCCTAAACAGGCCCGAACCCTACCACCGCCCGGTATCAGCGTCACGGCGGAGATTGAACCGGATTCCGACCTTGCCAAACAACGTCAAGAGAGCGCGAAAAAAAATCCAACCCGCCCTTCTGATCGTGCGAGTGTCAGCGTAGCAAATTGATTGCCTGCGCAACGTGTCTCGCTGCCCTCCACTCGTGACCGCGCGCCCTCTTTCTCTGCTCCCCCCACCACCCACGCCCGTACGACTGTCCAGCGTTCTGAATGCCTCGCTGCGAGATTTTGCGTCCAGTGAGGTCCTGCCAGCAGCCCAGCTGGCCTGCGTCCCGTTCGTCTCGGTCCCCATGGTGATCGCAAGGCTTGCATTAGCGAGCATAGTTCCCGCTGCACGCCCGCTGCATCTCGCTGGCTCGACGTTCGTTTCGTCCCGCTGTTGCGCAACACATTTCGCATATGCCTCGGGACACCTGCTCACCTTGCCCTTACGCAACTGCGGCGGACGCCTCGTACCCTGCCTAAGAAGAAAGTCGACCCCATGTTCTTTTTTCTTCTCTTTTTTTCCCTAAGAGAAACAGAGCCACGGGTGCGACTGACGGTGCCGCGACGCTTGAGCTGGGACCTCACCTACAAGACGCCCGCTGTTAAGATCGGCCACTTCGCAGACGACAAATCACTGTTCATTTACTCGTTACCTGCCCCCTCCCTGAGGCTGCCCGCCAAGGCAGCGCGCAGGTACCGTGCCATATTTCCGAGCTATGGTTGTGATGTTCACGAAGGAGAAAATAGATTCTGTGCACAGAAATACACCCGTATTGCCTGTATATAGACCAGACCCTGCTGGCGGTCTCCCAAGCGATCAAAGTTGGGTTCAAAGCGCCCACCGACTGAAGCCTTGCACGCCCTCACTCCGCTTCGGGATTCCCTCCGTTTGCCCTGCTGTTCTGATGCCAGAGCCACAGGTCGTTGAGAAGGATCCCGCTTCGGCCGCACCTGCTGCTGCTCCTTTGTTAACCATGAGATGAATGCTTGGATTCGCAATCACGTCCTGCAGCACGTCGCCCCTCTGATATCGCACGTGTGTGCGCGTACACCAATACGTTTGCTGATCAGTGAGCTTCACCGCTTTGATATCATTCTCTCTTCACTTGACGCCAGCTTCGTCAGGCATGTCCAGCACCGTACAAATCACCACCAACGGATGTGGGGATGTCCTTCTCAAGGCATACTTGCTCTTTACTTTCTACGAGCGGACTGGCCCGTGTTCCATTTTCCGTGCTCGGCTTCGTCGTTCAGAACGACTGCCTCGATAGCGCTTGTAACTAATGTAGGGTGGATTCAACCTGAAGGGCCCGCTACGACATCTCTGGTACGGAATTTTTCAAGCTGTCACGGCGAAGGACATTGCGTATGCGAGACGTAGATGATGAGCAAAAGGCAAGAGCGATCACGTCTGGACGCTGAAACGATGAAGCCAACGATTTGATTCTTGTCGCTCTGCCTTGCCTACGAGCGTGCTGATCAGTGACTTTATTGCTACACCCACTCTGTGTCGCGTCGTCTTAATGTTGCCGTGTTCGACGCTTGGTCTCTCTATAGCTCTGTATCATGTAGGAAGCCCCCAAAGCTTTGCAGACTGGAGCTCCATGCCCTCTGCCTTTAGCGAGAGCGATCCAGTCTCTGCAGCGTCTTGACAACGGCAGGACCCGTCGTCACATTACTCTCCTCTGCAGCCGTTTCTGACGCCAAGCCTTCGGTCCACGCACTGCCTTGCTTTTGTCGCCCTGGGAACTGCGTCGGCGGTCGTACAGCAGACAAATCGTAGGAACTCGTATAGCACACGCCTCCGCGCCGTGTGCGTTGCTCTTGACGAAATCCGTTGCTCTCCCTTACTTGTCGCTCCTCGCGAGCACCTCTTCCCTTTCCAGGACCTCGGGCGCGAACTTGATCAAGAAGATCGTCTTGTCTGGCCACATGACCCGCCCGCCCTTTCCGCTCTCATCCTCTTCGGCGGCCCAGTGCGCGCTGACCCCCATGCCTCTGGCTCCCAACGTTGTGAACCCACTCGCGTCACACACCCCCTCGATAATGCCCGCCACAAACGCATTCGGGTTGAAGTCCTTGCTCTCCCGCGGCACGGATATGTACTGCGAAACCAGAGGGTCGTTGTCGATAATCATGTACTCGTTCTGGTTGTTGACGGACTGCTCGAGACCGTCTGCGGGGCGCGAGAAGAGGTGTCGCCAGAGGTTGTTGGTTATGAATTGGAGCAGGGGCAGGATGCGAAGAGGCCGCGTAGAAGGCGGTTGGGAGGTGGATGCTGTTGAGCGCGCAAGGAGGAGTTCTAATAGTCTTATGCCTATTGGATAGCCCATGGTGTTTAATCTGTTACATGCAAGACCACATCAGCACGTCATACTCCCTCATCGTGTAGCTATACACCACAAGTCTCCACAGGGGGACGGGCGCACCTCGACTCCAGCTCGCCCATATCCTTCACCTTGCTTTGTGTATACCGAATCATCTCGACAAACATGTACGCGAACGCCGCCCGACTCGACTCGGCATTCTTGGTGCGGTCTCGGTTGCGGTCGTATATCGTCTTCTTGTTGCTCGGGTACCGCAGGCCCGATCCTTGGGTTCGTACTGGCAGGACATTCTGAGTGCCTTTTTCAGCTTGCGAGGTACTCATTTGAGGTGCAGGCTGGGTCATTGAAGCCGCAAGGAACCAAGACAGTGAGATGTTAGGGTGGGGTTAGGGTGGTCGTCCCGTTGCGTGGGCAGAGTTCCGGGTCTGGAATTTGTTCTGAATAGGAAAGGGCACAAAAGCATAAGGCTGACACAAACGATGCTGGCCTTGCATTATCTGGTACCGAACAACGATTCATCCTTATCTTTCTGCTATCTTTATTTCAACGACCTTCCAAAACCCTTCTATTGGAAAAATTCTTCACTTCATGTTCCGTTTGAAACTGTCGTTCCTTGGAGTCAAAGATAATTACATGTCATTATATTTCTTAGCTATTGGAGCTCACAACGATCCGCGCCAGTTTTGATGCTATCCAGTCCATATCCATTTTGTGTCATACCATGAAAATGCGTTTGTTCTGCCGCTCGTACGAGGAAATAAAACATGGAAAAAAAAAATTTTTTTTCTCTGGTAGGGATTTCGCCGTCGCCAAATGCTATGTTACCAGTTTATGAGCGAGGAAATGTTTAACAAAGAGAGGATAAAAGGAACTCCGAAGGATACCGAAAACGAGACGCGCACGGAAGGTGAATGTGAAGCACCAGACACCAACCCAAACTACCCAAAATGCAAAAACCCAGCCGTAATCTCACGCTGACGCTCCTTCTCTTTGATGAGCTCTAGAATGCGACCTTCAGGAGGGCTGGGTGGTCTTTTCTCCTTGACAAGCTCTGATGAAAGCACGTTGAAGTGGAACGGATCATCATCCTCGGAGTCGCTCTCAGAATCGTTCTTTGTCTGGATGGCAGAAGCGCTCCAGTCACTGTAGTACGACTTTTCTTCCTTCTTAGCGCCTTGCTTCTCCGTCGGAGCCGACGAGGTTGGGTCGCCCTCTTCTTCTCCATGGTAGCGTTCGAACCAGTCATCCTCCTCGTCAAGAGCATCGTAATTGGAGAGACCAAGCACGCACGTACTTGTCGAAGAAGGAACACAGCCCGCGTTCTCTGGAGAAAGGATAGCGTTGGGTCCTAAGCAGTTGGTCGTGGTTCTGGCATCTGGCATGTCACTCATCATCGCCTCCCTCACCTCCCGCTTCTCATCCTCACCGACCGAGACACCAGAGTCCTTCCGCTCCAGCGTCTTTCGGCGCACACGATTCATGATGGCAGCCTTTCGAAGGACCTGCTGGGTCAGGTTGCGTTGCTTGGCCCATACGGCGATCTTGGACGTGCCAGGATCAACGATGTGGGTTGCCGGCGTGCTGAAGGGCTGAGAGAGGCGCGAGGTGATCAAGAAGAGGCGCAGCCTACGCTTCTTCTTGGACTCGGAGAGGAGGTCATCAACGTCTGCAACGGGGCGGGATCGCTTAGGCGACAGTCTGTGGGATTTTCGCTTGAATCGGAGCGGACCTTGCGGTGCAGGAGCAGATTGGAACTTGAAGACAGTCGAAAGAGGCTCGTTAAACGAAGAGAAGAACATGGTCGTATCTCGTAAGGGGGATCCCCTACGTCGACATCATGTCGTCAAAAAGCATCCGTGGGGAGAAGTGGGCCAGATCGAGGAGAATGGCTAAAGGCTGCGAGTGCTTGGGATCGAGTTGAGATTGCGGGGAAGCCGTGTGAAACGCCCTGACCACAAGAAGTGCAGCAAGGTTTTGGGCTCGTGCAGTAAAGAATAGAAGAAGTGCAGGAGGCGGTAAGAATTCCTAATAATGCAGAGCCTGCGTGGGGAAGCAGATCAAGCGCCGGATCTTCTTGGGGGGGGAGGGGGGTGCGGAGCGTAGGAACCCCACGTCCAAGGCAGAGAGCAGCGACGTGATCAAAGCGGGCTGGGTCAGGTGGGGCAGGGGAGGGAAGAAAGATGCAGCAATGAAAGAAATGGAGAGAGGAGAGACCAGCGGACAGGAGTGGGTGTGATCACTGAGGCGGTTGCTCGCGTCCAGGTTGCGCAAAAGACGAGGGACGGAATCAGGTTGAAGTGTGCCTGTCATTGGCCAGGTGTGGGCGCACGACAGGACCCGACAGGCCAGACCAGTACGGGGAAGGTCGTGCGGGGAAAGAAGATGAGGTGGGTCGCATGACGGACGACGCGCCTGCGCCTGCCCCGGCTGACGACCCACGATTGGCCGGCGCAGAGGACGCTCGCCTGATCGGGGCCAGCACAGGCGGCAGCTGCGCGAGGCCAGAGCGACGACCTCCACCAGCTGGGCGACTCCTGCGCAGCACGACAAACCGCCAACGAGTCCTCGCGAGCGAGCACAGCGGTCGTCTGGCCAGCCTTGGTGCTGTGTCTACGGAGTGCTCCGGTCACAAACTAAGACCCATGTCCCCGGATCCCGCACGCTGACGATCTGGACTGCCGCCAACGCCGCTGGTAGTGCTCTTTTCTTTTCTTTTCTTTCCGTCTGCCAGCATTGTTTGGCTCTAAGATTAGGAGCAGCCCACCCTGGCGAAGTTGAACGCCTGTCTCGCCATTGCGCCGAATTTCTTTTTGCGTCCTTTGCTGCTGTCGTTGTTCTGTTCCTTTGCTTGCCGTGTCAAAGGATTTGGGCTGCGAGGACCGTGCCGGGTGCCGCTCGTGGCTTCGTCAAAGGACACGCTGAGCAAACAAGCGGACTTGTCAAGCTTTTCAACTCTTTCTCATCCAATGGAACCTGCAGATCCAGCTTAGCCTGGAATCAGTATAGCCGGCCTGGCTTTGTGCAAACTGCCATGGCCTGGGAGTGCTTTTCGACCTTTTTTCGCTCCCCATGCCCTCGTGCATGATTAGGCCATTCCCTCCTTTGCGCAACCACCTCGGATCTAGCAGAAGTCATCTAGCATGTTTAGATATGGGCTAGAGAATATTCTCCGAGATAGCTTAGCGCGCTCGCTTCCGCGGAGAACCACTTCGTTGTGTGAACTCTTTCTCGACGTCCATCCATGCCAACAGCGCAGCCGGTACACATGTCCAGCGAAGGAGTTGTCTTCGCTTGCACTGTACCTCCGTAGGGTTCATATCCTGCAACCGCCGGTGCTTGTACCAAAAATGCACGTGGCCCAATAACTAGGCCGCTTGCTTCGACGGTAACGTGCAACTTCAAGCTCTGCATGCACGCGTGCACCACGAGATTCGAGCCTCCAACCAACCAAAAAGAAAATTCGGAAGGTGAACGTTTGCCTTCCGACAGAATGTATCACCAGGCTGCACGGCGGCAATAAGCCATCGCCGTTCCTATTGAATGCGCTTCGGCGGAAGCGTCGTAATGAGCCATTTTTTCTTCTTTTTGCAGGATCACTGTAAACAAAACTAAGCCCCGAAGCCTTCACGCTCTCCCCAAACCTTTCAAAAGTGCCCACCCGCAATGCACGAAATTGCCACCACGGGCTGAAGAGAGAACCGTGCCGTCTCGGCTGAGAACGCGATGCGGTCGTCATACAAGTACTTGTATGAAGATCTTGCCCAGAGCTTGAGTGGCCGATCTTCCCCCTTTTGAAAGCCCCCCATATTATCCGTCATTGAGCTGCCATTTACAGCCGTTGCAGCTGTGCGCTCAGCTTCCTCGACCCACTGACCGCGCGGAGGTTGCCGAACATACCTCTTCCATGAAAAATCTCCGTACTTCACTAATTCTTTTTCACGCCGGCGGCGGCAAAGTCGACAAATTCTGTTCTATTGTCGTGCCAAGGTGAAAACAATACGGGGGAAGCTAGAAAATCTTAAAGTGCTTCTACAGTTTGCTTCATGTCAGCTGGGCGTAACAATACGACAAGGCAGAATTTTGAATGCGTCTAATCTCAATTGTGATGACGTTCATATTGCGTTGGTTCTGTGCTGGCGAATAACGTCCTGCCTGCTCTTTGCCGCCGACATGTCAGGTTTTGAATCTAGTTTTTCCATGATCAGGCTGAGCATCACCGCCCGTTGTTTTGGAATAAGTATGTGGGCAGCGCCATCAAGCCACGCGATGAACTATAGCGGTAACACTGCGGCCTAAAGTAGGATATGACTGCCACAACGGAGTACAAAAGGAGCAAAAGCTATAGGATACCGTCCATGCACTTCTCGCCCATCGGGCGAAAGACTGCATTGCAAAAACTTGCCGATTTTATTGTGGCTGAAGCTGTGCTGATGACGCGTGGGAAAAAGTAAAGATGTCCTGCATGACATGAGCAAAATCTGGTCCGCCTGAAATAGAAAGCCGGCGGAAAAAAAAAACTTTGAAACACATCTCTGCCTTGGACAGCACGAGCCAGTGTCATGTCCTGGAGTCAAATTCGAGCAAGCAAAAATCCCCCCGGCCTGAAGATATGACTTACCCGTCGAAAGGCGGTCACCGTACTCGGCCCCTGCGTCGGACTTTCGCACTGGTCATTCAAACAAACCTCGCCAGCTGCCAGCTGCCAGCTGCTGGTCCGCGTACGATCTCCAGCCTTGGAGAAACCGGGCGGTTGCGAAGACGTCACCAAAATGGCGAAGCTAGGGGGGCCCAATAAATCTGCGCCCTTAATCACGCACATCTGCTAGATAGAAGTGAGAAGTTCAAAAGGCAGACGTCCTCGAGGTGATATTGTGATCACCTCGTTGTTGATTTCGGGAGACAGTAAGATCATAATTGCACGTGTTAATCTTCTATGACGTGCATAGATTTCTCATTCACGGCCTTGGTCTGAATAACGTGTGGTCAAGCCATAAAGTGCCTGGTTTCTCAGAGCCAGATTTGCATGTGAGCATAAGATCCACAGAGCAGCATTCATCGCCTTGATAACACCAGAGGTAACAATTGCTGCAGCCGTACATACTTACCCCGGAAGAAACGGACATCCAGCTAAGGCGAGCCATGTGCGCCTGTGTCTGGATTTGAGTCTTCGGTTGATAAGCAGCCGACGGAGAAACCTAGCCATATCTAGAAAGTAAAAGAGAGCATTGAGCGTCGAATTGAAGTCGGACAGATCAACTCAAGAGTAATGGCCCTAACCATATTGTGTTGATCTTCCAGCATTTACCTGCTGTTCGCCGCTTCCGAACCCGTCTCTTCTCGGTGACGAGAAGCTGTTGATACTTCGTCCTTGAAGCAACAGAAGTTTTAGGTTAGTCCTGAAGATCTGAAGGGCGAAGAATCGAAAGTTTCAACGCTTGTAAATCGGGTGTGGAAAAAATCAAGAACTAAAATAGGGTGACAAGATAGCACTTGCCCGAACCCATATTGGACTTTGCAAACTATGGAGACAATCCTGAGTGAACGCCCCAATGAGACAGTGATCCGCCAACCGTGTGCCGCTCTTACGTCTCTGACAATCTCTCCTCGCTGGCATTCCGCTAAAAACACGTAGTTGCTGCCGACCGAATTGTATCTAGTCTGGAAAAGAGCCGAGGGAGACTAGACCAGCTCGTCAAAGAGGCTATACTTGGCAGGAGAAAGCCTTTGAATAAAACAGCGTAAGGCTCATGCCTCACAGCGCTTTTCACCTAGTCAAAACGAATATTTATGCTACGGGAACTAAATCGATTTTAAGTCAGAGTGTCAAGCAAACTCAGTATCTCATGGTTTCAGACCAATCGTCGATTGTATTCTTTGCAATGTCGCTGGCTTGGGACTGATCTGAGCGACTTGGTGCTTCTTCACATATGGTGAATCGCGTCAGTCATCCCAATACAAGCTTTCGTCCATCCATTGCCTATAGCTATCACGATCTATGATGCGTTTTCTCGAACCTGCCAGAGTCTGCACGTTGTAATTGTCCGAGACTAAGGCTCAGTCCAATTGGCACATGGCAGTCGGCAGAGGTTTACGTAGCAAGTTCCGCAGCGAACTTTCGAATATGCGTTGCTAGACGTCTCACGGATGATCGATAATCTTGGTCGCTCGACCGGTTTCTGCGTCGTCGGTCTTGGTGCCTTGCAGCAGATCGCGGTCTTGGCACACAGGGCTGACGAGGGCTGCCTGTCCGAAGTGGGTCCACTCACTACGAAATGCACGCGAGTTCTCCCTCGCTGACCCCGACTAGATCTCACGGTCACGGCGCGACGCCTGACCTTTTCCCTTCCTTCTTCGTGCCTTTAAATGTCGTTTTGAACGGCAGACTGGCGCGTACGTAACGCCAGAACGCGCGCCCGCATTCTCATTTTGCCGCCACCCCACATCTAAATTATCAACGTTTACGCCTCTTTGCTAGGCGGCGTCATGTTCGGAAATGTCAAGAAGCCGGTCAAACCGGTAGTCATCCGCAAAGTCAGCGTCGCGCGACCCACAGACCAACCCGCGCCGAGCGGAAACGTGCAGCGACGCCCTCTGCCGACCCAGACGAGCAGTTCTGCGAAGAACGGGGTCGTCAAAGTGAAAGATGCGGTTAGAAGAGCGGGAAGCGCACCCGCCAGTGGCCTCCTCAGCGTGAAGAGGCGGCAGGATTCAAAGACCGCAAGTCCAAGTCCCTCGCTAAGTCCTTCGCGAAGGTCGAGTGGAAGTCATAAGAGGAAGGCCCCAGACCCATCGGCGACGCCAGATTTCGGTTCAAGCAGCGAGGAGGAGAGTAGCGGCGATGAGGCCGCTGATGGTTCGAGGAAGCGCATGCGCCCAACGCCGCGGACTGGCACCGTTGAACCGGACATGAAGAGAGTTGTTCTAGACGACGATGCGCTGAAATCAGACGGAGAGCTGCAAGAGGAAGAGAAGTCGATTCACGGCCATGACTTGACGGTGGGCAAGTTCAAGGAGTATCAAAAATACATGTCCGCCACCGGCGAGGATGACGGCAAGGCTGCCATCGCTGAATTGCAGTATCCAAGCAAGTGTAAAAAAGAACGGTAAGTCACAGTTTGCCTTTCAATCTTCGCGCATTTCTGACAAGATTTAGGTTTCAGTTGGTCTTGCCCACCGATCCCGCCGACTACAACCCTGTCGAAGATATCATCGAGAGCATCGTGCAGATATGCAGAGAATACTTTCCAGAGAAACAAGCCGAGTTTCTGACCGACGAGATCACCGGTTACCCACGTCGCTTCCGCAAGGCCTACCGTGAGAGATCGGGACCGCAGTTCCTCGCCGCACTTGAGGATTTCAACGCTTTCATCACGAAGTCCGTCAATGACGACACGATACCAAATTTCTTGCGAACGAGACACAATCTGCCTCTTTCGCTCGTTGAACGCATACTATCACAAGTCTACGCCCGCACAGTCTCTCCGCAGGTCAGCATCCTTAAGCAATACGAAAACGGCACAGATGATGTCTACGGCGAACTTCTTCCACGCTTCGTACACCAAATATTCCTCGATACGAATCTACGTAGCGACCAAGTCTTCGTAGACCTGGGCTCGGGCGTCGGCAACGTCGTTCTCCAAGCCGCGCTCGAAATTGGCTGTGAGTCATGGGGAATCGAACGCATGCCAAATCCTTCTGGTCTCGCCGCCAAACAGGTTGCCGAGTTTGTACCTCGGTGCAAACGATGGGCGCTCAAGCCAGGAAAGGCCACCGTTCTGCAGGGCGATTTTCTTCAGTCCCTCGAAATCGACGAGGTGCTTCGCCGCGCAGACGTCATTTTGGTCAACAACCAGGCATTCACACCTGCGTTGAACGGAGCTTTGACTATGAAGTTTTTGGACCTGAAAGACGGGTGCAAGATCGTGTCGCTCCGCAGCTTTCTGCCGGAGAACTGGCAAATCCGGGAGAGGAACCTGCAGGACCCAAGAAACCTGCTGATATCGAACTTGAAAAAGGAGTACTTCAGCGGAAGCGTGAGTTGGACGGATCAGGGGGGCAATTATTATGTTGCCACAAAGGACGTGAGCAAGTTGGAGGCTTTTTCAAAGAGGCAGCAAGAGATGCGAGAGGCTGAGAAGCAGCTAAACGGGGACCACGAGAAATGAACTCCGGATTTGAGGATCGTCAAGTATGTCAGGAAAGAGGATCGCCAGGCCATTAAGTTGTATATTCACTCTTATTTTGGGCAAAGGCAGATCTTTTTCTTTTTCCATCACGATGAACGAAAAAAAAAACATGAACACGGGTTGGTTGGGTTTAGGTCACAGCAGGCTAGGCTTATACCCCATTTCTTTCTTTCTTTTTTTTCTCTGTATTTTGGAGATCGTTTTTATCGAGGGTCAAGGAAAGAAAAATGACTTGCATATGTCGTTCCAAGTGGCCTCGCTGGCGGACGCTATTGCCCCGTAGACTGATTTAACCTGAATCGAGAAAAAATAGAACGAATTTTTGGCTCTTTCCCAACAACATATACAGTTGCTTCTTTTGAACAGTGGTCGATGCGAAAGTCCCGATGACCGGTCTTTCTTCCGTCTTGCCGACATTTGGAGCACTATCTTTCACCGACGGCCCCAGGCAACGACCAGAGTACGTTCGCAAAGTCCCTAGCACGAATCTGCGTACATTACATCCCCGCCAACAAAAGGAGTTCCAAAACATTTCTACCAGGATCGCTTTTGCGTGTCGAACGACGGGCAAGACCATCACGTTGAGAAACTGTCGAATTGCATTCGGGTTTCGTCGCTGCCTCGCGGGCTACGTGCTCGCGGGACGCCTTGCTCGTCTATTTGAGGAACGGGCGTGTCGGGGCGGGACTGGGACAAAACGGCAGTCGCCAAGGCGGACGTGGTGTGGGCGGAACTGCTGGACGCGCAGCGAGGCGACGGAGATGGCAGGAAATTAGGTAGCTTACACGTTTGGGGTGTCACTGTTAGACATTTGATGAGCCTTTGATCGCTGAAATAGTGTTCGCTTGATAGAAAAAGGTCTACGTGATCAATTTCGATCTCGAGGCGGGAAGCCTGTTTGGAAGCCCGCCGAGTTGGCCAGAACGATACGCCCTGAAGCCTTGTTCCGGGTTGCGATCCCCCTTTGCGTCTTAAGACTTTGGGGGCCAGGCACTGTACCAAAGGCTTGAAAGAACGACGTGAACCCATGAAGTCTTCTGATCATATGTCGAATTAGGAAGATATAGCTTCGTGTATTTGTTCGAAGTACATAAAAGGGGATCAAGTTTAGAATAAATTACCTCTGATACCTCATCGTTTTCACTTGAGAGAGGTCCAAACGAGCGGCTGGCTTCGAGCAGAACCCTAACAAAGCTTCGCAGCAAACAAGTACAAGAACAAGAAAGATGAAATAAGGAATTGGAAGGACAGAGAGGGTTGTGACATGACCGTTCCTTCCTCATAGCCTCCAATAGAACCCAACCCTAACTATTTACGAACTACGTCGTCTGAAAAGGATAGCCAGTCGACCCCTATGAGTGCGTCGACATGAGATCGGGCGAGACGGGAGACGCGGGCAGTTCAGGAGTGGAATAGAGCTCGGACGGAGAAGTCGGTGTGCGTGCATTTGGCGGATCAGGATGGAACCAATCCGACGATGCCTCCATTTCTTGTCTTTGCCCTTGCCTTTCTCGCGCCATTGCCGCGTACCTCTCCAACTGAGCAGCGTCGCTTTTATCCGGTTCTTCGTGCAGTGGCCCCAGCTTATTCTCTGCCCGTTGAACTTCGGAGTCGGCAGAAAGCTCCGACGGCTGGCGAGAGTGCCTGGGACGAGATGTGCCATCCACTTCGGAGGCAGCTATAGTTCGATCAGACACTATGCTGCTCGCTGTGTAGCAACGATCCACAGGAGGACGCTCGGCAGCCTCGTCAGCACGATTCGGCATCTCCAGTGACTGTATTTCTTTCTTCTTGCGCACAATTCGTTTCCTGAGGAAGAAGAACCAGTAAAGGAGAAAAATGAGGACAACTCCTACAAACGCTCCGACAGCAATAGCTGCGATTTTCCCGGTGCTGAGACCGATAGGATTACTAGATCGTGCCCCATCTACGATAGGGATGATACGGGTTGTCTCCGGTGTTGGATATGCGACTTGTGATACGGTGAATGTCCCACTGCCATTATATGGATAATGGACGCTGACGTAGGCTTCTTGAAAGAATGCTCGTCCCAACACGGCTGTTTTGGAGTTGTTGGGCATTCTTTTTATCGGAAAGATACGTTGACCACTATCAAGATTCCACGTCCAGCTCGCCAAAGGACTAAAAGCTCTATAGTCGTTGAAGCTGATGTTAGTCATTGTTTGTCCAGTCTGATTGCCTAATCCGAACGTAATGCTCTGTATTTTATTGTAGTTCGCGTCCGCGACTGTTGGATCGATAGTGTATATGTCCCTATAGGCATCGTAGGTAAGGTTGAACAAATTTTCGAACCAGTTGCAAAGCATAAGAGGAAGGAAGAGGTAGGGAACTGCCGATTCGAGTATTGCATCGAAAGCATCTTCGTAAATACTGGAATTTCCGTTGGTTCCAACAACTGCTATTTTTTGAACTGTCAGTGCTAATTCCGTCTCGTCACTGCCGACCGGCATTCCAAATTTCGCGGTGGTGTTTGGTTGTATCCGAGCCTCGTCGAATCCGCCTAGCACAAGACTGCCATGGTAATTTTCTGAATTATCAGCTTCTAATCACAAAGTGGGACAAAATAGATAAACAGAAAAATATCCAAGCTCAATTCAGTCAGCTAGTGCCAAAATTATGCCCTAAATTTAGCTGTACACAGCCGTCCTCGACTTACGATCCGAGTGCCTGTACAATGGCACTCTTGATGTGACAAGCGGGATAAAAAGAAGAAAGTGACATACTGTATGATGCACCGGCTGTATATCCCCAACTTCGGCTGGAAATTTTTCCCTCGTCAGCTAAAGTTTGAAGAAACGAATCACCGGTTTTATTTCCTAGGGTCCATTGATTGAATCCTAAACCAAAAGTGGGCAAGAGATACTGCCAACTTGAGAGGCCAATTATTGAGCTTTTCGAATTAACACTGAGATAGTTGCCAGAAGCAGCATCTTGTAAATAAAGGCGATCTAGGGAAGATGGGCCACTGATGTCGTAATCTGGTCCTAATATGTCGCTGACTACTATGTGTATGCCCAGATCAACATAACTTAAATAAAGGTTCTGACCGCCCTGAAGCGTGTATCCGAGACTCTGACTAGATTGAAAAACACCAACTCCGCAGGCGATCGCACATGCCTGGACGCTTGGCTGAGATATCAGCTGCACCAGATTTGTCTCGTTACATTCGCCCGGAGTTGGCAGCCATGTGCTAGAAGATGATGTTGACGGCACGAAGTTGAAATTCTGACCAGTGATCTCATCTCCACCGACAGAAAGTTTGAATGTAGTCCTAAGAAGGGTGGTAATCAGCACGAGATCTTCAAGTACGGCGAGCATGGAGTGACAAGCCGCTTGTTTCTCTGCAGAGAGTGAAAGGAAAATGTAAACGAATGAGAAAAAGTATTCAGCCTCGAAACTGCTCACCATTCACCGTCAAAGTTACCCCATTCGCCTTGGCCACTTTTTCTTGCGACCTCAATAGCGTTGTTAATGTTGTTAGCTCTCTTGAACCATATCATGATGTATTTGCCGGAGGAGAGTGTTTATATTTCCTCTGAACTGTATGAAATTCATCGATCTGAGGATGGAGGTTTCCTGCCTTCAACAAGGCTGGGAGTTCTGCATCCTCTCAGCTGTCGACTTACAAGGAGTCACGAACTTGCCGAATAGAATGAAAGCACTAGAATAGAACATGCATGCTCCATGTTGAGGGAAGGTTAGGACCTTGATAACGCATGATAGCTCTTTTAGAAGCACGCTTTATGCAATATGCTCTTCCAATTTCTTCCGCCCAAACCCATGCAATTCGCCGGAATTGGACAATTCTTCCGGCCTAAGTCGTGATGTCCGCAAAGCCATATCGGTGGGTTGAACACAGATCTTCAAAGGTTGCCCAATGAATGGTAATTTAGTTGCACTTCTAGGAGCCAATCTCTGTTCGAAGATACTTTGCACTTGGTGACAAGACCAGGCTTCTTCCTCAATTGTACTTACGGCCATGATCTTCTCATCACAAGTAGGCTGTGGCCCCCAAGTTAAGGGCTGCATGCAGAAAGAGAAGGGATTTCAACAGAAGAACGCCTAAAGCAGTCAAATCTAGAGGACTGCAGCGAGACCCTCAGCATATTTATCAGTATTTCCTGGCCGATGCCCTGTAGTGGCTCTCTGCGCCTTTTCAAGCACGGCCGCATTTAGCATAGCTCGACGATTCAGGCAAACCATCGCTGTTCTTTGGCAACGAACCGTGCGCGCTGTAACATACTTTGCTACCACTCTTTCATTCGAACAGGGTATGCAGCAGAAGATCCAAGTGCTCAAGCTGACGAACCAAAGCCTCCTTAGAAGAAAGATGCATGAAAGCTATTGCATGTCGAGTCTCCGAGTTCTGCACAGAGCTCAGCCGAGCATCCAATCTGACGCCCAACTCTTGTCTTGGCGTCGCCGGATACAGCATCGTTCAATCAGCCTCGCTATCCTGTGAGCATTATTGCCGAACCACATTTCCAGCGTTGAGTGGTCGATCTCACAATAGAGGGATATGATTTCGCAACCTAAGCGAAGCCGCATGTCAAGCCTCCAAAAATGCCACAAGGTTGGAACTCTACCTAGCTATAACGGGGAACACTGCTCCGTAATGTGAGCGAAAAATCCTACTTAAGTTGACTGCTAAACTGGCCTAGCTAATCACGCTTATGTATATCTTCCAAACACAGCACATTGATCTTTGATAAAAACGGGAATTTTCCTCTTTTTTGCAGAGCAGAGTCCCATCTGACCGCATGGCGCATCTTTTGGTTTTGATAGTTTGCGCTGGCCTTGCTCTTGCTGGTTTGTACTCTACCTCGATTCCAGAGCTTTTCTAACTCTTAGCAGGCGGAGGCGGAGAGGATTTACAAGGAGGCTGGAAAACTACCACTGCTTGCTACACAACCTCGAGTCCTACCTACATATCCTCCTCGCACACGACAGTGACGTCCTGGGTATGGTACGAAGTAACTCAAACGACTTCTATTTTCTACACCAGTATAGAAACAACAACAAGCCAAACCACCGTCTCGTACACAGAAACGAAAACAAGTCCAACTACACTTTCTTTTACATACACGGAAATGGCAACAACTTCAATACCATACCCAGTACTCTCGACGGAAACGGACGTCAACACAGTTACAGTTGAGATTTCCTCAACTATGATAGATTACGAAACTTTCTATTACACCGCAACTGATACAGTCACCTCTCTCACTACAGAGCCGGCCGTTACTGTTTTCATTAGCACCACTATAGTCGAAATCGATACTCTACCGCCCACAACAGTGACCAGTAAGCTACGACATCAACTTTGACCTTATATTCTTGCTGATTTTCTTGAAGCCACAACTCCTGACTGCCAGTTCTGCAAGATAAATCTATACGCGGAGGTTCTGACATTCCCCACGGTCTACGTTACATCGACAGTCTACGCCACGACGTATGAAATTTATACGACATACTCTGGAAGCAACACCATTTACTCTACTCAGACAATCTATCCTGCAGTATGCCCCAATTCATGCATCGAGACAACTGAAAGCACATGGATTTACCAAAACGTCGTCCTCACGTCACCGACGACATACCTTTTTTATACCAGCTTTGAACTTGGCTACTTGGAACCCAATCCAACAATTTATGGCTGTGGCGAGCTTATGTTCAAGACTCTCGATATTGGGACTTCCTCGACCAATTTTGTTGAGCTGATTTGGCCAACCGATGCTGTCCCAACAACGCCCACTCCAGCACAGGACGGACTGCTTTCATTCCTAGACACTATTCCAACTGTGGTGTCGCAGCTCAGTGGAGTTCCAGCAAAGTCCTGTGATACACCAGATGTAGATGCCGAACAAATTTTATCCACGGTTACGAGGACAATTGCTTCCACTGTAAACAGCGCCGTAATTTATTTAAACAAGCCAAGTTTGAACACTATGACTGCTTCTTCCAATGGCGATGGTGATATTTCCCCTACACCACCTCCAGCTTTGGCATCAATAACACAGCCTTCATCTGTTGAGTCAACCAGGACTCCAAGTAGTGCGACCACGAGAAATACTCCTGCTGCGAGTGCTTCACCTGCTGCATCTAGCGCCTTCAGCGAATCGACGTCTCCAACTACGGGATCAATAAGCGGAATTTCGATATCCAGTGTAGAGGCCAGCAGCACCATTTCGCCAGCGGCGACGGGAGTTGCCACAACTCAGGAAACATCGACCTCGCAAGGCACCTCGCCGAACACGCAGTCTAGTCCGTTCAGCACGAGCACCTCATCAGCAAGCACCACGGCAGCAAGCAACGTGACAGACGTCACATTCACGCTGACACAAACGGTGACTCTCTCAACGGTGACGGTCACTGTGTCCTACGGCACAAGAACCGCCCTCTCCGTGACCCAGCTTCTCTACGCATTGATTCCGGTCCTCTTGGCGGCGTGGATGTCCTAGGCAGAGACGTCCCGTGTCCGAACACCAAGCGTTTGTTACCTGTTCGTCGTGGTCCGGGCCGCCACGAGGAGCCCCCTTCCGCCAAAGATCTAGCTGTTTAATGTTCGCCCAAAGTAATTTTTAATCGCTCTTCGCCCACTGTAGGCATGAGCTAACAGCTGCCATTCATTGGGCATAAATATCCATCTGAACACCGGCAAAACCTGCGCCAAAGTCTAGCTTGCGAGCTAGTTAACTTATAAGGATCGACATGCGATTCTACACGCTCCTTGTTAGATAGTCTTGAACAACACAACCTCTTAATGCTTAAAATTGAACAAGTCCGTGATAAAAGTTCTTGTAGTTCGCCACTACCGTCATTGCTCAGTCTGCGGATTGCTTAATCTTCTAGAGTACGCGATACTTTGAGCTGAAAGATAGTTATGGACGCCATTCTGACCAGTTTAATCCGGAAGGATGCCAAGGCTTTAATGGCCATAGAATCACAATGAACTTCATATTTTGCATTGAAACAAAACTCGATAATACAGTATGATATACATATCTGTACCTCTCACTCACCCTTCCAAGAGGAAAAGCGTTTCGGGTATCATATCCGTCGACCTTTTCCTCCATGAAATTCACCCATTTCGTCCCTCATGTCATATCGACACCCATTCACCGTTGCAAGCCGCCTTGTCTATTCGCCCGCGCATTATTCTCCTTCTCCTTCGTGACAACGCCCTGCAGATAACCTAGAAGAAAGTTCTTCTCCACGGGAGTGATTGGACTCTGCGTTCCGCTGCCGCCCTGCTCACTGGCAATGCTTCCGCGCTTGACGGGAGGTGTAGGCTTGCTCTGTGGAGCAGAAGTAACCCCGCCCACCAAGGGCGTTCCAAGCGCTGCACCTACAGCATACGATGGGAGAGTTGATACCTCGTTCGGCATGGAGTTTAGGCTGCTGATACGTGAAGAACGTGGGGTAGGCTCCAGCGATGGCTGATGTGAGTACTGCGCCTCCGCTGTGTTCTGTCGATGAGGGAGATGCATAGGAATTGGCGACACAGGTGAGCCGATACCGCTCGTGCGACCGTGGCCTGATGGAAAGCCGCTGACTGGTAACGAGCCTGGAAATTCTGCGGGCGATCGTTGAGCAGGTGCCACATCGGGCTTTGCTCGCTCACTAGTTTCTCTGAATAAGTTCAGAAGAGCATTCTTTTGTGCAAGACTGCTGCTGTCCCTCCGATCGAAAGCTGGGATCTGTGAGCGAGGTTGAGACTGCTGTTGTGGAACTTGACCGACGGGCTGTGGAATAGCTTGTTGCGGCGCAGAAGCCGGTGCGTGGTGTTGCGGCTGCAGGACGGACATCTGCGGATTGTCTTCTTCAGCTCGAGCCATCTCAGCGATATCCTTTGCCGACCTCCGCAAAATAGTGGTAGGATGAAAAGGCCTCGGTGCCTCCATAACAACATTTTGCGAGACTGTGTGTATCGGTACAGGAGGAGTAGCGGTCTGTCTCATGCTGGCGCTCTCAGACCTCAGTGCTCCGCTCCGGATTCCAATACCACTTGCAGATGGTGGTGAGGAAACGGCTGTGCCAGGAGATGGAGACAGAATGCCATTGCCGAGTTCCACGGGCCGGACAGGCTGGCTCTTCTTCACAGTCTCGAAGTCTGGTGCGTTTAGTGGACCCGAAACCGTTGCTGAAGTTAATTGTGGTGTTTTCGAGGAGTGCTCGTCTGCAGAAGTAGTTGCTGCGACAGTCGTATTGACTTGAGGCAGACGTCGCATACTAAGTTTATGCTGCACTGGTTTCGTCACGACTTCGCGGGACATGTGAGGACTCGGCTGTGCAGCTAGTTCGACAGGTTCGGCATCTCTACCGTGGACAATGTCCCGAGGGGGAGGTTGCAAAGCCTGAGATGGAGGTTGAGCTGGTATCTCGGCTTTCTTGAAAAGGCTAAGGAGAGATTCTTGGTGTGCGTTGCGGGAGCGTTGGGCTTGTGGTTGGTGGATTTCCATTTCTGGAGAACGCTGCTGGTTTTGCTCTTGCGAGGATGTGGGTAGTACGGCACCAGCACGAGTTACGCGCTCTGTTGGAAGCACCAGGTTTGAGGGTTGCTCTGTCGCCAGCTCGGGTAAGCTTCCATGTGTCTGGGGTTGTACAGGTTGGACAGTTGTTGCAGTAGGGCTCTTGAACGCGCTAAGCAGATTCATGGCGTGAGTGGAGAGTTTTTCTGGCGCTGGTTTGGGAATTGGCAGCGAAGCAGGCGCATGGTTATATTGCGGGAAGTGCTGCGATCTGAAGGCCGGATCTCCTGTTTGAAGAGGGTTCGACACTTGCGTTGGAGGAGGAGGCGCTGGTATGTTTGTACCAAAAAGTGTACGCTGGTGCTCATGCTGCGGCGGTGGAGGACCAGGCTGGCGATGTCCTGTATAATGAGAAGGATGCAATTGGCGGAGTTGCGCATGAAAAGGTTCAGACGATTGGCCAGGCCACGGACCCGGAGGGCCTTGGGGTATTGGAGGCGGAGGTCCATGGTGCATTTGCGGAGGTGATATAGGAAAGGGTGGAGGGGGTCCGTGAGACACCTCCAAATGTTGTGGCGGATGCGAGTGATGATGATGTGGCGTATTTGCCTGTGGAGGCGTAGAAGTGATTTGTTCCAAAGGCGTATGCGGAGGCATGCCTCCTACCTGAGGCTTGCTACGCAACATACTCATCAAGGGATTGCTATCTAGCTGTTGTTGCGCCGGGGGTGCGGCTGGTCCACCAACACTCAACATGGCCTTCAACTGCGCTGACAAATCCGCCGTGCTCGCTGCTGCCGGTCCGGGTTCCGACTGAGAAACAGACGGGCGTTGTGATCCAGCTTGTAAGCCAGACAACAATTTCTGAAAGTGCGTCTCGTCTTCAGCGTCCGTGGTCATCATACCGTCGTCGTACGTTGTTGGGTTAGGAGCTTGCAGGCCCTCGGCCTCGGACTCTTCGGTAATAACTTTTTGCGTCTTTCTTCCGTTTTGAGCGTCTAACTTCCGCTGTTGCTTTATCCAATGTTTGAGTGGGCGGATGAAGGGCGCCACCATATAGAATTGCGAGCTCTTAAGCCCATCCTGAGATACGTTTGTGCCAGATGGCTGCTGACCTTGTCCACCAGAGTTATGTTTTTGACTCCCTGTTGCGGCAAGATCCGAGACCTTGAACCAACCGATCTTGCTAATCTCCTTTCTCGTTTTTGGCTCAAAACGAGTATCCATGGGCACGTCTCTAAAGACATATAGCCGCATTTGCTGCTCTCTGAGGGACATGTCAATGAACTTGATATCGGCTTCGTTTTCGGCCACGAGTCCAGCTTCCCGCACATCATACCCAGTCTCTTCGTATACCTCCCGAATCGCACAATCCAGGTCCTTCTCCTCCTTGTTGATTTTGCCTCTGGGAAAGCTCCACTTGGCCTTCTTGTTCCAGCCTTTGACCAGCACAACTGCGGTCATGTCTGAGTTAAGCAAGATCGCTCCTCGCACAGGAACTCGTGTCTTGTAGGCTAGGAACTCTGCATATGATAGCGCGGCTGAGGCCTGGAACGGGGCAAGCAGCGGACAATGCTGGAAGATGAGTTCGCAGAAGCGACGAAGGTTCATCTGCGGCAGTTGCGGGTCCTGTGCCCGGATGAAGTCTTCGTAGAACCATTGTGCTTCTTCGATCTGGAAGCAGATGCGCTCGACAGAGGTAAGTTCTTCGTGGGGGAGGTTAATAATGAAGCGAACACAGAGATCATCAAGCCCTACGATGTTGTTCCGGCGTCAGCTTCTACATATATAGCAACAGCGAGCACCTTGATCCAGCATGTAGAAGTGGTACAGGTACGATCTGGCAGCTCACGCTTGTTTTTGTGTGCAAATTAAACGTACAGTCAACTAGCTGCATCTTCGTCTCTGCCATGATGATGACGGGCCGATCTGCGCATAGTCTAGCACCTTCGTTCGGACGGCTAGTTGTGGAAGCTCCAAGGCACAGCTGCTCTGGTAGAACAGCGACGGTTGCCCGGGGAGAGGTCGGGCACCACACCGAGCTCCGTGTAACCAGCGCCTACGGGTCGAATGCCGGATGGAACGAGGCGCCAAGTTACTGAAAAGAAGTATTCGGCGATGATTATCAGAAGCGAGGGCCACAACCTCCAATCTAGAATGTGGTGGCCGGGGGTTGTGAGCGTTGGTGGTGGTGGTTGTGAAGGCAGTTGTGCGGATTTAGCGACGGAGACGTGTGTTTGTTGCAGTGGTGCCCCGTGTTGTATGCAAGCATAGGGCCGAAGTGGTAAGTTTGCGTTGTCGCCCAAGCTCAACGTGGTACATGGCAGCTCGCATGTGGCCCGGCCGTGGTGGGGACAACAAAGACTGCGCGACGGAATCGGTCGCAGCGCACAGCCACAGATCGGCGACAACCGAAGCTGAGGACGGCATGGCTTCAATGCGCGGCGACTCCAGAAACGGCTAGTTCAGCCCCGTAAATGGAATGGCCTGTGTGGCGCGTACGCGTCAAGGCCTTTTGTCGCTCGCTGGTGACGTCGCTGAGTCGCTGGCGGATGCGACGTCCTGAGAACGCAGAATCAAGGAAACACGGCGAGTTCCCACCCTTCACCGCAACGCCCTGTTTTAAGAGCCAAAGCCTGCCTGCTCTCGCTTGATTCCTGCTCTCCGCTCTTGTCTCTTCTGTTCTCAGAAAAATCTATTTTGAGCGGTTCGAATGATCATTCTTCGTTTGATCGTTTAACGGCGGCGCTAAATTCGTCTCAGGAGTATCGCTGGACTTCCAATCACCAGGACGACACTCTCGCCAAGCAGTTTCCTCTCCTCGACATTGCCTCTTCTTTGCTAAGTCGCCTGTTTCAGGCTCCGCTTCCTTTCGTTTGCTTTTTTTTTTCTTTGCGACGAGGTCGTCACCTAAAGCGCGCTATATAATCCACCCTCTGCGCCTTTGGCTTAAACACGTTTGCAAACCCCCAGCGGCAACAGAGTACCATTGGCACCGCGCATCAGCAGATCCACTATCAACATACACACGAAGAAGAGCAAGGCCGACACAGAGCAAAGATGACGCAGGCAGTCGCGAAATATGCAGCGAAGAAAATGCTCTCGAAGCAGTTGAAAGACTACAAGAACAAAGACCCAGCTGGCCCCTATGTATGTGCTCCTCGCCTACTCCTCCAACAAATACACGACTAGACCCAGAGAGCAAGACTAACGGCACCCCTCCTCTTACAGGACCCGTACTACGAGTACCGCATCGATCCACGCTCCGGGCGCAAGAAGAAGATGAAGAAGCAAATCCCAGCCTATATCCCCGAACATGACGCCAACGTCCTTGCCCGAGTTCGCAAGACAGCGTACAGGCTCGACTGCTCTCTCTTCTCCCTCTTCGGCATCCGTTTTGGTGTCTCCAGTGTGATCGGCCTTATCCCTGCCATAGGCGACGGTGTCGACGGAGCCCTTGCCTTGAACACCGTCCGCAAATGCAACAAGATCGAGGGAGGCCTCCCCCAATCGGTCCTCATCCAGATGCTGTTCTGGGTTTTTATCGATTTCATTGTCGGCATTGTGCCCTTTGTCGGTGACCTTCTCGACGCGAGCATCAAGGCCAACTCAAAGAACTGCAGGATCCTCGAGGAGCACCTCGACAAGAAGTACAAGCCAAGGGAGCTCGTGGCGCAGGAGAAGCGGGAGAGGGATGAAGCGAAGAGGGCAAGCAGGCCGTACATCCCTCCCGCTCCTGCAACCGTGTACGAAGATATTGACGACGATGATGACGCGGGTCTGCCCAGATATGAGGACCAGAGACCGTACGGTGGCCCAACTGCTCCGGTTGCGCAGCCTCAGCCGGCAAGGCAGAAGGAAGAGCGCCGAGGCGGTTCAAGACCTGAGCGCAGCGGAAGCAAGGGCTGGTTTGGCGGAGGCGGTGGAGGCACCAGAGCTCAGAGACCAAATGGCGCTGAGATGTCACAGGCACGACGATGAATTTTTCAAGAAGCGAAAGACATTACTATCATTGTGCTTGCTTCTCTTCGGAACTTGGTTTGGTCAAATGTTACACTGCGAAGAAACAATTCCCCCTCTACGTGCGCCTGTTTTGTGGGTTGTGAGATGATTTCACTTCGGCATTGCAATGAGCGACAACGGAGTTTAGGAGCCAAGAAATTAAATCCATTGTAATTTAATCCCTGTGTATGATGCAGAAGAAGCTATTTTGAATGGTATACACTGCACAAGGTCATGTAGAACCTCGTGACATTGAATCTGAAAAGCAACGTTGTCTTCTCGCCGGCCATTTAAAGTCTGCTCGTTCTGCTCCATTGTCTCTGTACGTATTCCGTAGACTTTTCTGGTCTCAGAAGAGAGCTGGGCGTGCCATGACATGGGACCAGAGGTGAACACATGCCAGCCTGCACTAGATACATGCAATTATGACATGATCTGGACATTTTCTAAATTGCACGACTCTTCGATCCGAAATTCGAGCGTCGAACTTGAATCTCTCCTAAGCGAATGAAACGCGTGATCCACTCTTGAATTGAATTGGAACAACATGCCCTATTTTCTGAACAAGGTTTCATAGGCAAATTTCCTTTTGTCGATAATATGCGTGCTCGTTTTTTTTTCCCGTCGTAACGAACTCCCCGGGCCTTTCCGATCATATGGTCTGTTCGACGAAGCGTGACCATACATTCTGCTAGAACTTCTGATTCCCTCGGCAATTCTCCTCTTCTCGTCAGTTCGTGCTGGCGATGAGCATCTGAGCGCCATTCCACATCAGTGTGCTCAAGGTAAAGATACCATGCGCAACTCATCAAACAACGTGGTCGAGGAGGATTCTCGATCCCCCCGATCTTGTCTTAAAGCGTTTAATTCTACAACAACTCGACTTATTCGGGTATGCAGCTGGCATGCAAGCAAAGTATATCGGGTAAACCAAGCTCTATGTTTGGTTGCGGCACGTTCTGATCTAATGAACAGGTTGACCTTGTTCAGCCCTCAGGTTTTGAGCAGATCCGAATGTTGCTGCTGATTATCAACACTCGAGTCTTCAGAAGCTTATGTTGTCTTGTCGGATCTCGTCCGATCAAAGGATTTCAGTTCTGTGGGGAAATTGGCGAGCTTCCCTAAATCCTACCGAAGCGTCCGTGTCCAGCTCAGAGCCCTTGAATGCCCCAGTCTTGGCATCTGGGGATGATCCATGCGTGGTTCAAGCCACGATAGATCCAGGAGGACTTGGCTACTGTCATAGAACTTCAGATTTACGCCTACACCCATTCCCCAGGTCTCATGCGCAGCATGGCTCTCAAGATTTCCGGCTTAGGGCATCTCCGTGCCATCTGATGTCGATGTCTGTCCTCCCGCAGTTGTACAATTGAATCCATGCACCATCAGCTTGTTTAGATTGTTGCCACTAGGCTGAAGCTTACATGCACACACGGATCAAATCCCAAAGAAAGATATGGCACTTTATCCACACCATGACGAACCACAAAGAGAAAAAAACCAACGCTCAGAGCTGAAATGCCCTAACGGAATTCGCGAATGGAGCACTGACGATAGTAGTCAGTACTCGTTCGGGATCTCCGCGGTGACACATTTGTTCTTTTAGCTCGTTCTAGGTCTCAAGCCGTGCTCAGCGCGTATAGTCTCACGAAACGGCTTCGATATGCCCACGAATAACCATACGCAATTTTGATCTTTTCTCGAAAGGTGGTCAACAAGAAGGAAACCGGGGCTTGGTAGTTGACCTAGGATATGGCGCTCATTGCTGCAAATACATTCCTTGATGGGCAGGAATGATTGAAACTCCTTGCTTTTGCTGTCGAATTCGATCACGAACGAGACTTCCATCTTTACAAATCAACGCCTAACTGCTGAACGGCGCTGTTTTTCGTCCCCCGCAATTCTAGCCCAGGAGCGCCGCACGCGAACTAAAAGAAGGCATTTGCGAGCAAGGCTTCTCGGATGTGGTCCACTAGATCGAGGGTCTTGGCGGCTCTGCTCTGCGGGATTGACGGAAGGCGAGTAAAATGGAGTAGGGGATGTTCTAGCGAGTTCCAGGATTGTTCATGGAATCCGGGCACACTGCGCTGCTTGAATCAGCATTTGGCCTCGACCGTCCTACCGACCATGTTCTTGTTGTTGTTGTTGATCAGATGTCACAGAGTTAAACATGTTTTGACGAGATCTAGGGTATTGGCCTGTTTGTGAAGTCAATGATAGTCTCATCCTGGTACTGTCAAGCAGGAGAGACATCGGTTGGGGGACATAAAAGACATCGTAGATGCTACGTGAAATTGCTTTCGAATTCATTCACAATTTCACTGCTTGTTACCTGCTACTGTCGTCATGAAAAGTAGTCTTCTGATCTTAGGCCATTTCCTTTCCCTCGCTTTGAGTCTCCCGGCCGACGGGACTGTCAAGCGTCAAGGAAGTCCGACGGTCGTGATTCCATCGCCGGATGCGACAATTGTTGGGCTCCAAATAGGAACCGTTGATCAGTTTCAGGGGATTCCTTTTGCAAAGCCGCCGGTGGGACCGTTGCGATACAATCCTCCACAACCGCTTGACCAAGATAAGTCATTAGGCACTATTAATGCCATCGGGCTGGGACCTACCTGTCCTCAAAACCTTGTCGACACAAACTTTGCAGATGGCTTACCTCAGGCAGCCCTTGGGGTTCTCATCAACACGCCATTGTTCCAAAAGGTCGGAAACATAAATGAAGACTGCCTGTATCTCAACGTATATCGACCGGCAGGCATCGACCCGTCTGCTAAATTGCCAGTCTTGTTCTGGATGCACGGAGGAGGGTTTGAAATGGGCTTCACCATGCCAAGCGAAGGCGTCCCATTCGTGGCGGACTCCGTCGCGCAGGGCAAACCCATCATTTTCGTGGCCGTGGAGTATCGAGTCGGAGGTTTTGGTTTTTTGGCCGGCAAGGAGGTTCTCGCCGCCGGAGTTGGCAATCTTGGCCTACTCGATCAGCGACAAGGGATGAAATGGGTTGCGGATAACATCGAAGCCTTCGGCGGTGACCCGGAAAAGGTCACTATCTGGGGCGAATCGGCGGGGTCGATCTCTGTGTTCGATCATTTGATTCTTTACGATGGCGACAACACTTACAACGGAAAGCCCCTTTTCCGAGCGGGTATCATGAACTCGGGTAGCGTTGTGCCTGCGGACCCCCTCGATTGCGAGAAGGCTCAATGGGTGTATGATCACATTGTCGAGAAGGCACAATGCTCGGGTGCACCAGACACTCTTCAGTGCCTTCGTGAAGCGGACTATCAGACACTACTCTGGGCCACAACGGACATACCAACCTTTACCGGCTATCAGTCCATCGCCCTTCGATTTCTGCCACGGCCGGACGGAAAGGTCATGACAAAGTCTCCAGATCTCTTAGTCCAGGAAGGAAAATTTGCAAAAGTGCCGATCATCATTGGTGACGAGGAAGACGAGGGTACGCTCTGGGCACTCATGCAATTCAACATCACAACTACGGATCAGGTTGCCGACTACTTGGGACAGTATTTCTTCCACCACGCAACGTTGCAGGACATGGAGACCTTTGTCGGAACATATCAAACAATCACGGAGGACGGCTCGCCTTTTCGCACTGGTCTGCTGAACAACTGGTACCCCCAGTTCAAGCGTCTCGCGGCCATCTTGGGTGATCTCGCCTTCACCCTCAGCCGACGATACTTCCTCCACATCAGAGAGGCGGCCGTGCCCGGCTTACCGGCGTGGTCTTACATGTCTTCGTACTTTTACGGCCTTCCAATTCTCGGAACGGTCCATGGAAGCGACATTTTCCACATCGTATGGAGTGTTCCGTACGACTACGCAACCCACACTATGCACTCATACTACTTGTCCTTCATTACCGACCTAGATCCCAACTCGAACAACAGTGCGCCACACTGGCCCCAATGGCGGGAGTCGAACCAGCTGCTGAATCTCTTCTCAAGCTACCTGCAATTCATCCCGGACAACTTCCGCTCCGATTCGTACGATTGGATCAGCAGCCACGTGCCACAACTCACGATGTGATGAGAGAAGTTGAGAGCAAGAGCAACGCTGCCTTGGCGCGGGGGGGGGGGGGGGGGGGGGGGGGGGGGGGGGACCATTGCTGGAAAAGATTCTTTGCTTCGTTCAAAAATGCTGACCGTTTCTGTTTTACACGTGGTAACTCACCATGACAACTTTCTTATCTTGCCTGTCCCTCCTTACTATTCTTCTTATGAGAGAGTTATCTCTCAAGTTTGAACCGTTTCCATCCTGACACTGGGTCAAAATGAGATAGTATTTGAAAGCTTGGGATCGTCTTATTTAGTCCTGCCGCAGTGTCGTCGGAATTGCCCCGGCTGGGACTGCGGTGCTCATCAGCAAAATTGAATCATCTTCTTCCTAACGCGTCATTCAAAAGACGTTCTTTGTTCGCAACCACTGCTCGACCTTGCTTTAGCCGTATGGCTGTGGGCAAGATCCCCCCCCCCCCCTCTCTTCTACATAATGATCCGCCCGCTCTATGTTGCAAAGTGCGGCAACAAAGAAAAGAGACCAGATGTCAAGTCGTTCAATGAGAATGAGTAGAAACAAAAGGCCGATCATCTACAGCTTTCAACACCATGACTTGCTTGCTTTTTTGGATGTGAGCCTTCCATTCCCATTCAGTCCTCTATGCGTTGTCGAAACGGATTGATCGAGTAGCCTAATACACCGAAGCAAGGATGCGGCGCACCAGTCGTGGCAGGTCACCACCTTGCGTACCATCAGCACCCCCTCGACAAAAAAAAATTGATCCGTCTTGCTTCATACACCACAGGCCACAAGAGAGTCAGCCACATCCTGAGCCTCGATGTGTTCCCGGTGGCCGTGGCGGTCGCGGTAATCTTGTTGCGACGTCCTTGAACCACGCGGGTGAGCCTCGCGTACGTCTCATGCTTGGTTTTGACCAAGACTCGAAAGATCGGAAAAGGGCGCCGAAAGATTGCGTTTTAAGCCGCCGGGTCGTAGCTGTACTGCAGCTTGCACGTGTGGATAGGCGAACTTTGAACACAACGCTTTTTGTTTCGGATTGCGACGGCAGGGACCCCTTTCAAAGCGAGTAAACCCATCTTGATTCATGGTAACTCTTCTACCCTATGAAACCCGCTGGGATAATACATCAAAAGCATGGCTTACTGGGGCTGAACGTTCATCATTGTGTCTTGCGGTAAACCGGATCCATCCCTAGCAGCCAAATCGTGATTCAAATGTGCCAGATTTCTTCATTTCAGACATACATCGTCACAAGAGCTTTCCATCCCGAGTTTTGAAGCCGTCGTATAAGCACTAGCCTATCGTCTTTCAAAGCGAAGTGTGACCCAAAAAAACATGCAATTAACGCTTGCCAAGCAGAAGTTATGAGGGCGAAGAACGGCATACACACCCACCCCAAGTTGGCTGTGCTCTTGACAGCCAAGCTCACATACGTCGCCTCGTGCCGAAAAGTGTAACAAAGTTCGCCCGTTCGAACGCCGGATGCTGTTTGTTTGAAGGGAAAAGGGTCGGCTGTACCAAAAAATGCCAAAAAAAATGCAAGCTTATAGGAACCCACTTTCGCTGAGAAGTCTAAACGAGCGTTAGCGAACAATTCACGACTGGACAGGTGGGAAAAGGGAACGTGTGTTGGGACGGGAGGGACGAGGTTTCGCATACCTAGCAATCTTCTCATCCTCTCTTTCTCGCGGCTCCACGGCCAGACTCATCTCATACATCTCATGTACATCTCCGGCGTTCCTCATGTTGGTTAGAACGTACTCCTGCAGCTCTGGCACCGGTGCTAGCGGGTATGGCACGTTCTGGTACTGCTGTATGTCTCGAATGACTTCGGCTGTCTTGGCGCGTTTGGCGAAGTTGATGAGGTTGGATTTCTTGATAAGGCTCGGAATGCCGTCCTCAATAAAGGTGAGATCAGTCAAGAACACGCCGAGGAAGGGCACGCATGGCGGGTTGATTTTGCGTAGGGTTTCGCGGTACTCTGCGAAGTTCTTGGTGGACCCCATCAGCTTGCGCATGGCTTCAAGAGTGTCCTTCGTTTTGCCATTGACCTGCTGCCAAGTTCTGGACAAACGGTGAATAGGTGCGGTGCCCAACGCGGAGATGATCGAGGTTAAGGTGGAGAAATTGTTCAGTCCACGACATTTCTACAGCTCTCGTTAGTCGTTGCAGCAATCGATTGCTCCGGTGTACCTACGTCTGCTATCGAGACAAAATGTTTAATGACAATGACCCTCCTCTTGACATCGTTCTGGTTTAGAATCATCTGGGCCACCCAGTTGGTGAGCTGATTTGAGTGCAGGATCAGGGCTTTGATGTTCTTGGCTGGGTCCTCCTCGCCAGGGGCAAGTTTTTTCTGCCAAGTCTTGTTCAAGCACTCGACAAGCTTGATCTTGCCGTACAGTCTGCTCTCGATGATGGTCAGCTGTCGGGCGAACTCGGTCGCGTCGATGTCTAGGAACTTGAGCTTCTTCAAGTTCTTCGGCATGATCGAGACCGGCGTCGTCTGGTTCAGCGTAAGAACCAATCGCTTAGTGGGCGCCTCGACGCCCTTCAAACGCTGCTCGATTGTTGAGATCAGCGGTGCCGCACCGGGCGTGTTTGTAGTCGCAACAAAGTCTTTGGCAAAGCCAAGCATGTGCATGATGAGAGCTCTTGTTTCGTCGTTCATATCCTCCATCCAGTACGTGTCGAGCCACGACTTTAAGATGTTGACGACGCGAAACTGAATCGGTTTCTGCTTCCTCTCCACCCAGAGCTGATATTCGTCCGGCGACAGATTGTCGGGTGGTTGGATAGACCAACGTTTGACCAGCATCTCGAAGAGCTCCTTTGCGGTAGTGAATGAGCGGTATGTGAGCAAGAAAGTGGCGTTGAAGACAGCGTCGAGTTTGTCATGCCTCGTCAGTTGCTCGACCAGACCGGTCAATGTGCCACCTCGCAGCTGAGGCGGACTGACCTTGGTGTCGTACGTGATCTCGTCTTCATGCTCGAGGCGCAAGAAGGCCGGGATCTCTTCGCCGACTGGCTCCGCAACGCGAAAGTTCACGGCCTGGTTGTCCTTGATGCCGGCCAGCTGTCGCGCTTTTGAGTTGAGGTTGAGCGGGCCCTCGGTCGACGGTCGTCGGGTGTCATCGTACTCGGTAATCTGCGTCGATCTTGAGCCCGAGCGTGCCCTTGGGTCGAAAGACGGCGGCGATGTCGCGCTGTCGATTCGAGTGGATTGCTCGACCGGCTTCACAGGCGAAGCATCACCTATGGGCATGAGATCGGACAGCAGCTGAAGTGACTGATAGATCTGACGTGTTATCAAAAACAGACTGTCAACGACAGCCGAAACCATTTGCAGTCGTTCCTCGAGCGAGTCGTTGCGCATCTTTGCCCATTCATCGGGCAGAGGCGAAGCCACTGCCTGGCAGACGATGAGAAGTTCAGACACGATATCGTACAGTCGCTGCTTCTGTCCGTTGAAGTCCACAACGTTCGGATCGGAGCAGTCATTGCCCAGAGGGCTGAGGTTGATGGATTCAATGGTAGCCAGGTACGGCCTGTACAGCTCCAGCACCTTGCTTGCGACCTTGCACACGTTGTCACCCAAGATCTTGTGCTTCATCGGCGTGATGATCTTGTCGGTGAGAATGAGTTGCTCCTTGAGCCGCTTGAGCGCCTGCTCGATCATTGCCTTTTCGCCGGCCAGTCGTTCCAGGACAATCATGTCGAGCCGTGTGCTAGGTTCGGCACCGTCGTAGTCATCTGCCTCGTGGTAATGCGAAGCGGAAATGGTGGTAGGTTTGGTAAAGCCGTTGTTCCTCCAGTTCCCACCGCTGTAGTTGTTCACGAGGAAGCCAGGAATCAGACGTGGGATCTCGTCACCGCGTTGCTGCCGTGCAATGTCGACGAATCCATACACGCCGTTGAGCACGCCGTCTGCCTCTTTTAAGCACTTTGCGTACGAGTCCGGAGGAGGGAAGTCCGCAGCGGCAATGTGCGACGAGAGGACGAGCTTCGAGAAGCGTGACATGGTCTCTCTGAAGTGGGGATAGAGCGCCTTGTTGGTGCTGATGATGGAAGGGTTGCCAGAGTGGTTGTCTGTCGTGCCGGAGCCGGCGGCGAGAAGTAGCCTCAGCTGATCCGAAATGTCTTCGGCGCGTCTGACGAACTCGGAGCGTTGGTGGTTTTCAATCGCCTGTCTGAAGCGTTCGATTGCCCTTCTCATGTCGTCGACCAAGCGATTCCAAGTGAGAGGTACGGGATCCAGGTCTTCAAACATCTGGTGCCCCACGCCCATTGGATTCTGCATGGGACTGCCCGCGAAGGACGTCATTGTCGTGCCGAGAGCCGGCATGGTAGACTGCAGCATGGACAGGCTCGTGTCGGCCATGCCGCGGTCGCGACCGTTCATGGACTCCATCGAACTCTCGCGAGAGAGGTTGGGGCGCCGCAAGGAGCCCATAGACTGCTCGAGGGCCGAGCCCGTCTCGGATTCCGAATTCTCATAGTCCGTGTCGTCTTCGCGTTCCATGCCGCCCACCATGAGTTCGGGTGGAGGCCGTGTGGTCGTCGGGAGAAGGGTGTTGGCGCCACCACGGCCGTCTTCGTTCATGCTCAGTGGGGTCTCAAGCGGCAGTTCCATGGTGCTCACGCCGGTGAGCGTGTTGAAGTAGTAGAGCCTCCCGTCCGGCGTGGCCTGCGGTATCCAAAACGCAGCCTCTTCCTGCTGCCTTGCAGGATCTCGGACCTCGGCGCTCTTCTCGCTGGTGATGCTGGGCTCGTACGGCTCGTCGTCGCTCTGGTCGCTCTGGTCCAGCGCCTGCCTCTGTTCGAGTTCCTCCCCGCCCTCCTCGTCAAGATTGATCAGCTGGCAGTAGTTGCTAGGGAACCATCCTCGCACGCCGTTGATGAAGCCATCCCACCACCCGCTCTCCAGCTGGGTGATGACCTGTATGATGTCGCCCTGGCGGAAGCTCAGGCTCGTGGGGTCGTCTGCGTCGTAGTTGTACAGAGCGCGAACGTACATGGTCCCCGGCGGCGCGGTCGTGCCTGCGTAGCCGTTCATGGTGGTGTTATCGTCTCATTCAACCGCTCGTGCAGTGCTTGTCTGCCGTCGAGGCCTGCCAATTCTGGACTAGAAAACCGAGCAAGGACACGGCTTGCAGTTGTGTATGCGGTGGGCTCTGGCGGACCCAGGGTGCCGCATGTAGGCCTTGGAGACCCCTCGATTCCGTACGTCGCGCTTCGGAGATCGAATGGAGAATGACGCGTCGATATGGGCGTGCGAAAAACGCTTGAGGTCGAGCAGCGAGGGCCGGTTTTGGGTGAGCAGTGCGGCGGACGCCACACGGAGCGAAGGTGGAGACTGCGCAGCAGACTAAGGCGATGGATCTTCAAAATGCGTACAGGTCGGTCTACGCTACAGCACAGCACAGGGCCGCAGCGACGGGCATGGAGGACGAGATTGTTGCGTCGGAGAAGAGAGCAGTGGGAGAGTCGCGAGGGCGGAGTCTGCGATTGGGGGTGTCGTCGAATGCAAAAGGGTCAGGGTTGCAGGGAAAGCGTCTTTTGTTGTTGTGGGGAACGCCTCAGCAGGCCGCTGGCCAGGGGAGGGCGAGAGCGAGCCAGAAAGGGCTGGGCCCCTGCTGGTGGCCAGCGAGTGTCGCGCTCGAAAAAGGCCCCAGGTGCAGCTCGCTCGCTCAGCAGGCCGCCTGGGGTTAGGCCCCAAAGCAGCGAGCCAACCTGCACGGCTGTGCGGAGGGACGGGCAAGGGTGGCGCGAGCCTACGGAGAAAGCGTCTGGGGCAACGGAGTCAGAGAGTGCGTCGAGGAGGAGGAGGTGGTGGTCGAGGTGGTGGTGTGGTGTGGCCGAGTGGCCTGCCGGAGAGCGAAGCGTGTGTATCAGCGCGAGCCAGCGAGGGGCCGCGTGTGCCAATCGCGCCGTTCGCTCGGGAAGATCCACGCGAGTGGGCTCCGGGGATCAGATAGGCTGGCTGCCGCGGCGGAGGCGGCAGCGCGCCAGCGGACACGCTGTGCAGCGAGGGGGGGGGGGGACGGGAGGGGCAGCGATCGTATTGAGACACAGCACGCTGGCCACGGGGCGACGCCTGCACGGCCTTGACTCGTGGCCAGCAACACAGCGACCAACGGAGGGCGACGCGACGACGGAGAACGCCTTCCGTGGCTCTTGTTCGTCCTGTCACCGACGTCGTTGGCGGTGCTGGTATGAACGGCACGTGGGCAGCGGACACACACCGCGTCAAGGCGCGCCGGCGGACGTGACCGGCTCTCCCTCGTCGCCTGCTTGCCGTCTGCTGGCGGAGGCGACGGGAGGGGAGCCCGGCGGCCACTGCATTCCCTCTCACGCGCGGTTGACGCCCGCCAGCGGTGATTGCCCTCGCCCAACCCTCCCACCGCCGCCGGCCACCGCGGCCGTGACGGCGCCCTCTTTGCTCGTGCCGTGGCCGGGCCACATGGCGTGCGAATCTGTTGCCCTGCCCTCGGCCTGCGGCCACGCTCGCGGCAGCCGTTGCTGATCCCGTTTGCACCAACACGGACGTTGCTCTCGCAAACGAGAAAAGGAGGCCCGTGTAGCCGGAGGAGGCAAGGCATTGCCGTGGGCAGGGCGCAGCGCCCATCACCCAGGTCCTTGCTGCGTCCCCGTCATTGGCTGCGTGCGTCGCTCCAGGCGGTACTTCGGTACTCTGTACATGGAGCGCACCTGTACCTTCGCAGCCCGTCCATCCTACCGCCTCGTCTTGCCTGCCGTGCCTTGCCAAAACCCGTGCGTCGTCTTTCTTGACTCGTACCCTCCCTCCCACTCGCTGCTTTTCCCGTCAAAATGCGCGCCTGTGGCCTGCGTCCAAGGCGCCTCGACGGTGTGAAGAAGACGAGCGGTAACCTCCACCACCGTTCGACGGCCAGGGGGAAACCAAGACGAAGCGAATGAGAAAAACGTGCCGCAGCGCCTGCGGAGCAATGACTTGCATCCTCGCCCTCGACGCCTCCCACCCCCTCCCCCTTCGCCCCCCGAAAGCCGCGTGGGCAACGAGGTGGGATGGAAGGCCGGCCCGCGGTCAAAATGCGGCCAGACAGCCGCAGAAGGTCGGCAAAACCTTATCGTTTTCCTTAGCGGCGAATCGAAACCTTCTGGAAGAATCCCGTCTCGATGCGCGAGCATCCCGTAACCATACTGCCTGTCTTTATTGACCAGCTTCATGCAACAAAGGGCAACCCATACCCAGCCGTCCTGTGTCTTGTCAAGGGGACGTAACCGCCGCACCCTATCGTCTCACACGATCCATCACATGCAGCTGCTCGTCTCTGTCAGCGGATTGGTCCGAGGCGAATGGAAATTCTCCGTGCCGTCCTCGTCCGTGTTTTACACGCCATAGAAGAGTCGTGGAAGCATCCAGGAATTCGCTACCAGAACGTTCATTAAACAGGGCATGTCAAATTTACTACAAAGCATCTGCATCCCAGGCGCCGTTGACAGGACAGGTGCGGGGCCTCAGGAGGATACGGAATCACAGCAGCTTTCCAGTGGAAACGTGCGAATCATCGTAACGATTTCAAATGCCAATCCGACGTCCATCAATAGTGCGCGCGGCAATGGCCCCATATTGGCCGTCATAATTACAAACGGTAAAACAATAGAGCGAGAGCGAGAGAGATAAAAAAAAAAAAAACAAAAACAAAAAAAGGCTTGGCCCTAACGGAGTTGATCGCGCATGGATTGCACTCATGGAGTATCAATAAACGCTGCCGAAAAGAAAAACCGGGCCAGGCCCACAGCTTCAGGCCACGAAAGCCCCCTTTCCCAAAAAATGTCTCAGTCCAGTCGGTTTCTCTCAGTCCCGAATGGTCGTCTGCTTGATGCGATGCATTCGTTTCCATTCGCCAGAATGCTCGTCTCCAATCCAAACACCATATTCGTCAATGCAGCACTCGAAGGGGTGATTTGCCGGTTTTCTGTTTTCGGCAAGCTTCCCCTCGGACTTCAGCTCTTCAAGATCGCCCCACAACGTCCATAGTTTTCGCCGGAGCTGGCTCTGGATTTCGAGGTTGTAGCGTAGGCTGAAAAGGCGATCAGCATGTCTCGTCACGTTGTCCCTAGAAGAACGGCAACTCACTCTGTAGCCTCTAATTTAAGCAAGAACTCTGCATCAGGCCCGTGAACGAGCAGTGGAATTCGTGTGGGCTCCTGGCCGGGCGTAGGCCTGGCATCTTCCACTAAAAGGTAGAACGCCCATTCCCAACGCGAAGACTTTGGCGAGCCGTTGTCCGTCGTGAAAGTTGAACCCTCACAAGTCGATTGAACGTCATGGTAACCTGGGTCATCCAAGCATTGGGCGAAATCGGCCAAGTCTGGCGGGAAGAAATCAACGACGCGTACTCGACTCTTGCACTTCTGGTTGATAAATGGGAGTGTTTGCTCTTCTCCCTGCCTGTCGCGATAGACCCGATATGGCGTTTCGAGGATCTTGGTTAGTGTAAGTAATGGTCTGTCCTGATTTGCTGCCGCGACTGAAGAGAAGTCAGCTTGGAATTTCGCAATGTTTTGAGCAATAGATCAACAAACCTTTTTGGTTGAGCATGTCACGCTTCTCTTTGACAAAGTGTGATGCATTTTCCGCGTCGTCGTCTTCTTCAGCGGCCATGGCTTTCCCTGCTTCTCTAGCTTTGGCCTCTTTCTCCTCCTGTTCCTTCCTCTTTTTCCTCTTTTTCTTCTTTTCGGCCTTGCTCCCCGACGTTTTGCCCTTGGTCTCCCTCTTGCTCCAATATTGCTCCTTGAGCACGTTGATGGCCTTGTACAACTCGTGCTGGAAGGACAGTTTCGTTATGTCGACCTGATCCGGATGTCGCTTATCCTCATGCAGTCTCGCTTGGAGCGTTTGGCCGTCCTTGACGAAGCACCGCGCATTGTGCACACGCACGAAATCGCCTTCCTTTATTTCCCGCCTTGCGTATGACGCATGCGGTTCAAACAGGGCGATGCAAATGGTGTGCTTACCCCAGGGACCTTTCCACTTTGACTTGGACTTGACCGAAGTTGTGTAGCCATACGGATCACCCTCTCGACCGTCACCAGTCTCGCTGTTGTCCTTGTAGTCAAACAGCAACGGATTGAAAGTGTAATCGCTGATGTACAAGTCGACCACATGGTTTGCATCCCAGAGCTTGATCACCTCTCCAGCAAGGTCGTGGAATTTTCCATTCTGTACGTCTTTAAGAAATGCAAATTTGGAAGTCACGTGGCGAAGGCCCATCGCTGGTCCCGTCGGCACACCAGAAAACCCAGGTTTGGAAGGCAAAGAGTGAATCGTGCCGCCCGTCTCTGAACTCTTGTGTGGAGGATGGGTTTGTCTTAAGGCCTCTCCTGGTTGTGGCAACCAGTCAGAATGGCCCTTCGCCCATTCCCGCAGCTGGATGATGTAGTCTTGCTCCTCAGCGCTCGGCGCTTTAACAATCTTGTTGGGCAGGGTGCTGTGGATAATGGGTTGTGATTCGGAGACTACGTGTGGGGCTTTGAAGGCACTCTCGGGTATAGATTTACTGGGGAAAAAAACGTAGTCGGCGGATTTGTATCGATCTACTAGACAGTTGTTTCCGCCGATTGCTCTCCACTGTGTATCTCGCACCAGGACGATGTCGCCCAACTCTACCCTCTTGGGCATCTGATCAGGCGGCCGGAACAGTCTGACGCGTATCCCGGTTTGGTTATGATGACTGCCCAAGAACGAAGAATCCTGTAAGAATATGCTGCACGCGTAGTCTAGAACCTCGCATTAACGACAGGCTCTGCACAGTCTCTCATGGCCACAATTACCTGTGCCTCGTGTAGGTGCAGGGGGCATGAAGTCGACGACGACTCCTATGACACTGACGTCTGATTCCAGCGGCGTCGTTGCCAGATCGGCCAGAGACGTGAAGCCCATAGGAGGCTTCAGGGGCTTGTAGTCCATGCTGGTCGAATCACAAGCCTTTGAATAGTCTAATGCTCTTGTAGTAGTTCTCAATGTAGCCCAAGCTGCTCATGGACTGAAGTCCAGCCTTGGAACGGATGGCTCGTTCTCCAAGGAGCTGTGACGCGAAACGTTATCGTCAGTCGCGTGCGGTTGCCGCGCCGTCATTTTACGGCGAAAATTTGTTGACTTGCGCTCTTCACTCGCCACCAAGCTTTTGGTTTTCACGCAGTTTGGCAACATCGACGAGTCACTGGAGCCTCCATGCTAGTATTTCTCGCTTCTTCCGGGGTCGCCGCCACGAAGAACTTTGAATATCTGATTTCCATTTTCGCGATGTCGCTTTGGCTGAAGGCGCTGGCCCACTCCGCCAAGTTCGGCTTAGTGCGGGCTTGAAAGTGGGCGGTGGCAGAAAACCACAGCAACCAGACCAAAGCGTTTAATACAAAGGCACAAACAATCTTCTGCTTTGTCTTCCACTACGAAGAAAACTTCACCTCAGTGACACTTCCCAAAATTTTTTCTCCAACCCTTGCTCAGCAAACACACCACACTCAGCATGGCGGAGCGCTACATTCCTGAGCATCGACGCACTGCCTTCAAGGCCAAAGGCGCCTTCAAGCCAGATGAGCTTAGGAGACGACGTGAAGAGCAGCAGGTCGAAATTCGAAAGGCAAAACGCGAGGAGAATCTTGCAAAACGTCGTGGTATTGCAGGTCGTGACGCTCCTGGAGCCTCACTGGGCGCTGCTCCTGATAGCGATGATGAGGGAGGAAATATTGAGACACAGGTTCGGCGGCCCTCAAGTCCCCATGCACTCAGCATTTGGAACGTCCCTTTGCTAACGTCTCCCGTGACAGCTCAACGAAGAGCTCCCGCAGATGGTCAAGGGTGTCTTTTCAGATCAGATCGACGAGCAGATTCAAGCCACAACCAAGTTCCGTAAGCTCTTGTCAAAAGAACGCAACCCGCCCATCGAGCGTGTCATCGAGACTGGCGTGGTCAGCCGCTTTGTGGAGTTCCTCAAATCACCCCATACCCTCGTACAATTTGAAGCCGCGTGGGCGCTTACCAATATTGCCTCTGGTTCTGCTCAGCAGACTCAGGTCGTTATTGAGGCGGGTGCCGTGCCTATCTTTGTCGAGCTTCTAAGCAGCCATGAACCCGACGTACGGGAACAGGCCGTCTGGGCTCTTGGTAATATTGCTGGTGATAGCCCCACCTGCCGTGATTATGTTCTTTCTCAAGGTGCTCTTCGGCCCTTGCTGAACCTACTGGGTGACAGCCGCAAGCTGAGTATGCTCCGCAACGCCACTTGGACTCTAAGCAACTTCTGCCGTGGCAAGACGCCACAGCCAGACTGGAATCAGGTTTGTGTTTTGATAAGCAGATCCGTATTTGTGCTAACTCCTCGCAGATCGCCCCAGCTCTACCTGTCCTCGCCAAACTTGTCTATTCCCTTGACGATGAGGTACTTATTGATGCCTGTTGGGCCATTTCGTATCTTTCCGACGGCTCCAACGACAAGATTCAGGCAGTCATTGAAGCAGGTATTCCTCGGCGCCTTGTAGAGCTCTTGATGCATGCATCGACTTCCGTCCAGACTCCAGCTCTTCGCTCAGTCGGTAATATAGTAACGGGTGACGACGTTCAGACCCAGGTTATCATCAACTGCGGCGCCCTTCCTGCTCTTTTGTCGCTGCTAAGCTCGACGAAGGATGGGATCCGAAAGGAGGCATGTTGGACAATATCCAACATCACGGCAGGCAACTCGACCCAAATTCAGGCCGTCATCGATGCAAACATTATCCCGCCACTTATTCATCTACTTCAGAATGGGGACTTCAAGACCCGCAAAGAGGCTTGCTGGGCTATTTCAAATGCCACTTCAGGCGGTCTTCAGAAGCCAGAACAAATCCGCTACCTCGTACAATGCGGCTGCATCAAGCCTCTTTGCGACTTGCTGGCTTGTCCAGATAACAAAATCATCCAAGTTGCTCTTGACGGCCTTGAGAACATTCTAAAGGTCGGCGAAATGGACAAGGAAGCTAATGAGGGTAATGGTGAGTCTATCAACCGCTATGCCTTGTTCATCGAAGAATGTGGTGGCATGGAGAAGATCCATGACTGTCAGAACAACGCCAATGAAGAGATATATATGAAAGCATACAACATCATTGAGAAGTACTTCTCAGATGAGGACGAGGAAGGCGCTCAGGACATGGGTGCCTTGCCCGCCGTTGGTCAAGATGGTACATTCGGCTTTGGTAGCACTCAGGGACAAGTCCAGCAAAACTTCAATTTTGGAAGCAACCAGCAAGATTCCATGGACATGTAGATGGTAACGGGATCTTTTTGAACCTCGGACATTGAAGGGTATTTCGGACGATCCCACGAGGCTTCAGAGGCCCTACGATCAAATTTCAATCGCCGAATCCCACCAACCCACTTCACGTCAGCACCACATCCCCAGTTCTCACCTCTTTACACCAACCTGATACCCCGGTGCGATTCCTTGAACCCCTTCGTCACGACCGCCACGAACACATATACAGCATATAATCACCTCACTCCATCCCCTTCTCGACCGACACGAAAGACGCTCATCTCCCATCTCTCTCGTCCATAAGCATCAACCCCCCGGCGTTCCACAGGACGAGGAAGAGATACACGCGAGTTCAGGTTCCGACTTCATTTGTTTTTTGCTTTAGTATGATTTCAAAGTTTATGACTGCAAGTGGTCATAGCTGCGGCAGGCTATTAGGAAATCAGAGGTGAAGATCGAATGGAAGTGTTTGTACTGAAATGATAGACGAAAAGTGTAGTGTGTAGCTTAGCGCATCAGATGGATCTGAGCCTTTTAACTTCCTCACCGTTTCCTACACAACGTAAACTTTTTTTTTTTTTTTGCTTCATGCGCCAACCTCAAATCGGCCATACATTGCCCAAAACCCATGTGTTGTGATGCAAGAATCTCGATCCGTTCGACGCGGCATCCTAGAATCCAACTGCACCAAGGTCCGTAAGAACAAGATCAAGATATTCCATCAACTCGTAGTAAAGCTAGGCCACTTCCAATACGGGCTCCGATCAAGCATTCAACCTTCCATAGCAGTTGTTGACAGCTCGATGGAAGTCCTGTTACGACGCATCGCACTGCCCTCAGCACCAGAGGAGCGATCTATCGACAAAGGATTGTTCTCCCGTACTTTATGCATGGTCTCCTCAGACGAATTTGGGCAGAATCAAGTTTCATCTTCACGTCTCGGCACAGGAGAGCGTTTGAAGGAGTAGAAGAGTGGCCGAAGGGACGCGCCGATGTTAACGCTAGATATCGATCTTGACGATGAGTTCACAAGTAATGAAGATGTAGAAAGGAAAACGTCAACATCGTTCCATGTCTGCCAAATAAACAATTCGAGACGCCGGCTAAATGCGTAGATGAACTCGGATAAATAACAGCCCTTGCTTTGCGAATCAAAGACCCTTGCTATCGGAATGCAGAAACTAAAACTTCTCTTCGTTTACCAGAAGCGCGCTACGAAGAACTTTTACCAACTAGTCCTCGTCTTTCTTCTCCTTCCTCCTCGTCATCCGACCATTTATCCTCATCGCCAACAGCGAATATGGTGTCCCCGTCCAAACTCTCTCTTGGCAGAGAAGCTGGTTTTTTGGGAATAGGTGCAGGCAATGGACTTTCATCACGACGCCTGTCGATTTGAGATGATTGTTGCGGGTTACCTCCGTACGCCGGTCCGCTTCGATCATTGCTGGAGTCACTTTCTGGAGGCGTGCGTTTACCGTGCACAATACCGCCTTCCACATCGGAGTCTAGCGAGTCACGGACCGAGTTGATCTCAAAACCTTCATCATCTTGCGAGATCTAGTTGTCATATTAGCAATCCAAACACGGTGATCGGCACGGATAGTGAAGCGTACCTCATCGCTCATAGCGAACCTTCTGTTGTTATCCGTAGGTCTCCAAAGATATGCCACAAATGCAACGTCCGCTAGGTAGACCAAGTTAAGCCAGCCATCCAGTACAAACCAACGCGTCTGCCAGTGCGTAGGAGCGAAGTCTTCGTTGCTTACACCGGCAAAGGTAAAGCTGTTGAAGAAGAAAAATGCGAAGATGACGAGGATGGAGGTCAGTATGCAATACCACAGGTTGCGATACATCGAAGCCTTGACGTGCTGTTTCCGCGCAACAAGGTCCTTCATCGTCATGCTAAGCGAGTTGAGTGTCCAGATGTAGAAAGCTGTGAGAGTCGCCGATAAGGGAAGGATGACAAGGAGTACAAGCGGACCTGCATCATCCGGTCGGACGGTCAGGGAAGCGACGGCGTAGATGACACCGAAGACAAAGTGTGCAGCTGCAAGCCAGCGGACCATGATCATCGTCCTGCCTAAGGACGGCTTTACGACACCATATCCCATGCATACAATCAACAAGAGGAAAAACGAGAATGAGTTCCGCCCTGCGTTGAGGATAGACACTATGATCATGAACACCTTTGATCCGAGGTTTGACCCATGCACGTTCTGGTAATCGTAGAATCCCCAAGTAAGCAGCATCTCCACGATGAGGAAGATGATGATCGCCGTAATGTAATTCTGTACAGCGAGGATGTCACGCCTGTGTTGCACGTACAGAAAACCCCAGAAGATACCCATGACAGCGTACACGAGTGTCAAACCTCCATAAAAAGGAAGCTTGGCGATCTGTGCAGCAGGAAGCTCACCATACGCATTCCTGAACTCAACTGCTGCAGTATACTCTTGAACGCTGTAGCCCCACGTGCCAACGCAGTAATAACCTGTGCGTGTAATTTTATACGTGAAGGGTTTAGGATCGCTGATAGAGGCCGCAGTGGTGAATATCGGCAGCTTTGATTTTTGGTCGGCATCATCGGCGACTATGAATTCGCCTTTGTGCGTCTCATCGCAGAGTTTTTGTTGTATAGCGCCGTCGTCACATATATAGTTCCGCTGTTTTATAAACCCATCAGTTCCATTGCGCAAAAAAGTTTGTAGGACACGCGTACCTCATCAGGTCTGTCAGGTATTGGCTTGCCTAGAAGATTTTTGTCCTGATACTCAAAAATAACCAAGCTGACTTTCCCATCGCCAGCGTTTGGGTTCTTTTTAAACATGACCTGTATGAATGGATCCACTGAACCACCCCAGGCCTTTTTGCTGTACATGCCCGAGCATCTCTGTGTGTTATCTTCCGTTTGATCCTATGAATATATTAGAATTCTGATCCATGAAATATCGAGCCATTCGAGCAATGTTGTCTTAACATTACTCGGCGTCTGAACAAGACGATCTGAGGCTCCGGACACTTTGGCGCTTGTCTTGGGAGGAAGCGGATGGTTCGTACCAGCTGTACCTCGGCGGCCGAACTCAGACATGCTAGAAGGCCTAGCAAGCTTAAAATCGTTCTCCACCGCCTCATGATGGCAGAAATACAATGTAAGGATGTGTCTCTTAAGTTGACAGCAGAGCTCGAGGCTGGGCTTAAGTCGCAATGTCTCCGCAACAACAATCACATCAGTCCAGAATTGTACTAGTGCAAGGACGCGACGGTCCCTAGAACTAGAACTACGTTGAGTCCACTTTATGATCGACTCGTTAATACAGACCCGCCTTGATTTGCCGTACGCTTCATAAATTTTAGTGCTTGGTCAGAGGACCGAATCAACAACGCAAAATGAGGGCAGAGCATCTTGGTCAACTGTGCAAACGCTGTAGCGTACATGAGGCCACGCTTACTGTGCGAAATGAGCCACTCTGCAAGGAATGTTTTTCAAAATACATTCATACTAAAGTGGTGAAGCGGATGGAGGCCTTTCGCACGAGACATGCTTCTGCTACTCAAGAACGCAAGCTTCTTCTCCCAATCTCTCTTGGTGTGTCATCAGTAACCCTACTTCATATCCTAGATCGCCATCTTCAAGGCCAGAAGCAAAAAACTGGTCGTGTGGGATTTTCGTTACACGTGTTGTACGTCAGATCGCCGGAAAGGACAGATGATCTAGCAATCAAATTCAATGCTGTGAAAGAAGCATATCCAAATCACACTTTTTCCATGATTGATTTGGAGACTCTTTTCACCGAGAAAGAAAACCTAAGGACTATCCTGGACAGCTTACCCTCTGCAACCTCGGCGGCAGATGTTCTATCAATCTTACAAAAAAGACTGGCCGTCGAGTTCGCAAAACTTCACTCATGCGAAGGTATCCTCTGGGGAGACTCCACGACCAAACTCGCAGAGAAAGTATTGGTTGAAACTTCCAAAGGGCGTGGTTTCTCCCTCCCGTGGCAAGTAGGGGACGGTGCCTCGCCCTACAGTATCCCTTTCTACTATCCCATGCGAGACGTCCTCAAGAAGGAACTTATTGCCCACTCTCGGCTTACAGACCCACCTCTAGCGCTACTTATGGACACAAGGGTGTTTGAAACGACGCAGGCTCCGCCGAGCGCAAAGGACACGACGATAGACGTGGTGATGAAGGGTTATTTCGAGGACGTGGAGCAGAGTTTCCCAAGCGTCATAAGTAATGTCGTGAGAACGACGGAGAAGCTCATTGCTCCAAAGGCAAAGGAGGATGTTGCCCGGTGCAGGCTATGCGTACTGCCTCTTCCAGAGGGAAGATCAGGAGTTCGGGATTGGGGCGGACATCAAGAAGAGCAGAACGAGCCAGATCCCGGGACTAGACTTTGCTACGGGTGCTCAAGGTCGATTCCAGAAAGGCTCATTCCATTATTACCTTGAACACCGGTCTTTCGAGTTGGACTTTACGCAAACCCACGCTACGACGAGCACGTTCAAGTCTGCTTTCACATCCACACACCATGTTTCAAGATAATCCCTATAGTTCAACCATCTCTAGAATACTGGTTCAATTTACTAAGTCTTCCCCAATGCACATTGTAAGGTTCATAGAATCAGTTCTTGCAAGGGTAAAGTACATGGGTCCACAATGGCGGCTCGATAGTCTTAAGCCAAATCGAAGTGAACATATTATAGAGATACCTAGCACATAAATTGCCAAAGAGCGGTGACGAGCACATCTACTTTGGACATTTTAGCAAATTACTCTACGTTTTTATTTTTGCCATCCGACAGAGTCTAACGTGGATACGACTTAGCAGGGGTATTTCAAGCGCAAAACTCTTAAATCAACCACTAGAGAGCGAAATTATGAAGAAAAAAAGAAGGAAAAGTGATTATGTCAAGCCTTCATGCCGTTTTAAAACTCAAGTCTTTGAATTTGAACAATCAAAATTAGCAGTATCAGCATTGATAACTGACGTACTTAATCCAGTACATCGGACGTGTGTACAAATTCATACCTTCTATTCGCAAATAACGGACTTGGTCTTTGAAAGGACGTGCAGCAGATAGGCGGACACAAGTCTTGCAGAACACCGATTGGATGGGACAAACTCTTCGCAGCTGGTTGCACCGCAATTTTTTTTGAATAGGTTTCGCACGAGAAGGCATTTTGTATTGTCTGCTATGAGTATTGCATGTGGTTTTGGTATGCCTTGATAAGATTTAAGTTGCTTGACCGGTTCTATGGCTTTTCACGCCATAGACTTCTCTATGTCGTTGCTATCTTGCAGTCACCCATTCCTCAAAATAAGAATAATTCTGGTAGAACAATCTAAAAAACCTGATCGCGTTGTCCACATCCGTGCTGCCAGCCATTTCACGAATGCTGTGCATGCTCAACGTCGAATTACCCATCTCAACGACACGGATACCTAAATTCGCTTCGAGGTGCGGGCCAACCGTGCTGCCGCAGTCTCTTCCATTGGGGGCCACAAAAAATTGGGTTCTGGGTGGTTCAGATTCGATCTCACCGCGGACGGAATCTTCCCTTGGGGGGAGCTTGCATATTGTTTCCAGCAGCGTAATGACTGACGGCGTAGATTTGGCAAGATAGCGACGCGAACTAGAGCTGAAGACTATTCCTTGGTTGAGGTGTGGCTTGTGGTTGATCTCATGGTAATTGTGGTAGTTGGGATGCGCAGCGTGGATGACATCAGCGGAGATGAGAATCGATCGTGCTATGGATTGACTACACTTCGTGCCAGCAAGACGCTGCATAATGCTGGGCAAAAAAGTAGACTGGGCGGACATGGGTCCTGTTGATCCAATTTCCTCGTGGTCAAAAGCCACAAACGTGCGGATAGCTGACTCTTCGTCAAGTGCATGTGGATCGTCCAAAGACTTCACAAATCCACGAAGCCCGCAAAAGGTCATCATTAGATTGTCTATCCGCGCAGAGAAGATAAACTCATTATTTAGGCCACCGATCGTAGCTTTCTGTAAATCATACAAGCTAAGATCGAAGTCTATCACATTTTCTGGATGAACATTCAGCTTCTCCGCTATCTTGTCTACGATAAGCTCCGGATGCCTATTTGAAGCTGAAGTTATGACGTATTGATTTTCAGACCATACGATTTCCTGTTCGTATATTGCACTAGTTTTGCGTTCTTCAGCGTTCGGCTCTTGGCTTTGTTGCGAGATAACTGGAACCAGGTGAGACTCCACGTCAAACTTGAAAGGGTTCTGTTGCTCGTAGTGTGATGCGATACATGGAATTCGTAATATCGGCTCATGGAGCTGTATCAGCCTGCTCTCGATGGTTGTTGGACTTGTACGGATAAATACGCGACCGGCAGCGCCTAGATCGCGATCAAACCAGGTGTGCCAGAGTCCACCGCCATAGGTTTCAACTCCAATCTGTCGGAAACCAGAGGACTGGCGATCGCTCACGGGTTTGATTTTAAGACATGGCGAGTCGACGTGTGACGCTATGATTGAGAAGGGGTTGCCAGGCTTCCACGATTTTCCTACTGCGAACGCGATGATTGAGCTTCCACTTGAACCTGTCCGTCTTACGTAGTACTTTCCGCCGGGACGAATCACCCCTTCCCAGTCTTCCTTTTCGTCGAGCTCCACAAAGCCGTGAGGCTTTAGTTGTTTCTTGATCGTGTCGACAACATGATACACTAAAAATTTAAAAGCTGATCAGTATGACAAGACCTATGTAAAGTCCAGAATTCTGGGCCCCACAGTCCTGGGTCCAGTATTTTGATAATATTGAACATTCCAGGACTATCGGAAGACAGGGATGGTCACATGTTACTATCACTTGGAGGATAAAGCTCACCAGACGGCCCACTATTCGCGAATGAGATAAAGTCTTCTGCGGCTTTCAATATTTCATCATGACGGTTTGACTTGGCTTGAATCCGAGTAACTGCATCAAGTGTATAATCATTTTTTATCTCATCGAGGCTGCTCCTGGAGGTAGTTGTGTAAAGAATAATTGGCGAAGCGGGAAACCAGAGACGAAAACTCCAAAATTTGCTACCCAAAAAACGTGACATAACGAATCGCCCATTAATCAGAGTGGAGGTAGTGACCGTGAAGTTGCAGAGCCTTCATGCTCACGAGAGGACTTCCGTCCCCTTTTATACGGGACGTCAGCCGACCTGGGGGCCTTAGCTGAGCTGAGATTACAACGAGGCTATCACGTGAACTAAGAGATCTTGGTGTCTTGGAATTCGAGACCTGAGGCTACAAGGCACAATGTGAGGCGAGTGTATTTATGTGGCTTGATATTGTGGCTGTGTTTGCCACTGGGGCCGAAGCTGGATGGGCCAACTCGGGTCGTCATTAGCGGCACGGCGTCATATGCTTCAGCTCACCTCGATGGATCTCTCCGCGCCCGCGCCGACAGTAACGCGCCAGCAAAATAGGCAGCAACTTTAAGCGCTTCTATCCTTTTCATGGCCTCGTCCTGCGAATGCTGCATACTCGCTTTCGCACTTCGCAGTGGCACTGTCTAGATTTCTTGGCAAATGTCCACGCAAGCTCTGCAAGGCTGTCACATTTCTGCCTTCATATAGTATTACCTCGCCACCAATTCGTGTTTCCTCCAACTTTTATTTTTCTGCCAGCCTATTCCTGCTGCAAGAAGCACTCTGAGCCTGCTGCTGAACGAGGGGCATTCAAGCATTTCTCTCACCTGTCCTTTCAAACCAATCGCCTGTCAGGCCATATTACCACAGCTGTATGACTTTGATGGCGCATAGTTCGACTAGGAGCGCGGATTCCGGATTCAGTTCAGGATTCATGCCTACACCAAACGCTTCGCCCAAGCAGGGTCTCTCTTATCTTGTCGACAATATTGACTTCGGTGACGAGCAGCGGAGCTTGCTTGATGAGCTCGATAAACTTCGAGAACATGGCGTCGACAAATACGTCGAGCTGCCCCAAATTGTGGTGGTGGGTGATCAATCCAGTGGCAAGTCGTCAGTACTGGAAGCCATCAGTGAGCTGCCATTTCCGCGGTCGTCAATTCGGTGTACTCGATTCGCAACTCAGATCAAACTTAGACACTCGCCAGAAGTGAGTCTAAAGGTTGGAATCATACCAGACCCAAAGCGGACTCCACAAGAGCGACAGAGGTTAGCTCAATTTCAGTCGGAATTTCCGCCGAATACACCGTTTGAAGAGATCATGGATTTGGCCACGCGCTATATCGTTCCGGATAACAAAGCTAGCTTTTGTTCCAAGGACATATTTAGCATTGAGATGAGCGGACCGTCGAAGCCTCATCTTACAATCGTCGATTTGCCAGGTTTGATTCAAGCGGCAAATAATCATCAGAGTCAAGCCGATGTGGACGCCATCAAGGAACTGGCTTATGAATACATGAAGAATCAGCGAACCATCATTCTAGCTATCGTATCTGCAGCCAGTGATCTAGAACTACAGCCAGTACTTGCTCGAGAGGCTCGACAGTTCGATCCAGCCGGTGCTCGCACCCTGGGCATCATTACGAAGCCAGACAAGACCGAAACTCCCGAACGAGAGGCACAATTCTTAGAGCTTGCGCGGAATGAGAATATCAAGTTCAAGCTTGGGTGGCATGTGCTACGTAATCGCGCACCGAACGAGATGAATGCAACCAGTGAAGAACGCAAGAATACTGAGAAGAAATTCTTTGCAACAACAGCGTGGAGCCAGCTAGGCCCCGAGAAGTTGGGCATTGAGACACTGCGAACAAGGCTCAGTAAAGAATTAATCAAGCATATAATTCATGAAATGCCTATGGTGCAGCAAGAGATTCGCAGCAAACTTGAAGAGGTTCGGCGACAACTCGATCAGCTCGGTGAGCGAGGGACGACACCAGACGAGATGAGGGACGAACTTAGAGATTTGATGGAGAAATCCCAGGCACTTACGAGATCTGCTATGGAAGGCCAGTATGTTGATCTTTATGGACCAGCCTTCTTCCACCCCACCCCACAGAGTCCGATGGAAGCGATCAGAAAATTACGGGCTCGACTTGTCATCCAGAACGAAGGATTCGCTGCGGAAATGTCGGCGTTGGGACATTTAGTTGAGCTCAGCGATGAGCCAGCGGGGTCACCTGGTGGCCCAGGATTTCAAGAATCCCATCATCCCCATCGCATGACTCGAGCAGAGTTCATTCGACGACATGTCGAACCCTTGCTTGAGGCTAGTCCTGGTCTTGAACTACGAATGGACAAGAACCCACTTCTCGTTTATACCCTGTTCCGTAACTACTCCCAGAACTGGCCAGACATCGCAACTAGACACATTGAGGAGGTACAAGCTATCTGTAATGATTTCTTACAGGAAATCATAGACTTCGCATGGCCGGTTGATATGCGTCCGAGAGCATGGCAATACTTCGTCGAAGAAAAAATGGAAGAGAGGTTAGCGGAAGCGCATAAGGAGGCAGGCAAGTTGTTTAAAGACCGCACACGAGCCGCGAAGCCATATGATCCTGAGCATACTAAGAAGGTTATGGACTGGTTGGCAAAAAAACAGCAATCTGCAGCAACTTCAAGCATCCTCTCTGATTTTGCGCCTGATGTTTTCCTGCAAAAAATGCTTGTGTATTATGAGGTAAAATCACCCCTAATTGAAGTAGTGTCGATCATAGCTGACATACCCTTAGCTGACCTGCAAGACCTTTGTGTCGAACATTATTGTCCAAGTTGTCGAACGACATCTTGTAGATGAACTTGACCGCATCTTTAATGTGATGCGCTTGCAAGAATTCGATGACTCAATCATAACGGAAATTGCTGCAGAGGATCCAAGCGTCCGTCAGCTTCGTGCCGAACTTAAGAATAGACGTCGCACTCTAGAAGCAGGTGAACGAATTTGCAGAAAGTATACAGCTCGGAGAGACATATCATTAGACTTGGCGCCTACAGCAGAGGTTAAGTCGAAGAGCTCGACTCGCCCATACAATCCAAACGGCAATATCGCGCCAGCCCCGAGACAGATTCGGAAGCCAATCACCTCCAATGAAGCTCCTTTAGTTCATACATCCACAGAAGAGATTTATCACCAGCCTACATATATGCGCGAAGCTGCCCCACCATCACTCAACCGAGCTGCCTCACGCGCAACTGCAAGCACCGTTGACACACAAGCATCCGCGAATATCAGCAATCCAGGCGATTCGCACATGGCGGCCGGGTACCACCGCGGCAATAACAGGGAAAGCTATGTCCCAAGCGAGTATCGCAATGATTCTGCAAACGGATATTATGATTCCGCTCCTAACATTCCGCCACGACCGGCTCCTTCAATTCCTCCAAAGCAGCCACAGGACAACGTGTTAATGTCTGAAGGACCTGATAGTGCGAAACGTGGTCAAGGAATGAGAAATATCTTCACTAGCAGAAAATAACCTCTTCAATTTTGGCTTTGATTATGATTTGTATTCTTGATGCAGGGAGATATTTAGATGGATTTCAACACATGATATGTGGTATGACCAGATGGAATGATTCAATAGCAACTTTATTATCATGTGAATTTACACCTCAAGTTCCTAATTTTGTAAATGGGAGACTATACCTTTTCAAAGTTCTGGTATGAAAATGAGTTACAAAAATTTGATATGCACTGTTCCGTAAGGTTGTGGAGCATTTTTCTTTATGATCATCGATAAGCTGAACTCGAATCCGGCTTAAAGGACGTGCCTACTCAATTTATTCTACTTGTTGACCGCATAATCACCCGAGATGATATGCATTTGAGAATATGTTTGGGAAGAGTCTGATAGAGTGCTTGCGATGTGGATGTAGAAATTTCCATTAGAGTTCGATTTGGTATACCGTTTCATGAAGCTGGTTTCACTCGCTGCTATACAATGCATAATTCTTAGCCTTTCCTTGGTTCTCATTCACCACGGTGTATCAAACCGCGGGACTTTGCAATTGCCCAGAAAAACGCCCTGTCCAATGAGTCTACGCCCACATTTCAAATCATGACATACACCGTGATGAACAACGTTCCCGATGATGTATTGCTAAATATTCATATCCTTACGATATCTACCCTGGTGCGTTCGTACAACTTGTGGGCCAACAAATCGCCGCTCTCACGCTCCTCGTCTGTAATCTTCCGAGGCATAATGGTTAGACGAGCATATGTTCCGGCGCCTCTCCTTTTCGACAGCGTTCCAGGGTTGATGGCGATCGTGCCTTGGACAACCTGGTTTTCCGGTTAATCAGGCACTTCCATAGTTCTAGAGAATCATGCTCACCTTAACAAAAGGTTTCAGGGTGGATGGTAGTGCAAGTATATCGAGACCTGTGGTCATTTCTCCGAGCTTAAGATAAGAAATATCTAGACTAGCTCCGATAGTTTTGGCATCCAGTTCTATTCCATCTTCTGTAGCTGAAGCATTTGATAAGGGGTGTCTCTCCATAGGTGGGAAGACAGGAAAGAAATGTCTCTGCTGAAGCACATTCTGACAGAGTCGCGCCAGAAAGTCGCCATGGCTCGCCTTCCCTCCACTCACGTTCGTAGCTCTGAGTTGATCCAAAACATCAAGGGAGGACATTCCTAATACAATTTCGTTCAAACTGATGGTGATAGGATTTGTGACCACGGAGACTTGGCGTGGAAGTTGGAGTTCCTTTTTGATGAATCGATCTTGTGGCCATGCTGCATGTTTGGATACCGCGTCTCGGACGGAGGGGCAAATGAGTACAGTGATAGACGGGAGTGCTTTCGCGAGACGTTGGATGGGAATCGAGATATAATAACGGAAAACATCGTTAAGCGTGGCTTGATCCGGCTCCACTGGGAAATCAGAAGGGAGATCAAAATCGCCGTCTCGCACTAGAGGGTGTTCAAGATCCAAGAACGGGCCGCAGAGGATAAGGCTGTCCACTTTAAGTTCCTCGGCTTTGTCACACAATGCCTGGAATGGCGAGAAGTCTAATGTGTCCTCAGTTGTATATGGGCCAGATGCGATTAGAACAGTGAGTGGGCGTATAGATCCGTCGTCCTGCTCTAATCTTGAGTTCCAGGCATCGATTTCGGGCGCCGTCGAAGCCGCCTGCATAAGGTACGGGATTTCCAGCACCTCGCGAACACTAAAAAAATCACCAGATGCATTTGTTCCCCGAAGTGCAACAATCTTTCCAGGGAAAAAATCGAAGCTTGTAAGCTTGTCAACCTTAAGAGGTACCCTGATACCATTGCCTCGCCGTCGTTGTGTTTCGAGGACAAGAGACGCGAGGTTCAACTTGCCATCCTGTAGATCCGATGCAATGCGCCCAACGGTTACAATTTCGCTTTGGCTGGCTCTTGTGGGATCCCCCATGTCGCTCTCGTCCAAGTTATGATACTCTTGTACAATAGAGACAAATTCCTCAATCCTATCATCCAATAGCTCTGACGCCTCCGATAATTTCATAGCCATAGTTTTATAGCCAAACTTGGGTAGATCGGTGTTAGCCTTCAGTTTGATACGCGCTTCAGTGGGGCCAATTGCTGGAGGGTCTGGCTGCTCAATGTGTGAGTTAATCGTCTCATCAATCTCTCCAGCCTTATCTCGGTCCGCGAATGCTTTTGTTGAAGATGCTGGCACTTTTGTTCCCGTCGGCGAGCTAGTAGCATGTGCCTTCGCGGCTTTGGAAGCGGGAGTCTCGAAGTTAGACTTTCGTTTGGCAGTGCTCATTGAGCCAGGTCGTGGAGTACTCGAAACGAGATTATCAAGCCTATATACCTTTCAGCATTATAATCCTCAATCGCATTTAATAATTCATACATATCGAAAGCGTCGCCACCAGTAGCGGCGTGTCTCGGCGTCGCATTTATCGCTCTTTTCTCCGCTCCTTTGCCCACCTTACTCCTTGCCTCTCTTTCTAACGTTTCTTGTAAATCCTTTTTGAAGTCCCTCACGGTTTTCAAGTCTAGTTTCGTCTCTGCACCCATCTTCATGCAGTAAGACTCCCATTTGTAGCTCAACTCTTCTGGCGGTAATTCATGGATCCGTATGATGCTTTGCAGCTCTGTAGCTACTTCGGGAGAAAGCTCTTCATTTGGATGAGCAAAGCGCTCATTGAGTTCCTGAAGGAGGTCGGCCATTGCGTGGAGTTCTGTTGTTCGGGAAACGCAAAGCCCGAGAGAGAATGTGGAAAACGAAAGACGCGAACGCGAAGACGCGTTTGGCGTTGAGATCGAGAACTCAGGGTCCACGTCCAGCACGTGCGCATGATCCAACTTTCAACAGGAGAGTAGTGCCAAGGCTAAAAGATGTACCTCCATACTGAGCACCTAAAAAAGGACAAAAATTCATGCAACCTTAAATTGGGGTCACATTCATATGCCAGCTTACCTCTTCGGCCTTGTTGAATAAGATAGAACTACATGAAATGTAACGCGAGCTCTGGAGTAAAGACGAACTTGCCCGTGACATAACGAAGTCGAATCTCGTTGACACCAGAGTCTCTTTCTCTTTTGAGGTCAGCTTTGCGATTCCAACGAAGCTCATGAAAAATGCTCTGCTTTTGTCCATATAGATGGACTTGTGTCGGAAAAGTTGGTATAGATAGGCGTGGTGTAAAGCACCTGTCAAAGATGACGAGAAAATTTGGTTCTTTCGCCTACTCCACGCAGAAGTAGCTTGAGAGGGAAGTATTAATTCCTTATAGCATAATACATTTATTGAAAATTACCTGCAGTCGTACAGTCATTGAGATATTCTCGGGCTTACCGTCTAGTATAATATTACGGCGTACGCGAGTTCGATTGTCGAATATGGAAACTAAACTTGAGTGTAGATGTATTGTATATTGCCATCTGACTATGCATCCGGAAAGTTTAAGATGAGAACTATAATCGAGTGCACATTAATAGAACATTTGCTTGTGCACGAAATGAACATGGAAGAATTTGTCCAAAAGTTTCGAACAGACCTGAAGCATTCAACAGATCTTAGCAAATCGTGAACTCCAAATGCTTCAATGAAAGAGTACGCTGTCCTTTCTCCTCCACTCTTCTAGTAGAGCTTCACACTCCATCTTCGCGTCCTCTACAATGGCGTCCATCTTTATGTCATTCCTATCATATCCAAATGGATCTTCCAACTGCTTTCCAATGCTTTCAATGCCGTACAGAGTAAAAGTGACGACACCCACCAACGGAATTGTCCACCAAGCCCATTCATCGACCATTGCAAAGGGGAGCACCATCATATAAAGTGCCAAGACCTGCTTCACGTGAATTAGGTGTGCAACCGGTAGAGGCGTGAAGCGAATAGTTTCCATAGCGGTATAGTTCGAGACGATGTTGCCAAGCTGAGTGTCTAGATAGGAGGCTTGCGGGGGGGCCCACCACCCACGAAGAACGCCACGGCGAATGTAAGCCTCTACATTGACGGCTAGTTGAAGAGGCATGCTCAAACCATGATCTTCGAGATAGGACAGCGTCTGCGGAAGGGCTTCGTTGTACTCAGGTCGTACAGTTGTTGAGTTTAGTGATTCAGCTACGGCTTCAGCATCGAGAAGTGATTGACGCCGATGGCTCGCCACACCTGGTGTGGGTAGGAATGGCGTAGAAACGGTTGAGCTCCATAGGGGAGTTCCTGGGTTTGTGACACTCGTGTCGCCAAATTCAGCACGAAGATTGTGCTTGACGGCGTATAAGATAGTAACCAGAACTCGCACTGTTGCTTCCGTGTCAACTCGCTCGGCCTCCGTCCTTTCATCCTTAGAATTACGTGAACAGGCTAAAAAGTATCGAGTCAGATTTCTGACGCCCGCACACATTTGAGAGAGATTATTGCGTCCCGTCCAGAAACGATCGTATGAGCTGCTATTGCGAAACACGAGCATGAGGCCGACGACAATGGACAAAGAAGGGACAATGCTTCCTGGGACCCCTACAGATTTAACGTAGAGATCATAGTACACAACAAGTGCAGTAAATCCGCAGTGGAAGGCGAGAGGCAACATGACACTTAAATGCACCGATCCCTTTGTCATTCGAAGGACTAAAGGCCATCGTCGAGGCTTGTGACGCGCCGAATGGTAAAGGGGGAACGTCGAAGCGCGGGACGGCATGTCACCATACGTTGAAGGCATATTGTTCTGGGGTATTGATGTTATTAGGATCGAATTCGGCCTGATGATTTCTCTAATTTTGTCGTAAATGCCATTGAGTTGATGTTCTGTGATGCGCTGCCAGCTTCAATGATTGAGACGTAAATCAACACGCCTTGGAGGGAGGATGTTAGATTCAAAGAGCGTGAATAGTTCAGAACGACCCACGGACGTCTGAATGCTTTTCTCGTGAAGATTCGCAAATGCTTCTGACTTATCTTCAAGCACGTTTCACCCTTATTAACCGGAGGCATCCCCGCTTGTCCTGTCGCGCTAAACCAGTAGAAGTATGACCCAGTGGAGCAATGCTTTGGTAATGGTGGATTCTGAAATTCAGGCCACAAGGCAATTCACACATTGGAATTTCACCACAACAGCTCTGCATTTTGAAAAAGTTGCAACCGAATCACCACAAACTTGCAGACTCCTTCCGCGCAGGATATCCACTTCTTTGCGCTTTCTCAGCATACAATGGCTCCAGCACCTGTACGTTAGAACTGCTTTGCTGTTCGCCAATTGCCCATCATATTCCAGATGGACGCGCAAATGGCTCTGTTGAACAGTAGGCTAAATTTTGGAGCAGAAGCGCGCCGCCACTAAGGCTGGCAAGAAGGGCCCGAAGGTGACAAAGAAGGTATCTAGATTCCTCTCAGTCCTTTTTATAACGAAATCCTGATTGTCTTGATTCGTAGTACACCATCAACTGTGCTCAGCCTGTTTCCGACAAGATCTTCGACATCTCCGCCTTCGAGAAATTCCTCCACGACCGAATTAAGGTTGACGGACGCACTGGAAACTTGGGTGACTCCGTTGTCATCTCTCAGGCTGGTGGTGACAAGATCGAGGTTGTCACGCACATTGAATTCAGCGGCCGTTACCTAAAGTACTTGACGAAGAAATTCCTCAAGAAGCAACAGCTTCGTGACTGGCTCCGCGTCGTCTCGACAAGCAAGGGTGTTTATGAACTAAGATTCTTCAACATCATGCAGGACCAGGAGGAGGACGATGAGGAGTAAACGCTCTCACATGAAGGTCCTGTGCATCTCGAACAGGTTTCAGGGTTCGTTTACCGCTAGACACTGCATGCAGGCGTTCGGAGAGCAAATCAAATAGAGCGAAATACGAAATTATCAAAAGTTTCAATTAAATATCAGTCGCCACCAAGGCCTTGCCTTCTTGATTGCAATCAAACCCTCTCATTTTTGCAATGTGTTACAATGGTGTTTCTACCATGCCCAACACATCGTCAATGACATCTTCTGCAGTGATTCCATCTAGATATTCTCTGACCGCATCCAGTTCACTTCCCCACTGTAATGACATCTCATCCTCTGGCTTAACAATCACCAACCGATGTGGATATATCTTGCGAACAGCTAGAGCCACTAAACTCGGCGTGATAAAATCTAAACCATGTAGCGAGGCTAGTGCGCTCGTTAGAGAATACAAGCTTCGAGTAGCGTGCGGAGTTACACCAGAGGCTACAGCGCGGTGCATCCTCATAAAAACGACAATATTGTGCATGTAGGCACGCACATCAGGATGCAATTTTACCCTAGAAGATAACTTTGCAATTTCGTCGATTTCGTATTTCTGAAAGAAGGGTAGAAAAGGGTTAATGCCACTTGATTGTCGAGGGAATGCCGGTATTGATGGTCGTGACCGTACATTAGATCTTGTTGATGTATTCTCATGGTCAAAGATATCACTTGCTGCTGAAGAGTCCGGGTGCTGGTAAAAATGTGATATGGAAAAATGGTTGTTCTATGCTTGTCAGACATACGGTGCGCGGAGAAGGAATACATGTATATCTTACCAAATGTAACATCATTTTTGGTCCTTTATCAGCTGTATTCAAGGCCACGAGCACGAATCGTTTGGGTGCAGTATATAAAGCTCTCCGCGTGAATACTCGTTTGCCGCGCATCAACTTCAAATCGTCAGCACAGCTAGTTATTCTGCTCACATGCGGTAGTGACGCACCTCTAATGCTTGAACTTGAACCTCGACAGGGGCAAGATGAAGGTCGCGAGCAACGATGACATCGGCAATCTTTCCATCATCTTCAAACCCTAGCATCTTGGTTCTCTTAGAAATCGCATCCGAAGAAGAGAAATAATCCTCCTGAATGTGTTGATTCGCTGTTGGCGTGACTACCTCTGCAGCATCATACACCAGGATGTGAGCATCGAAGTCGTCGAGGCTCATATCTGCTGTGCAATTCAGAGTCGCAGTTGTCAAGCCGAACGTCTTGTGGCATATTGACTGTATTTCTTTTTCGGCCTGCTCAATGTCTTCGACATCTGCCTCAATGATACAGTGCGCCTCAGCAACGAGGCAGAGTAGCACTGCAAGCTCGATATCTCCTAGCTCCTGCGCTTTCTCTGCTAACCTTATTTTCTCATATTCCATCGAGCCGCCATCCAGAATTTAGGATGTGTAAGATGTCACCACTGCATGCAAGAGAGCGGGTGTGAAACGTTGGAATGAGAGTCGGCGTTAGGAGTACATTTACCGCGAAGCTAGAGATCAATATTCGTACCTATAGCTGACTAACTCCGTACCCACGACCGGAACTCGCTTCGATGACGTTTCATTGGCAGAATAGACAGCATGGTCAAATACTTTAGCCGTAGACTCGCTCTCGATGCAAATCGGTCATCGAGATTCTAAACGTAGCATGCCTTGAGCCACATCGATGAATCTCTAGTCCTACTTGCCGAAGCGTTCACTGTCCCTTTCTCCATAGTTCACGGCTCTTGAAGAAGACCGGAGAGAAAATGAGTACGGAATCAGATCCCGAGGTTGAAGCTGCTGTCGCTGCTGCAGTATGTCAATTCTCAAGGCCTATGTAAATGCATCGTAGCTAACAATGCAGAGTCGATCGCAGAAGGAAGAACTCCTGCAGAGGAAGCTGTTGAAGTAGGTAGAAACGCATCTCACGGCAAGTGCAACGATTTCTCATCGATCACGTGCAGGTACTCTTCACGAATGACGGAGTAAGACGTCGAAGATCGTCTATGGTTCCGGATGAGTATCCAGATCACAGGCGCAAGCAGCACAGCCATACTCACCACCATCGCCCGGAACATGGAAGAAGACTCACTAGTTGTTACGTGCACAGCATGCTTGAGGAGCATCGTGGGAGCGGTACCTATACGCCACGCGAGGGGGCAGAGAAAACAAGTGATAAAGACCCTCTCGGCAAGACTACGAATGGTGCCGAAGTTCAGCACACAGAATCAAGGTTACTTACGAAGAAGCAGCTAAGTGATATGGCTTTTGGCATTCGTGAGCTATCGAAGAAGCTGTCGCACGTCAAGCTGAAGCTAAATGTACGCAACATTTTTATACTTACAAAGGCACACGACGAAACACTAGTTGTGCATACGAGAGAATTAGCCGAATGGTTACTAAAAAGGGATGCTCATTACACGGTATGGGTTGAAGACAAACTCGAACACGACCCTAAATTCAATGCGAAGGAGCTCTTGACAGAAGGAGGCGAAAAATTTGAAGACAGACTTAAGTATTGGAACAATGAACTGTGCAGAAAGCGCCCCAATACTTTTGATATCGTGCTTGGTGTATGGCAAAGCTCACCCTCATTAAGCCTGTTCACATTGCTAACATTACCAGCTTGGTGGCGATGGCACTGTGCTTTACGCAAGCTGGCTATTTCAGCGTATTGTACCACCAGTTCTGGCATTTAGTATGGGTTCCCTTGGTTTTCTGACCAAATTCGACTTCGATCACTATCCAGACACTATCACCCGAGCAGCTTGCGACGGGGTGACTGTAGCTCTACGTTTACGTTTCGAGGGTACTATCATGCGCCGAAATGTTCGTGAGGGCGATGAAAATAGATCACGAGATCTTGTTGAAGAGCTTATTGGCGAGGAAGCAGAAGATCACCACACTCATCGACCAGACGGCACTCATAATGTTATGAATGAGGTTGTCATTGATCGAGGACCAAATCCTACTATGAGCACTTTAGAAGTCTTTGGTGATAACCAGCATTTCACTACGATTCAAGCAGACGGCATAGTAGTGGCTACCCCAACAGGAAGTACTGCCTACAATCTCGCTGCAGGAGGTAGTCTGTGCCATCCGGAGAACCCAGTTATATTACTCACGGCTATTTGTGCCCATACATTAAGTTTCAGACCCATTATCTTGCCAGACACAATGGTTCTACGTGTTGGTGTGCCTTTCGATGCGAGGACAAGCAGTTGGGCTAGCTTCGATGGTCGAGAACGGTATGACGTCTTTTTTTCGGCTGCTAACTTCAATGCAAAAAAAAAACGAGGTCTGACTTTCTGTATAGAGTTGAACTGCATCCAGGAGATTACGTTACGATTTCTGCAAGCCGATATCCTTTCCCAAGCGTGCTCCCATTGGAGAGGAAAAAAGAAGATTGGATTGATAGCATTTCACGGACATTGCAATGGAATAGCCGCCAAAGACAAAAGAAGTTTGATGAGAGGTAGAAACTCTAACACGTGCCATAACCTATCAGAATTTATCAACTGCACCATGTTTTTTCGTGTCCTATTTTGATTAATTTCTATCTCATTCAATTTGCATTCATTCGAACTATTGCTTACGCAATACAGACAATATCAAGATGAATCATTGGCTCTGCGAAATCGATCGCATCAGGATCGCTAGAGAATATATTCTGGCCACAAGACTTAAATTCGTGGCCAGATGTATCCGCGGCGCTGTTCCGTTTGTCATAAAGGCATTCGAATCCATTATAGAATATCAAAGCATTATCTCTTCTTCGGCGCATTTGTCTCAGGTCCATCGTACTGTTTTGACGCGGGAAGCTTATTCCATGGTGCGAATACGTTCTTCAAACCCTTCAGCATCGGCTTCAATTCCGGGAAATGTCGCTCCAGAACGTCCCTCATTGTATTGTGTTGGACGTAGTAGAGACCTTCCTTCGTATAGGTTTCCGCATTCCACTGAGTCGCAATAAAGCGATCACTCTTGAGCCGACGACTGGCCATTAGGATGAAAACTCGAAAGGCAGTGTCGCTGAAGCCAAAACCTTTTGGCAACACCTCACTATGTGATCCGATTAGCGTATCGACGAGTTCAACATCTCCGTTATAGGCATCGGACAATTTCTTCGCAAGTTCTTTGTTTCCGCCCGTTAACTCCTCAAAATTCTTGAATGCCGGCATGCGCAAACCACGCCGAAAATTGTTGTACCGTGGAACGCCACGCTCTCGATCACGTAACAAATCGACAGTACCCAAGTCCCTCACTGGTACATTGTCGGGAGTTTTCAGCTCCCGCAGAAAGTCTGGGTAGTTGTGATTGGTGATTGCTCCAGGAAAATTGATCCCAAAACTGTAGAACACGTCTGAGAAGTTCAGCCCATCCTCACCATCAAGGACCTTTTGCGAATCGCCGAAGAGAGTTTCTTTGACAGGGATCTTGGACTTTTTCTCACCAGACTTTGCGTCAAAAAAGACGATATTGTCAGGAATGAGAGAGTGCATTCGATACACGGACACAAATTCCTCAGTTAGCGAGTATGGACAGCCGAAATGATCCGCACCAGAACCAGGAATACCACTAATAACTTCGCTGGTCTTGGACAAGCGGCCGAAATTTTTGGTAAGGAACTCCCCAGCGAGGCCCCACCAGTTGGCATTCATTCCCAGCTGAAGTGTAGGGTGACCAAGGATCCCAGGCGTCCACTCTATGGTATGGATTTTAGCCATGAGCGCACAGTTTATGAGGCGAGCTTTGTCGAAGATCTCATCGCTAGTCACAATTCTCAGCTAAAAGATTCACGTGTGGATTCAGGGGTGCTTACGGCTTCATGTCCGGATGTGCCTCGCGCAGCATATCACAGATGCTGTTATGCTCCAACGCAAAAAGGGTGTGCAGGATTTCGAGACCTAGCCACCAGTTGTCGCTGAAGCCGGTTTTCACATTTCCAGATGCGTCGCGAGGCAAAAATTGCTCCCTTTTTTCTTTTGTGAGCTGCAGCTTACCATTCTCGCAATTGTCTCTGAGTTCTTTTGTGACTTCTTCGCTGGAGCCATAAATCTGCGAAGCATCCCACCAGGCTGTGCTTGTATTGTTGTATCCTGGACATATTTCATCGGATGGATGGGATAGATTCTCTTGTTTGCTGTGAAGGATGGTCATTTTGCCATGTGGCCAGGTATCGTTTTCTGGAAGGGGGACTTCGTAAAAGCTCTTATCGCTATCATGGCGGAACCAGTCGTGTTTGAAACTGGATCCAAGCGGCTGCAAGTAGATTCAGAGTTGTCGCTGGAATGAACTCCTTCCTTTTCATGAACTGTTCACTGAGCATCCTTGGATTTGGATTCCATAGCTCATCCTGATTTGGCTTTGGAGTGAACTGGCGGGCAAAGGTTCGCCCGAAGCGCATGCCCGAACATCCCATATTCGGCAACTCAAGAGAGTTGAATTTACCGTCAGAATTCCTGGCATTTTTGTATCTCTCGTCTTCTAAAGGCTCGGATTTGTATGTGCCTTGTGCGATTCCAGCAGCGTATCCATCGTGTAAGTTCTTCTGCCGCAACTCAATTCGCAAAGCTTCGAGGTTGAGCGCGCCGATGATAGGCGGCAGCTTATGCCATGGAATGTATTTATTGATGAATTTAAAAAAGCGAACATTAAATCTATCAAAGATAACAGGCTGGTATGATGGCGTCTGCGAATCTAAAGGAAGCGCTATAGTTTGCTTAGGATCCATGATATTTGCAATATTGAGGATCTCATACAAGCAACTTAATAAATTAAGGGGCCTTAGATCGTCTTCAAGAGGGTTTTTGTGCTTGATTCAGCTTCTCATTTTCTACTCAATATTTCCCAGCCCAGAACAACAGTATTATCCTGGTGATCAAGTTACTCGAATCTAGCCAATAATAAAGTAACCAGTAGAACGCCAATATCCTTAATTTGCCGGCTTTTGCGGTGATCTCCGTTAAGAGACATTTGTGACTCCTTTCGTGCTGCTCTCTTGCTGAGAAATGCACACGTTAGGATCCAATTATACACTCGCAGATTACGCATGGTTCTTAATGGGGAATAGCCTTAATAATCTCGTCTCAGCTATCTCAGCCCCAAAATCATTCATATGCAGTGAGCGTTAAACAGCTTCGCCAGTCACATCATAAGAAATACTCAGCTGGCCCCAAAACTCCACAAATAGTGCAGAATCGACCGTTCGAGATGCCAAAGAGTTTCGTATTCACTTTATCTCCTCTACATGAGGGCTTGGTGAATACGAGAAATTGCGAAGCCACTAGGAGCGCAGCTGTTGCAAAAACGGCGAGTCTCCAAATTATCAGGTCCTCCTTCATGAAATGATTTTTCTCGAACTTAAGCGACTAATTCTGAGGTAATTGCGCTTAGTGCCTTGAGAATTTTGAGAATCTGCTTTTTTATCATGCATTTGTCCCCTGTTAATATCATCAAGGCTTGCCTATCAAGCCCGTTCTCAAGTAGAACTAGACTGCCCGTAGATTCCAAAGTCAACGAGGACCATTCCTATGTTAAGGGTGATCCAGCAAACAGAGGCCCATGCCCAGGATTGAATGCCTTATGCAATCAAGGTTATTTGTAAGTACTAGTAGTCGTTTGCGGAATAAATAGCTGACAGTATATTCTTAAGACCCCGTGATGGCAAGAACATATCTGTGGCAGAGGTAGAGCATGCTCTAATGACTGCTTTGCATATGTCTAAAGCTGCAGCAAAATCATTGACCAGCAGCCTACCGCCATTGTTGCGCAAGGACGGCAAATTTGACCTGGTCGACACCAGGCGTCATGATATCATCGAACATGACGCATCCTTTACGCGCTTGGATTTCCGTCAAGGTGATAATTATACTTTCCAACCTCATATGCTTGAGGCCATGATCCAAGATGCGGAAGGTGGCGATGTGACATTACGAACGTTGGCAAAGACATTCATTCGCAGGCACCAGGAATCGAGAGCAGCTGGTGCCCCCTGACTTGGATTGAAATTGTGGTTTATCAGTGTGTTACAGGCTGTTGGTGGTACATCGACCTCGCACCTCATCCGTTTCTCGACTAATTGTTCCAGCTTTAAACACTGCGCAAACAGGAGGCAAGCTCACTAGAGAAGTCCTCGAGGCCATGTTCGCCGAGGAGCGGTTCCCAGAGATTATTCTGGACAACCCTAAGCCAAGAACAGTTTTCACTTTGCTCAGTAATGCCGTGGGCATGCTCTGGTGGACTGTTGTGGGACCTTAAAAAGCATATTCGTTGTCAAGATGTATATCTTCTTTGAAGAATACCCAAACTTTTGTTTCTAAATATCGAGTGCAGCTTTTTTATTTTTGATGCACAAATTAGTCTCTCTTAACCCCTACTTTACCCGCCTTTCGCAAACCGCCTGCGGCAACTAGAGCACATGTAGCTCCAAATGCAAACATACTCCAGAAGCTGGCCCGGTAGCCTCCAAGCAGAGATTTTCTCTCCTCATCAGGGCCGTATCTATTGCTGCTTAAAACCTGACCTGAGTCTTTGGCACTCACAGCAAGTGCGACAACTTGGCATAAGGTCACACCTAAGCTCATTCCGAACTGTGCAAGAGTGTTGAACACAGCGCCTGCCAACGCCTGCGTTTCTTCAGGGAATTCGCTGGAGATGATGAGTAACCCGACGGTGAACAGTACGTCCCCACACATGGGGGCAAGAATCTGTGCCCAAAATTCCATGTTCCAATAACTCCATCTCGGATCGACGAAAGCCATCATTAGAGGCGCGCCAGCGGAAAGCAGGGAGGAGATAACTACCAGTCGCCTTGCAGAAAACCTGTCGACCAGCATACCGACCATAAAGTTGATAGCTGCTCCAACGAGCAAATTCGGCAATAAACGAAGCGATGTGAGGAGCAAAGAAGTCTTCTGGATCTCCTGGAAATATAGACTTGAAAACAACTCCATGGCGTTCTGGAGCCCGTAAGCTAACGCGATCATTATGCAGGTCGAAGTGAAAGCAGCTTTTCTCCACAGATTGTTTGGAATCAACGCTGGGTTGCCCTTCTTCTGGCGAAAGTGCATCCAAGCAGGAAAACTGAGCAAGAGAATCACACTCAATGCCAGTAAAGCACCGGTAGACGCTTTATGGATAATTGACAGATCGGCGCTGAGAAGAGCAAGGACATAAGATAACAAGGCCAAGCCGGCGGATGCGATGATGCCGCCAATCCAATCTATTTCTGCCCATAGCCGGATGAGTACTGGCCTATGATCATGGGCTCGTGGAGTCGGAAGAGGTTTGGGTAACAAAAAGAACGCGACAACTGTTGCAACTACCAGAGCACCGCCAGACATATAGAATCCAGACCTCCATCCAGCCTTTTCAATCATAATACCTCCTACCACAAGACCTGTAGAAAACCCCAGCGGTTGGCTCAGGCCCAAACACCCGTAGCTGAAATTTCGACCTTTGCCTTGTGGGACAGCGGCTGCGATAAGAGATACGGACGAAGGCAAATGCATGGACATGCCGACGCCTTGAAATGCTCTGAATACGACAAGCTGAACGCCCGTGTTCGACAGACTGCACGCAAGCGTGAACGTGCTCAATATAACGCATCCAATCAAGTCGACCAAACGGGCACCAATCTGGTCAGCAATAGCGCCTGCTAGTAAGAGGGTTGCTCCGGAGGTGAGACCGTAAACCGAAGTTGGCCATAGGTACAGAGATCGAGGTAGATTGGTCGAAGATGCTATAGTTGGGAGTCCGACAGTGATAAGCCCGTTCGTAATGCTAGTAAGAAAATTGATCATGCATAGCTGGAAGACAATGAGGAATGTCTTCAACATCGAACGATTTTGTGCAGGCGTAACATTCGGCTGTCTTCCAATATTCTGGTCGAGATTGTTTTCGCAAGGTGCAAGATGTAACGACGTTCTAGAGCTGGTGGTTGAAAGTGTTGCTTGTTGTGTGGGCCGGAGCTCATAGATGTCTGTTACCAGCATAGTAGCCATTGTGGACGAGATTTTGAGGTTTGAGAAAAGGATCCATCATGCATAGCGGCCCGGGTTTTATACAACGCCTCTATTGCTTTCAAAGTGCCCATGTCAAAAGATTTTATGGGGCCATCGTACGCCCTACGCTAAGAAACCGGGTCAGAGCTAGTTCTAAGTTGTCAGCAAATGCTACGAACACGCACCGACACCTCATATTCGTGTATCACGAATTCGCAGGAAACACTTTCATTTACTTGAAGAAGAGCGTAGTGTACTTCACTGGCAATGGCGAAATCAAGACACTGCTTTCAAGCACGTTGATCCGCATGCCCTCACCGGCTTTTCATTTTCGAATCTCAAGGACCGGCTCCTGGTTCCGTAGCTGGCCACACTTTGGCGGGCTTAGTGCGAAATTTTGGAGAAATCCAAATATTTCCACTTTTGTCTTCCAAGTTAAGTAAGCATAATGATTTTCATTCTGAGGAGCTAGAATCTGATTGAAGTGATTCGATTTTTTCGGTGCTTCTTCCAATTTCGCCTCATTTTGCAACCTCAAGAATAGCAATTACTGTCCATAGCTCTCTTTGACATTTTCGAGGGCCTGCAGCGAGCTGAAAGTGCAATTTTTTTCTCCCTTTTCTCTAGATGACGGACCATATCCATCCCGTGGAATTATCAGATTTCACGATCTCCGTCGATATTGAGGATGAGGCCAGCGGTTTCTCGCATATCAATGAAGATGCTGCACTGGCGAAGAATTCGCCGGCGCCAAACCTTGTCGGATCTGTATCTGCTGAAACGATCTATGCGGAAACGGTAGGTATTCTTAGACTCAATGCAATGTTTATCTTCGCACACCAGTTGCTGAAATATGTGACCCCTGCCATGAACGTTCTCGTTATTGAGACGAACTGTAGACTAATTCAACGGCAGGTGAATTTTCTTGCGGGAGGGCGAGTACACGAGGCTCTATCTATTTGGATGAAATGGATAGTTCTTCCAGGTCCAGAGTCAAAAAAGCAGTTGCCAGACCCGAAGAGCTACTTTGGAACATTGATAAACGCTATGATGCAAAGCAGGCACTCTAATCATCAAAAGTTCTGCCTGGCAATCCTACGTGCTTCTGTTGAAATCCTTAGTGATGACATCAACGTGGAAGTTATGCAATACGAACATTCGCAGCGAAAAGAGTATCTTGGAGCTTACGAAGAGTACTGCAGCTTATTCGAGATTATTGTCATGGGACGATACCTTAATCAGGTTCAAGAGTGCTTAGACCTTCTACCGTCTGCCAGCAAAGGTCGAACTTCGTTGGTATGCGATGTATGGTGGTGGCTACTTATGCGAGCTGCCCTGGACTCTAACAATGAGCAAGTTCGCAAACTGATCGGAACGTGGCTCCTGGATAAGTACATCGTAAATGCGGCGTCAGAAGAATGCATCATGCTAGCGCAAGCAGCATTCTTTGACAGCTTGCTGGACTGGGCGACAAATGGGCAATTGGCATCCAAATCCTGCATTCGTTCCGGAACGACAGTTGTCTCAAAGCATGGCGAGTTGCTCTCCATCTACTGTGAGAAACAAGCAGAACGTAACCCAACATTTGTTGAACACACGTACCACTGGCTAAGCGCACGTACGCAAGTCTCCACTGTTCTTACCCTAAGTCGTCGGCTTCAAATGTGGTTCATTGAAAGCTGAGCCCGTAATATCTTGAAAAGTTTTTAGAAGTCTTGAAGCGTCGAACCTAGTCTCGTTGAGTAAAACCAACGTCTCACAAAGCTAACGTATGTTTTGACAGGTACCGACATCCTTAACCAGCACACGACCGTTTTCATTTTGCGGGGCTTAAGGAAAGCACCCGCAACAATCTCGATATGCAAAAACGCGATACGAGTGGCAAATACGATTCAATTTAGCCCGCTGCTGCGATGCATCACCCGTAGCTACTGCTTCAAGGTAGTAGACCAATACCTATCCGGTGACAATGAACGCGATGAACAGATCATTCGGGGATTCGAGAATTTAAGAGTACAAATTGAACGCTCGCGTGATCTTCTGGACGGGGAAATCGGCCCTCTACTGCTTGCCAATAAGCATTCCCCAGGGAATCATCATGCTGTAGGTTCGCCATTCATCCACGGACCATCAAGACCTCGCCACAATGCCGAAATGCGTGCGGGTTTTGCAGTTCCGATTATACAATGGCTTTTATTTAGTCCGATGCTGAGGCGCATATAGCAGGTACTCTCCCGAATGAGAGCAGCGGGTCATGTCGAGATCAACGAGCAAGGCATCACAATTGACTGGGACCGCATCGCTAGACATCATCTGCATCAATGTCTATGGAGACTATTTGCGGACAGCTGGCCTTTCTGGGTGACGTATGTTTCCAAGGACGTCCACGAGAACAGCGCCGTAGACTTTGCAGCGAGTTGCATATTCAACTTTTCGTCGTTGGCAAGAAGAAAACCTTATCTATGGAACACCACAGCCAGAACGTTGAGGAAACTATCCTTTGAGAACCCTGCCATATTACAGCACCCGAATATCGAAACAATGCTGCTGAATTTCATCAATGACCCGCCAACTCCAACACCTGAACACATCCTCGACGTAGCCGTTGCTGCAGGAGAGCGTGACGAGAAAGGAGAGCCGCTTTACAACGTTTACTGCGACGAGTCTCTCGGCCACGCGTATATCCTGGACATTCTTGCTCGTCTGAAACCTGAGCAGAGCTCGTGGGGCTTGCGTCTCCTGGATCGAGTTTTCGAACCTTGGCGTGAGCAGAAGGGCACAATACAGGCGTCTTCGAAGTGGAAGCGGACCTCGCAGCTTCAGGCCATCATCGTTCTTCTACACAGCTGTGTGAGTTCGCGGTCCGACATTGAAAAGTACTACGGCACCTTTTACGATCTCCTTGCCAGAGAGCCCAACCCGCGGTACAGGTTTTTGTTCGAGTGGGCCATCCTTCACTTCGCGACTCAGCCTTCAGTCGCCCGAACGTATACAGACAACGTCCTCAAGGCCCTCGAAGACGCCGATCCAAGCAATCCGAACCCCAAGCTTGTGGCGTCGGAAATCAAGATCGCCGTACAGCTCGTACTGCATTCACGGCACTTCGACAAGGACGAGCGCGTGCAACAATTTGAACGACTGCTCGTCATTCTTGCCACCCTGATAGCCTCCCCGAGGGTGCTTGTTCGCTTTGAAGCACAGGCTTCGTTTCCCACGATCTTCGACCACGTAAGAGACGCGGGACTGCTCGACGGCATGGGCTGCGCGCCCGTTTTCCGATCCGTGTACAACTTTGTGACGAAACTGGACAAGTACCAGACACCTCCGGAGTCTCGTGTCCTGAGCACATTCAACATTAACAAGGACATGAACCTCGCCACCTTGTTCGAAGGCGGTCACATGTACACGCCACTGATCGAACCGCCGCTGCTACGCGTGCAAGATTTGCGAGACGTCCTCGCCTCCGATCCACCAAGCCTCGTGGAGAAAAGGCCCGAAGCTCGGCTCCCGATCGGGAGCGTCGACGAATCTGTAGCGCAGTTGATCGCTAAGCTCGCGACTTCCAGCGCAGCGGAACAGCATGAACCAGCGTCGCTTACAACGTCGGGCGCGACGACAGGACCGCTGCAAACCAAGTCATTCGCACCCGATCTTTCTTCTCTGTCCCTGGAGCCGTCACAGTCGCCGTCGAAGCAGGGCACAGGCCCGATTCTGATCGGTTCTCTTCTCGACGCGCCGGTGAATCTGGGCGGTCTCTCGCGCGCGGCCAACGTTTTCGGCTGCCACTCCCTGCATCTGCCCTCGCTCTCGCTCCTGGCCAACAGCAGCTTCCAAAACGTCAGCGTGAACTCCGAATTGCACATCGACATCCAAGAGACCAAGCCTGCGGACCTTCTCGCGCGACTGCGACAGCTGAAGAGTGACGGGTGGACCATTGTGGGCCTGGAGCAAACGAGCGATAGCCGGGTGATTGGCGTGCCCGACGGGGGGGAGAAAGTGCTGCCCAAGAGGTCGGTGGTGGTCATGGGAGCCGAGAGCACGGGGATTCCCGCCGACGTACTCTTCGAGTGCGACGTGTGCGTCGAGATCAGACAGTGGGGTGTGACACGCAGTCTGAACGTGCAAACGGCTGCGGCATGTATACTGTTCGAATGGCGACGCGAGTGGGGAGACGGAAGTTGCGCGTTGGGCGTGAATGAGAAGCGAGCACAAACTGGGACGTGCGATTGAGCCAAGATTTTCGCGGGTGGGGGTATCATCATTGTTTCGTCGTTGCTATGCTGTAGACTCCAAGTCACATATCATACATGTTTGGTGCTTTGTTTGCATGACTATTCACGAGGAATACTGGACCTCGAGGCCGATGCCACGGAAGATCTGATCACGCCTCTTGAGGTCGATATTTGCGCCGACCGTGAAAAGCATTTCCTTGAATCGGCCGTCCCAGAGGAGACCGATGCGCCAGTTCTGGTCGATGCGTGCCTTGAGTATGCCCGCTACGTCGTTCTCCGATCGAGCCCGCCCGGTAACGCCCGGCGTCGTGTTGTACCCCTTTTCAGCCTGGTCCGGTGTGGTCTCCGCGTCCTCCTTCCTTCTCATGCGCCACAACTCGAGCCCGGCCATGACGCCGCTCTCGTAGCTGTAGAAGTTGAAGTCGAAACGCGAGCTCAGCGCCAGATTCGGACCGGCCTTCACGCTATAGCTGCTCGACAGGTTTCCCATCAGTGGATTGAGGGTCAGCGTCATGGTGTACGGGAAGCCGGTGTAGCTTGGCAGCGTGGTGAACCGCAAGCCCGTGCTGAGACCGAATGATTTGTTGAGCACGCCGTAGTACAATTCCGAGCCTAGGGAGAAGAGGCCGGCTTGCGCATTTGGCTCTCCCTCCGGTGTGGACTTAATCGAAGCCGTAAGAGCTGGTGTGGGGATTGGGATGCGAGGGTCGGTGCCGAAGTTATACAAGCCCCTGACGCCCAGTAAGGCCGAATCAGTCGAGTACAAGAACTCGGTGCTGTACTTGCCATAGTCATTTTGCACCAGTGCCAAAATGGTCCCTCCGTTGTTTAGCGTGGCGTCGCTCACAGCGTTGATCTTGATGAGCTGGGTCGGTTTGGTGCGCCTGAGATACATGGCCTCCAGTCTGTTTTTAGGCAGGAAGATGCGGCCATAAAGAAGCACGTCGCGCGTGTCTATTCGTGCGCCACGGTGCCATGTCTCCCAATAGTGCTCCTCGTCAGGAGCGACGGGCGCTTTGAGGTGTCGATAGCCAGTGACAAAATCGTGGAGGTCCAGACGGGGACAGCGTGAAGGGATGTGAAGAGGCAACGAGGAATAGAGATACGACAGAGAGCCGTCAACAAGGCCCGTCGTAGAGATCGTGTATGAGGTTGCTAGGTTGGGCGTTGGAAGCGATGAGACATGTAGGCGCAGACCGAGAGGCGTGGGGAAGTCAAGTAATGCTATAAAATCATATCAACCAACTGCTCCAGGAGAGAGAGAGAGAAAAGGAGCATGTCCTCTGGACGGGGAGAGAGGGGGTAGGGGATCAAAGGAGGATTTACATTGTGCCGTAAGGTTGAGGGTTGCGTACGAATTGTCACGATTCCATTTGGATTCGTTGTCGAACGCCCTCTGGATGTAGTCCATGAACGTCAACATGGCTGCCTCGCTATCGCGATATCATCATAAACGCAGTCGAACAAAGACAGTCAAATTTCACTGCGCACGTTGAGACCGTCCTCGACCGACGTCGCGCAGTCGGTCCTCAGAAACAAAAGTGCATAGCAAAGACGGTATGCCGGAGCTTGGCCAGGAACGAGCAAGTCCAGCCGAGAGGGTCCGGACGGCAAAAATTGCCTTCCCCAGACATTGCGTCCTGCATTGCTCCGCCAAAATTATTTCCCTACAACAATTTCTTTGTCCACCGAGCAGAACAAACAAGCTTCTCATTGCACTTTGCGCGCGCGCACACTCCACTTCGCGCCGCCCATCCTCCCCCACCTCCTGGTCCGAAAATGCCGAAATCGAAGCGCGCAAAGGTGGTCCACCTGTCCAAGGTGGAAAAAAAGGACAAGGAGCATCGCCAGAAGATCTTCACGGAAGTGCAGGAGGCCGCCGAGGCGTACCCGTACATCTACGTCTTCCGCGTGTCAAACATGCGCAACACGTATCTGAAGGAGATCCGCTCCGAGTTTTCAGACTCGAGGTAAAAGAAAAGAGCTCTCCCCCTCCAAACAAAAAAAAAAAAAAAAAAAAAAAAAAAAGGGAAAAGCCCAACCCTCCGCCCCCTCCCCAAGAACATGCCAAAAGACCGAAGGGGGGTTTGTCCTTTTTCTCCTCTTTAGAGATTTGTAAGGAAACGCTCGCTGACGCGCAAGGGCGGCGCCTTCGACAGGCTCTTCTTCGCCAAAACGAAAATCATGGCCAAGGCCCTGGGCACGACGCCGGAGTCGTCGCACCTGCCGGGCCTTTCGCTGCTCGCGCCGTACCTGCACGGCGACGTCGGCCTGCTGTGCACGCCGCGCCCGCCCTCCGACATCCTGCCGTACTTCCGCGCCTTCAGCCAGACGGACTTTGCGCGCGCCGGCGTGCCCGCCTCGTTCACCTTCACGCTGCCCGCCGGCGTCCTGCACGCGCAGGGCGGCCAGGTCCCCTCGGCCGAGGACACGCCGGTCCAGCACAGTTCGGAGCCGATGCTGCGGCGGTGGGGCCTGCCCACCCGCCTGGACAAGGGCAAGGTCGTCCTGGACGAGGAGTACACAGTGTGTGAGGAGGGCAAGGTGCTGAACAGTCACCAGACGGCCCTGCTGAAGTTCTTCGGCGTCGCGATGGCCGAGTTCAAGATCACGGTCGAGGCGTATTGGACGGCGGAGACTGGAGACGTGAAGAAGGTGGACGGTGAGGCCATGGAGGAGTGAGGCGAACGCATGTGCATACTCGTCTTCTTCTGCCTTTCCTTTCTTTTGTCTTCATAACGTAACGGCGTTAGGGAGTTTCGATCCCAGAGGCGGTGGGTTTCTTGAACGCTGGATTAGGAATTACACGGTGTTCCGATGGGAGTCGCCCAATTATGAGGCCATGAAAAAAGGCATATATAAATCACCATATTACAAGAGTAGGCAAAATGCCACGACGTCATGCTTCATATGCGTCCACATGAACTATACTTTGTGCGGCTTGCTCTGTTATATTCAAAGTAGAGTCCGAATGCTCACCATCTCTCAAAACTCTCCCGGCGACAAATGACGAAAAGAAAAAAAAAAAGTTATACACTCTTTGATTACTCTTGCCTAAGCACACATCTCAACCACGTAAGCTCCTCTCACTCTCCACAGTCAAATCCAGTCCAGTCCATCCCTGGTCCCCAATCCTAGTAGGCAGTGAAAAGAAAGAAAAAGGAGAAAAAAAAAGCCTCACGCTCCTTATGCCCACGCGTTCCCCTTCAACAAAGCAAGTTCGCCGTACATGGTACTCGAGCGTCGCACGAAGCAGAAAAGAGACGAAGGGAAAGGCAAGTAGATTTGACTCTACCCTTCTGTTGTCGCCTTGTGCCAATGCGCATGCAACCGGAGAGCCGTGATTGGACGTTAAGAGATGTATAAAACGCAAGGCAGGCAAAGCAGTCCGTAACCGTCATGTCGGAGCCACTAGTCAGTAAGCCGTCCCCCCTAGGCCCACTCCACGTGCTGGAGACTCGAATACAAAGAAACAAAAAAGGGAACTTCCGCATAGGGAGAGGAAAAAAGTTACAAGAAGAAGCGAAGTAAGAAGTATTTGGGTGGTGTTGTTGTGCTAAAGTTGGCGGATTGACGGCGTTGATCGATCGAATGCCATTGTGTAGGCAGGGGGAAAAAGGTCGACAAGTTGTTTTGTAAAACAACAATGCGCTTTTTTCGACTCGCTCCTATTTGGCTTGAAAGTCCCTAGACGGCGCGTGTGTGGGTGCGTGAGTCAAGTTTGTGATTTTTGCGTAGTTGATCTCGAATGAAACCTCCAGAATGGCGCTAGCTAATAAAGAAAGAGAATTTGTGGGAATCTGTGTTTCGCCGCAACAACGCCGAGAACCTTTGGGGGGGGGGGGGGGGGGGGAGAAAAAGAGACGCCGGTTGTGGGGTTTTTGATGGGTAAGATTGGTGTTGAGCTTGTCGAAGTGTTTCCAGGATCAGCATGAAGAGAGAGAGAGAGAGAGAGATCGAGCGTCCGCAGCATCCATATCTTCATACAGAGAACACCGCAGTGAATAGTTTTAAGTCACGCAGTCGGGTAATCGTGATGATGGTTATCATCTTTATCGGCACACACGCTGTCCGCACGGAACCGAAATAACATCACGCTTATCACCTCATCACAAGTTTGTGAGTTCCTGAGGTCGCTTATGCCCATACACGGAGCTAAATATTGTTAACTTATGTCTTAAAAAAAACTTGGGTTGTGGTGCGTACCATCGAATCCCATGAACCTGTGCACAAGCTCATCGCATCCTGGCTCACGCCTAGACAGCTAACACGATTGTCATGACCTTGCAGCGTGCCGACACGTTCGCCACGGAGAACATCCCAGACCTGAATAAATTCGATTAGCATACACACAAATCACCCAAAGAAGTACTCGACACGCTGAGGCTGATGGAGAGACGTGGTGCTACAGGTCGCGGATGCCACGTCTGGAACTGATAGGTCGAATTCGCCGATCGAAATCTGGAGTCCGACGCATTCCCTGGCCAGACAGCCACGTCATGTGCCGAAAGGAAAAAATAAAACTCTGTTGTGGTGACAGAAGAGCGCTTGAGCTATTTGTGGAATTGCGTCGCAGGAAATAACCACCGACTGGTCGTCTCATGACGATTGTGGGGGTTTGTCGGAAACAGAGACCGACAGACGACAGATGAGCTTGGCAGCAATTCACGTAAAGCTAGCTGTCGCTCTCCTCTACTTCTTGCGTGGAGCCGAGGAGCGTAGTGTAAAGGACAAGGGCAGCGGCGGGGGGGAAAGTAACGTACCTTGCATTCAAAATCGTCGTAGCCAGCAAATAGAAGTCGTCCCGAGACGGAAAAGGCGACAGAGGTGATGCCGCAAACGGGTTCGCCGATCTGAGTTTGACATTAGCAATGGGCATGCGCGTGCAGGGGGGTTGTTTAAGACCGACCGTGTAGCTCTGAAGCTCGCGATCAGCACGGATATCAAAGAGCCTGCAGGAGGCGTCGTCTGAGCCAGTACCGAAGGCGTTGCCGTTGGGGAAGTATTGGATGGCGTTGATGTCAGAATCATGCGCGGCAAAGGTCTGCACGCATCTCTGCTGCCGAATGTCCCAAAGCTTAGCAAAGGCATCACATGCACCAGAGACGAACTGGTTGTTGTCGAGAGGGTTGATGCTCAAGCTCATCACGTCGCCCAGGTGGTCAGCGAACTCGTGGAGCTTACCGCCCGTCTCGACATCCCAGAGCACGCAGGTCATGTCGCCGGAGCTGGTGAGGATTCGACGGTCGTTGATGAAGCGACAGCAGGAGAGGTAGCCAGAGTGGCCGGACAGCTCTCGCGCGACGCGTGTCGGGCCTTCCCTCGACGACAGGTTGTAGATGGAGCAGATGTTGTCGAGACCACCGCAGGCTACGAAATTGCCGCTCGGCGAGTAGGCACAGGTCATGACCCACGAGGAGCGCAGAGGTATCGCGTGCACCTTGTTGGTGGTGTAGGCATCCCAGATGATGAGCTTGCCGTCTTGCGAGGCGGAGACAAGGTGTCGCCTGTCGGTCGACCAGTGCATGGCGTAGATTTTGGCAAGATGGCCCTTGAGGGTCCGCCTCGTCTTCATGGTCAGGCGGGGAAGCTGGTCGACCCTCTGGCGGGCAACTTCGCGTACTACAAAGGTCACGATTAGCGTCGTCAGATGCTCTCATGGCAGGTGACGGGAGGGGTGAGCAGAGGCGGCAGTGATATGTGGCAGGAAGGGCAATGCACGTACGTGTCGTGTCGGCGAGCTCATCCTTCTTTCTCTTTATTCGGTCCTTGAGAGCTTCGGCATCGCGACGAGCTATCTGAATGCGCTGCTGAATGGACTCGGCATTGTTGTCCGCCATCTCGACGGACAGACAATTCGACGAAAAGGGGGAGCGGCAAAAGTCGATGACGATTGAGGAGGAGGGCGGTGGCCTGCTGCGGCGGAGCAGGAGGTGAGGAGCGCGAAGTTCACAGCCAAGGGGAGCGGCAGAAAAGAAGTGACGATCGGGGACGCGAGAGCCGGCCTAGAACGGGGCGGGTTGGAGAAGGGGGGAGGGGGGAGTCGGCGTAGCGCTGAGCACGAGCGAAGGTCGAAGGGAGGGGAAGTAGGGCGCGCGGGTCGCGCAGAGAGAGGGAGTGCGGCGACGATGAAGAGTGCGAAGAAGCAGTTGGATGAAGCGGTTCAGGACGGAGGCTCACATGGGGGAGGGTTTGGCGAGAGGCGGGAGCAAAAGCAGCAGAGCAGCAAAGCAGCAGAGACGAGCTGGGACGCTGGGCCAATCTCTGCCGGCCTAGGGCTGCGCTCCCGAACGGGCAAGGCACGCACGCACACGCACGCTCGCAGGCGCGCACACTCGCACGCTCGCCCTCGCCGTCGCTCCCGCTCTCGCTCTCGCAGACACCAGCGGACGGCCAAGCGGCTGCGCCAAAACCAGGCCTGCATCGCCTCCGGCCGGTCGAGCAGAGAGCCGCCAGTGGGACGCTCAGCAGAGCGGGCCACGCAGCGGCGAGGACGGCTGCTGCGCTTGCTCTCTGCGACTGCCCGCTGGCTGTAGCTCCAGCATGGCTGCTGTTGCTGCGCCCGTCCACAAGCCATGCGCCCGATACGCGCGCGGACACTGACACCAACACGTTGACTCGGGCGCGGGCACCGGCACCGGCACCGCCACCGCCACCGCCAATGGCAATGGCAATGGCAATGGCCCTGACGCAGCCCGGGGCGAACTGGGCCATCTGCGCGCCGCGCATCTCGCGGATCAACGGACACCACAGTAGGTACATGTGTCTCTGCGCGTAGGCGAGAGTGTGTGCGCATGTACGCTCTCCGCCTGTGCACCCGTGCGCGTACGTATTCGATTGCCTGACACCGGGCCCCGCTCGCCATCTGCCTCTTCATCCCATCCAAACGTCCAACCGGTGCCCAAGAGGAGCCGGTCTGCAGCCTGAACGCATAGGCTCTGGCCTTGGCCGTGCTCCCGCCGTACCCTCTGATGGCGTGTGTTGCTGTTTTCTCCAACGCAAAGCTGAGAAAATTGCGTTTCCGCGCTCAGTGCCACCCCCACAACCACAACGCAAAATCACCACATACTACCGTAGCAACGCGTTTAATTAAGGCCAATCATCCTCCACGTCAAACGACAGCCCAACAAACCAAGCAGCAAAAAAGCCGCGAGCTCGATCGCTTCTGCCCTGGACGATGACCCTTGGATTACAAGTACCAGCACCCCCTTCCCGCTCTGCGCCCACCCAGCGGTTTTGTGGTCTTCCCTGGTCTCTCTCTACTCGCCCATCTCTCTCACACACACTCTCTCTCGCTCTCTCTCGTTCCCTTCTTTGTATGCACCGGTCACTACTGCGGCTACGCTACGACTGCGCTTCGCCAGCTTCCTTTCTTGTTGCAAAACGGCCAGCCTGGAGCAGCCCGTCCAAACCTGCACCGCATTTATTCGAGCGCCACCAGGCTTTGCCCGTTTCTAAGCTGCAGCCAGCCTTTTTCCCTTTCCTCTTGTTGCTTTGCCACCCCTCTGCGCCGCTAACCTTCTGCCCAGTTCGGTCTCTCCGCTATGGCCAAGCGCCAACCAGTTGATCGTCCCTTCGTGAACAAACTTCCGAAGATTGAGGTAAGCCTTGCCTGATTCCACGACTGCTTCAGTCGTAGCCATCGTTCGTACGACGAGACAAAAACAGCCTCTGCCTCATCCTAACCCCTTCCCCTCCCTCACTCTTTGCCCCTTTCCTTCCCGCCCTCAAAGCTTTGTCTTCGAGCGATGCTCAGAGCACAGTCGCCCAGCTCTCTCTCTCCACCCTTTCTCCACAGAGTGGCCACATCCTCGAACGGGCGTCAGCTAACACTCCGGCTTAGCTTCACGCGCATCTTAGCGGGAGCATCAGCCGAAAATGCCTGCATGACATTTGGCTGGCCAAAAAGGAAGCCCAGCCGGAGCTTGACCTCCCAGATCCGTTGGTCGCCATTCCGCCCTCCAAGGTTGACTATGATCTAAAAACGTGAGTAGCTGCTTCGACGCAAAGCATTTTTCCTATTTCTTTCCACCTCCATTCGCCATGTTTCTGCACGGCATCGAGGATTAAACTTTTTTTCCCTTCCGTCTTCCCGGCTTGTCGGTCCCGTTCGCTGCGCTGCGCGGTCTTCCCCCCTGGTGCGTGTAGGAGCAGGTGTGGGTGTGTGTGCTTGCTTCCCTGCGTGCCATCCTTGGATGAAGAAGACATGGCCTTGGTCCCTCGGCTGCCAAATGACTAGGCGAGCCCGTAAAAAGTCAAGGCACCTTCATCTTGCATTTCGCCAATGGTAGAGCCCCAGATTTCCCCGGCGTTCGACTTCCCATCTTTTGCTCCGCGCCTCTGTTTCTGTGCCTGGGCTCCAAAACATCGGTCGCGTTCATCCTCCCCCCTGGGACGAATAACAAAAAAAAAAAAGCACAGCGACCGTCTCACCGTTGCGATGTGTCGCCATACGCTACGTAGAACGCGTTATCGACGACCTGTAATTGACGACCTCTCTGTTCAATTGCTATCTTTAGTTCCTCCAGGTTCAAGGGACAACGCCTGTTGGAGGGGGCTCCTCCCCCCCCCCCCTCCTCCCCTCAAACCCTGAGATTTTGCTTCGAAGCCGGAATTTTGCGTGCAACGCAGGATACCTATCGATCAAACATGCAAGAAAAGAGTCTCAAGCAGCGCAAAAGAGCAGCCGTTAGATCGAAACTTATCCTTCCACAGCGCCGCCGCTGTGGCGACGCAATCGGAATGTGGCCGTCTCGCTTGGCTGACCTCGTTCGATACTGCCTCATGAACAAATGCTCCCGTTCCTGCTCAGAGCGATCTTTCCACCCTGAACCTTTGCACCGGAACGTGTCCTTGCTCGTCGATTCCGTGCTGGTGGGCGTGACCTTTCTCGAAGACATTTCCTTTGGATATGCTTCTGCTCGGCCCAAAAAGTGTGACCTCCCATTGAGCCAATCATCGGTCTTGAGTGACGTGACGTCCTAGCCTTAATATATCCAAGGCTTATATATTGACATGGATGGCTATATGCCCCGCGGATCTGAATCGAGTGCTCGATGCATGCTTAGACGAGACGATAGTCAGCGTATTATCTCGAACTGTGCTCTGACTATACTATCTATGCATCGCATCTTTGATTGCCCTTACATGATGTGTTCGATAAAAGAACATCCGCTGACGTCCAAAGAACAGATTTTTTCCGCTATTCAACACGTACATTTATAGACTCGTCAGTGACATTCCTAGCATCCATGAGAGTACGTTTGCCTGTAGGATTCAAGGACCGTCTTCAGCGGTTCAGGCACATGGCCGGAGCTCCGCAGATGTCCCCGCTGTCTGAATTGCTTAACGTCGGCGCGTGAATAGAATTGACAGGCGATGCAGGCACTCTTCGCGTACTTGCAGACTTCGAAGAAGATGGCGTGGTCTACCTAGAGCTCCGCACAACACCGCGCGAGATTCCAGAATACACAATATCAAGACGTCGCTACGTCGAGACCGTGCTCTCCGCGATTGAGGAGTATGAACGCAACAAGGATAACCGCATGCGTACTCGACTCATTCTTTCGATCGACCGTAGAAATTCTCTGGCCCAGGCCAAAGAAACTGTCGATATAGCCCTTGAATTTCAATCGCGAGGCGTGGTTGGTATCGATTTGTGTGGCGATCCTTCAGTCACATCGATAGCACACCTGAGTGCCGTCTTTTACAAGGCGAGCATCGCAGGCCTCAACATCGTGCTGCACTTCGCAGAAGCAGAAGTGTCTGCCTCGGACGAGGAACTGCGAATGCTCCTGTCGTGGAACCCTAGTCGTCTCGGGCACGTCATCCACGTCAAGGACGAATTCAAGAGAATGATTACGGAAAAGAAAATCGGCCTCGAGCTGTGCCTGAGCTGCAACGTGCACGCGAAGATGATCACCGGCACATTCGGGGACCACCACTTTGGTGAGTGGAAGGACTGTGGGCACAAGCGGATCGCGCTCTGCACCGACGATGTAGGCGTGTTTTGCAGCACCCTGTCGAACGAGTATTACCTTGCGGCTGAGCATTTCGGGATGTCGAGGGAAGAGCTGATTACGCTCGCGGAGAATGTTGTGGATATGATCTTTGCCACGGAGTCAGTCAAGGACGAAATACGTGCCCTCTTCAAGCAATTCAGGCTCGATGAGGCAAGATCGTAGACGGGGCACGATCTTAGAGATGAGCAAGTTTTGTAGGAAGGTGCTACGACTAATGTTGGGGGCATCGAGAGGCGACGGGAGAAAAACCTTTCGCATTTGCAGAATCAGCGTCTCTAACCTGGTCTCAAGACGCAAGATGCTACATGATCTCGTTATAAACAGCACGCTACGTGCACATTCTAGTATAGATGTTTCGGCGCATCTTCGCTCCTCCCAAATAGCCCTAGTAACAATGACACCGGAGAGCAAAGCTTCATGATGACGATCGTCATGCGGGGCAAAGAAAAAAAAAATTGCCCTTTCCGCAACACAGACGTTCTCGCTCTAAGCTCTACGAAATTGTCTTCTCCGCCCTCGGCTTCTCGTCCGTCGAGATGCCAAATTGCTGTCGCACGGTCCGCAACCGCTCGTTCTCGCGCGCAAGGCTCTTCTTGTTGGACAGGTTGAACCAGACGCCGTACAAGATCATGGCGAGGAGGAACGCACCTTCAGAAAGAGCGGGAAAAAGGGATCCCCGCGCGTTAGCGACGAAGACGTGCCGCCGTGAGGCAGAGATGAGCAAGACGGATGCGGACACTCACCGATAAACCCGAACATGACGCCGATTTCGTGGCCCGTCGACGGGGGCGGAACATAGCCTGAGTTCGAATTCGACATTTTTTTTTCGTCCTTGGAAGACCGAATCGTGTGCTCTCGTCTTTGGTTCCGGTTGCGACTGATCTGTGCTTCGCAAATTCTTAACGAAGTTTTTTTTTTGTACTTCACTTCTCCTATTTGCTCAAGCGAGAAAGAGAAGGCTTGTGCAACCTTGACCGATGCTTGGGTCGTTCTTCTTTTGTCTAAACAGCGGAGACGCCTAGAGAAGCGGGCCAATTCCAGTCTTAAAAGCGCAGAGAAGGGACCCTTTCTCTCTTCGCCATCAGCGATGATCAGTGTTTTTGCCGCGTCTGCCCCCAGCAGCAGAGCGCTGATCAGCGTCAGCCAACGACTGACGTCTTGAGAGGTGAAAGTGGGTTGCTCTCCCTGGTTGTGGAGACAGCATCCGTGCGTTGATGACGTCGGCCAACACTTCGGGTTGTTTTTGTAACTGGGCCTCGTTTTATTCCATTGGGAAACGTGAGCGCCGAAGGTTCCGACAGCTTTGAACGAATAGTACCCGTGGCGCCCGAGAATGGAAATAATTTAGAATCCTCTCGAACATCTTGCAAAAAAGTACAGTATTCACCATGATTCATACCTGAGGGATTGTGTGGTCACTCTTTTGCGCTCCACGCCTGCACCGTCCATCAACGGACAGACATGGGATTGGTTCTGTTGGTTGGATACCCGCCAAATGCAAGCGTATGCCCTGAAAATGACAACATCCATATAAATGAACTCTTGCCGAAAAGAGCTTCTCTCGTCAATACCAAATTCATAGCGTCTGCAATATTGAATGAACACTGCGGTCTACTCAAAATCGAGATGCTCATCTATTCCCATGCGTCCAAGCGTCCCAGTCTTTCTCGTCAACGTACGGCTCGATGTGTGCGCCAGGGCAGCTCGTCATGCACCGAGCCAGCCAATCGCTGTACCTTCTGCTCACGCTGCCATGTATCTTGACGGTGGACACATCTCTGACTCCCTCAAACAGCTTCAGGACGCGCAGGTCCGCGCTTGCGAACATGGCCTGCCAGACCTCGATCTCGAGGCTATCGACGCCGGTGAACGCGGCCTCGACCTCGCTGGCCTTCAGCCGCGAATCAATGTCCAGCCGTAAGCTGATGTACCACTTTCTGATCTTGCTCTTGAACCTGGAGTAGTGGACCACCCGATCCGACGATACAAGAAACGGACACTCGGTCAGCTGTGTAGGATGCGCGCAGAACGTGTTGCTCTTGTACAGGATTGGCCCCGCCTCTTCGTGGATGAGCCGGCAGGTCCGCAGTATATTGGGGTGGATGTTGAGCGCCGGGATCAAGTACGAACTGAGGTGCTTTCTCGTCGTGAGCGGTCGCAGCGTCGCGAGCTGCGCCTCCGAGCTCGTGAGCAGATACTGATAGACTGCGCCAAACGCGTTAGCATAATTTCTGTAAAAGGGATGGGGGTCCCAGAGCCTGCGGTGCTTACTCTGCAAGCGAAGCTCGACTGGTAGCTGTAGTAGTAGACAAACATTCTTCCTCTCTTCGACAGGCGCGCCGACGACCGTTTCCGATGACCCGGACTCCTCGCTCATGCTGGCGCAATGGCGGTGGTCTCAATGCAGTCCGCTGCCATGAAGGGAGGCGCTGAGCAAGTAGCAGTCAGCCAGGTTGACTTCAGCTGCTGATGTCGTTGCCCTCCTTAAGCGCCCTCGAAACAGCAAGTCGGCCTCGGCCGTGCCAAATTGCTTATCAGCCCCAAACGGGAAGTCGTGGCCGCGATCGGATGAGGTCACGATCATTAGTTCTAGCACCTCAGGCAGAGACGGAGATCATGACCTATTAGGTGCTGATTGTCGAACGTGACCTCACAACGGCGGGCTTTCTTTTCTGTTCTCACGGCTTTCCTATCCATCTAGTTATGAAAAGAAACTCCATTCGTTTTCTTCAGACGTTTGTTTCTGCACTAGCTTCATATCTCCCAGTCCTTTCCCGAATCTTTGGCTTGTTCTGCATGTCGTAAAGCCGTAGGGCGCAGGAACAGTTTTTTTTTTGTGCCATGTTTTGATGTTGAATCACCCTTTTCGTACTGTTGCTGCCTTATCCTGCAGTATAAAAGGAACTAGACGACCATCATTCAAGAAAAAGAAAAATAAATATACCTCTTCTGCATACCGCGCACATTCCTTTCGTGCAGTCTTGGGTGTTCCAGTGTGTGGCTTTATCTTCCCATCTTTGAACATTTCGGCCGCTCAGCCCGTCATGGATGGTTTGAAAGCCACTTCTTTGCTCTTCCAACGGAATGGCGATCTCTACAGACACGATGCAGAGATTCTGGCCTGCATGCCGTTCAGTGAACTCTCTCAGGACGACCAAATACTTTTCAAGAACGCCCCTGAGGATGTTTGCGCAGTTATCGTCAATGAGACGATATTCCACCCCCAGGGCGGAGGCCAGCCCTCAGATGTAGGTCGCATGATTACAGGTACAGGAATCTTTGACGTCCTGTCTGTCCGTACCTCTACCACCCACCCGGGCGTTGTGCTGCATTTTGGCAAGTTTGCTCAACCAAGCAACGAGACACTTTTCAAGGCAGGACAAAAGTGCTTGCAGACCGTCAATGGCGCAAAGAGGTTGTTGTACTCAAAGTACCACACCGCTGGTCACGTCCTAGGCGCAGCGGTTCGACACCTGCTTGAGAAGCAGGTTGAAGGCTTCGACGAATTGAAAGCGTCACACTTTCCAGACTCGGCTTCGTGTGAGTTCGCAGGCCTCATCGCCGGCTCTCATAAAGAGGCCATCCAAAAGAAGGTTGACGAGTATATCGAGGCCGACATGCCAGTTGAAATTGACTGGTGGAGCGAGGACGATTTCAGAAAGGAGGGTCTGGAGCGCCTCATCCCCAACGACGAGGTAAGGGAGGCCATGGGCGTCAAACCGGGCGAGAAATTCAGGGTGGTCAAGATTGTCGGTGCTGAAGTGTATCCGTGTGGAGGAACTCACGTGAAGAGCACCCAGGCATGTGGGAAGACGGTGGTCAAGAAAATTGCTAGGAACAAAGGACAGAGCAAGGTCAGCTACTGGCTGCCAGATGCCTGAGCGCCGTTTGCACGACCTCCACGCCTTTAGTACATTGCGAGACGGTCGTGCGAGACCTCTTCATATGTGCACGATTCCACAGAAACGTTGGTCTGCTCCGGGCGTGCAGAGCATGTCAGATACGAGGCGATTTTGCTCTTTTATCTGACAACGAACGACAGAAAGAATTCTTTTTTCCCAGGATTTGCGAAATCCGCATTGGCAGATTCATGGGAGAAGCCACCGAGAAATTAACGCCGCAGAGGCTAATATAACTGTGCAAGTGCATATGTATATTTGCGGAGATATTGAAAGGAAGTACCACTTTGTTAAAGGTACCCTATTTGGTGTTGTACACATGCCCGATCATAGAATAATTTGGAGCTTGTTCAATATTTGTTTGATTTTCGTGCAATTCCGCGTGCATCCAGACGTGTGAGAAAGAAAAGCATCCCATTTGTTGAAAATCTCCCCGTACGAAGATCATGTGACATGCCTCTCAAGTTGCAATTCACAATTCAGCTCGAAAATTGTATACTTGATATAATTCAAGGAATATCTGGCGCACAAATAAAGAAAAAAGCTGGAGAAGGATATATTGTACATGCATAGAGAACATAGAAAGCCCTCGAAATCATTCCCCACATGGCACATTAGCATCGTCCATATTTTTGGCATGTAGTAAAAACCGTCGTAAATTAGAAGCGAAACTGAAACAGGAAGGTCTATTAAATGAGCCGTTTGAAACGACATTAAGCCAGACACACGGGATTGCCCCAGCCAACTGTCCAGCGTACGCTTCCCATGATTACAACTGTGAGACTAAGACCACCAACGAGGCTTGAAAGGCCATAGACGTAGGCATGATGCCTTTTTAGGCCGCTAAGTTGGGCGGCCCAGGCAGACACAGTCGTTAGAGAGCCGCAGAACCCCTCCATGATGCCTTGAAGCACCTGGCAAGGCAAACGGCCACCTCCGACAAGTGAGGCGATCCGAATGTGCTGTAGGTCGAATGCCATGGCCTCGACAGCCGTGCCAAATACGTTTACTGCGAAGGTGCCAAGGGGGAAAGAGACGCTGAGACCATTTAGAAAGACGGAGACATAAAATCGCATCAGACACCCAGGAGGCGCGAAAACGCAAGCGAACAGTGCCTCACCGCGCCACGTTTCCACATCCTGAATGTCTTTGCCGCCTGGGCCTGCTGATCGATCAGGAGGCCAAATAGTCATGATCACGGCACCAATCCAGGCTCCCCAGGCGAGGAAGACGAACAAGGGGTCGATGAAGCGGCGTAAGATGTGGAAGCGGATGGTTGGTATATATTGGTCGAGAAAAATTGCCAAATGTGCACCGAATTGTAGTCCGCCAACAGAAAGACAAACAGTCAACAATAAAACGGCCAAAGTGGACATGAAAGAGTATCCACTATGTCTTTGGACCGTGTCGGTTGCGGCTGGAAGAGTAAAACCTTGTGGGTAAGTGTGGTTGATTGGTGTTGGGAGATTATTAGACAACGCAAGAAAGGTGTCGCGCATGAACGTCGAGAAAGATGTGAAAGATCCACAAAAGCCTGTCGTGAGACCAATATAAAGCGGAATGGTCTTTTTCACCTTCCCGTGCGACAGCACCTGCGAAGGGTGATCTTCGTCCCGATGGCCTTTACGCTTCGGAAAGCAGAACTTTTCAGACGTTGGCGATGACGTGATATCTCTTCTTTTTGGGTCGAAGGACGGTATTTGCGGCTTATGTGAACTCCACTCCTCACGAAAGAGTCGCCTGTCCTCTGCAAAGAAACCAAGCAGGAAGGAACCGGCGAAATTTGGCCAGAGTGCTGAAATCACAACCGGTGCTCCAGGATAAAAGGTCAAAGCTTGAAGACCGATCCGGGCGAGAGTGCCCAGTATCGAGAAGAAGATGAGATATGAGAATGTGTAAAGCTCTGTGGCGAGCCGTGAAGCTACACCATTCTTTACGGACACAACTGAGAGCTGAGGGCTAGAGCTCTGAAAGATTCGTGCGGCTTCAAGCTGCTCCTCAAGATTGCTTTGATTGTATAGGAATCTTGGTAGCGCCGTTGCATCCGTATCTCCGCTCCTCGACCCCGTAGGCCGATTGCATTGATCTTGCGGCTTAAGTGAAGTCTGCTGTGACGATTGTATTTCTTGCAACCTTCTTGACTTGGCTTCCGACCGCAGTTTCCCCTTGCTCTTTGGTCTTAACATTCCCGGGTCTACATCTCGCAAATTGCTAGATTGTAACGTGATGGTTGGAGCTCTACGACTGCTCGTTCGTTCCTGAACAAGAATTTCCGGCGGATACGGTGTGTGAATTGGCTGCTCAGGGAGAGAAGCAAGGAGTGTCTGACCAGACGATTGCCGTCGGATGAGATTTTCATCTAATCCTCCTCCCTGTGGAGGACCAGCAACTTCCGTCAAATTTTCTAGAAAATAGGATGGCGTGGTATGTGCTCTAGAGTTTGACCGTAGGTTTTCATGGCTGTGTCCAATTCTCTCTGAGTTGGATCGCAACAATTCCTGGTTGGGCAGCATTATACTCGAACTGGTTTCTCTCCGACTCGAGTTACTAAGGCATCTTCTATGTCCAACTCCTCTTAGCCCACCAGGTGGGTTAGCAGCTGAAGTCAAAGGAGGAGTGGCATTGCATGTTAAGATGCTTTCCGGAAGTGGCCAATTTGGCCGTGGCTCGTTGTCAGCACCACTTTCAAGACTTGTTCTTCTCTGCGGCTGCTCAAGGGCATTTCTGGAATAGAAACCTGCAGGACCAAAAGCAGCCGGCTCTCCAAACGATCCAATATTATGGCTTACGCTTTGCGTGCTCTCGGTTGTCTGAGCTCGGGACCTCCCGGCGTTTAACGTAGAAGATCCTGCTGAGGCACGTTGAGAATTGAAATCGATATCTTGCGGGCTGCGGCTCTTCGGCGAGGCAATGATCGTTTCTTGCTGATTGTCAACTTGAATGATATTTCCGCTCGGCTCCACGACGGCAGCTGATGGCGTGGGAACGAGCACGCGAGAATTTCGAGGACTGGCAACTGGTTGCTTGCCGAACGTAGAGAAAACCCAATGCACCATGACAGAACTCGGTAGCTCGGTATACCGTGGAGCAGAGCTGTAACCAACAGTGGTGCAGGACGAAGCAGTATAAGGAGTGACTAGGGTCGGGTATCATGCAAAGAAAACAGAGAACAAGGGAATGAGAGTATTAGAAGAAAATTGAGTTTGCTCCAAATTCTGGGATTGGTCCAAGGGAGTGAGGAGATTTATGGTACACCCAGTACCAGAGTAGATGCACAGAGCAGATGGAAGCACCTCGTCAATACGGCGCAGAGCTCATCGACTGATGGGAGACAAGACTCCACACTGGCATCCACATATGCAAGGAGTGCATGCCTTCAGACTTGTTTATGAAGTGATCCATCCGCATTGCTCGGTATGTGGCCATTTTTATGAACCGCTCACCCCTGCGTTGAGCATGACGACTCCTATGTATGTCAACGATTGCTGCTGCAGGTTCGAGTACTTTTAAAGTTTTAGCTGCTGCGACGAAGCAGGTGGCCCTTGGATGGTTTGCTGTCGAACGCATGCACGTCTTGACTGAGGAACTGCGCTCAACAGGGGGACGAACGCGGGCTGCTCCTCGGCTAGCGCCACCAAAAAAAATCAACCAGTTAAAAAAAAAGGAGAGTCGAAATATCTACCATTTTTTTGACATTCCTACGTTTACTCGAACGAGGCTCTCAAACAGGCCGGCGGGCGCCATGCGAAGTGGACTCGCGTTCTGAGTATGGTGGAGTAGAGTACCCACAGTTGCATATCGTCACGACCATTCCGTCTCGCATGCTGGCCCAAAGCCAAGGCCACGAGGCCGGAGGATGGCCATGAATCTGCGTGTGCCTAAGAAGGGAAAGACACGGAGGCCAGGTAAGGCGATTTGTGCAAAAAAAAAAAAAAATGGTGGTGGTTGGGCGCGTCGTCCAGATTCCGTCGACGCAGACTGAGCACGAAGACTGACTGGACTGGCATTGGTCATAGCTCCTGTAAGGACCAGACATGTGTGACCCCAACTGATTAGCAAATGGAGCTCACCGCTTCCGACTTATCTATCTGTCAAACTCGACCTTGCTTGCCTCAACGTACCGTCGAGTGAGCACAAAAGTGCGAGAGGAAAGGGTTCTCGTACGCAATCTCCCAACACCCGTCCATTCCAAGGAATCATAGCCAAGAGCCTGGTGCGGAACGTCCTTTTGTCCCGAGTTCAGTTTGGCCAAGGTTACTGTCACGACGAAAGAAGAGCAGCCCGCTATGGCTTCCTCACTACCGCCAAACGCACACATCTCAACACACCCCTGCGTCCAGGCTAAGCTGTCCATCCTGCGCTCATCCTCCACAAACGCGCGCGAGGTGAAGGCGCTAATCCACGAGATCGCCCTGCTTGTAGCATCAGAAGCTCTCGCCAACTGTTTGACCACCCGTCCGGGCGGCACTGACGCTTCTCCTCTGGGATACTCGTACACAAAAACCGCCATATCGCCCTCCAAAATCTCGCTGGTGCCGATTCTGCGCTCTGGCCTGGGCATGGTTGATGCGCTCGAAAGCTTGCTGCCCTACCCTGTGCCCGTGCACCACCTGGGCCTGTACCGGGAGAGGAGCACGCTGCAGCCAGTCGAATATTACAATAATCTGCCGTACCATAAGCCCTCGGCGCATTCGGTCTCCAGCGCGACGCCTGCAGGCACCGCGGTGGATACGCCTGGCCCAGCTGATCTTGCCATTGTCGTGGATCCCATAATAGCAACGGGGGCGACTGCAATGGCGGCCGTCGACACGCTGCGCGATTATGGGGTCAAGAAGGTTGTGGTTATCAGCATCTTGTGCTCCGCAGATGGTATTAGGAGAGTTGCCGGATGCTGGGACGGAGTCGAGGTTTATGTGGGTGGCTGCGATGCGGAGACGGATGAGAGGGGTATGATCAAGCCGGGGTTGGGTGATGTCGGCGATAGGCTTTTCCTAACCATGGGAAAATAAAAGGCAGTTAGATCTGTGATAGAATGCAAAGAAACATATCTGGGCTTTACAGTTCCGCGCCGTCCGATGGAGCCTCTGCTGATAACCGGTTGAATCACGACGGGAATTTACCGTTTCTATCGCGTTGTAAGCATTCTGTTTGAGCAGCCAATTGTAATGAAGCGTTCCGTAGAATGTCAAAAAAAATTTAAGCAAATATATAAATTTGAAGATAAAGCAAGCAAACAAGTTCAAGCGTAATATACTTTGTGATTGGTCATGTATGTATACAGTTCTGGATCACCTTCCAGCGGTATTAGGTATTTCCTTAACCCAAAACGCCCAACACAGTCCTTTGAGAAAAAAAAAAAAAAAAAAAAAAGAATCGTAGTCCCTGAATATTTTTTTCAAACGCTCTATGGATATCGTGTTGTATTCAAACCTTCAAATATAGCGACCAAAACATGACGCCTAAAGCAAATCCTGTCACGTCATTGTTTTAAATGCGCCGACACGATGCACGCTGGAAATCATAGTGTCGTATCATACGCTGAAGATGGGGGAGTTGATAAGTCCTCTTAGGGATCACGTAGCTTCATGAGCTCAGCGTGCAATGCTTCGGCATTGACCTCGTCACTGGTGGTCTGACTCGTCAGGACGCCACTTGATGGCGTAGTCAACGCGGTTCCCTGGGCCCTGCTGTTCGTCGCAATTGTGCTGATGCTATCGCGGCCCTCATACTTCGCTTTTCGAAGGCTGGTTACGCTCGGGGATGAGCAGACGCTACAAGGGGCGGAGACATCGCTCACAGATTGCTTCTGCGTACGCTCCCAGCTGTCGCGGCGGCTCTCTCTCTCTTGACCCTCGATAACTGCGTCTTGGAACTTCATAGGACGCATGCGCTTTGTCGTCGGGTCCACGCACCAGCGTTCGTACGGCCCTTCAATGAAGTGTCCAAACCTGTCCCAGCATGGTACCTATGATCAAGTCAGCGATGTGTCTTGCAGAACACAAACGTTGAGGTCCCTTACGTAGGTGACATTGTCGTCCAGACGGAAGAAGCCCAACTGCTGAACGTCGAAGCTGGAGTTTGTTTTGACATATTCAAATCGTCGACGGTCTTCGTATTCCGTCTCAAACATCATACGATGCAGTACTTTACAGTAGACGACCTTCCTTGGCAATCGCTCATGCTTAGCTGTCGTCGCCGTCCCCAGATCAGAGACGGATCCGGTATCTGCATTCTCGATATACTCAACCAGGTACCACCCTCGTCCTGGTTTGTACTCATAGATACCCGGCACAGGCAACTCCCATTGCTCTCTCGGTCGCATAGATTGTACCGATGACGACCTTCTCGTGCTCCACTTGTGCGGGCTAAACGCCAACTTGACCAGCGTGAAAGGGTTCGGTGACATATTGGTTGCGAAAATTCGCAACTCTCGTTGTGTTGGCAACCGATCGCTTTTGTTTGGTCTCTCCCGCTGGAAAAGGGTCCAAAGCGTGGATTTTCTTGGTGGGTAAAATTTGCTAGCCAGCCCGGTCGGGTGACCCCAGACTCGCTCGAATTGAAGGTCTTTCCCTTACTCGAAAGGAACGGGAGGCGAAAACTTTTCTCGGCCCCCGAGGAGTCCTTGCTGGCTATTGCGGGTGAACCTTCTGTTCTGGACCGTGGAATGCAGGCCCGGTCTGAGATCTAATAGTCGGCTGGACTGGTGGAAGCAAATAAACTGGGGAGATGGTTTTGAACAAGGTTTTTTAAGATGAGGGAACGGTAGTGGAGAGAGGATGTTAGAGCATTAACTCGCGTGAGCCACTGCTCCGCAGAATGTCAGCACACGAAGAGCATCGTCGAAGAAAAATGGTTTTGGTCCGCAAGAATTTGGCAGATCGGACAGCGTTTTGTGGAAATCAACGGTGGTGTGTGCTCTCCCTGCCGGAAAAGCCTGGTGCACGTAACCCATTGTGGTACCAGGCCAGCGTTGACGCGACAACAATATCACTTGGTGTGGGAGATAACGCGAAGCCAATCAAGAAAAACGTGCTATCAGATCCTCCAAGTTTGTGGTGTTGAGCATCAGACTCCGCCTTTTGCGAGGCCATTGCCACAACAGGAGGTATGCAGCAAACCAAGGTGCCTAACCGAGGCGGCGCATGGTCGGTGTGAAGAGCGGGCCCTTGGATGCGTTCTCTCAAAGCTAAAAGATTCCGGCCCGCCCCTTGCCATGCGTCTTCGAGCTTCCGGCGGAATGCGACTGACGTGAGCCGCTCACTTTCATTCGCCTCCGTACCTGGTTTTCCTTCGGATTGAGTAGGAAGCTCGAGGGCGCACAACCGAGAACAGATCTTTGAGCATCGACAGATCGCGTGCCATCAGCGTGTCCATACCTTTCCAGTTAGCGACGGATCAGCAGCCCCTTGAGCTGTTTGATAATTGCTGCGCGTGGGCGAAAATTGCTTCCTCATCAAACACCAAGACTCGGTAGCGACTTTCCTGTCGACGGGTGTGTTGATGACGAATTAAGACGCCCCCCTTCTTTCCTGGGCAGTAATCATCTGACAGAGCATTTGTGCTGTAATACTGTCTGCTATGCGACACTGACTAAGACTTTGACGTTGGCTGTCGCATTCGTTTGATGCATAATGATTCCATCTTGACCGGGTGTGGATGTACTTGCAAGTCTCTCCATGGCCAAGGGATGATCATAGCAAGCTACATTGAGGTACGCGTTTCGCCATAATGTATATATGTTGTGTAGTCTATAGACAATATGTGCTAGCGATCTAGCCAACAAGGCGATCACTGCAAGATTCGAACATGTTATAACAAGTGCATACTTGTGATCTTGTACAGCACGTGCATGGAGACAGTGAAATAGCAGTCGTCCATTCGTTCGGGGCAATTCAACTACGCAGGGCACCAACACGCGTTTCTCGAGACAAACGTATCTCGGCCAATATATCCAATGAGCGCTTCCGGTTATCTGCGTCGATCCGCAAAGGAGTGAGTTCATAAGGGTAGAAAGAGTCGAGTATGATTCGATGGAAGATTTTCTGCATCAGCTCCCGCTTTCTCCGTCAAATCCTTGAAACTGAAACAAACTATTGTGAATCAATGCGTCGAGCAACTGTGCAATAAACACCATCCATGCTGTGGTATAATGATAATCCTATAAACTGATTGCGCGTACCGCCATGAACAGAAAAAAAAATCGTTCTGTCGTTCGGTCATTTGAGATTTCATTCCTTTCGCACGGTCCCAAATCTCTTGCTCAGTATTTCACTGATATCCATGCTGGTTCGTCCAACTTCATCCATGACGTTCTGCATACTCAATCTTTCGCTTTGTTGCTTTGCAACCTCACTTACAGGCCCATCTGGCCTGCTTCTTAGAATTTCTCTGACCTCAGCCTCGCGTTTCTCTTGCTCTTCTATCTGCCTCTGCGCTGCTTCCTCTTCACGCTGAAGCTCAAGACTTGTTTTCTTCTTCAATCCTCGCTGCTGCCAGCCATGCTGCAGCTCCAAGGCAGAAGCCTCTTCAAATCTTTTTCTGATGTCCAGATCCTGCTCAAGCGTCTGAAAGGTATCTGCATCAGTAGGAAACCAAGCTGCTCGTAGGCTAGAAACGCCAAATTCGTAAACAACCACCGCTGAGATAATGACAACGAGTGTTAACCACCACAAACCAGACGGTCCGAATGTGTCGAAGAGTGCGTCGCGCACGTCGTAGATCTTGTTCTTTCTGTTGTAGATCGCTGCAAGTATAATATTCCAGAGCCACCAACCACCAATCGAGAGGATAAGCGAGCCAGCAGCGAGTATAGATTTATTATGCATTTCAACAAGTCTTAGACATCAAAGTCAGTTATCCCGTGGGATTTCAGGTAAGGGAGTTCGACTTACTGCATCTTCAAGCTGATGATGATAACACATGCAGAGAATGTGAGTTGTCCCATCGGGAACAAGCTTCCATCAAGCAGGAAAATCGCCTTTCCATACAGTGCAAACATGCAGAAATACACTATCATGGCTTCTGAGCTGGCCATAAACATCCAACCAAAAAAGATCGGGAAATTAAAGGCCCCATCTCGTTGTCCCTTGGTGTAAAGCTCCGGAACCGCGATCAGCGTACTCGGTTGCAAGTCTTTCTCGAACGCCCCCATACAAATCACGGGCAAAGATGTGAATAGAGTGTTGAACATGGAAAGCGACCAGCTCTCATATAAGGATGTGCCGGTATAGCCATTCCATCGCTGATAAAGAGCTTGGGTGAGATAGAATAGGAGTTCCTTCCAAAACGTACCGACGATATACTTGCATGTGCGGATGTAATTCCACCGTCCATGGACCAGCAAAAGCTTAGTTAGGAAGCGGAATTGTGCAATTGCGTAGTCAGAAGTTCTGGCAGCCTGGAGACCTTCTTTTCCTGTTATGCCAATGCCAACATGTGCCGTTTGAATCATTGCAATGTCGTTGGCACCATCGCCTATAGCCAGCGTGATAGAATTCTCTACACGATTGCGGATTCCCTTCACAAGCTTCGCCTTTTGACTCGGACTAGCACGGCAACATATGACAGAATCTGCCAGGATAGCAAGATCGAAGAACAGCTTCTCTAGAGCTTTAGACTCCTCAATTATTGCTAGCGTCTGGCCGTCAACCACGACCACGGCATGGGCGATTGTGCCTGTATTGAGTGTGATAAGTGCAGAACCAATGGTTCTGTCAATTTCTCCCAACTCATGATCGATAATGGTCAAGGTGCTGTAGTCTTTGATGAGGCGACAAGAATGGCCAATGTTGATCGCAGTTTCTCGCTTGTCACCTGTGAGCATCCACAACTTGATATTTGCTCTTCGAAGCTTATCAATTGCCTCAGGTACTCCAACTTGAAGTTTGTCTTCAATAGCGGTCGCACCGGCAAGATCAAGATCGATCTCAATCAATTCACTGGCTTGTTCAATCTTGCGTTCACGATCCTCAAGGCTGGTGGACGCGTCGAGATAGATCTTCTTCCAACCAGCATATTCGTCTTCAGAGAGAAATCGATAGCCATATAAAAGCGTACGAAGACCTTCCGTCGCAAAGTCATTGATATGCTGGAAGCATCTCTCAACGACCGCAGGCTCATCGTTAACCATGGTCTCTTCCACAAGCTCCTCCTCCTCATCCCATTGTATGGAGCTGCGAGGCTCTGAGACAGCCATCGACATTCGGCTCAGATTGGCGGATGGTCGGGGTGTATAGGCATCGCTGTTGTCATCAACAAGGTTAGACATATCAACATCGTTTTCTCTCTCCCGAAGCCAGTGATCAAGCTCGTCTCGTACAGGCTGCAATCTCTGTCCCACGTTTCGTCCTGATAAGCTCGGTCGCCCAAGAGACATGCTGGATCTGCTAAAGCTACCACTTCGCTCGACATGGACACTGTTCTTTCTTGCCATAACTAGAGAAGCTTCCATACTCTTGCGCTTGTTCTCTTTTGCCTCGATCTCCGCAACCTTCTTGATTGCCAAGCCTGCCAGCTTCAGACGCTGCATGATTACTGAATCTGCGCCTTTTGTGATAACACAGAGCTTCTTGTTGGGAAAGCGAACAACAACAGACATTCTCTTCCGCTTGCTAGAAAACTCGATAACGTCTAGAACTTCGAAGATTTCCTCAACTTGTTCTTCTGGTTCTGTGCTGGGTTGATGCCGAATCTTGATCTTACCCAAGTTGCGATCAACAACTAAATAGCCTAGCTCCTGCGCAGCTCTAACAAGGGCAAGCTCATCTGGAGAAGCAGCCTGAAAATCTGTTGTACCGTCTTCCTGGACCTCGGGCAGACACGTATGGCATAAAGCAATGGAGAGCAGAAAGATCTTTGCCTTCCTGGCAAAGCTAGTGTGCGGCTTGCGCTGAATGTACTGCACCATATCTCTAGTCCGAAGCTGTACATTTTGTTGCCTGCTAGGCCGTGCGGAGGATTTCCATTTTGGTCCAGTGTCATCGTCCTCATGGCATGGCTCATCCTCAGTAGCTACAGAAAACCCGTGCTCCAAGGTTGACGCTCTTCGTTCGTGGGCTAACGACTTTCGTTTTGGCTTTTTGCCTTTATTTCTCTTCTTATGCTTCAATAGGACTTTGCCTTCATCTTTTAGATCGTAGTCATGTAACCACGCCGTACCGGCTACACTTATCTTCCGGAACTTCATCTCGTTATCGGTCAGTGTGCCCGTCTTGTCAGAGAAAACATAGCTGATCTGCCCAAGTTCCTCGTTGATTGTCGACGTTTGAGCCCTGAATGGTGTGTCCGTTTTTTCATCATACATGTCGATGTCGGAGTTCATGAGCAGCATCTGGATTATTTTGATGATCTCCATGCTCACGTAAAGCGACAGCGGGATCAATGTGTTAAACATGATGATGAATGAGATCAAAACCTGGTAGAACGGAACATTGGCATCGATTAGATAAAAAGCATTTCGTTCGTTGTGCTTCCAGATCTGATACGCGATTGTGTTAAACAACGAGAGTGAAACCACAAAGATGACCATGATGATGACAATCTTGTTGACCAAATTTTGCAAGCGTGGTGCTTTGATCCGTGGGTTTTTGTTTGCATTCATGCGGATCTTACACTCCTCACCGCTGTATATGATCATACCGATGGCTTCTGGAGTATTTCGCAGAATACTATTTCGATATATGATCTCGTTGTTAGTAAGTGGTGATGTGACGCCGTCGATAGTTACCCGTCCTTCGAACTTGTAAAGGTCCACGTTTGGGTCCTCTGCCACAAACACGGCGCGACACGCGGCGAGTTGTTCGTCGGTGCTGCAGGATGGCGCAATTGGAGCGGGAGTTTGCTTGCTTTTTAAGTTCGTCTCTCCGTCTAGTGCCATGGTTTCTACATAAGCAATGTTGTTCTCGCTCGCAGATCGAAGGAGGATCATGTCGGCAGGTACTGGATCGTCTCGCTTCAATTTTACAATATCGCCGACTTTCAGGTCATGCCACTTGACTTTGGCCCAATGCAATGGTCCGTTTACTTGTAGCCGGAGATTCGATTCATCTGAAGCCTGCCTTTCGAGAACATCCTCTATTGGCTGATATGCATGGAGGACGAGTGCCTCTCTATTGTTCTCAGCTTTGTCCATTTTGTGTCGCCTCAGATCATCTATGCCCTCTTTTGCTATTGAAATTGTGACAAAGAACATGAGAGGCGCAATCGTTGTGTATGTTCCAGTTGTACTCAGCCCTGGAATCATCTGAAGTATTGAGACACCTAAGAAGTAGAAATTTGCGAGTTTCCTGAATTGGGCAAACAGTTGTCTAGGCACGAAGTCCCATGCAGAATATCTTGTCGACCGGATCCAGTTGCTAGTGTATTCTTTGTTGGTTCGCTCGTCGATCAATGGTTTTGTCCGCGACGCATCTAAGGGAACGTGTCTACCGTCTTTGCTTGGTGGAATCTCTTGAATGCGCAATATCATCTTGCGAAATCTCTGGAGCTTCGGACTGAGCTTTCGCAGAAGGCTGTTGTCTTTCTGCTGCCTCAACCAGTTCTCATAGTGTGGCAGTCCGGCTAGTCCTAAACCATCCTTTCTGTCCCGCTTCAAAGTTTCTGTAGACGGAGGTTCGACGGGCGATATGACGATTGTAGTGTCCGTAGATTTCTTCCCATCTGCAGACGGCCTGACCGTTCTAGGACTTGTTAGCACACCGCTATTCGAACTACCTGCCTCTTGCAGTTCAATCAGCGATTCATCCGCAGCTCCGTCCAGCATGTTACGGTGGAAGATGACTCTTCGCAACGAGTAGCCTCTATTTCGGCCTCCGGGAGAAAGTGGAGTTACGGGTGGCGAGCGCATCCGTGAAGCATTCGTCGCTTGCGCATCGTCTACATTGACGTTTACAGAAATTGGCCGCCGTACTTGTTTTGTAGAAGTTTGTGCGCCGCCCTTCGGAGGTGCTGAGTCCGAGAGGGACCGTTGAAGTTCGACATCTCTTTGAACATCTTCTGAGAAGCGTACAGTCCTGGAAGCATGTTCGTGAGAGCTTGTGCTTGGGTTACGGGCTACGACATCTGTGCCCGAAGTCGTCGACGTCGTCTCTGATGTTTCTCGTGTTCTGCCTAGGTCACCAAATCCGTGATCATGCCATGCGGATGCTGGTGTCGAGACATCTGGCTCATGACCATCTAAATGTTCACGGTTTGAGATGCTTCGCCGCCGGATGTGACCAGATTGTGATTCGCTGTCGTCAGCAGCCATTGAAGTGGCAGGGGAGAGTGCTGGAGGTGGTGTCTAGATGGATGTTTGTCAGTATAGGCGTTCATGAGAACCAAGCTATCGCAATTGAGTCGTCTTGTAGCGTACCTAGAGTCTGACGGAAAACCGGCGATCTGTAGCCTTTGGTCATGCAGCCTAACCGTTTGACACGATTTTCATGCTCATTACTCTTTGACTTCTGGCGCTCAACAGGACACGTCAGACGGTTGTGTAGAGTGATGCGAAGTGCTTTGTTCTTCCAACGGCGCAGCAATGCAAAACAGGCGCAGCCTCAAGACTGGGATTGTACACATTGGCAGGTCTGTTGATTGTAGTCGCTGTGTGACATGAACGCTCATGGCTGCTGCGCACGTCCGTGCAAGGAACAGGCGCTTGGTCGCCCGCCTCTTAGCGTTGTGGCGTTTCCTCAGGCTGGGTGAATGGCCACCGAGCAGCTTGGCGTCGTTCCACCAACGAACCGATCATGAGACGTATATGTTGTTATAATTAGAGTGCTATCGATCAGGCTCCTATCCTACTATCTGCAACTTCATCGCTAAGCTCACCGATTCCATCTGCTACAGCCATCTAGTGGGAAAATCTCCGGCCGATCCAAAACGGTTCCTGTTGTGAAGAGCGCAGAGGATGAAGCAAGATGGTACGGTATAGACAGCGTATCAACCGCGTGCGCAAAAAGGTTTCGTCTCTACCATCTGCCGACAGATCCACCAGCCAGAATCACAGACAGACCCAGAGCCACCATCAATTTGAGTTTGGCCCCATATGTCATCCTTACCGCTGTTGCAGAGTTTGTCACTTGAGCTGACGCTTCACCTTCAAATCCATCACCCGCCGTTGCTGTTGTATTCCCGAGCCCAATCTTCCCGCTTATAGGTGACGCAAGCTGATCAAGAGCAGTCGTAGCAAATGTCTGGGTGTACACAATCGGTACCCATGTGTGGACGCCGTCTGGGAGCTGCTTTTCCCACCAACCAGTGGTAACAGTAGGATACTGAGTCGCTGACATGGTGTGTCCATCAAGATCCACGACCACGTCTCTTAGACCAAGCCTGTAGTTCATTAGCTATAAGTTCTCTATAGCAAAAGAGGAAGCCAACAGTGCCGTCGATGTGATGGTTTGGCAAAATGAAACGCTGTTAGTCGAGTTCATAGCGGTACCCGTAGTCGAATGCATGGCTCGTCAGACTACTTCGAATCGCTTTCTAGACGATTAGATACTTCACACCATACACACTTGGATCTAAAACTTACAAGATCTGCGGTTCGTATTGTTGAGGCGTTTACGACGTATAATTGTGGCCATGAGAAATCTGCATGCCAAAGTGATCTCGTCTGAAGCAAGAGCCAAGCTCGAGTCCAGGTGGGAACTGGCGTCAGGAAAGAACGGTGCATTGCGGATTGATGTAGACTCAAAATCAGACACATAAAAACGACTTGCCGATGCAGTATTTACCTCGTAATCTCTCTGCCTACACCGTGACAACACCTTCGCCCTCACAGGTATCGCATTCTTCAAGAGTTGCACCGGTCCCGCCACATAAATCACAGGTCTGCAACGTTAGAATCTGCTGCGTTCCATGACATAACTTGCATGGGCTTCGGCCTCTGCAGCGACACGTCTCTCGAATTTGTATCTTTCCATCTCCTTCGCAGGCCTCACAATTTACGCTGATCCTACCCTTTCCTTGACACTTGGGACACATCATGGCAGCCATATCCCCCGTAACCTGGAACAAGCCAGAGATGTCGAAGCCAGATTTTCGCAAGTGAAATGGCGTTAACTTATTGGAACGATAAAGTGAAAGATGCATTAGAAGTAGTGTGCATCTCCGCTGAACGTTTAAGAATTTAATTCTCGGCCAGGATTTCGGCCCAAGGCTTCATTTCTACAGGTAATCTTCTGCAAGCGCGCGATTCGGGATCATCTGGTTGGTTTGTCAGCTTCCAGGTGTGCTGTTCCAGCCAGGTAAGAGACATCAATCACAAGGCGAAACGCATTTCCGCACAATACCATGGCATTCCTTCGTGCTTATTTCTCTACAATTTCACATGCGTCAAGCTACTGAACTTGGGATTTTGCAACCCAGGTTATTATCATAGAGTATAAGCAGCCTGAATGTTCACATTTTGGAGCCGTTTGCTTGATGAGCAGAGAGAACGTAAGTTCTTCGCCGTCCCCAGCACCGGTGAAGAACTGGATTACAGGGGTTCGAGAAAGTCGGCACTTTGAGGCGCCACGATTTACAATGATGGTGCAGAAGTTCTCGCTTTAATTGAGCTCTTGGCATTCAACGCTCCGCTCGATATAAGGTGATGCCTATTATCTGTCATGCGAGTGTGCGTGAATAGAATCGCGTACACAGGGATGAAGACTGATGCCCAAAGCCCTGCGTATATCGAGGTGCCTTGGCGGCATCTAATGGTAAGAGCAAATATTCTGCACAAATTGGGCATTTGGGGAGTTTATGAGCATTTTCCTTGTTCCTCTCTTTCTTTCTCTCAGAGACCTTCAGCGAATCTTGCTGGGTTACGAAAGCAGACTGGCAAGATGATTAGAACGTTAGCGGCAATGATTCGAAGATAGAGGAATCGATCAACTTGTAGCACCTAGGAAACACGTGGACAACAATCCTTCACGTTATCCGCCATATTCCCTTCGGAACGCATAGCGACTAAGGCTGTGCGACAGCCGAGACAAGAGTTACCCCCAATCATTGTTCCAACATTCGTAGATACACAACTCCAGCCACATTGAAGTTGGATACGTCACCGGGGAACCGCTGATTGGTTGATCAAACACCGCCAAGCTTACTGTGACGTACAATTTGTGGCTTGTGTGATATTCTAGGGAAGATCTCCATACGAATCAGGTAACCAGCGCAAGAATTCTTGATTTAAAGGTTGTGTGCTACTTGGATTGACGTGAGTCGAGATGTAGAATTTCGAAGAGAAATTATGTACTTAAACAAGCGAAAGGTCGCACTATTAAATGGCACTCATTCATCAATTCAACTTCCACAAAGCAACCCAAGACCAAATTTGAAGACATCCATCATCCTCTTACTACCAAAACAACACAATGGTCACGACAAGACGCACCACACGTCGCAGCGGGGGCGGCATCATGGGCCGTCTGACCGGAAGGGGAAAGACTGTAACTACAACAACCACCACAACAACTACTCGCCGAACACGGCACAACCATGCTGGGGCTCCAGTCCACCACCACAAACGCCATGCCACCTTAGGAGACAAAGTCTCCGGTGCCATGATGAAACTTAGAGGTACATTGACCCGCCGACCTGGCCTAAAGGCTGCCGGGACCCGAAGAATGCACGGTACGGATGGTCGCAATGCCAGGAACTATGTCTAGCTATCGTTCATAACGAGGTTTGGAGGCTTCGGAGGCTTTATTCGAAGAAGGCTCGTAATAGTGCCTATATCACAAGAACATTGAGAGGATCTGTACGATTAGGGATTTTTTATGATATCCAAGCGTTCTGCCAGGGCGCATTGTTGTATGATACGGATAGTTGAACATAACCTTCATGATACCATGACTTGTGCTTGATCTTTGTCGTCCTTTGGTGGACACCTTGCCCCCGTTTCCGGTGACTTTAATCATACCCGCTACCCGACCTTGATGGAAGGGTTCGGTTCGTTCTGGTCGAAGAGACGAGTGTGCCTTCATTTGAGCAGCATTTCTAGCCGTTCAGAAGATGGCTCGATCCTGATTCATGTTTGAGTTTCCGCCTCATTCACCTCTTGCTCTTCTTTTTCTTCTTCCCCCCTCCGCTGCCCAGACCACCCCTTCCCTCCGTTTCCGATGGTTTACTCTTCTCACCAGCCATTTCTGTTGCTGGCGTCTGCACTCCGACTCCCTCTTCTTTTGCATCCGGCATAACTGCATCCTCAGCGAGCTCAGGTAGTGCAGCCATATGTCTCCCTAGTTTTCCCAAACTCGCCATGAGCCGTCCTACTTCCCACCCCCTCGTTGTGGAATATTTAAGCACCACACCGGCCTCTGGGTTGTATGTTCGCACTTCAAGGGTTGCAAGGCGAGTCTGAGCTTCATTTTCTGTCTTGGTGGCATCTTCGTCATCAGCAGGTGCCTTTCGTTTTCGCGATTTCAGTGGTTTTTTAGGGTTTGGGAGGTTGTATTTCGCGGTGATTTTTGTCTGGTAGGTAGTATTAGCACCAGCTCTTCATTGAACAGCTTGAGAAGACACATGCAGTCGTCGGATAAGCTTTAAGCAACAATGCCGACTGTTCAAGCCATTCCTGGCTTGATTTGAATTTGGGCATGGCTTTGTGCGTTTTAATGTGGGGGTTTGCGGTCGCGGTCGCGAAATGAAGAACTTTTCCAGAGCACGAGTCTGGTCAAGAATCAGAGTTCAGAATTATCTCTACCTCGTTCCTTAAGGAGGAGAATATTGGCGGGTTGAGATCTTTTTGGTCGCCAAAGGAGCAGATGTGCGATGGCAAGTACAACATACGAAGAATAGAAAGCTTATTGCGGCAAGTTTTACCGAATGTCCGGGATGTCCAACATTTCACAAAACATACTCTATAGTTATACAAACGGCGCCCTTCGACTTTATTTTGAGTGACCACGTTCCATCAGTCGAACTTTAAGCTTTAATAAATTTCGACTTGCAGGAGTATAGTTTGGGTCGAAGATTTCATTGAAGCTGGTATAAATAACAGTCAATACCGGTAAGCGGTTATGACACGTTCGTCTAGCATGGCACTCATATTATTGCCCCATTTGCAGAAATTAGGCCTGATTTTATGGCTCTTATGAATGGACAGCAAGTACACGAGTTTAGTGGACTGCAAAGTAGAGCTGCGTATTCGGACAGCTTATAACATCGACTTCAAGGCGTGATGTCGCTCACCAAATTGGGAAAGGCACCTGAATCCCCGGAGGAAGTACTGGCTAGATGTCAGTATCTCGTACGCGAGCTCAATATTTTTGCCAATTATTGTGAGCAGAAAAAAAATCATGGAGATTACCGGCAAAAGCCAGAGTACAATCACTTTCGTGGGGACATCGAGCAGGAGATCAAGAGCATGGAGAAGATCACGAGTGATGCAGAGACACCCCCGGAAAGGATAAGCCAGCTCGTGAGCGCGAGTAACCTAACTTATTGGGAAGCATTGTGGAATGCGGCGAAGCAAACAAAGCAAGTTATGGTACTTCGACGCCATGGTTCACCTGTAAGTAATTTGAATATTGTGTTTCCAAGCACTTCGAAAGTAGCATCATTATCACTGTACAAAGATACTAGATAAATGATTCTTGAGTAAACTTTTCATGCATTATGCAAGTGCTGACATGTACCAGATAGACATAATTGCAGAGAATGGGCGGCAGTGGATCAAAGTCTCGACCATCACCGAGAAACGTCTATTGATGGAAATGGCTAAACAAGGCTGGGACTGGCCAGCTTCGGACGAAGACAGCGATGACGATCTCTTCGGCTCTAACTACGCCCGGACTGATGATCATATCGATATCTCATTGGTTAAAATGGCTGTCGCTCTTCGAGACCTTGCAAAACAGAATCGAGTTCGATACAAGCATCCGGAAGTGCATTTCATCTTGACCAGAATTTCGTCTGGAAATGAAAATATTGATATAATACTGAATCATATCCGCGCTACTGGAGCAGTTGTGCATACTGCTGAGCAATTGAAGCTTGCTCCACCTGTTGAAGATGTCTTGGATGACTTGGTGATTGATGAATTTAAGTTCTTCTCGGCTACCATCAACATCGATTGTAAGTAAACTATTAGCATACCTCTGAATCATGCTCCATCATCCTAAATACTTCCCGATAAGTTTCTTAGGAAGTTTAGCACTGATGAACACCTCAGGCACGCTGCTCTTAGCCCTGGTATCGGACATCTCTCATGGTCAAGTCAAGGAAGAGCCTTGGTTCAATCGTAACGTGCGAAACCAAATTCAAATCGAAGAAAAGGAGCAGCTTATGCCAAAATCATTATGGCCAGCCATGAGAGATCATTCATTGGTCTGCACCAAGTTAGCGGCGCAACGCATGCGCGAAATCGTTGACACAATTGGTACTCCGACGGAAAGGGAGAGGGCGCGACTAATAATGGGCGATGATATCAATAAAAGCCCTGAGAAACTGTTAGAAGAGTTCCGTTCACTCTCTGTTCATGATGTACCAAAAGTCTGGAAGCTCCCTGTTAAAATTGTTGACGAGGGCTCCGTAGATCTTGGCAGTCCAACTACGTTTCAAGAAAATGTCATCAGCGAATTATCGGACATCAATCGATCAGTATTTTTATACGGCTGGTTAAGCGGATGCACCACCATAACCTCTAATCGAGTTGCTGCAAAAGCAATTGAGAAGGCTGTAGAGGAGTACCGAACCACAGAAGAGGATGAAGGGCCTGACGTTTGGATCTGTCCTACAGCACGATCGCTCGTTGCTAAAGAGAAAGACAGAAAAGATCCACAGCCTTTGAACGAAGAAAAATGAAAAACTACAAACTATCGTGGCACATTCAACAGAATACTGGAATAGAGTTAGCAACATGCTTGAAGAGGAAGTTGCGCATGGGAGTCTCTATGCAGTCTAACTGCGAGCAATATTATTAGAAAACTTCGTCTAATCTCAAATATGCTGTACCAAATATATCCATACTTGTCGTTTACAGCATTCATGAACGGTATTTCGATGGAGCCACAACTATGGTTAAGGTGACCAAGAACAGACAGGTATCTCCACAAGCTTCCTCACTAATTTATTATATATCGATTTGTTCTACGTTCTCTCCTGACTTCGATACAAATCTTGACCTTGCAGATACGCGACTTATCCGTGCAAGATACACCCAGTTTATCGATTTCGCAGCCTGCAGGGCTATTCAGCGACAGTGCGTCCTTCCATTCAAGTATAACATTTGTCCATGGACAAATAGAGCCCCGAGGCACAATCGTAATTTCTTCATTTAGCTAACCCTAGCTCAGATTGATTAAATTTAATATCGCTGTCATGTACCCAACATATTCAGACTTCAGTATTCACGCAGTCGACGTCGGCTCATGTTATAACTATTTCTATGAGCTATCACAGAGTGTTATTTCAATCTCAAGGGCATTTAATTTAAGTGGTCTCTCCATGAGTCTTAGAAATAAGCCATGCGTGAGGTTTGATCTAACTCCAACGTACATCCCACGACCCGACCCAACCACATACCGTTACAACATCTCGATTGAAGAAAACTTTCCGGGACTTGACTTCAAACAGTCTGTCAAACGGATCAAGCAGCTACTACATAACCCAAGTGTTAACTTTGTTATAACTCGGTGCATCGAATCAATAGAGAAGTCTGTAGGAGAAGACGAAATGGCAATGCGCCGATTGTCACAAGCAAACACTGCAGCATCGAGCGCTCTGATTAATGAATCAGAGAGGACAGCCAGGAGCAGATATTTGAGCGCGATAACCCTTGAGACTAAAGAGTGGTACAGAGCGAGGATAGAGGAGATGGCCGATAAAAGGATCAGAAAATGTCGCTTGGCGCCAATGGTAAGAGTCAAAGAGATCGAGAGGATCGTGCGCGAAGACGACTACGACGAATACGAAGAGTATGAAAATGAGGATGGGACTGGATTCGTGTTAAAGAAGCGGTCGCTTTCAGATAACGAAGAAACTTTGGAAGAATATGAAGAGCGCGTCAAAACCAAGAGTAGCCACACCGTTATGCGTCGAAAAAGGAGATTGCCGAAGCTATGAGGGTACCAAATGTCGGCCAGATTGAGGACAATTGCCGGTCAGCGCCGAGAAAGGATACCGTGAGCTCTCTAGCCAGGAGCTCATGCACGATGCAGGTATGAGAAGTACCCAGAAATGACCCAGAAATTATATACAAGCTTCGATGAAATGCGTCAATGCATTATAGCTTTCCCTCCTTCTGTCTTGCTCTAGGGTATCTTCTCGTCCACAGCATCCTGACGTAATATTCTAGCTTCGATTCTACGCATGACCTTGTTCGTCTGCTCTGCGAGTGATAGTGTCAGGATCTAGCGGCTCACGTTAGTCTTTGCTTGACAAGAGCTTACGTATTGCTTACTGTATGGGGTAATATACGCGCCAGATGGGCAAAGAAGCCCTTGTACACAGCTAGCGGTCCCTCAACTTTTACTGTGCTCTTCAGACAATCCCATGCACTGCTATATAGGTTGCCTGTTTGATTGTACATGCGACTCATTACTGTGTCGGGTGGATGCATGACGCAGCAAACTACAAAGCCACTGACTGTACTACTTGCCAGGTGCAAAGCAGGGCCATCTTCCATACCCAAATGTCTTTGCAGTCGTCTCTTCGCAAAGAAATATGTAGGCAATTGCACACTACTTCCAAAACCTGTCCTCACCATCGCCGGTACAACACCTCTGTAAAGACCCTTCACACCTTCGTTTCGGTAGATGGAAGAGAGTCCATCCCAAGCGCCCCGGTAATTGTGCTGGGTGCCGACTGGTAGGAAAGGGGAATACGACTGTAGGCGAGTCTTGACGAGGAAGAAGGGCGAGCCGGCCATGGCACCTAGGATGCCAGATGAAGCCCCAGAAAAAATGTTTATACCGAATGATTGATGGGAAGGGTCCTTGTACATGACCTTCGTCAGACTGGAGCGGATAGGTTCATAGAAGCCGAGACGGCAGCCGTTGAGCATGATCTGGTAGACATACTATCGATGAAACATTAGCATGTACGCACAAACTGGAGTCATTGGACTGGGCCACACTCACAGCACAGTTTATGCCGCGAAGCAGGCCTCTGAGTCCTTCATTCTTGTAAATGACGCCGACGCCGTGTAGGACACCTCTATAAAGTCGCGGCGCGTCCTTTTTGGACTGCAATTCTCCCTGCAACTGTAGTCTGTCTCTTCAATGAGCGTACATCCAAATCTCTGCTTTCTGCTGTCGCGCACCGAATCTTCACCGTCTCGAAGCCATGAGTGACCGTGACAGCACCGCATGCAGCTATGCCACCAGCGATGAACGCTCTACATCATATATCAGCTCCAGTCGCTCCTTGACACGAATAGCCGGCACTCACCCCAGCGTTGTCGACATCTCCGGGTATTCGTTATCCGGCTTCTCCGCTCCTTGAAAAGAAAATGTAAGTGTCGTAAATGACGAGGATTGAGAACAGGAGAAAGGAAAGATCAGCAATGAGCGAACATTCTGAAGCTATTTTATACAATGTTGAAGCAATTTTGTGTATGTCGCTGAGATAATTTTCCTGATGTCAGCGCCGAACATCGCTGGTGCTGAATCCTGCCTTTCCGTTTTGAGCAGCTTTTAACGAAATTGTGTCGCTCGAGTGAAGTCTATCGCATGGCTTTTAGCTACTGGCAGACCATAACGTTCCGTGAAACCTTTTAGGTTCTTAATAGATCTAAAAGAGCCGAGAAAGGCGAAACGTCATCAAATAGATGCGAGAGGCTAGAAATCCGCGCTTCATGTGAGGAAATCCAAGTGCTTCGTTTGTTATTTCGACGACGCGACATCCGCTATGGCGGTCGATGTGCCCACACAAAAGGTCAGCGAAGTGATCACCACTTTCAGACCCTGCAAAGTGAGTTCTTTGCCAACTTTCTCGTTCGAAAGATCTCTAATTTCATGTGTTTAGCGCTTCCGACCCGATGACAGCAAAACGCACGTGACATCGTTGGACTACGACGACAGCGGCGAGCTCGCCATAATATGTCGATCAGACGACACGCTGCAAATATACAATTGCAGAGAGGGGAAACACGCTAAAGACTTGAAGTCTCAGAAGTATGGCGCACATCTTGCGAGATTTACTCATCAATCTTCAGCTGTTTTGTACGCGAGCACAAAAGTCGACGGTATGTATGTTTCGGATATCCTGAAATGAGGAACTAAGACATTCAAAAGATGGTATCCGGTATCTCTCTACGCACGACAACTCGTATATCCGCTATTTCCGAGGCCACACCGCACCGGTAACCTGCCTTTCTATGTCCCCTTCCGATGATTCATTTGCATCTTGTTCGCTGGACAATACCGTTCGCCTTTGGGACATCAGATCTCCAAACATGCGTGGACAGCTCAACATTACTTCCCCGTACTTTGCGGTATACGATCCTTCAGCAACAGTGCTAGCAATAGCAAGTCCGAACACACATGCAGTACTTCTTTACGACTCCAAGAATTTCGAGAAGCCTCCATTCGCGAATTTCGACTTGCGTGAGATGGAAGAGCGTTTCGCCGGGAACAACGGTTCAGGCATCGGTAGAAACTGGAGCAAAATCGAATTTAGCAATGACGGCAAATCCCTTCTCGTCGCGACAACCGGGGCTGGTCACTTCATCCTAGACGCCTTTGATGGAAGCCTTAAGCATTTTTGCGCACGCAAAGGCGGACGCTCCGAACGTAGGGCACCGGGTGAGACCAATTCCAGTCGTCCTGTTGGCCAGGGTGACGCATGTTTCTCGCCGGACGGAAATTATCTTATTGGAGGCTCCGGGTTGGATGATGGGTTGGTTGCCTGGGATATTTCACAGAGTTCTACAAGTGATCACGTGTTACAGCCGTTCACAGAGATGCCAGTACCGCAACAGGCGCAGGGCAGGGTAGAAATTGTGGGTTACAATCCCAAGCACAATATGCTCACTACCGCGGATAGAGATATCTTGCTCTGGTTACCTGATCCAGAGTTGGCACCCTGAGCAGCCCACTTAAAAGTTGCTTACTCATTGACATGTCTGCTCGAGATTTTAGTTCACTACTTGCCTGAACGAACTGGCCTTGAAACTTGGGGACTATCAAGAACTATTAAATACTCACAGCACGGGAAGAGAAAAGAACGAAACGCTGGAAACTCATATCTGAGCTGAGCACATATCAGAAATGTAAGGGCGACGCGTTTCTCCTGGCAGGAATTGTGAAGATAGGATTGCGATAGCCCAATCGGGTAGATCTCGAGATCAGACTTTGCTTGAGCATTTGCCTTCAGTTACGAATAAGCGTATATGATCTATTGAATTTCATGTATTTGTCGCAGTGCCATGCAGACTCTCGGCCCGTTTCTTTAGATCGCTGACCCAGAGCTTAAATTTTTCCTCCAAGTTCTTCTTGAACATCCATTTCACTGTATATGCCACCGGTCCTGACATGACCTCCCATGTCCTAACTTCGCATTCATTTTCATTCAGCACGATGACTTCATGGAATCGTTCCGTCTGGAGTCCAATCGCTAAGAAACTGCCTTCGCCCTTCCACGCAATTCTATAAACCTTTGAAAGATCCGAGGTGAACGTAGGATCCTGTAGGAGTTCACCCAAGTAGTCCGATTTGGGTGCCTCGGGCGTACTAAGATCAGTAATTCGCAGCTGCGTAGGTGTGTCCTTGGACGGCTTTGAGGTGTCCATCAGAGCATGTAAGATATAACTCGTGTTGAGTACGAGCAATTTCGAGTCCCTGTGTTCACCGTCCGGCTGCGAAAGAATAGTCACTCTGGGACACCATTGATTCCATTCTGGATATTTATCCGTCTCTCGAATGATCGTGAAGACAAGGCTTGCGGGGGCGGAGATGGTGGTGGAGGCTGAGAGGCTAAGAACTCCGCTGGATCGGGGCGTAGTGGGTGTGCAAAGACCCTCCTTTGGGGGCCAGTCCGACGACGACATGGTGCAGGACGTGCTTCGTCACAGTAAGCTTAGGAGCGGCTAGATCAGAAAAGCCAGTGTAGGCATGAAGCTACAGTTAGAACATATGTAATAGATAGGACACTGATTTTGTCTGATTCCAAACTGGCGATTGTTTGTAGGTCGGACGGGATGCATGACGTTTCGATACCACCTGCAGGGGCGGCAGTCCTCGGACTCTGCGATCTCGTTCTATAACCACCGTGAAACAAACTACGCCAAGCCCATGTATGTTAACATAGCTGTGGCTGAAGAGAGCCAGATGATTTCAATCAGCTTGAGAGCATATAGATCGAAGCGCGTAAATATCGTTTCTGGCCTGTGCATAAATCTAGCCAAGTAACAAAACCGTTCATGGTCTCTCTAGTCTGAAGTATGAAAGAGCTGCGCAACGAAGTGAGTTACCACAAGTCATGCAAAATCGCGTAATATTTCTATGCGAAACCTAACGGTTCACTCACACGTCTGGTCCATGAATCTGCAATTCTCACATTGCTCATGCAGATTCACTCAAAACGTGGAACAAATAGCGCAACCTCAATTGCATTTTGTACATCAAAGATTCCTTGTAAAACTCCAGCCACGCCGCGCTCAATCAAGAGTGTAAGAGACTCAGCAACTTATATCAGGTTCTGGCCAGCGTCTTTCTCCCTCCAGCATTGCAGGAACAGAGTTGAGTTCTAGGCTTGGAAACAGCATGAATGCAATTGCGCATGATCCTTATGGAGAAAACATAAATACTTGCTGTGGCTCCGGACGTGACGGCCTTTTTTTTGCTCATATTATTGATATTATTGAACCAGTGCAAAGAGACGGCGTCCGGAGCAAATTTCAGCTTCCGAGGCCGACGCCCCACCGATCCTAATCGCCAAGCCTCCCGACATGGTGCTACCTCAATCAATCTTGTGCATGCGTAACGTTGTTCGTTCAAAAAAGTGCTGCCTAAGACATAAAGATATCTGGATAAACTAATGGCTATGAACTCGGCCCTTTTTTTGTTGTGGATGTAGACGTGGCCTCACATATCACCTCGTATTGTCCTTCATAAGCTCGGCAGTGGTTAGCATATCTTGGAACCCGACCCCACGGGTTTGATTGTTCATTTCGACGTGCGGTTACCATCAAAGATTCTTTAGTTGTTCAGATCATTCGGGCTGCGGCAAGATCCAGTAGCGATCGAAAGATCGGTGTCAACCGGCCAACGGTATGGACGCGACTCCAGGCGGAACAGCCAAGTAAGTTGAACCCCGTGTTCCCGAAGCTTACAGACTGGCTAGTTTCCTTACCAGCCATCATAGAAAGTTAAAGGCGTGCACCAATTGCACAAATGCAAAGACAAAATGCACGCCTTATGGAAATTTGAACAACCTGTGTGAACGATGCCATCGATTGGGCAAGGCTTGTCACTACGCCGAAGCCACCGTTCGACCAAAGAAGAACCGATTGTCATCAAGAAAGCAGCTTGAGGAAAAAGTGGACAGCTTGGTGAACCTGCTTTCCACCATTCGAAACAACTCGCCATCCGGCAATATTGACTCATCTGTCCCTGGTGGCAGGTCCTCTGCCGTTCCGATTCGGAGTTCATCATCTTTCAAAGGATCACCTGGAACAGATTCTGCGCTTGGCTCATCGCATGTAGACACACCAAATGTGTCTCCCGAAAATCCGCCCGCAGATGTTCTCGAATCAATTCCGATCGAGATACAGAATCATAGATTCTCACTTTATTGCCGAGAATATGTGCAAGCCTTCCCCTTCGTCACTTTTGCACCGTCAGAGACAGTGTCGACAATGCAGATTAACCGCCCTTTGACATTGAAGTCTCTCATTGCTGTCACCTTACATGAAGACATGAACCTTCAACGAAAAGCAATTCACGAGATGAATGCCATGATTAAGAAAGCCATGATGTCGAGGGCGACGTATAGCTTCGACCTACTCCAAGCGATCCTAATCCAGATTGCCTTTTATCATTTGCAGTTTCGGAGTCACACTCAGGAGCTGTTATTGTTCCTCAATTTTGCTATTACTCTTGCACATGAAGTCGGCATCGACAAGAGTCCCAGCGACAGAAGACTTGGTATGACCGCACATGCCCTGACCACCGCGCCTATGGAAGGAGTGAAGTACGAACAATGGCGTGCGTTACTTGGTGTGTATTACGAAGCGGCAATGTAGGTTAATTGCTGGCAATAGCTTATCTTTTACGGTTTCATGCTAACCTCTAATAGTTTCGCCCAAGCATTCCGTAAGCCGCGATTAATGCAATATACCAAGTATATGGAGCAATGCCGCCGAAGATTACTTGATGCACTCGAAATGCAAACCGACTATTCGATAGATGTCTTGATAGGTTTGCAGAATATTTGCTTAGATGCACTCGACGTCTTTACCCTTTACGATTTTGAGAATCCGGAAATAAGCGGTGACCTTGCCATCAAAACGATAATTCACGGTATGATGGAAAGACTACGGGCTATCGAAGAGAAAGCCCAAAAGGATCGAAACTCTTCGTTACTCCGTAAGTTTTGAACCAATAGGATTGGTCACTAGTTTCTAATACCGTCAAAGCTCACGAAGTTCGACTGCTCATGTACGCTCGAACTTATGTTCACGAAGTCGCTGTTCACAAGGATTTCTGGCAAGTGCCATCGGAACTAAATGGGTCTGCTATATCGACTATACGGACCCAACTGGGCTGGAAGGGCCTTGCGCTGGCGAAAGAGCTCGCCACGTATTATGCCAATTTACCTTCCGCGGAGTGGCTGAAGCTGGACACGGGGCCATGTACTCAAATGTTGTATTCTCTTATTATGCTCAACAAGTACGTTTCACTGGACAGTGCAGATACTGCACCAAACTCAGCCAATCACTGGGACGTCCAACTGGCTTTTAGAGAAGCAGAATTACACAAGCTCGGCACTAGGATTATCGAGCAACTGTCCGCACTAGTTGTGACAGACAAGCTCTACGACGACAGTCGACCGATATGGTGGGCACTTGGCTGGATAATCAAAAATATGGTCTACGGTCACCAGCAACGGATATGTGCTGGACAGCTGTCGTTTCAGCGACCATCCAAAGACGAGCCACTTACGACGATCAGGACCCCTGTCTTACAAGAGACTCCAGCTGAAGATCAGCCTACGCCTGATATCCCGAGGGACGATAAACCGCCAGAAATTCCTTTTGCAACATCATTTCCAGATGTCACATTTGACAATTCAGTTATGTGGGCAGAAGGGTTTCAAACTGCCATGTGGGACACGATGATGAACGACATGACCACCCTGCCATTCGGCTAGATCTTATTGCAAGGAACATCATATCTTTTCCTTTTCTTTTTTTTTGGTTTATGGAGCCATTTTGTATCGAATATGTATTATACATAGTTTTTAAGTAAAGGCAGATCCTACTTCGAGCCTTATGCAAAAAGAGCTGGCAACCCATAGGGCGGCTGCTATGTGTTCTATATTATCATTACATTCTAGCAATGTTGGAACTAGCCTAGGTGTGGGTATAAAGGCAGCTCGGCTCATTCGAAAGATTCTCGTACAAGATCATTGATGAAGTCAATAAACTTAGTGCGAACGCTGTCCACAAATTTTCGCTCTTCACTCTCATCGCCCACCCCTAACGCGCCAATCTGCCACGAAATCACGCAGACGAGGTCCTGACCTTTCCTTGCCACAACATTGAAGCATAGTGCCCCACCTGTGACATTGGCAGGCTGGGCGAATACCATGTTACCTAGGGACCATCTCGCTCCGTCCGTTGACCTCGCTTCTGGGTCAGGGTCGAACGCCAGAAGGTTACTGACCTCATACGAAGTGTCTCGTTTTCCCCCGATATGGCCGGCCGTCCAAGAGCGCATGCTTGGAAGAAACCTTAGCAAGCCTATGGATTGGTCGTTTCGTCGAGACGAACATTCATGGAGCCTGACGTTCATTTCGCGCGCCAAGGCCCAAGTTGTGCTCGGGTCCGTCGTCCTGCGATGGGTGTCGAAAAACCCACTCACGTAAAGACCCATGCTGTCGTTGGAGACTCCAACGTGGTGACGCATGTTGATGGCCGTACCCGACGTGAATGTGTCGATTCCGTTATCTGATCGCATGGAAGCACTCAAAGCGCGGACGACAACTTGATGCAGAAGGCTCGTGAGCTTCGTTTCGTGTTTTCGACACCTGTTGAGCAGATGTGACAATGTTGTGCCGTCGATCCGCACAATCTTGACACCCGAGCGATGATTCTCGCTGAGGAAAACCTTGTCACTTCCGAGCCAGGTCGACTGCGAAATCGTGCTCACTGCAGCACGGAGCCCAAACAACTTCCCGAAGTGCTTCGGTAGATATGCCCCAAGGGCTGGGGCAAGGAGGTACGACATTGAAATAGGCAGGTTCTTCTTCGTGTCAAAAGGGGCCGGCATAGCACCTTTGGCGGGTTTGTGGTACATTGCTGCTGTCGGGTCCCGTAGACCAGCTAGAAAACTCTTGTGGAATGCCAGGCCGGATAAGCCATCCCCCAGTGCATGGGAGTAAGCAAAAGCAACGAAGCAGCGGGATGGACGCCCCTCATCTGTCATTTTAAGAGGCAGAACAACAATCTTCCAAGGGGGTCTATCTCGTGCTATTTTGGCGTCCAAAATAGTGGGTGAAGCTGCTTCAACGGCAACCAGGTCTGCAAGATCGTCCACAGTCGGTAGGATATCTATGTGCATTGACAGATCGGAGACGGAGCACGACGAGTAGTACGGCTTCTCGGTCTCAGGTCTCTCTACAACTACGCTGAGAGGAGGGTGGTCCTTTAGGCATCTCCGCAAGCCAGGAAGAAAAGTTGTTGCCAAGGTCAAATCTTGAGTCGTCTCGTGTGCATGGTAGATTCCGCCAACGTAGAGGGTACGATAATAACCCAGATCTTCTCGAGTAATAACCCGACGTTCGTTTGGGCCTCCACATTCTTAGATCATGGGCATTCTTGTCATTTGGCAAGGAGAGACATACTCGCATAACGAATGGTCTTATTTTGCTTGCCCATTGATGATTGTTTTACCATGTGCGTGGTAGGACGCTGAGTTGATTAAAAACTCTCGGAAACGTCCGTGTGGTCCCAAAAAAGAGCAATTTACATTATTCTGTATGGTTCTGAGCTGTACATCTTCAAAATAGACTGTAGGTTATGCAGAATTGACGACGTTGTACCTCTGTAGAAGTGAATGAAATAAAGGGGATGAAGCTCTAGCCATATTTGGAACACGCTCCGAGGAGGCCGAATCTTGGACGACTCCTCACAAGCTACTGCTATAGATTCATCCGACTTGGAGCCTAGCTTAAATCATCCACCTTCAAGAAGTGCGTAAAGACCTGAAATTTTTAATCAAGTGCCATGAAAAGAGTGGGGTTGATTTCTCGACACTATCCAGCAAGCCTCTCAACGACCAAGGTGTTGTGGACGCTGAAGTTTCTGGCCCACCTCACGTGATTGTTGGTGAGCACAATGTCACAGTTTCTGTCTTTGTCGAAACCGTGACGGTCTCACTACATAGCCTCACCGGCCCTGGGGCTAACGGAATGATATTCAGCTCGCAGCCTTTGCAATCAACGTAGCTCGTTAGTGTGGCGAGCACGTCGTATACTGTGCAGGGTGATGTGATGTCCGGCTTGGCATTTTCTATCAGCGCAGTGGTACAAGTTGCAGTTCCTGAGGCTTCAGCCTGTGATCGACGGTGATGGCTGTAGCATTCTGTTAGCGGCCAACCACTGGAATGCTTTTCACATCACGTCTGGTGCAACCTACCCTGGTGAGTAAGCTGAAGTAGCCGAAGCCATGCCGAAGAGAACAAGAGCGGTGGGCAGTTTCATATTTCTCAAACGTATCAGGCTGAGTGGCGGATTGATATCAAAGCGATTTCCGGTCGCGTTGTAGGTTCAGGACGTCAGCATTTGGATTGGATCAGGTCATTTGAAATATCACGAGACGTAGGGCTTTCGGCATACGCACGGTTGCAGTGCAACGGAAGGAGCATTGCGCAGCAAAAAGCTTTCAGCAGAGATCATTAGCACGTCACGGCTAAATTAATCTTATTTGCCGACCGTTACGCAGAGGAACAGCTTTAACCTTGCCGTTGCGCCGGTAACTAGCAAGTTCCTGATGCTGTATACACTTTGCATCAGGCTGACGAATCAAATTCCACCGCAAGGGCGCAACTCGAGCGATTTCTGAAACCAGTCAATAGCTTCCAGCGGTAGAAAATAAAATCGATGGGGTATTGCGTGTAACACATGCATCTAGAGAGTGGAGTCATCGTAAAATACGGGCCTTAATTCAGTTTTGATCTTCGCTACCAACATCGTTCTCCGAAGACCGCTGTGTCAGCCGGTCAAGCTGTAATTTCAACACATGCATCGCGCTCTGGAGACCCTTTTGGAGCAATGGTGTTTTCGCCTCCTCTATTTGTAATTCGAGCGCGTCAATCTTCGTTCGTAACTCCTCGACGTGTCTTTCATCCGCCGCCGTGTCCGAAACGTCCGGAGCTTGTGTCTCGACCACCGTAATCTCCATCCCGTCACCCCAGTATCTCGCGAAGGCTTCCGCCATGTTCGCGTCCTTGATCGCGAAGACAATTTCTTTGATGGAGCCCAAGCTGGCAGACTGGGTGGTCTCCGTCGTACTACATGATCTTGTCCCAAGCAAGGCCTTCTTCCAAGCAGCACATATCTCGCTTACTGGATTGCCATACGCCCCACAACCCCAGGCCCCGAGCACAACGTACTCTGTCTTATGGGACTTAAAAACTTGTAGTACCGTCCTCATTTTTTCAAGCGCCAAGTCTCGATCTTTCTGGCTCGCGTACATCTTCTCAACTGCAGCCGTGTCACAATCAGAAACGTCGTCATCACTATCTCTACTAGCTTCCCTCACCATGGATCGCTTGATGGTGTCTGGGAACCTTGTCATGGCAGCTGAAACGACGTCGACATAAAACCTGTCAGCTTTGGAAAGGTCTTCCTCATCCTTTGTCCGCGGCAGTCGAAAAACAAGGACGTCAGGGGACCAGATGCCTCCGACTTCAGGGAGACGATACCACTCTTCTCTCAAAGAGGGTAAGAGAGTCGTGCGAGCGCAAATCGATTCTTCCTGCGAGGTGGCACCGTTCAGAACACCACCACCGGGTCGCAGCGGTGAGGCCATGTTCAGGATTCCCACGTTCCGCCTCGAGCGCTTAGCTTGGTGTAGACAGTAAGCAGCAGTCAGGGTATCCGTGACTTGCACACTAATCTTGAAAGGCACCGACTCAGTCTTTGACAGGTCTTGGCTGCGCCTGGGCTGTTCCTGGTTCACGTTCATGTCCACTGACTGGAGAGTCTTGCCCCTGCCCGGCTGCTGAGCTTTCACATTTGTCTTATTGGGGCCAATATGGCTCGCTGCTTCGATTCCCATCTTCGCATTCGTGAACAAGTACGCATTTTCTATCCCTGCCCGAGCTCTTGCATCGGATGCAAGAATCTGCGGGATGATTTTGTTGATGGTCGTGCGTGCGGTCTTTGCTCTTTGGTCCTTCCGGAAGCCCTGCTGGGCCATGGGGGCATGCGACGGTTTAGTTCTACCCATAGTAACATGCTTTGCGCTCGTGGCGTCTGCATCAAGTCATGTTGAACTTCACTACTGCTGTGAAAGCTGGAGGATGTTTTGGTTGCACTAAAGAACGGAAATTTAGAACTACAACCTGTACGTCGAGCACATGAAGCTGATAGCAGTGGCCGTTAAGTGAAAAATAGCAGCAAGGCGACGAAGAAATTGTTGACGAAGATTCGAGACAACGATTATAGTTGACAATCATGCAACGGTTTCTGATGAGTTGTGGATGTGTCTAATTTAGGATTAGCGCGATTTATGAGGGTCACCTTGACTACTGAGATACAGAACAGTGTCGTACGATTTTGTCACGATGGGCGTACAAACCGTCAGGAATGTTACGACAAATACATGATCACTGCGTGCTGGCAAGCAATTCTGAGGATGAACGCCTGTCATCATAATCCAGAGCTTCTCTTGCTCCTATCCTTCGGGGTCTAAATATGCAACATTTCCACTGAGAGAACAGCGGATAGGAGACTGCCAGATATGGGGTGACATGATTGCACCTCTGCGGGCGAAGTCCGTGCATGAAACTGCAGGAGCAAGACTTGCTTATCGCTGGAGCGAAAGCCCGGCGGGCAAGCAAAATGCCATTGACATCGTTCGTCTGCCGGTCGAAACCACAATCCTGATCGGACCCTAGTTCCTAATAGATTATCTTGCAGGGTTCTCGCAGCAGCTGACGTAGGGTCTGGCGAGTGAACGAGCGTTACGGTTCACCGTGTCTGCCGCATAGAAACGCTAAGATCCTTGAAACTGCATCGTCGTGGATGGAAAATCCAGCTCTCCGTCATGAATGTGTGAGGTGCGCTAATGACGCCGAGCAAAGCTTGGTTGAGCTTAAATTGCGAGTGCTCCCCTCCCTTTGCACTTCCGCCTGCAAAGTTGCTCAACTATCTACACTCTTGAAACCTACGCGAGAAGCACCGATCCTAATTACTTGATCTCTCCAAGAAGAGTCCAACTTTCAAGGTATGTCTTGTCTCGAATGCACTGCAGGTGCAAGTGGTACAGAGGGCTTGGCATTAACCGAAGCAGCAGCAAGTATGCCTGGCAGCACTACATCCTCTGTTTCCATTGTGAAGCCTAAGCCCCTCGACCACCCTTGCGGCGAGTCTTGTGAGTGCTGCGGTATTGGCGAGAGCTGCGGTTGCGTTGTGATGTGAGCGTATCACAACGGGGTGAAGACGGTGGAATCACGTGGGAGTAATCAGCACGGGCCTGCGTTTAACCCGGCTACACTTTCGCGCGAAGGATAGTTTTTGGAGACGCAGGTGTCAACGATCTTGGAAGATTGCTCTTGACGCGACACCTATGACGAACACTTTCCACGTATCATTTGAGATGGGTTGTGAATGGCTGTAATGCCCCATTGTGTCGTGTAGAGAGTCAGATATTACACAATACAGAGTGGGCGTCTGTCACTTCTTGCTACTTGGTTTTTGGCACTGTTTCGAAGTTCCCTCATTGCCTCTTCAGTTTCGTGCAAGCACTTACACAGGTGGACGAATTCGACATGAGACTATAATTGGAGTATGTTCGATGCGAGTAGTCCTTTGCTCACCGCAACTCTACCAACGACACGCCCCTTTCAGGAACTGCACACAAGGGAGGTATTTCATCAGCATGGTGTGCATCAGCATAGTGTCAAACAATGGAAAAGTACAAAGTCCAGCTTTTTGCCACTTCACAAGGAGAAGCCCGTTCTCCAGGCACAGATATTTCCTCCGCAAAGAATAGAACTATCCATCCTCAATGCCAAGGCGGGGAGTTGGTGGATACCGAAGGGAGAGCCGAAGGATGACCACATAGGATTCCCCATCCAGCTAGCAGGAGGACATGACCACTTCTAGTCGCGATAGCTGCGCCACGAACACGTCCAGGTTGAAGCGCTTGGCATCACGGGAACGTCGCATGGATCAGAATTTTACAGGCACAAGTCCACATGCGCGTCGTACCTGTTTTTCGCGCCGAAGGATGGGCACGGAAACATGCGCCCACATGCTACCCACGGCAAAGGCCCAAGCCGCCATTGCGTTCGATTGTTCCGTCTTCCTTGGTTTCGGACAGTTGTGCATGAAGCCACCGCAGAGACGGCCGCCCCGGTCCAGACCAATGGTCATGGCGATCGACAAGTCGCATTGGGCAGCGCTCAGACCACGTGGAGACGAAAAGGGTTGGCGATCAAGCCCATGATGTAATTATGGAGTAAGGTAGATCGAGCATCGGCCAAACTTTCAATGCTTCTCGCGTCATCGCAATTATTCTCCGCGCTTGCGTCGACTTAGCAGGATGCCCAAAAGGTGATCGCGTCGGCTGATTTCAGCCAGAACCAGGAGCAGTGAACCGCATTTGCGACTCGTAATTTGTCGTGTGAAGACATAGACTCGGTGCAAGACAATGCTAGCCGGACGCTATGGGTGGACTTGCGGTGCTGTATGTGTATGTGTTTGTGTATGTGCGTGCGTGTTGCTCAAGTGGCGCCCGCTAGGTGTTTGCCTTTACGGCAGGCGTCGCCGACTTCCTCTCCTTCGACGTCACTGCTACGAGATCGTCCCTTCCAATTTCGGTGACGCGTGTGTAACCTGCAACTCGCCGCGACCATGAGCTCATAAACCTTTCTTGAATCCCCTTCTGCTTCGCTCTGACAATCATACCCATAAACCCCCGTTTTCCTCCTTCCAGTTCGATCGTACAGCTATCTAATTACCTCCAGTGCCAAAATTGCTCGGCCGTCACACGACGACCCTTTCATAATCCATTGATACCCCATTGTAAAGCCCCCTTGTTTATTTTACGCGATACCCCCAACCATAAATTGTAATCATGACGAGCAAGGCGGTCAACGTTCCTGTGAACGAGAAGCTGAAGGAGCAAGATGTCAACAACAAGCTCCAGCTTTATGGCATCTACTCTGCCTTTGCCAATGGAAAGGTTCCTTCGGTAAGTCGCCTTCGTGTCCCGTGGACGAGTGCTGCTACCACGAGACCGGCTCGATTTCCGCCAGTTTAGCCGTCCCCATCGGCTGGCACACGCAATCCTCACTGCGCAGACAAACTAACGACGGATCCAGAATCAACAAATCGATGTTGCGTTGAACAGTTTCCTGGCATCGAAAGCCTTATCGAAGCCATCAGACAAGTTGTCTGAGGAAGGCAAACAACTGGTTGCCGACTTCCGCGACGTCGTTGAGAAAGCTAAAATTCTTCTCTTGACCAAGAACGAGGGCAATCTTTTGCAAGACTTCATTTGGCAAACGCAACAGATTAGTGGCGGCGACGCTACTAAACCAAACGCTCCTATTGATAAAGCTACTGCGAAACAACATGGTAACGAAGCTCTTGAGGGTCTAAGAACACTTGGAACCCTGATTATTTCCAATGGCCAATTTCGCAAGCTTCTCAACGATGCCACCATTCTCTTGCGCTCAATTGCCGGTGACGCGGCCACAAAGACCGCAAGTAAGGTCCATCCTGGCGAAGAGCGCTTGAACCAGATCGACGAACCTGCGCCGGACAATACGTGGCACGACGTCCCCGACCTCACGCCAGCAAATTTGAAGAAGCAGGCTAAAGCCATATATGACGAGAGAAAGCCCTTTAGTTCGAAACAGGTAGAGGAAGCCGCTCGAGAAGCCTCCGCTGCAGCTCATCCCGATGGATCTACCGACCCAGCAGGCACTGCCCAGCTCGCTGCTCGTGACCAGCAGCAGGGCACTTCCAGTGGTGTGGATGCCGTCGCGGGTGCCAACGCTGCGTTTGACAAGCTGCGTACCGAAGCATCGAATAATGTTTCCGAAGACACTAAGGACCAGGCTCGGAATTATAAGGCTCGCACACAGAATTATCTCCAGAGCAAGATGCCCAAGGAGAGACGCGAACAGACCATTTGGCGTTTGAAGAAGATGGTCGTTGAAATCCAGGGTCATCAAGACTGTATGTATGCGCCAAATTATGTCTATTGTATGAAAACTCACAGCTCTTAGATCAACGCGCTATCGACACCCTTCTTCGCCTCGCCGAAGAGTATGGTGGTCATTCCAAGACCATTGCAGCTCAAGGCTCAGGCGCAATCAAAGGTGCCCACACCGATGATAGTTTGCAACTTGCTGAGGCTGATCTTAAGGTGAACACAGATTTTGTAAACCGCAATAAACAAACGCTGACGTGCATCAAGACTCTGATCGAACGCTTCGCAAATGGAACATCATCCGACGACCTTTTCGATGCGATTAATCAAATCTATCGCGATGCTGACCAAGATTCAGAACTCAAAGGTTGGTTCAAGAAGATGGATGCCTACATTCGTAGAGTTCTGAAGGAGCCGGGTTACATTATGCAAGACGCCTCTACCAACGACTGGAATGCTCTGTACGATCAGGGCCAATTCCTTCTCCGTGACAAGTATCGTGCGCATACCGACCGTGTGCTTGACGAGATCAAATTCTTCGCAAATGAATTCGACAATGACCCTCAAAACAAAGCATTCGCGGCGTCGATGAATAAACTGTTCAATGATCTCGGCCAGGACAAGAATGGCAAACCAACATTCAAGCCACACCTCGTCAAGGACATCACCGATGTCATCCTGCCAGCTGCCTTTGAGCATATTCGTTACGTTCCAATCCCAAGAATCGAGGTATCTGATCCTATGGTTGACGCAGTTATCGAAAATCTAGTCATTGAGAGCGACAATCTTGCTCCGAACGTTCTCGAGTTTGGCAGCGACAACTACTGGCGTTGGGGTCGCAAGAAGATTGCCAGCAAAAATAAGAACAAGGTCATGCTGTCCGTCTCAGGTGTACAGCTTGATCTTCGTGACGTTGCATTTTACGTCAAGAAGAAGCAAGGCTTTCCATCGATCAGCGACATAGGTGTTGCTGACATTTTCATGGGCGGAGAAGGTTTGAGCTTTAAAATCAAGGCTGAGACTGCCGATGCAAAGGACCGCCAGAACTTCTTCAAGATTGAGAAGGTTGATGTTGACATCAAGAACGTCAATATCAAGCTCAAGAAGTCTAAGCATAAGATCTTGTTCGCCCTCGCTAAACCTATTGTTCTCAAGGCCCTTCGACCTGCGCTCCAGAAGGCTATCGAGAAGCAGATTAAGGACGCTGCACACAAACTTGACGGTCTCCTCTATAACATCAAGTTGGAAGCTGAGAAGGCACAGGCAGATTTCGAAGCGGATCCAACACCAGAGAATGCTCAGAATATGTGGCAGCGATATGTAACTGCTGCAAACAAGCAACTGATGCAGGGTAAGGAGAAGAAGGCTCAATTGGAGCAACGTGCCAAGCAGACCAAGGTCAATGCTGCGGTTACGAAGCATGATTCTATTTTCCCAAATATCAGCTTGCCAGGCGGTATTTCTACCAAGGCAACAGAATACAAGGAACTGGCACGCAAAGGAGACAAATGGGAATCGCCAGTCTTTAGCATCGGTTCTGCAAAAGAAACCACGAATCTACCACCTGCGCCGAAAATTATCCGCAAGCCTCACGCCACGGCAGGATCTACGACCACTGTGAGCACACAGGGGTTCAGCAACCAGGTTGACCAGGCATTCGGCAAGACCAATGGTGTAACCAACGGCAATACCATGCTCGGCGCCCAGAATCCAGTGCTGAACGGTTCTGCTTAAATTTCGTCATACTTCGTCTCAATGCCAAAAAAAACCATACTGCACATACAGCAGTTACTCAGGCCGGAACAGAAACAGATTGGACCTTGAAACTGTAGAAGGGAAAATTACTTGATGGATGATGAGGGGAATACACAAGCGAGAGATGTTTTATTTTGTGATACCACTAAGTGCGATCGCTGGAGCCTTTTCGTGCTTGGACCTTGTCGTATCCGGAAGTAATGCGTTGGAAAAGCGTCGACCATGAACGATTGCTTGTTGGGTGGGCACGGATATAACGACGGTCAAGTTTATTGTGTGAAAATTGGTAACAAAGGCAATCGCATGTGTTGCTAAGACGGGTTTCCTTTGTGCATCCTGTAATGTAGCTATAACAAAAATCGAATATGTAGAATCGCTTAACGTTCAGGTGTCTCAAATCGAATCCTACGGCATCAACCTTCGACAAGAAGATACTTTTCATGTGTTGCTGTTGATAATGCTCTTCGTCTCCCTGTTGTCTACAGATCTTTGCCTGGTAGGTTTGATGCAATCTGTCAACTGACTCGTGCACGATGTTACAAACACCACATGGGGTAACGCGCTCGGCAATACAACGTCGTAGATAGCTGGTCAAAGCAGGCGTGAGCCGGGGAGGTGGATTGGGTGTAGATTTCGCATGACGGCATTTCAGCCTACAAAATCGTGATGGCAGATGTTGAGGAAAAAGCTCATTCCCACACACTCTCCTGGTGAAGAAAGCAACACCGGAAGCTGAGAGCATCCCAACCATTTCACTAAATGCCGCAAAGGACAGATCTTGATTTTCATTAGGCTTCACAATTTTGATTCGCGCAGCGAGAATCCACGCCTCGAAAATTCGCGCCGAGGCGCACAGAGTGCACGGTAACATCTGAAGATAGAACTAGGTTGAAGCAAGGACGGGTGGAGCACCTCCCACAAAGAAGATCTTGTACAAACGCTCGACACAGCAAACACAAAACGTGTTTGCACCTATCGCGAGGCAAGCGTGTTTTAGCATGGCATTTTATGAACCAGCATTCTCGTCTCCGAGGAGGTCGTCTGGGAAACGCTGAATCTGCCATGTGCCAACTCATGGTGTGGTCTCTTGTGTAATCACCCCTTCTGAACCTTGTGCAAATCATCGTCACGACGCCAATCAACCTCTAACATCAAGCCGGATCCTAAGCCATGATCGCGTACCGAGGCAAGGCATTTCTCTTGAAGAAATTTCTTTCCCCTTTCCTCAAGTCGAAGGTGCCCTGTCTGACTGACGTCGTTTGGCAGCGGATCAAAAGCTTGTCCGTAACCGAATCTGCGTTGAGGCTGCAAGTCTTGCTTCTGAGAGCGCTCAACTGCAGTTCTGATTTCCTTGTTTCTGACCCGTGGCGAAAGCACGAGAAAGACGACGCTGTCGCGTGGGCGAACGTATATCTCAATCCAGTGCTATTTATACCGCCTTGGTATTACGTGCCACCTTTGAGGACAAACTCCAGCTCGGCCCTTATATCCACGCTGCCGCTCTTCTTGTTGACCAGCGTTGGTCACGCGACACCATGATGCGCTCTCTATTCACCTCGATGGTCGTGACATGTGCTGCCGCAACAGCCAACTTGGAACCCGCCGCTCAGCCAGCGGCTGTACACGAGTTCGAGCGTCGTTACACTGACGCCCAAATACACAACACCTCAAGCAGCACGGCCTGCGCGAAAGTGCATGTTATAGTCGATCGCGCAACCGGTGAACCGCCAAGTCAGGGTGTCATTGGCACTCTGGCTACAATTATCGCGACGCGGATACCAGGCACGACAGTGGAATGGGTCGACTACCCCGCCGTACTCGTTCCGTACGACCAGAGCACGAACACAGGCATAACGATGACCAAGGATTCGATCACAAGCTACGCAGACAAGTGTCCGAACGCCAAAATTGTGATGCTGGGCTACTCGCAGGGTGCACAGGTCGTCGGCGACGTTCTGTGCGGGGGCGGCGGCGCTTTAGGTCTAGGACCTTATACCGATCCTCTTGAGGAAAACTACGTGAAAAGGATTGCTGCGGCCGTGCAGATGGGCGATCCAAGATTCGTGCCGGGCATGCCATGGGATAGGGGAACCGCCGTGACAGGAGGCGTAAGTTCGATTCTTCCTTGGCCTTGTCATTTTTGACTCGCCATTAACAATGTCCTTGTTAGATCTTCCCAAGACAGCCAAATCAAACTTGTGAAAGGGTCGCCTCCATATTGGTTTCGTATTGCGACGCCAATGATCCCTTCTGCGCTGTCCCCGGCTTCGATTACAACGTACACGCTACCTACGATATCCGATACAACGAGGACGCATTCAACTTCGTGGAAGGCAAGATCAAGTACGTCACCTGCTGACCCATGCTTTTGGCGCTCTACTAACGATTGGGCAGTGGCAGTACAACGGGAAAGAAGGGAGACAGTACACGACAGTCGCCGCGCTCAAGTGCGTCGTTACTGGCTCTAGCTATGCTTTTCGTATTTTCGTCAGTCTTATGAAAACAGTAAGACGAGGAGAATGTTTTGTGGGCCTTTCCCTTTTGCCATGGTTACAGGCATCCTTCCGTATACGATGGCTATGACATGATATTATCCTCTTGTAATAAACTCTCTCTGGGCTGCATTGATTGGGATGGATGATCTGGCCTGGTTTTGAATGGATCGTTGGACTTGCACTGTTGCATTGATGATTTCGACCTCTGGCCGAATGTATGAATCGTGTTCGTAAGCGCAGATTTCATAGCAGACGCATGGGATGATCCAATATGACTTATGTGACTTTAGCAGCTGCAGTTACTTTAATCGAACTTGCTTTTGAGGTTCGAGGCGTTGGCATTACGAGCTGAAAGTTTTTCTTTTCCGTCCACATCTCTAAACGTACACGCAATACTTCAGCGCTTGTCGTGCACGCATTGCGCCAAATATTGAACGCAAGAGACCATGCTTGTGGTGGCTGAGTAGCAAGTCTGCATGGAGGTTTCACCGTCGTGGAGGCTGTATTTCCGACGACAATTCAAAGCCGTGGTGGCGCTTCGTTCTAGACCATCGCGGTCGCCGTGTTGTGGCACGATCAATGCGGGTCACCCCTCACTGACGCCATGTGTGGCAGTGCTTTTTTGCTTCAAATAACCAAGCTTTTCGCTATGCCCCACCTCTGATCCGTCTCGATACCTCTTACAGACGTGCGCGATCTTTACAGCTGAAGATCCCTGGTACTACTCTCGATTCAGGCGAGCTAGCAAGAAAAAACGCGCAAGCTATCTACCCGACAACCGCCTGAAATGCAAGCCATGGCGAATGAGATCGAGTGTCCGGTACATGATGTTATTTCCACGTGTGGCAGCTAAGGTATCTGGACGGCGGAATTGGGCTTCTGTGACGACAAGGCTTTTGAAGCGATCCACTAAGACTATAGTATCAGCGGGAAGGAGGGGCACTCCAGAAACAAAGCAGGTTTCTACCTAGCTACCAGCCGAGTGATAGTTTGAAGGAGGGGTAGAGCGTTGGTACAGGAGAGTCGAACGTATAAAAGACCCAAATCTTTTCCACCTCGAGACTCTCGACACATCCGTTCCGACCCAGTTTTCCATCCAAACTCGCTTCACCCTCTTGAGTTTCCAACTTTTTGTCAGCTGTCTTTAATCCACCATCCAGCCATCATGTCTGACTTCCTCGACCGTGCGAAGGAGAAGGTGAAGGACAAGTTCGGCGGCGGCAGCGGAAACGACGACAGCAGCTACGACAACACGGGAAATGACTCGTACGGGTCATCTGGCCAGTCTGGCAGCGACAGCTACGGATCGTCGGGAGGTATGGGACGTGGCGGCAACGATAGCTATGGTTCCGACAACTATGGCTCTTCGGGAGGTATGAAAGGTAGCGGCAACGATAGCTATGGTTCCGATAACTATGGCTCTTCAGGAGGTAGGGGAGGTAGCGGCAACGACAGCTATGGTTCCGGTAATTATGGATCATCAGGCGGAATGGGTCGTAGCGGTGATGATAATTATGGCTCATCTGGACGCACGGGAGGAAGCGATTCCTACGGCGATGACTCGTACGGGTCTTCGGGACGCACGGGAGGCAGCGACTCATATGGGTCTTCCGGTCGTGGTGGGGACAACTCTTATGGCTCTTCTGGCAACAACGACGATAGTAAGTTACACGTCACTTTCCGTCGAGCTACATGACTAACAATGCACCAGGCTATGGTAGTAGCAACACCGGCTCAGGGGGTTACGGCTCAGGCGGCTACGGCTCTAATCAACGTGATACCTCGGACAGCAGCTACGGCGGAGGAAAGACCACTGGAGATTACGGTCAGCCTGGCAGCGATAGTTACGGAAGCGGCCGACGCGGAGGCGACGATAGCTACTAAATGCACCACTCGCCAAATCCTACCAATGAATACGCAATGTAATAAAAAAAACAAGCGCACTTCCTCGTTCCACAACTTCATATTGGCTTCAATCTAGTCTCTTTGTTTTCCTGTCGTGAGCTTCATCTACTTCGGCCAAAAGCCCAACAACAGATCTATCACATAAACTTTTAGCGTCGGACCGATGGATCGGATTGGTTCTCTGCTTGAAAATCAACTGATGGTGCAACGACTTCCTGAATAAGGTTCAACTACGTCATAATGGATTTAGCAACGTGAGGGGTAACTCCGAGATCTCATGTGGGGGCATTCGCCGGCAACTCTAATGCAACCACTTGGAACGAGTAACATTTTGAGAACCTCTCCCGGTTGGATTTTGACAAAGCACGGTTTTAACGAGCTGTACGAGGACTGTGTTTTTCCACAACCTGTGACGGAAAATTCTATTTCTTCCAACGTAATCCTCGGTCTTATGTAACTAGCTAGGTGTGATCACTTGACTTTTCTCAGCAACATCCCGTACCAGACCTTGACACCAATCCATTTTCGCCCCCTTTCCCCGACGACCTTTTTCTCAACCATCTCCTCCGTCACAGTCCTCTCTTTCACCTGCCCAATAACCGTAAAACCGGCCTTGGCCGCTTCGTCGACCGTTTCTGACGTTCCGTGGACCCAGCTTGTGCCTCTTACCTTGATGGCCTGGCCATCTTCATCTTGCGCTACAAAACCAGCTTGCGATCGCATGCCCATGTTGTAATGCATATTTGTCAACAGGGCGATACCGTCTGGTTTGATAAGCGAAGCAAGGAGCGCGAAAAAGGTTGGCAAGGGAAAGTGTTCAAGCACCAGTGTTGTGAGGAGACCATCGTACGGCGGAAGAATTGGACTGCTTAGGTCGCTGCTCGCTGCCACAAATGATCTCTCGTCCAGCAGGATGGGCGGCCTATTGGCGTCAACTGGATCCAAGAAGTCATGTTGCAACAACGTTAGTGTCCTTCTGGATCGAATCTCGGGGTCTAAAGTCGCTTTGGCAGCTTCGAGCTTCATAGCAGCTTTGTTCAGCATGGCCCTGCTGGCATCGATACCTGTGATGTTGACGAGCATATGGCTGGGCCAATCCTGACTCATCAGAGCGACCGTGTTACGCCCTGTCCCGCAACCAAGGTCGACGATGTTCAGAGATGTGCCCGGACGTGAAAGTTCGGAAATTTTCATCACGTAGTCGCGCAACATACCACCACCATCGCCGAGCTCGTCGTCATCGACGGCTTGGAGTACGTTCCCGTCAGAGTCGTATACCTCCGCCCACGAGTCGTATGCTTCGACTGTGGGCACGTAGCGTGTCGGCATCTTCCGCGTCGATGTAGATGCCTCCTCGAACTTGGGCGACGATACACGAAGCGGGGGAGGCACGGCCCCCGTGGACGTCACTTGATGGTCTAGAGCCTGTTTATAGTCTTCTGACGGAGCCGATTCAGTTGTCGAGAAGGATTCGTGTGCATGTAACGGTGAAAGATCGACTAGGGAGGTATCAAATGTTTTGTTTAATGATGGCTGCGTCATGATGGGTGGGTCAGGCTGACGGGGAGGCTGAGATTGGAGGTTGGTCCGCACAAAAGAACCAAAAACAAAGCTCCAAGAGTCTATCAAGTTATATGCAATGCGATATGCGACAATGAAGCGGATAACCGAAGGAAATAGAAAGAAACGAGACTCGGCCTGCTAGCAAGAATACCGAGCCTTTTCTACGCTTCAAACGGTTGAGCATGGAGGTTCATTGACCAATCAGCGTTGAGAGGTGAGTCATGCTTAGGAGCTTTTGATTCGTCCATAACGAGGACGCCGTCGAGTGCAACGACCGAAGAAATTCTCCTTGCTCTTCCCGGGGGTTTTCGAATAAGGTGAACTGCTTTTCGATTGAACTGACTCGCTTCTCGGATCTGCTATACAAATCTATGTAAAATATGCCGAGACGGCCTCCGGCCCGAAAATGCGCGTCATGGATATCATTACAGTCGTGTTGGACTACTCTGTCCTCTCTATTGTCACGATAAATATGCTAGTCCTCGCGCAGAGAAAGTGTTCATTTAGCACGCTGATTGAGTTCTCTCCAGATTGCAGGTGGTCGAGCCCTGAAGTGGTTCTTTCGTATCAATTCTTTGTGCTCTCTCAGCCCATTGAACTTCTTAAGTATGTCAACCAGTCGAGTGTCCATCCAGACACTGCCATCCAGTTCCAAAAGCAAGTAAACATAGGAGAATATTGCGGCATCTAGCAGACTTGTTGGGCTCCGCCCACTCTTGATGCCCTCGGAGACGTAGGTGTCGAGGGCTACGAAGGCCTGTTCTGCCTCTAAATATATAGCTCGCTCGTCAATTATAGGTTTAGTTTTGAGAAGATCTTCTCGTGCGGCCTCTTGAAGACTACGAGAGGAGAAGAATCGTACGATTGAGGAAGAGGATTGAGGGTCGATGTAGCATTTTGTTGTTATAGCGCGGAAGTTTGGCGTGAGGTACATATGATATTGCTAAATCTCATTAGCATGATTCCGTGGCATCACTGCGCCGGCCAGTTCGTACCCATGCTCTCCTTACGGGCCCGTCGACTAGGGTCAGATACGCTTCCTCTCTGTTGCCCAAAGCCTGGCTCTTCCTTACCCACTTAGCGAACCCCTCTGAGTTAACAACGGGCTGCACAAGCGGGGGGCCAGCTTCTGGATGTGTCGTAAGTATGGGGAGAGTGCTGGGAAAAGAAGCGTGATTATTCGCTGGCACGACGTAAAACTCGATGCCTTGGAATATCAAGTATGTCTGAACTCAAATGGTAAATATATCATGCCAATTTTGTTTCCCTGTGGAATCTCACCTGCCAACGCAAGCAACTCGGATTGAAGCTCGCAACCTTGGGGTTGGCCCCATCGCTTCTGCATGCCCAGCTGAAGAGGGAGTGCAAGGCATCCTCCTTTTGCTTGCCTCGTCTCTTATCTTCAGCCCTCACGTGAGCATCAAAGAAGGCATGAATGTCCTGCCTCTCGGTTCTAGTCGGGGGGCGCACACTACGCTGCGGGAGTTCGTTCTCTTCATACGCGATCAATGGCGTGGAGTCGAACAGTCGTTTCAATGGTGCCGGAATGGTAAGGAACGACGAGGATGAAGAAGTGGAAGGACCGAAACCTGGCATTTTGAAGAGAGGGAATTGACGCAGACAAAAGGCGAAAGGAGTGGCTAGCTCATGGTCGGTGATGCATATGTATCGTAGCAAGCATCAGCAGGCAATAAACGAGATGGAAGCCAGACACCGCCCAGGGAAGATATTTTCCAGGAATGGTATAGTGCACTTGGAATGATGAAGATGGATGATGATTGGCTCGGCGACTGCTTTGCGGAGCCTTTGCATTTGCCAGCTCATTGAGTCGTAATCTCAAGAAATTCATGCACAAATCGTAGATTATGAAGGGAAGGATTCTCCACAGTAGGCACGTTTGTCTGTACGCTTGAAATGTTCACGGGCAAATCCCTGTGTCCTTCGTGAAAAACCCTACTTTCCCTCCGCTTTGTGCCTCACAAAGTTCGGTGACTAAATTACCACGAGGACAATGAAAAACTTCTGTTCGTCTACGAGCGTGAAGCCGATTTTTTTTTTTTTTTGAAAAAAAATAAATAATAGAAGAAGAATCGTGCCACAACAGAATGAAGGGGGCTCAGCAGACCGAGGATGGAATCGTACATAGTGCAAGAGCACATGTGGTTTCATCCCAACCGCAAAGAACGGTACGTTCAAAGTTGTTTTATATGATAGCATCAAGAGAACCTGTCGACAGTCATTGTATTGAAACAGGTGAGTCGAGCTTGAGCTCAAGGCCACTGATTCGCAACAGTCTTCATTGGAATCTGTCTTTCATCATGCCCGCATGTCGCGATGCCCATGCTGCAATTCTCAAACGTCATTCCGGTAGGTCGGGGTGGAAAATGGCTGGATGTTTTCCCGCCTTGACAACTAAGTTTTGCGACACGTCGCAAAAATGTATCCCTCTGGGCTGAACCAGGGCGAGGAATAGGTTCCGCTGCAAAGAACATTCTAAAGCTCCAAATTTAGAGACTAGAGTCTGCGTAGAATTCATTCATTCTTTCGAGAATCCAGAACGAGGCGCCTTGTCATGCCCTGCAATCCCACTCGCTGGATCTCCAAACGGCGCATAGAATCAGATGGAGGAATGAAGAACTTTTTTCCCATTGTAAAGAGTGCATCAGAAAAACTACACAGGCGCATTAATGCGTAGGTTGTGGATCCTTGTTATTGGGATCTATCTTACTGGAGACGTGTAATATACATTATAGGTACCATTTTGTGGGTTATGGCACAGAACAATAGTAGCGGTAATGGTTTCAGACAGCTTCAGATGGGTATCATGTAGGTGCCACTTGGCAATAAAACAAGATAGAAATTTGCAGATGTAGGCATTGCACAGATGGTCCAGCATGGGTATACAGCGAAAGATATGCAAGCCTGAGCTGCTATTCAATGAGAACGCAAAGTGATGAGATGGGTTGAGAAATCGTCGTTACATAAACATCATACGAGTTCGCCGCCTTTCAGCGACAGGTGCACCTGGACCACGTTGGCGTGGGATCGCGAGGGCATGTCTTTCGCAATACGGTCGCCCTGCTAATTCGTAGTAGTCCATATCAAGCTTCACACGACAGTGAGAGCAGCAAAAACAGTGCGGGTGGAATTTCTCCTTGCGATCGGTCTCCAGATATCGTCCCTCGATTCCTTTGTTGCACTTTGTGCATAGCGAGCCGTTGAGTTCGTGGTAATGTTGAGCGCAGTATGGCGAATTGTCGTGAACGTAAAATTCCGCACTTGGGAAGGAAGTTTGGCACGTGCGGCAAACAAAGCATTCCTTGTGGTAACGGCCCGTAAGTCGGCCATCCGCTGCTTTGACAGACTTGCCATAGATCTGAGTTCCGCAACCACGACATTCACCTTTGCTGATCGGCTGTTGGAAACGAGGAGGGCTTCGAGAGTGGATATCTGTCTTCGATCCTTGTCGCAATCGCGGTGGGGAGTCATTGATCTGACTTCTTGGATCGCTTCCCAGTTGTATGGCAGGATCTGCCGGCCGTCGCATATGGTGCACCGCTGGATCAACAGGTGATTCAAGAGGGGGTGGTATATTCCTCACAGCGGGCATTACGGGTGGTGGCAGAGCGTCTGGGCGCCCTGTCCTTGAAAGGCCTCTTCGGTGACTTCGGGTGCTGTCTGAGCTGGCGTTACGAGACAAAGATGAGACCGATGACGGTGCCGTAGAGGGGTTGGTAGATGAAGACGAAGACGCTGAGTCGCTCGGAGAATGAGAGACGTCACTTCGAGCGGCTGACCCTTCTCTGCGCAGAGTTTGCACTGGGAGTGATGGCACTGGCACATTGCTATCCAAGAAGCGATCGACAGCCGTTGGTTCATTTGTCCGTGTCATTGTTCGTGACCGCGCTCTTGTTGACGGTCCTGACGCATTGGCTGTCGATGGAGGCAACGGCGATGGCCTCGGCGCTTCAAACCAAGGGCTTTTGGGATCATTGTCCGGGGAATTGGTTTCTGTAACAAGTTGCAAATTTGCTACTTCTCGCGTTGCGGTTTCCAGAGAAGGCGGCTGCTGTCTTGCCATGGGGATGAATGGATTTTGAATGGCGGGATCTTTGAACGCGTCAAATCGCCCTCTTGTTTTGCTCCGCGACAGCCCAGCAGATGTTGTCGGTCGCTTCTCCTCTTCTATTCGTCCCTCGCCTGGGAAGAACTCTGTCTTGTTAGGTGCCGCTGACATCGCTGGCGACATCGCCGGCGATGACGCAAAGCCTGCGTATGGATTTTGCGAAGCAGCACTATGGTCCTCTGAAAATGTTTCTGACCTCTGTTCCGGCGCTAAAAAGCTGGTGGACTGTGGTTCTTCATCGGACTCGCGCAGAAATTTGTCGATCGAGTTGATCGTGTTCTGTGTCTCTCTTTGAGAAGGATTGCGCGTTCGAGATTGACGATCCATAGCGGGTCCTGAGTAGTTAGAGGTTTGTGAATACACAGATTGCGGCTCGGAAGGCTTTCTGTAATGGCTGTTGTCTACACCTCCCTGATATGCCTTATATTCTACGTTCGAAGGCCGTCTTTCTCTAGGACCACTTTGCGCATCGTTGCGGGTTCGTCCAGGTCGGCTGAAGGGCCCATCTGCTATGCCGTTCATTCTCTGCATCACGCTCACACCTGGAGAGGGAGGTGCCCTCATGGGATTCGGCTGGCTGTTAAGCGACCCTGGATCAGTGCGATCATACTTTGAGCGAAAAGGAGGGAATGCTGAATCCAGGTTACTTGCGAAATTTGGCGACGGCGGACTCGGCGATCGCGAGGGGAATAGGCTGGGCTTGCGCGAAAACATTGAGGACGGTGTTGTAATCTGGGTTGACGGCGTAACAGGCGTTAGGCCTTGCTCGTTTGTATAACTGCTGTAATCGCTTCCTGGTGTCACCGCGGCTTCAGGCTGAAGAAAGGGACGGTCTGAAGTGAGTTAGCATGGAAAATGCTGTGCATGGAAAAGCCTGGAAAATAAGGGAGTGGCTTACTAGCTGCAGCGGAATCGATTTTCGGCGGCACGTTCTTTCCAGGCCGTAGATATCCAGGTGAAGGCTGCTGTACATCCGACAAGATCGAGCCTTGCTGAACTGCTGGATCTATAGAGAGCGAGTGGTCTGCCTGAAGCGCAGGGTCACCCTTCATAACATTGGCGCGGTCCGAGCTTGGGTTGCTGGTGCTGTCGCCATTTGATGGTTCTGGGTTGCGATTAGCACAGGCACAGAATACCCGAAATGAGGTTACAAATTACTAGACAAGGGGTTGCAGACGTGGTCTGCTAGATTGACTATATCGATTTCCACCCCACATGTCGAACATTTAAGACTTGGTAAAAAGCTCTCCGGTCTTGCCGCTGCCGCCATTCCGAAAAAAATGCATTCGAAAGACGGGGAAGTTCGTACAATTGGTGGGGTGCAAGAACGTCCAGACCTGTGGTAGGTAAGGTTTTGCAAGTTCGGACTGCTCGACTTTCAACAACCGCGACGTGTGGTATGGGGGATTGGCTGCAGGGTAGTTGATTCTGACCGATATCGAGGTGGTCAACTGACAGTTGGAGCAGGCAAAAGGCGCAGGTGCGAGTGGTCGCGGTTCTCCTTGGTTGTATGGATCGTTAATCGAAATGACACTCAACCCCAGGCTGAGCGGCTCGCAATGCTATTCGCTGGCACGGTGGACTCGCGGCTATGCTGGTTCCTGCTGCACCGACCGGCGTGCCGGAGTCGTCAAATGGAATGGATTGATGGACGCTATCGTACTCTGGAGAACAAGTCGAGAGAAAGTAGGAAGTCGCCTTGAGCGAGACGACAACAGAAGAAGGTGAAATGTGCCATGTCTAAACAGACGGTCCCTGCACCGTGAGCCGGATGATGGCGTTCGACGACGAGCCTGCCATGGACCCGCGAGGCTGCGAACCAAGGGTGTCATTGGCTGCATGCTCAACCTCTTGCAGGATCATCAAGGCACGCTCCAATTGCGCTCTGCCAGGGGCTCCACATCTGTCCAAAAGAAACGTCTTTGTAACGATATAAGTGTGGAGGGCATCGGCATCGCCATACTTCCGTGACCAGGTGTTCTTGCTCGGCGCCTCTGAATCCAGCTCGACCTCATTTATGTTCCATCGTCGTGCGCGAAGGGTTTGTCGCTCCGTCCTCTCGTCGTCGGGGCGCCCATTCTCTGCACATCTCTTCACCCTGAAGCTGATAATCGCTTAACTGCGACCACCCAGGGCCCAGTTACGCCATGAACCGAAAGAAGACGCAAGACCCCTTTGATCCGCGCGATGTTCCCGAGAAGAGCTAGACTTCTAGAATGCTCCGATTGGCGGTGTGGGCCGCTAACTCGCTTAATGTGTGTGCATGCCGAGACGCTGGGATGGCGCTCTACCTCGCCATCCAAAGGCAACGTCCATTCTCGTTGCGGCGGTCTCCAAGTCAAACTCCCAAGACTCCGCGTTTCAGCGGCGACACGACGAAACTTTGTGTGTGCCGTGAATTCCATGCTACAACTGATGCTTGGCTACGCACAGAACGCGAGCCTGGAGCGGGAGGGTGCTGGAAGCTGAAAGATCTGCAGGATTCAGATCGATTGCTGCGTCTCAGATGGCTGGTTAGCTGGCGTGAACTATGGTGAGCCCGAGCACTTTTGTCCGTGCGGTGCGTGTCATTGCGACGCGGCATCGCCATCGCTCCAATCTCGGTGCCTCAGGCCGCCCGGCCAGTTGACAAATCGGTTTTACGGCACGTCAATGGTGCAATTTCGTATCGGCCCCGCGTTGAGCTGCTGATTCGCCGCCACGTACCGTGCAAGCCTCAACTTTGTTTGGTTGGTGGCACGATTTAGCTGCAAAGAAAGTCCTACGTCAGCAAGCAATCGATCTGAGTTAAGTTAGTATCCGTGGTTTTTTTGCGGGACGGAAATGACCATCTCGACGGACGAGCTGCTTCAGCTACACTCCGCCAGCCGCTGAATCATACCTGCTTTCGACGGTCCCGTGGAATTGGTGCGGACGAGAGGCCCTGTTCTCCTTTCGTTGGAAAAAAAAGAGAGAGAGAGAGAGACAAAGAGAGAATCCGGATCGGCAGCTGCAGAACACGGTTCGGGCCAAATAGAAAAGTACCATGATGTGCAGGTCTTTGCATCAACTCAGCCCCTGCTAGACTCGGAATATGCGTGCTGATGGCCAAGTCACGCAAGGAGAGAGTCAGAAATGAGCCAGACGAGGACACCATTGGGAAAATCCCGATCACCCCTCTACTACGCAGAATCCAGATTCTTGCGCGGCCAGCTGTGGCCGACGCACTGTACCCGGCTCCAGTGGAACAGGGTGTCGAGCTATAATCCCACGTCCTATGAAGGTGGTGTGACATTGAATTACATCGTTGCGAGACCTCTTTCCTTGGACTTTTCCAACGACATGTCTGCCCGTCCTTCCCATCGCACTCTATGGATCAATGGAATTTCTGGACAAAGTAGTTCCTCCGCCGAGCACGGTTTCGACGAGGAATCGTATCTCCACGCGTAGTCCTCTTTGCCCTATGTCACGTCGGACAGCTTCGTCTTTTCCCTGTAAGAGCAGAAGGGCACCTGGCCTCGATTTGCCCCCTGTTATTCTCCCGATCTCGCGAAACCCAGTGGGAGCGTGTTAAGCCTGTACTTGCCCGTAGCTCTTATCGCGCCAAAATTCATAATCCTTTTGTGATGTCTGCATGCTGGTTTGGGCATTGACGTTGTTGATGGCGAAGAGCACGTCCAATCGGAATCCGTCTGGTCTACGTTATCTCTACAATTTTTCTTCGCAGCCTTTCACAGCACAGATCATATGACCATTTACAAGAACACGATCACATGGACCACAGTGACAACCGCTGCTAATCTTGCTAGTACTAGAGCGAGCTACGCCATTACGATTGGTACAGCGAAGCGACATAGGCATACAAGGAAGAAAGCTGCCGCAGTCAGCTATTGTGGGTCGTAAAAGGGAGCTTGCGTAGCCAAGTTCGTGCGAAGTCTGGACCAAATTTTTCAAAAGGCGCAGAGTCAATATATTTTCATGCTTCCCACACAGACAACGAGCTTCAAAATCCCCTCTGCGAGCATACTTTGTATTGAATTACATGCCCTGAACATGTGCTTTGAAGAATTGTAGTCAAGCGAGGCCGGAGGTCTGCGAATCAGCGGTAGGAGAATGCCTGTAATTCAACTCACGCTAACGCTGACCTGCAGCATCATATCAAAAGCGTTACCTAATTCGGGTTGAAGTCAGACGTCGTCGTTAGTTTTGTCACATTTTGTTGGTCGACGCTCTCGCAGCGTAGCCGGTGTAAGCCGACTGCGGCGCACTACTCCACAATACAAATATGCATAACTTCCCCGGTTTCCTTTTTGCGTTTGTTCCGTAGATTTCTGTAAGCTTCTTCACTCTCGGAAACTCAATATAGCGCTGCAATCGTAGAATCTCCGACCAGGCTACGCTCGAACATTTAAACCCCTCGAGTCTCAATCTTTCTTCCCTCACACTTGGGCCATTGCTCGGAAGTCAAAACGTTCGCCAACCTTCTTCTCTCGTAAGTCCAAGGCACCTGTGGTACAAGCTAAGTTGGACGCATTGCTAACATGATGCTACAGGTCCCATAATACCTACGCCGGCCGTCGATCCTCTCCTTCAGGAGGACCAACGGAAGCACTCTACGTTTTCTAGATCCAAAGTCTTTGAGCAGAAGCTAAGAGTTTTCAACATCTACTCAACAAAGTAACTGTATCACTCAAGACCAATTTGTGATCAAACGTTATGGCTCCTCACGCAGACGATTCTCAGGGCTTCCCCGTTGAAAACGGGTCTGCTAGCCCTGCAACATCTGCCGAGCTCTTCACGGTCAATTCTCCAAATGTCCAGTACACTGACAGCGAAATCAAAACCAAGTACACATACCGTACTACCGCTGTCACCAAGGGGGCCGATGGCAAATATGTTGCCGCCCCCAAGGAAACTGTGTACGACTTCAAGGTTGACCGTAAGGTTCCGAAGACCGGTATGATGTTGGTCGGCTGGGGTGGGAACAATGGGACTACTGTTACCGCAGGTATCATCGCCAACCGCCGTGGCCTGACTTGGGAGACCAAGACTGGCAAGCAGGAGGCGAACTACTACGGCTCTGTGCTTCTCGGCTCCACAGTGAAGCTGGGGACCGATGCTCAGACTGGCGAGGAGATCAACATCCCCTTCAACAAGATGCTACCCATGGTGCACCCCAACGACCTTGTTATCGGTGGTTGGGATATCAGCAGCATGAACCTAGCTGAGGCTATGGACCGCGCTCAGGTCCTGGAGCCAACGCTCAAGCAGCTTGTTCGCAAGGAGATGTCTTTGATGAAGCCTCTTCCAAGCATCTACTACCCAGACTTCATTGCAGCCAACCAGGAAGACCGTGCTGACAATATCCTTCCTGGTTCCAAGGCTAGCTGGGATCACGTCGAACAGATTCGAAAGGATATCCGGTACGTCAAATGCTACAAGCGTTGCGGCTGTATCTAACATTGTAAATAGCGAATTCAAGGCTGCCAACAACCTGGACAAGGTCATCGTTCTGTGGACTGCCAACACCGAGCGATATGCTGACATCCTGGAAGGCGTCAACGACACTGCGGAGAACCTTCTTCAGGCCATCAAGAATGGCCACGAGGAAGTTGCTCCATCTACAGTCTTTGCCGTCGCTTCAATCCTTGAGAATGCACCATTCATTAACGGTTCTCCTCAGAACACCTTTGTTCCAGGAGCTATCCAACTTGCTGAGCAACACAAGGCCTTCATCGGTGGCGACGACTTCAAATCTGGTCAGACCAAGATGAAGTCCGCTCTTGTTGACTTCCTCATCAACGCCGGTATCAAGCTCACATCCATTGCCAGCTACAACCACCTCGGCAACAACGACGGCAAGAACCTGAGCTCCCAGAAGCAGTTCCGCTCCAAGGAAATCTCCAAGTCGAACGTGGTTGACGACATGGTCGCTGCCAACACCGTGCTTTACAAGGAGGGTGAACACCCAGACCACTGTGTCGTCATCAAGTACATGCCCGCTGTCGGTGATGACAAGCGTGCGCTCGACGAGTACTACGCAGAGATTTTCCTTGGTGGCCACCAAACCATCTCGCTGTTTAATGTCTGCGAAGATTCGCTTCTCGCCTCTCCACTGATCATCGATCTCGTCCTCGTCACTGAGATGATGACTCGTATCCAATGGAAGGCCGAGGCCGGCAACTACGGTGGCTTCCACAGTGTTCTGAGCATTCTCAGCTACATGCTCAAGGCTCCGCTTACGCCACCTGGCACTCCTGTCGTCAATGCTCTCGCCAAGCAACGCGCTGCTCTTACGAACATTTTCCGCGCTTGTCTCGGTCTTGACCCGGAGTCTGACATGACTCTGGAGCACAAGCTGTTCGCTTAGACTGGTGTCAATGTCAAACCGGATGTTTTGGGAATAAGCTTTGCGGGATGACGGCGGGTTTCCCATGGGGTAGGATCAGGATCTCTTAGACCGAGCAACCCACCGTATTCGCTCTTTAGCTAGACAAGTCTATAGAGGCTAGCAACAGAATGATACCTTTTCGTATCGCCGAAAAAAAAATTGTCTTCCGATCGTGTTTCGACTTCTCTTCAAGCTGTCAATCTCTTATGGATGATCATTTGCTCGTATTATGCCATTGAAGAATTTCCTCATCAGAATACAAAACTCCTTAATCAGCAGTCGTAACTTCGCTCCGATGGTCGAGATATCGACTGGAATTGGTTCCTGCTTTCAAACAAAAACAAGTTCAACTCTCCGTCACGCATGTCGACAGCGTTGCACTCAAATCAGATGTCAAATCTGATACAGTTCTACTTTTTAAATCACAGACACTGCCACTTCTTTCCATCTAAGTCAACTCACAACTAAAACAAGATGAAATGTACCCCCAGGCATAGGAAACTGAAAAAGCCGGCCATGTTAAATGGCGACGTCTTCAATGACACCAATGTTCGGGTCGGATGGGCGCCCAGAATTAACGAGAGCTAGGTCCGAAGCCAAGAATACGATCGAGTAGATATCGCATCTTTAGTTCCCGGCCCACGCTGTGTAACTTTCCAAGGGCGCGTAGCAAACTTCGACAACCAGGTCACAACCAGTAAATGGCCACGGGCAGCAAAAGGTTGCCTCAGAATCCTTGTGAGAGATAACACTGCCGTTATCACAGCAATTTGAATAGGAGACAATGTCTGCGACGGTTCTGACCACAAGCAGGTGAGACTGGTACGCAAAGATTGTCTACGAACCTCAACTTGGAAACTTGGTGATGGTGTGGACATCACATGTTTCAAACAGCTTGTATACCAATCTCGCATCGATGCAGGCGTTACTCTGCACGAGTATTTTCCCTGAACGAGATCGACATTGCCACTTTCTCGTACATCGAGATGATGACAATGAGGAACTCTTGCTCTTACATGACATGGTGAACATGCATGGTGCTTTATAAATGGCGGTTCGCTAACTTGGATCTAACAAGTTGCCTAAGTTACCAACGAAAAAAAACCTCAGATGTGAGCTCATGCAACCCGTGGTATCATTTCCTCCCATCAAATGCATCTCCGAACACCATGCAATAAATTTGGGTAAGCACATTCGATGCCGCCTGCGGAAGCACACAAATCGCACGTTGTTAAAATCCTTATATGCCATTGCCCATCCAGCGATGCCTCCTCCAGCTGCGCTCCCAATCGACCATCTTGGCGCTTCTCAGATCGTCAACGTTCAGGTAGTCGGCGCCCTCGTCTATGAGAATTTTCCAGATGTGGTTTCGCAGACCGACCGGCCACGTGGGCGTGTTCCAATACCTGGCCTTGAGGCCCTTGTCGTGGGCGGCCTTGATCTGAGAACGCAGCTTCCTCAGCTGGCGGTGCGAGAGTCTGCCGCGGTAAGGGAAGCCGATGGAGCTCTTGAAGTCGACGGAAGCGTAGTACGAGTTTGCGGGCGTGAAGGAGGACGAGGGGGAGACGCCCGTGCTTCCCTGGCCGGCGGACGAGGCGGGATCGGAGGCGGCGAAGATCTCGTGCTGGGACGAGAGCGCGGCGGCGTCGACGGCCAGCTTGTCGAGCGGGGCGTCGAAGAAGATGTCGCGGTACGTCGCGTTCGCGGTGAGGAGGTCGAACGGGGCGTTGCCCGTCGCGACCACGGTGACGGGTCCGCTGACCGTGTCTTGGCCGTTGAAGTAGGTCAGGTAGCCCTTTGAGCGAAGGGCCTCGAGGTGGGCGGACACGACGGGCAGCTGTTCGCGGCCGTCCATTTTGAAGTCGATCAGGAGGACGAGGGTTTGGTCTGGGACCTCGTCGAACACGCCGTTGATGCGCTCCGGGGTGATTCCTGCGCCGTACTCAAGACGGCTCGGGTTCATGCGATCGAGGATTCGCACGAGCGGGTCGACGTACAAGGAGCGCAAGGTGCGGTTCTTGGTCAGCGACGCCGTGGTGTGGCCGACGAACAGCTCGTCGTCGAAGAGCCACACGTCGGCTTCGACGCCAACACACCCGTAATGAATGGCCTCGTAAAGGGGAACCCGACGCCAGTAGTCGTTGTGAGAGTGGCAGGGGATCGGCTCGACGTCACGCGTGAAGTCGGTCGGGTAGCCCGTCAGACCTTCGCCCGGTTCTCCAGGCATGCCCCAGTTAGGAAAGAAGCGATCGACTGCCAGCGAAGGGTCCCAGATCAAAGGGCCGAGGCCTATCAGGAGCGTTACAAGGTTCCATAGGCCGCTGGAAGGACGGGGTTAGCATCTCTCAGGGTTGAATCGCAGCGGCTCGGGCGAACGTACAACAGAGCAAACATGACCAAGATGAAGCTTGTGAGCAGTCGACACCTCCTCCGCCGTATTCTCGCAGCCGGGGCTGTCCGCGACAGGCGACGACATTCTTCAATGGCTGGTCTGTCGTGTGCACAATGCACTACCCGCTGCTTCCCCTTGAGCCTCAGCATGGACAGCAGCGCCCGCCACCTCGCCTTTCGCAGACAAATCGGGCATTCGTCGTTCTCGAAGCTGCTCACAGCCTGCGTAGAGACGTATGGCTGTTTTTGATTCAGCAACGCTTCGGCTTCCCCAGGCTCTTCCGACTCGCGACCTGCGGAAGACTCCACATCGTCTTCCACGTGCGCAAGATTTCTCGAGCTCGCCATTTTTCCGGTCGGCAGCCTGGAAGAAGCCCTGGGGCCTCAAATCTTGAAGATCGGTGTGTTTAAATTTTCCGTCGCACTTCGGAAGTTGGCATGCGCCTCGGCGCGGGCGCTGGGAAGTGCGGCTCAGTTGGAGTGAGGGCGGAGATAAGATCGGAAGGGAGAATAGGCTTGGATATTATATCATTCCGCCACCTCGCGACAGCCTGACTTCTTCGACGACTTCGTCTTGGAGCTTTCAAATCGACTTTCTCTCAAGTCTTCTGAACGTTGGCGTGGGCGCAGAAGGATTGGCTCTTGACTGCACGTTTACGACGAGGACGGCGTAGAGGTCGAGCGAATCCGGAAGCTGGATATACACACGCGGACCTATTGCCCAGGCAGGGGAAGAAGCAGATGGAGAAAACGGATGGACGCAGTCGTCTTGGATCGATAACGAAAGGAATGCAACGGGGCAAAGATCAGACTGCAGAAAATGCCCGCAGCGGGCAAGCACAGCGACTTTAAGCCATCGTCAATGTGAAGCATGGTGCCACGGTGCGACATCGTGCGATCCTATTCGTCGCAGGACGGGGGGACACGCTCGCACCAGACACTTCGACCCGGAAAAGCGTGCGCACATTATTTTCGGTGTCTAATTTGGCGTCGAGCGAGCCTCTGGGGCCTGGTTAGCAAAGGCGGGCCTGTCGTGGACGAGGACGACTCCTCCGCGGTGCGGCAATAAGTCGACGACTAGTTCGTGGTTGGCGTTTGCACGCAACAACTTCGGAGAGGGGCTGCGCGGCGGCTCGAAGCCAGGCCCGGCGGGATTTGGCACCAGCTCGGAGATTCGGTTCTACGTCGCGATTGACCTTTGGCTTTGCTGGCGCGGCCAAACCGAGCGCACGCAAACGCTCTGGACGGCCGTGGGCGCTGGACGTCCCGGTGCTGTGAGTCTGCCGGTGCATGAGTGCGTCCCGCGTTCCTGTGGCTCCCCCATGATTTCCACCACTCCCAGCGTCCAGCGCTCCACTGGCCCGCAGGGGGTCATGCAGCTCAGGGCCTAGACCTGCGCCATCGAATTTTTCTCCCTTCGCGCATCGTCCTCTGCAAGTCCAAACCTGTCCGCAGGCTAGCTTAGCACACAAACGTCATTTGCGGCCTAGCTGTTGCAAAACTTTGGGCCTTTGTCGTGACGGGGACGACTGCCGCCTCGAACTGCCTGTGCTGCACTGTGCGGAGCGGCTCGGTACCCAGGTCGTCGCTCGCAGACTCTTTCACACGCGACCCGGCGTCAAGATGCCGCACAAGCACAAGAGGAGGAAGACCAGCGACGACGCGGCGTCAGTATATCCCGCTCACCTACCCCCCACGAGTCTGCTGCCCGGCGCAATGTTCGGCTAACGCATCGATCCAGCTTTGACCTTCCTCCAACGACACTCGCAAAAGCACTGCCCGTGAAAAATGCCACCGCCAAGCCCACGGAGGGTAAACATCATATCAGCCAGCAGAAAAAGAAGAAGAACAAGGAGCAGGCGTACCAAGATGATACGCCCCGGGCGTTTAAGCAATTGATGCAGCTTCGCAAAACCGGTAAAGGCTACAAGGGTTTGGACGACGGTCCGCAGAAGCGGCAAGCGCAGCAAAAAGCGGGAGACAAGCGGAAACGCAACCAGGACGACCAGGAGCCCGAAGACAGACCAAGCGAAGAGGCCGAATCCAAGCCGGAACTGAAGATACGGCCTGGCGAACGGCTGAGCGACTATGCGGCCCGCGTCGACCGAGCTCTGCCTGTGGCGGGACTCATCACAAAGAACAACAAAGTTGAAGGCATGAGGGAGCAGCGCAAGACTCGGCACGAGAAGAAGCTCCAGCGGCTGGTGAACAATTGGAAAGCCGAGGAGGCGAGACGCATCGAGAAGGCCGAGGAAGAGTGGGACGAAGTCGAAGAGGAAATCGACGAGCAGAAGGCGATGTGGGAAGCGCACGCGCCGACGAGTCGCAAGAAGGCCAAGCGAAAAGGCAACGACGACGACCCGTGGGCGGAGCTCAAGAAGAAGAGGGACAAGCCGAAGGGCGTGTTCGATGTCGCGCAGGCGCCGCCGCAGTTCACCAAGGTGCCGAAGGCATTCAAGATCAGAGACGGCGCCGGCGTCAAGGTGGACAACGTGCCGAACGTGGGCAGCCTGCGCAGGCAGGAGATTCTCAGCGAGACAAGGCAGGATGTCATCAACAGATACAGGCAGATGATGCAAGCAAAGCGAGGAGAAGCCTGAGAGACTTGCATCGCCTTGGAAAAGTCGATGTGAATGCGCCCCGTGCCGCGGGGAGCCCCCTCTGACGGCACAGCGGCGTCCAGATAGCTATAGTGATACCCGCACTTCGCTTGGAGTGTACCGTAGAAGGGGCCTGTATGAATGTAAAGCAAAGCTCTTGCAAGCCATGCTGTGCTCCCCCACAGGCGTTCCGCACACATTGCTCTTGACAGAATCTTGACTCGAGCGTTGACGCGTGACTTGCCTGTTCAGGCCCAAGCCCATGTCTCCAGCACGCCATGGCCTAGCAGGCGTCGTGCACATGTTTTCTTGCATCACGGCCAGACAGAGAGCCTGACGAGCGTTACGACGGCGACGAAAGCGAGGGCGACTATCACGTGCCATTCGCTGCCGTTTGCGCGGTGCGCTTACCTGAGGCTAGCGCCGTCTGGCCCCACCAGCGCCCGCTCGTATGCAGGAACTTTTGCGGGCTCTCAAAAGCCTCGAGGGCCGAAGCAACACACACCCAGCGACGTACGCATGGGACGGACGAGAGCACGCAAGATCCGCCGTCGCTCGTCCTAACATCGCATGCACAAGGATCGCGTCCTTCTCCAGCCGGTGCAGTGGGGGAGGCAGGCTGCGAACGACGATGGCGAAAGGCTTCGATGAGCTGCTTGACTTTTTGCTCGATGAGGTTGCGTTGCACTTCGGAGACGGTACGTGAAAGAAAAAAAAAAAAAAAAAAAGAAGCGCAAGAGACGTAGACGAGCCTCGCCTTGTCCTGATACGGCAACTGTTCGTTTGGTCTTCTGCGAGCTAGCCGCTGGCCAGCATTTGTTGCGTTGTGATTCTTGTCTTTTGTTTGGCGCATTCATTGGTTCTGCTTGGGCGGGCTCGCTGTTCGACTCTCAAAGCCGGCTGACTTCCCAAACTTGATTTATCAACCCCGTTCTAACGTCCCACAAGGTGCGACATTGGACGACTTCAAGCGCTGCGTGACTGAATTCTACGACGAGCCAGAAGGCCGGAAGGCTGCCGAAGAGGCACAGATCGACAGCAGGCTCCTCTCCACCGTCGACCATGAACTGCAGGAGAGAGCGTGGGCCTGGCTGCTCCTCCATCCCGACATTTGGGTTGGCACGCCAGCCGGCGACGATGGATCGCCCCCCCGTATCTTGGTCTCCGCCGAGCAGGATGCGTCCGTTCTGTCCTTGGTGGACGCTGAATCGGCCGACATGACGGCCCGTGACGAGTCTGAACGTATTCGCATCTGGACGAGTCACGAGAGAGTCTGGCAGACCGTTGCCGGTCATGGGGTCGACTTCAAGCGCATCCCCGGTGAAGAATTCAGGCTCCTGTGTCTCATCGCGGCCGCGCGCGAGAAGGGAATCGCGCAGCCCACGCTCGTCAAGTTGTCCAAGCAGGACAAGAAGTCCGTGCCGGGAAGAACAGACAATCTCAGCAAGGCTGGGTACATTCGGAAGACGAAGATCCTTGCCGAGAAGCACAACACGTCTTTGCTCGTTCACAGGCGCTTCTTGCCGCCTGAAGAACTGGACGCGGAATCACGGCCCGTCTTCGTCAACGGGTCGCTGTCGTTCGACAACTTGCTTAGCGTGCTGAAGGAGAAGCTCAAAAACGGCACGGAAATGAGGATGGAAGACTTCGAGGCCTTCGTCGGATGTGCAGCGAGATCGTGGGAGAAGCGCGCCTTATGGAGGGCCCTCGAGCGGTTGGACATCATCGGAGTCATCCAACGCTATCGAAAAGATGAACTTGGCAAGAACAAGAGGGGAAATATGCGGAATTTCAAGACAAAGTACATCAAGTTACTTCGCGAGCCAAATGATGCGGACTACAAGAGATACACGTCGCTCACTGTGAAGGACCGGGAAGACTTTCGACGACGGCTTGAAGCTCAGGATGCCGAGACGCAGGGTGAACATGCAGAGTACATGGATGATGAAGATTATGCTGCGTATCAACCACAAGCGAACTCGACACCGCAGGTTGGCCAAGAAGAAGCACCAATCATCCACATCATGCATTGGGACTCCGACGTCGCCTGGACAAATACCGTCTACAACGCAGTAGCATCCGCGGGCGGCAAAGGACTGTCGTCTATGGCCTCCCGTGAGTCCACGTACGGCCGATTCTACGACAGACCCGTGGAGCAGATGCTGGCTCGACTCACAGATGTCTGGCAGAAAGCTCAGCCCGATCATCTCAGGCACTTCAACATAATTCGCGACACAGACACCAAGGGCCGATCGACCAATTACCTTTATCGCACCCACGACGCTTTTCAAGAAGCCGTTGACCAGGGCATCACCGTCTGGGAGAACGCGACTGGCGGAAAACCCTATCAGAAACCGGTGGCTCAACTTGACAGATTTGGCTTCAGCAAACTTGATCATTCACAGTTTCTAAAACATGGGGCGTCAACTTTGGCGGAGTGCATCGCAAACGCAAAGCTTCCGTATGAGCGACTCCAGAGATCTGATCCCATTCTAGAAAAGAATGACGACGGCGTCTACCGCGTAGTGTGGAACCATGATCAGGCTTCTAAACGACGAAAAGAGATGGATGCTATCGTAACTCAGGACGTCGACAGTTCGTCCCTTGCTCCCAAGAAGAAACGTGGACGACCTAGGACGAAGGGAGTGGTCAATACAGAATCAGCAGATGGCGTGGCCATCATCCAGAACCCTCCGGCAGCAGCACTACAGACTCCCGCATTGACGAACTCATCGGAGGAGCGGCTACGAATCGAAGCAGAAGAACAGGCATTCCATGAGGCACACAAGAAACAAAAGATCTTTCCAGTCACGTCTGCAAATGGCAAGCAGATTATGACGACATGGAAGCCTGGCAAAGGTCGTTCAAAAATGATATTGGTTGACGACGTGGACTCAAAGGGCACTGTTGATCTACCAAAGCCAGCGCCAGGCCATAGAAAGCCGCCCGTCGTTGTTTTCGAGTCCCGGGTCCGGGAAATTCTCGAGAGTTTGAAGGCGGAGCGGAATTTCAATGTCGATGCTCTCGACGATCAGAATCGACCCGCTACGATGAAGTCTCCGCGTCTCAAGCATTTGTCTCCGTCTCGATCTTCTGATGACGGAGCTGGTGCTCGACGAGAAGGCAACGGAGATGTTCCCCGGTCTGACGGGGCTCCAATTTCGCCCGTTGCTGAATCTGATGCTCCTCCTGTGGTTCAAGGGCCAACACATGGCCAGGTTCCACCGATTGCAAAGGCCGTTGAAGTGCGAGCAGATTCCCAGACGCCCTCAATCAGAAGAGCTTCTTCAACCTTGGTCAGATCTCCTGGAAAAGGCCCAACGTCACCATCACTCCGATCGCCATCGACTCAATATGTGGCGAGAACGAGCCAGACGTTTGAGACAGCAGAATCGGTCGAAAATACTGAAAATCAACCCACGGAAGGGGCGGAGAAAGAGACAAGGAATGAAACGCCTCGTAAGGATTGGGCTCAACGTCAGTCGACTTATATCCGCCCACCCCCACCTGGAGGGACGGTGCCTAATCGTAGGAAAAAAGGGACAGTCGTTGGCCGTGGCACGGCTCAGTACAAGCGGATTATCCTCATTGAGAAGATTATCGAAAAGTCAGGTGGTATCTTTCCCGGCGATAGCGAGATGGTGCCGGCTTTCCAGAAGCTGCAGAAGGAGGAACTGAAATCGGAGACAATCAGTGATCGCGACACGATCATGAAAGCCGTGAAAGCATTGGTCGACGATGGGAAACTTATGCGCTTTGCATTCTTTTTCAAAGACAAGAATGGCAAACAAGTCCAGAAGTGGATCCTGCACCAGCCTCATATCGGGATTGACAGTGACGGCATCAAAGAGTTGATGGCGAAAATTGAGGAAGCACATCCGAGAAATTTTATTCCACTTCCATATGGCGATGGCGAGACTGGTCGTGGCGAGCAAAGGAAAAACATCGATCGTTTCCAGTACCGCCCGGGGAAGAGCATTATACGACCGTCTGGCACGGAGTTTGTTGTCGACGTTGAGGCTAAGCGCAAAGAGCTTGAAACAAAACGTCTTGCCGCCGCAGAAGCAATTCGTGCAGAGGAGCAGAGACGGTTGAAAGCACAAGCGGCGAGAAACAGAAAGAGACAAGCTGCACTTGCTGCGAAGCCGAGGGTCAGCAGAGCGGTCTTGAAGAGAACAGCCCAACCTGATCCGCACGTCCTCGAGCAGATGGAAGAGGACGATCCGGACACGGTCATGCAATCTGTTGAGACTGATCGAACTTTCGCTACGGGTAATCGACAAGGCCGAGCTTCATTCCCGGACACACAACCTGCACCAGCCTCTGAATTTCATTTTGCAGCTCGTAGACTTCCAAACTCGTTTCTCTCGGACGCAATATCGCCAGATGCCCTTGAAGCACAGTCAAACAAGCGAGTCCAGCGAAAGGCAGAACATGGACCGACATCTTCACAGCGTGGGTTTGAAGCCATTGCTCGTGCGCCACCACGAACCCGTCAATACTACACGAATACAAAAGTTCCCTCTCGTGATGGCTGGGTCTTCAAAGAGCCTCAAGGCCTGCAGACTTATGATCCATACTACGAGCTGCAGAACACTTGGACGTTGCTACGGCCTCGGCAACGTTTTCATCCAAACACAGGCACGTTTTCAACAGATTTTTTCGTGCGAGTCGATGTCCACCAAGCAAACTGGGTTGAGCCAACTCGAGTTACATTTGAGCACCACACGACCACTGATCAGAACGACATCGAGTGGTACAATCAAGTTGATGACTACGATAACTCTTATCACCCCGAGAGAAAAGTGCGAAGAGCTGGACCGGGATCTCTTTCAAGGAAAGCGAAAGATTTTGCAAACGAACTTGCCGAGACGGACATGGATATCGATCGTTTTGAGAGATATCAACTTAGAATGATGAAAGAAGAGTATCCGGATTTGGTCCATGAGCCGGTGGAAGATGGCTTCGCCAGGTACTCCGTAGGCGGGTTCCACGAGATCGCAAAGGAAGCATACCACTACGGCATTCGTCCGATGGAGCACGTTGTGCTTCATGGCGTGGATCCTGAGGACTTTGTTGGAGTGCAATTCGACGAGCACTACCGACGACCGAATTTCTCTTCAATTGTTCAGGATGAACTCGACGCCACCACATCAGCAGAAGAAGACGAAGATGAAGATGATGATGACGAGTATGGAGATGAGGCTGAGAACCAAGTCCAGATAAGGCCCCAACCATCATCAAAAACAAGACCGAAAGCCGCACCTCGTCCTCCCCGCACTCCACGACAAGCAAAGAGCAGGCGTCAGTCGGCGGCGGAGTCAGCTGGACCAGAAGAAGAAAGCTCTGTGTCACAGCCAGCCCTGAAAGAAAGGAGATCTATCTATCAGAGTGGCAAATGCTACATGTCGTCTGCAGATTCGAGACGTCTGTTCTTCGCTTGCATTGCTGTGCGCGTTCTCAGTGGAGACCTCGATGGCACAGTCAGCTGGACTACGATCCAGACCATATTCGCCGGTCATCCAAACTTTGATGCACCAACCTTCAAAGCTCGCTGGGGTCGCATGTGTCACGGTTTCCAAGATGTCATAGATCGAGTCCAGCGCCAATTTCAAGATGCATTTCTAGCGGCCTACGAGAAAGGACAATTACCTAAGTTGGATGTTATGCACGGTGCCAAGCTGTACTACAAAAGCCCGGCGGACTGGAATCGAGTGATCGATTGGGCGGTCAAAACCATTCCAGTCTTCTCCGAGGATGTCGAGCTGCCGTCGACTCGTGATGCCCTCAACGAAGCTTTTGAGATCAAATCTGCGCCGAGTGAGCTGCAAGACATTCGGGAGAAGCTTGAACATATTCATACCACACATGCGAAACGTGACGAGATCACCCACAGGATGTCGTTTGCAACAACGCTTACGCTGAGAAAGAAGCATGACGCAAACAAGGATATCGATGTAGCGAAGTCATGGATCCGTGCCAACTGCGCAACACCCGACGACGGATACGACGCTGAAGCTGCAAATGCCAAGTTGAAGAAGCTAGACCAACACATGCTTACGGCATTGACGCGACAGATGCACATGGAAAAGGTCATTGCACACTCTTTCAAGATGAGAAACAAAGATGCGGTGCGGAACTATCATCTTTCAGATCAATACAGGCAGGTTATTGATCGTCGACCACTCGACGCAAAGAACTTTGCTGAAGCACTGGCCTTCAAGGCACGACTCGACAAGAAATTTGCGTCTTCAAATCCTCGCTTCCTTTTGGACTACAACAGTCTATCCGAGGGACAGGTCATGGCAATCACCGAGATGATGGCTGCTGGCCGTGTGTCGGTGAAACCTGTCTTGCCGCCCGTCGACTCCACCATTGGAGCACCTTGGCCTAGACTAACCGTCTGGGGTTTCAATGAAGGCCAGTACAAGCTGAGGACCATGGATCGTAAAATCTTTGTCTGGCAGATTGAGATCGTTCCAACAAAGGACTACATTTCTGGTTTGCCTCTTGCCGCGAAGTTGGCCAGCATCGAGCCTCCGAGGACCGGACTTGTGGATGGATCTGGTAATGAAGCCATACCGTTGTGGTACGATATACATGGAAATCTCATCCCCATTTACTGGGAAGGCATGGTACGGTCTGTCACCCAACATATTGCTATGAAGGCAGGCTCCACGCTTGCTACCCTCACGGCTCCGTATCGCGGTCTAGTCTGGGAGTGGGAGGTCAAGATGCTAATAGATTGGCTTGTCGAAGCCGGTGCCGCCAAATACGGAGAAGGTAGCACTGTTTACGCTCAGGAGTGGTGGTGGACTGCAGTACCGACACAGACACACGGTGGAGATAGTGAGTTTGAAAACGGTGCGGCTGAGAAGGACGTAGCACCGCCAATTGCTACGCCTGCTCCCAAGAAAAGGAGAGTGCGGGGTGGAAAGGGTAAAGCTGCTGGAAGGGGTGACATATAACTTGATGTCTGTACAATGATCTAATTGAATTGGTATTAATCATGCATGGACGGGCGTTTTTTTATCTTAACGTGGTGGCATTGTGGATTATATAGTTTAATGATACCCCTTACTCTACAAACAAACCTCACCCCCCCCCCCCC